GCAGCGCGCGAACGAGATTGCCGGTGCACCAGAGAGCCCGAACGATTTCTTGCAGTTCAAGGACAAGGACACTGAGGTCCGCCACCCGATCCGATTGTACACCAGGTACATCGACCGCATCTGGGTCTTCTTCAGGTTCACCGCTGATGAGTCCCGCGATCTGATTCAGCGATTCTTGACTGAGAACCCGGACCCTAACTTCGAGAACGTTATTGGATACAAGAACAAGAAGTGCTGGCCGCGTGACTCAAGGATGCGGCTGATGCGTCACGATGTCAATCTCGGTCGTGCAGTCTTCTGGGATCTCAAGAACCGCCTACCACGATCCGTGACCACGATTGAATGGGACGACACTTTCGCTAGCGTTTACAGTCGCGACAACCCTAACTTGCTCTACTCTATGAACGGTTTCGAGGTCCGTATCTTGCCCAAGATCCGAAACTTGACTGGCGAATTCCCGGTCAAGGACAGTGTGTGGTCGCTCGTCGACAACTCCACCAAGGAGCGTACCGCGGATGCTTTCTTGCAGGTAACCGAAGAAGACATCCAGAAGTTCAACAACCGCATTAGACAGATCTTGATGTCTTCTGGATCTACTACATTCACGAAGATTGCCAACAAGTGGAACACAACTCTCATTGCGCTCTTCACCTACTACCGTGAGGCTGCCGTCTCCACTGTCAACCTACTTGATACAATCGTCAAGTGCGAGACCAAGATCCAGACGCGTGTGAAGATTGGTCTGAACTCGAAGATGCCGTCTCGTTTCCCTCCTGCTGTATTCTACACACCGAAGGAGCTGGGTGGTCTGGGTATGATCTCCGGATCTCACATTCTTATCCCTACCAGTGATAAGCGATGGTCAAAGCAAACTGACACGGGAGTTACGCACTACCGTGCTGGTATGTCGCATGACGAAGAGACTCTTATTCCTAACATCTTCCGTTACATTATCCCGTGGGAGTCCGAGTTCGTCGACTCCCAGCGTGTATGGATGGAGTATTCACAGAAGCGCCAAGAGGCACAACAACAGAACCGCCGACTTACCTTGGAGGATCTGGAGGATAGCTGGGATCGTGGTCTCCCTCGTATCAACACTCTGTTCCAGAAAGACCGTAGTACCCTCAGCTTTGATAAGGGTTTCCGCGCACGAACTGAATTCAAGATTTACCAGCACATGAAGAGCAACCCCTTCTGGTGGACAAGCCAACGCCATGATGGTAAGCTATGGAACCTCAACGCTTACAGAACGGATGTAATACAGGCTCTGGGTGGTGTTGAAACCATTTTGGAGCATACATTGTTCAAGGCGACGGCTTTCCCATCGTGGGAGGGTCTCTTCTGGGAAAAGGCATCAGGTTTCGAGGAATCCATGAAGTTCAAGAAGCTTACCAACGCCCAACGTTCCGGTCTCAACCAGATTCCCAACCGTCGCTTCACTCTTTGGTGGTCACCAACCATCAACCGAGCCAACGTCTACGTCGGTTTCCAGGTTCAACTAGATCTTACGGGTATCTTCTTACACGGCAAGATCCCTACGCTCAAGATCTCGCTCATCCAGATCTTCCGAGCCCATTTGTGGCAGAAGATCCACGAATCGGTCGTCATGGACTTGTGCCAGGTCTTCGATCAGGAGCTCGAAGCTCTTGGCATTGAGACTGTGCAGAAAGAGACTATCCATCCTCGAAAGTCGTACAAGATGAACAGTTCTTGTGCCGATATACTGCTCTTCGCTAGCCACAAGTGGAGCGTATCACCGCCGTCTATGCTTTACGACACCAAGGACACCATGAGCGCTACCACAACGAACAAGTTCTGGATCGATGTTCAGCTGCGATACGGTGACTACGATTCTCACGACATCGAGCGATACGTGCGCGCCAAGTACCTCGACTACACCCAGGACAGCATGAGTATCTACCCGTCTGCTACAGGTCTCATGATTGGTATCGATCTGGCTTATAACCTGTACTCCGCGTACGGACAATACTTCCCTGGTCTGAAGCAACTTGTCCAACAAGCTATGGCGAAGGTCATGAAGGCCAACCCTGCGCTCTACGTGCTTCGTGAGCGTATCAGGAAGGGTCTCCAGCTGTACGCATCCGAGAGTTCTCAGGAGTTCCTCAACTCACAGAACTACTCCGAACTATTCAGCAACCAGATCCAGTTGTTCATCGATGACACGAACGTTTACCGTGTGACGATTCACAAGACCTTCGAGGGTAACTTGACGACCAAGCCTATCAATGGTGCTATCTTTATCTTCAATCCTCGCACTGGACAGCTGTTCTTGAAGATCATCCATACAAGTGTCTGGGCTGGTCAGAAGCGTCTTGGTCAATTAGCGAAGTGGAAGACTGCCGAAGAAGTGGCGGCTCTCATTCGATCTCTGCCTGTGGAAGAGCAGCCGAAGCAGCTCATTGTCACTCGTAAGGGTCTGCTCGATCCTCTCGAGGTACACTTGCTCGACTTCCCTAACATCTCCATTCGTGCCTCGGAACTGCAACTCCCCTTCCAGGCGGCTATGAAGGTCGAGAAGCTTGGTGACATGATTCTCCGAGCGACGGGACCTCAGATGGTGCTCTTCAACCTGTACGACGAGTGGCTTAAGACGATCTCCTCGTACACTGCCTTTTCTCGTTTGATCCTCATTCTGCGTGCCCTGCATGTCAACCAAGACAAGACAAAGTTACTGTTGCGCCCCGACAAGACCGTCATCACACAGGAGCATCACATCTGGCCTTCGCTAGCTGACGAAGATTGGATTAAGGTTGAAGTTCAACTCCGAGATCTTATCCTGCTTGACTACGGCAAGAAGAACAACGTCAACACTTCATCGCTTACCAGCAGTGAAGTCCGTGACATCATTCTAGGTATGGAGATCTCAGCTCCTTCGATGCAACGTCAACAAGCTGCCGAGATCGACAAGCAGCAGGAGGAGCAACAGCAGTTGACTGCCGTCACAACCAAGACCCAGAACATTCACGGTGAAGAAATGGTTGTCACAACTACATCGCAGTACGAGCAGGCATCGTTCGCTTCCAAGACTGAGTGGCGGACGAGGGCTGTAGCCACTTCCAACCTGCGCACTCGTGCTAACAACATCTACATCAACTCTGAGGATGTCAAGGAGGAAGGTCACTTCACCTATGTTATGCCAAAGAACGTACTGAAACGTTTCATTACCATCGCCGATCTCCGTGTCCAAGTTGCTGGTTACCTCTACGGAAGGTCGCCAGCAGACAACGACCAGGTCAAGGAGATCAGCACAATCGTCATGATTCCTCAAGTCGGCAACACCCGTGATGTTCAGCTTCCCAAGGAACTGCCCAGGCACGAGTACCTAGACAACCTTGAGCCTCTCGGTATCATCCACACCGTCAGCGGTAACGAGCCACCATACATGCAAGCCAGCGATGTCACTCAGCACGCTCGCCTCATGAATCAGCATGCTAGCTGGGACAAGAAGACCGTCTCCATGACCGTCTCCTTCACACCTGGTTCCGTCTCACTCGCTGCCTGGGCTCTTACCCCCAACGGTTACAAGTGGGGTGCTGAGAACAAGGACACCATGTCTGACAACCCGACTGGCTTCAGCACCAGCTTTGGCGAGAAATGCCAATTGCTGTTGTCAGATAAGATTCGAGGTTACTTCTTGGTACCAGACAACGGCATCTGGAACTACAGCTTCATGGGTAGCACATTCGGTACTGTCGAGAAGAAGCCAGTTCACGTGCGTCTCGACACGCCTGTGCGCTTCTACGACAGCATACACCGACCATTGCATTTCCACAACTTTGCCGAGTTGGAAGATGTCTGGGTCGATCGCGAGAACCAGTTTGAGTAAGCGGGGTAGTGTACAACAAGAGAAGATGCGCATCTGGAGAGGCTGATACCATCTCACGGCGTTTCTAAGGATTGGAGTTCTGTACCGCATCATTCATTGCATGGATAGTGGAGAATGGGCGATGATTGAGATTGGGGTCAAAAATGTGCATAGTGTATCATAATCTTTCAGCGAAATGCGTCTGATATCTTTAATTACATGACAACTGGGTTCTGTCTAATATGTGATCCTAATGATGTACGCGTAGAGTTCTGTTCCTTCGCCTTTTTCCCTTATCCTGTCTGTATTTGGCAATGAACTTTTAGAGCACATGAGAATTGTCATAAGAACATCTAAGTAGTCTCTACCCTAACAATATATATATATATCTTAGGCTGAGGGTGACGTATAGGAACGCTATCGTAACATCTCTTCAAGTTAAGCTATATACATCTTCAAGGTACACTTGAATACTACACTCAAGTATCTGACAAGCTTGCTAATCTGCTCTCTTTCAATCCGGTCGCATCTCCTACCGATGAGCTAATGTTTTGCTTTTACGTTCCAGGACCTTTGGTTCTAGCAATGGCGATGGCGTTAGGAGTGGGTTGAAAGTTGTGACTGTTCCGTTACTCAAGATCGAACTCAATTATTTGAGTGGTTACCATACCCTTGCTCTTCCTGTTCTCTAGACTAAATGCCAAATCTCCGTCGTCCGCTGCAGATAAAGAAATAGAAGTTGACGTCATCGGTTTCATCGCAGGCTTCAGCGGTCGCTTTCCGCTGATGAAGGGTTCGCGCGGCATTGTCAAATTAAATGCAAGGAATGCACTATGAAAGGCGTTGAAGATTGGTTGTTTGACCGATAGGAGTGATTCGTTGTTGATAGGAGATGCGCACCTTCCTGCAAGCGGTGCCCCGCATCTCCCTCTTCAGGCAGCTGCGCGGGGTTTTGGTGTCGCACGACGGTCCACTATCTCATGGTTTGCGAACGCGTAGATACGATGACATGCATTTTTTTGCTGGGGACTGGTATCGTAGTTGTCAGCGTGAAGACGTAATGCTGCTAAGACGCGGACATCAGCGATATGTAGTTCTGAAGCTGATATAGATCTACTCGAGCACTCTCTTCCTTTTTTTTTGATGGACGCTCTTATCGGTCTATGGTGTCACAATGATCAGCATCGTTTTCATTATATCTACAATCGAGAATATAAAATATGCTATTGTTAGCTTAGGCGTCTACGTGAGTTGTTTCTACTATGTTTGTGTTTAGACTCTACTTACACACGTTCAGATAGTCTTAACATGTATCTACCGCGTCTACTTCCACCCGCTCTCCTCATACCCCGGTCCTGTATCCTATAAGCTCAGTGGCTGGCCTCTTCTATGGCAAGCTTACACGGGTGACCGACACATCCACCATCTTCTTGATCATAAGAAGTATGGATCTGTAGTCCGCATTTCTCCAAACGCGCTCTCCTTCAATACCGCTTCTGCGCTCCATACTATTTACGCACCGCGCCCCGCCAACACGAGGAAAGGAGAGTGGTACAAGACTTTTGATATAGCAGCTGGCACGTATAGTAGCTTCACAGAGACTGATAGGGAGAAACATGCTGCGAAGAGGAGGTGGGTGGGACCCATTTTCTCGTCGGAAAGCCTGAAGCTGAATGAAGAGAAGGTGCTTAGAATTATAGAACAATTCTGTGAGACGTTAGAGTTTGGGCGGGATGGTGCGAAAGAAAAGGTTGGTGGCTGGGGCGAGAAATGGAATGCTAGTGAGATGAGTACGTATCTCGGATTCGACATCATGGGAGCACTCGTATTCGGGAGTGAGTTCGGAACTGTAGAAAAGGAGATAGATAGACCATTGGCGAACTCGGTCTTACCAGCGAGCATGCTGATGTACTGGGTAAGGGTTTACTCTCGATCGCATCACTGCTGCCTCTGATGCTAAACAAAAACTACAGATATCATATCTGCCTCCAGCATACCTCGTTCGACCTCTCCTACGAACTAGGTTATTCGAGGCATTAGGCGGTAAGTCTGTTACAGACAATAACCGCTTGATCGATTACGGGGCCATGCAGGTTCAACTTCAGCAGTCGCAGGCCAAGACAGAGAGAAATACCAACTCTCAGCGAGTAGACTTTCTTTCGCGTCTAGTCAAAACCGAAGATAAGAAGACAGGTTGGCATCCCTCGGCTGCGGATCTGGGTACCGAAAGCCTGAACTTGATCAATGCCGGAGCCGATCCCTTTAGTGGTGTCCTTGCTGGAGCGATCTTCTATCTTGTGCATAATCCTAATGCGCTTCGTAGAGCTACACAAGAAGCAAGATCTACCTTTCTCTCGCCATCCGAAATTGTCAATGGTCCAGCGCTAAATGGCTGCGCTTACCTCTACGCGGTCATCGAAGAGACGCTCCGTCGCACTGCACCAGTACCCAGTCACCTTCCACGCATCGTCTTGGAGGGGGGTATGGAGATTGATGGCATTCATATCCCAGCTGGGACAACAGTAGGTGTACCAATGTATGCCCTACACAACGACCCAACTCACTTCCCTGCACCCTTCACTTTCCTACCCGAGCGTTGGATTGAGTCACCTTCCAACCCTGCTTCCTCCATTGCCTTGGCCCGAAGGGCATTTTGCCCTTTTAGTATCGGTAGTAGGATGTGTAGTGGCAGAAACTTGGCATATCTACAGTTGAAGTTGACACTGGCGCATCTGCTCTGGCGGTTCGATCTACGGTTGGCGCCTGATGAGTCGGGGCGTGGAGGGGGAAGGCCAGGAATGGGGGTTGGAAGAGAGAGACCGGATGAATTTCAAATGTGGGATGCACTTGGATTTGGAAGGGACGGACCAATGGTTCAGGTTAGGGTTGCACATGTGTAGTCTTGGCGGCTGAAATGGAATGGAGAAGAGAAGGTATGGATTAATGGAACCAAATGACGTAATGCCGAGCTGAAGTAACTGACTGGTGTAAACCCTTGAACATTTTGTTTACCTCCATGCGGCGATGTACTCTCCCATTCATCTTCATTCTAGGAAAATTGCATGCTCACGGTGTCCACTTGCTTGAATATTTTAAAATGAGAGACACTACACGAGCATACAGTAAACGCACGTGTCGAATAGAGAGACTCAAAATGCATCCGTTCTCCACATGTCTGTCATTGACTTAGAAACATCAATCTGCATGGACTGCTCCGTCTAGCTGACTATCTCCATCCCAGCGCGCCCTCAGCAACCCTTCAATCTCATCATCGTACCACTTCCAACCAACAGGTACCTCGCATCCAAACTTCTCCCACCCATGCCTCAGGCTAGGTAAGTCATTCGTTGTCCACCCTGGTGGCTTTTCTTCGTCCTCCAGAGCCTCGAGCTGGGCAAAACTAATATCACCATACCGCCATGGAACGATAATGTGAGCAGGGTTCCCATAATCTGTAGGATCGACAAAGTACTCGTGCTTCAAACACGGGGCTGCAATTAGATTGATGAAAACCCTGTAGTGAGATGGGGTGTGTCTGAGTCTCCCGTGGTTATCTTCACCAGGTAGAAGGAAGAGTATAGGCTTGATTCGGAAGCTTGCATAGGTGGTTGGGATAGTGGACTTGGTCGGTTGACGGATACCGTCAGTGTTGAGAGTTATCGTCCATGTATACTTGTCTCCAATGCGCCGATGACCGTGGTCTACACATGAGACCAACTGTCCACAGGGCTCCGAAGGTAGGGTTGTTGCAGGATACCTATTCTGTGCATCCCGAATATCCACAGGTTCAGTCTCTAGATCGAAGATTTTCTTCTTCATCTTTAGGACCCGCCCGAGACGTCGTGGCGACCCCTTAACCGCGCTTTCTAGGAGAAAAGAGCGTTTGAGGATGAAGGTTGAGTACGGTAGCAAGGAGTATGCGTGTGACCAGATGATAATGTTAAGTGCTTCGGTGACACCTGCATCGACCAACACAGTGGAAAGCGCAGACTCGTAAGTGGCTGTGAGGCATAAACGAGGACAGGGACATGACTGCCATTCCTCCTTTACATCATGCTTCACCACCTTACGACAGCTATCAATATGCTTGTCGAAGTAATGCAACTGTTCATAGTTAGCCTTTGGATTGAGATAGGGCGGAGGAAATCTTACCTCGTCGTACTCTTCGCGCGGTACCGTTTCCCCGATCACATGCCAACCATCTTCTTTGAGGTATTCTAGCATTCTTGCAGTAGAAGCTCCTTTGCCTACAAAAATTGAAAACGCCCCTGCAAAAGATCTACGAAGGAAGAAGAAAAGTGCAGTGGTATTGCATATGATCGCATCACTTTCTGCCTGCACGTTACGAAATTCGACTGGCGAAGTGAACAACCGTTGCAACGCGTCGTTGATACTGTATTGGGTTTTTGTCGTAGTATTGTAGATATGATTCAATCTCCTACACACGGCAGACAAGGATATGATATCCCGGATCTCGAGTTGCTGCAAAATAGACGCTTGAGCCGGGACGTATCTATCGATGAGACCGACAAAATCTAGGGTTGTTGGGCGAGTCATTATAGCAGAAGTCTTCGTAGCAGTGGTACAAGACACCGAATGGCGAGGTTGTAGAAGAATGAAAGAGAGAATAAGGACGACCTATATATCAATTTCAGAATGTGATTGAGATCCTTGAAGAGGACTTGATGTGATCATGGAGAAAATCACTAGCAGGAAACACTACGTATGCAAAAGTACATGACATAAATACCATCAAATGCAAATCCACCCACACCCTCAGTTCATCTCCCTCACACTCACATATATGCGTAATGTCATCAAATTCACAGGTAACCCTCACTCCTCCCTCTTCAACCATGCCAAATTCACCGCACTCAAACACCCACGCTCCCCCTTCTCCAACCACCCCAGTAAATTCTCCATACCCAATCTCTCAAACCCAACATGGCTTTCTACACTCGCCCCAGCTGTGTGGCTCAACACCATAACGTTATTCCTCTCCGCCAACCTCTTATCAACATGTGGTTCGTTACCATGAACATCCAGCCCCGCCGCAGAAACTGTCCCATCATCCAACGCAGAATTAAGCGCTTCCTCATCAATCAACTTACCCCTCGCAATATTAACAAGTCTCGCCCCGCGTTTAAACTGGCCAAACTCCTTCGTAGAAAGCAGCGTCTCCCCTGAGAATGGAGTGGCGAGTAACACGCAATCCGATGTGGACAAAAGCTGCTCTAGCGTTTCACACCACCTCGCCCCGATTTCCTTCTCTCTATCCACCATCCTAACGACGTCGTAATACGCAATTTTCATCTCGAAAGCCCGAGCCACCTTCTCCGCAACTCGCATACCAATCCTACCTAGTCCCACAATACCGAGCGTACTACCATTGGGATTGTGCGTCACAGCCGCGATGTTCTGGTTTGCGTTGCGGAATTGATCAGGGTCGCCGGAACGTGCTGCAAGGAAGGACCAGGTGATTGCGCGGTAGCAAGATAGGATGAGGACGATGGCGGCGTCGGCAACGGATTCGGTGCAGGCGGAGGCGCTGTTGCAGTATATGGTGCCGTGGGTGGCGAGGTATTGGACGTCAACCCAGTCGAAGCCTGCGCCGGCTGAGGCGTAGATCTTGCAGGATTGGGGGAGGAGGTCGCTTTGAGTAGTGTTAGTCATATTTGAGATTACTAGGAGGAAATTAGGGTAGTAGATGGGATGGCTTGGATTGGGACGATAAAATGTGGAGGGAAGAGGGATGGGGACGGACGTACATGAGTTCTTTGTCCCAGTTCCCCATTTCTCCTCCTGTGTTCCAGAAGGGACGGTACATTCCTACGAAATCACCCCATCTTTTCTCTTGCAGTGCTTTCTTGAAGTCTTCTCTTCCCATGGAGTACGTCCGTACGATATTGAACTTGTTGTTCAACTCAGTGTATAACTCATGGTTCCACCGAATATCGTCACCAAGGTGTAGTATAGTAGGTTTTGACGAAGATGAAGTGTTCGGTGCCAATGGCGAGGATTTATACGGTGTTGCGGGCGCAGGAAGACCAGAATCCTGGGGTGTTGGTGTTGCCGAGGACATAATGTCGTATAGCCTGATACTGAAAGATGCTCTGTGCAGATGAAAACCAAGATCCGGCACTTATGCAAGTAGGGAAAACGATCTGAATGCGAATTACGACCAGAGACCGAGAAGTGGAATGAAGAGTAAACGAAGCTGCAGCCCGCCCGCTCGCTCTGGAAATAATTTCTTATAACACCAAGTTATTGGCACTTGCGAAACCAAACACTCGGGTACATCTGACTAGTGTAGCAGCCTGTTGAGATTCCGTCTCTTTAACCGCTTCTTCACAGCCGAGAAACAACCGTCAAAGGTAACAAAGAATACTTTGCTGCTTTTAAGAACGAAGCATGTGTAAACAAAGTGACGTTATGTTACCCAAGCACATATAGCGCAACGTAGCGTGGTATGCATGAGAACAGCGACGTGGGGCAAAAGCCGCTGGAAAGCGGTGAAGATAAGGTTATCGATACCAAGAGCAGCATCACGCAATCAGAGCCTCCACGTGGTTATGTATGCATGCGATCCCTGTCACATCCTTACGTGTTTAACGACCGATATCTGGGCGTGTGGTCTGCTGACATCAAGGTACGTACTATACTCTTCCTTGCATTCATATGAGAGTAAATAGGGTACAGCCGTTAGTTTTTCTACATGAACAATTCCGAAGTTATCGAATACAGGGTATAATGACCGTTTGCTTGTTCAATTCAAGTCACAGAAAAATGGAGTAGAGCGCTATCTCGTCCCAACGCCATAAAAGCACCCATCATAACTTCGTCAAAGATACCGCGCCGGAAGATCGTTAAAACCAGGGAACGAGACCTAGAGTGCCATGCCCAGCCGTACTAGCCGGATTCATTGAATTCGTTGGATTCCCCTCAATCCCATACTGACTGACCATGTCGTCCCAAAGTGTCCAGTCCATATCTCCGTCATCCACCATAGCGGCATCTTCAACTTGCTGCTGCCGATTGCCACCGTTGACATCATTCAGCCCAGCAGTCCCATTGTTATCGATGTTGAAATCCATGCTGGTCGTCGGGAGCATGCCGTCACCGAATGTGGGGTAGCCATTTGCAACTGTGGGCGGATTTGTTCCATGTGTACCGTATGAATGTATTGAGGTGGTGTTCGAAGTAGGAGGTTGTGAAGTCATAGTTGTGGGAGTATAGGCGGGCCAGTTCAAGGTTGTACCATCGAGTACTCCGCCGGAGCCCATAACATCGTTGATCACATTATCGAGGCCGTATTCGAACAATTCTCCGAACTCCTTTCCGGGGCTAGTGCTGTTGCCTTTTGCGCTATTTGACTGTCCATTTGGCAATGGCCGTTGCTGATTCAAGCCGTTTCCGTTTTGCAGCGAGTTGGTTCGTGACTTGGCTTGCATTGGGCTGCTAGGCCAACTCGGAAGTTCAGCACTGGGCATTTCACCCAGTTTCGGTGCCGAGGGTCGCAACATGCTGTCTAAGATATGGGCTTCCTGTTGAGCTGCGGTCACTGATGGCTGATCCGCCCGGTTTAGCGCATTTAGGCCTTGGAAAGCAAATGGGCTGTTGGAGAATTGTCCATTCCGGAGAGCCAAGCTAGCCCGCTCGAGAGCTAATTCTCGTTCCCGCGCTGCTCTTGCTTTCGTAAGGAGTTTTCGTAGCGGTTTCCATAGAGTTCCTTGTTGTCCTTTACGAAGCGGTGAAGTGTCATTGAGCGGGAACCACCAACGACCAGCAGTCGCTTCTAGAGCTCTCCATGCGCGCTCTACAGCCTCGCCTTTGGTACGGACACACAGTTCGGAAAGTAGGAAGGCAATGGCGTGCCACTGGACATAGGTGCGGAAGAGCCAGCCCCATTTCATAGTACGCGCTTCGGTCTCGAGCAGGATGGAGTACTCCACGTTCTCAAGCGAGGTGATGAAGAGTTTGTCCTTGGTTTCTTGAGGCAACGTTGCGCCTCCGTCTTTTCGCTGATGTGGGTGATACACAACCAACCACATTTTGCTCATGATGAGTCTCGAGATGGTCGCCGTAACCCAACAAATCGGTATAGTCATATCGCAGTTCTTGAGGTATTTGTTTTCCATTGCCTGGTGAGCGTCGGTAATCCATTTCTCCTTCTGCTCGATCGTCAAGCCAGAGAAGTATTCGGTGCATTTGTTAGGTCCCGGCGGCACGTAGACGATACGGCGGAAGATGTGAGCGATTTCGAAGCGGAGGAGGCAGAAGGTCATGTCTGTGAAGCCCTGGCGCTCTTCGGGGAACTCGGTCATGTCGGGGTGTAGATCGGTGTCGTTGACGTTTAGTGGCTGTAGGGTGAATTGTTAGCATGTATATGCAAGACATGAGACAAGAAACCTACCATTTTGGTGTCAAACTGGGCTTCGACAATGGTGGGATCGCAACCGTGATCTTCTGAAGATCGCGCATCGAGAATGCAGACCTGCCACCAAAGCCGCCTGCGCATTTCGATTTCGAATGGCGGCAGATCAAAGTGACTGCCATCTCGGTGTACACCAAGCGTCTGTGCAATGCGTACGGCCAAGCCAGTCAGGGTCCAAATCTTGCGCGCGTCATCGTTCCGACGCAGCAAGACAAGGAAGATAACAAACGATTGAAGGATGATGATCTCGTCGCAGTAGAGGAAGTTTGCCCTTGCCAGCGCCTGTTCCAGACCAAACCGATATCTATTGAGTAGTGTACCTCGGTCCTCACCCCACCTTTCCAGACAGGCTTCCTGGGTCGTGCTTGTTACAGCGCCATAGTATATGGCAAACAAGAGCGTTTCCATTCCCTTGCTCACTTTGTCGACCTGTGCAAAGGCTTCAAACACGACAGGTTCGAAACTAGGAACGTGCAGCACTTTGACCAGAGACTCGACATGGTCCTTGTAGACTTCCCAGAAATCGCGCGCTTGTCGCTCTGAAGGGTGCAGCGTGTGCATGTCGACATTGGAGGAATTGTAGCCGAAGATGAAGCTCTGATGCGAAGACATGTTGGAGGATTCGGGTGAGGGCACGTCGTCTTCGTCGTCAGATGGCTCGATAAGTATCGACTTGAGATCTTCGACCTGCGGTGTGTTAGTCCTGTTCCTTTATACATGCTATTGTGCCCATGCATACCTCGTTATTCAAAGAGGCCCAGAAGCTATTGTTGATATAGCGACTCCGGCCTTTCTCAACCACAAGCCGTCCGAAACGGTTCTCGAGACCCTCGACGCTGTTGTCGGTTTCGACTCTTGCGCCATGCTGCTTAGGAGGCCATGGGACGTTGGGCTGCGCGTTCGGACATCCTCCTTCTTCACTTGTACTGTTCTGTCGCTCCCTCTCGCGGTCGGCCGCCTCCTGCTCATGGCCTTCGACCTGGGCATTCAGAGTGGTGACGACACCCTCCAAGCGCCGCAGCCTCTCCAACAACTCGGCATCGGGTGGTTTTCTGCTCTTTCGTGGGGCGCGGCCAGGCCCAGGGAAAATACATTCGATTTTGGCGCGTACACAGTTGGAACACGGGCTCTTTTTGTCGCATTTGACCTTGCGCCTGCGGCAGGTAACGCACGACCGGGGGTTTGGCGTCGGCCCAGCACCTCCACCGGGTGAGGGGCCGCTGACACTGCCGTTTGACCTCTGAGTGCCATTAGGCGGCGTTTGGCTAGACTGCATCTTGTCGGACATTCTGTAAAGGACGAGTGATACAGAAATCTGGCGCTTCCCTCACCCAGAATCCCTCCTCGTACTCTCGACACTCGTTGTTCCGCGTGGCTTGACTTTTGCGGCGAGACCCTGGTCGATTGTCGGTGCTGACCCAACTTCAGGCTCCGATCACTTTGTACGAGACCAGTACGAAGCGGAAACGCCCTGGTGGAGCCTAGCGAATCAAAGCTTGTCGTCCTAAACTCGCCGACGGAATAGGCCGGTCAAGACATGAAGTCTTACTATGGTAGGAACAAGTCGTGAACTCAGATTGATTGACACGCAAACCTGCGGATGAACCTATTGCCCATCATGGCTTATGCCCGCCTAACGCCGGTGCATCGTCATCCACCGGCTGAACTTCATCCTCTCATATTCTGCGTCTGAGTCATCCTTGTCGGCTAAGCCGGCCGTGAACATACTTCGTCGTCAAAGACAGTCGACCCCCCAAACCCAATCGACAAGCCTATACTACAACTGTACGCGTCGTGGCCAAACAAAAGCTAGAGCGTCGATGTATTTTTTCACGGTGATCGAAACGTTATGTCACAAGACAGCTGGGGACAGGGTCAAGGTTCATCGAGTGCTACCAATTCAAGCCTGTCGCGCCCCGTGGACTGCGAAGAATCGGTGAGAAACTCGGAGCCTGCCAGGTCATCTCACTAAGCCCGCCTCGATCTGATAAGCACACGCTCTAGAATTCCACCAGAATATTCACGGTGTATTCAAGCAAGTTGTTGTTCGGTTTAGATCATGTAGTTGCTCGTACCATGGGTATCGCGAAAAGCGCATCCTCCCTTGACTCCAATATTTTCCTAAACGCCCTGTAGCTGAGCCAAGATGGGAAAAGTAGCGAAGGCGTCAAAGCCTACCTGCGCTCACTTCGGCCGCCAATATTCTTCTCTTTTCTGCGTCTACTGTTCTCGACAGAGAGACGGGCTTTATCCTCCGCCTCTTCTTCCAGCTCGCGATCAATTGCCTCCCTTACCCTCATGAGCTCTTCCAAGGGAACGCCTTTTGTGTCAATGACCACACTAGGTGCGCCCTCCAAGTACCTCAAATTCTCTAGCGCCTGCTCAACTAGCTTGTGCAACTTGGCCTGTGAATTCAAGTTGTCGTGTCGCTTCGTGTTGTGTAGATCAGGGTACAGAACACCATCGCCATTTTCTGCTCCTTGGAAAGCTTGCAGGTAGGGGATGTGGGCGGGTAGCTCATTGTGAAGTGTTGCGCCTACGCAGACGGAAGTTTCGTGGCACCATGTTCGTGCTACATTGCGGGGCGTATAGCCACCACCACCTATGATGAGTAGAGGACGACCGTACGCTTTGACAGTCTCTACGCAGTAGCCGTGCGCTTTGATGTTGAGGTTGAAGCGACCGAGGCGGTCACCACCAAGGGAGTCGGCACCCGACTGCAGAACAATAGCTTGCGGGTTGTATTTCTCAATCACGGCGCCAGTGACCGTCTTGAAGAGCCACTTGTACTGATCGTCATCAATACCATCTTCGATGGGAATGTTCAAACTGTGAGCCTTGCCGGGGTTTCTGGGGTCCACCGGACCCGTCTCATCGATGGCTCCTGTACCCGGGAAGAATGGGTAGCCGTGCTTGTCGATACCATACTTGTGGTACGAGAGCGTGAAAACACGATCTGTAGACTCAAACGCCTGTTCGACACCGTCGCCATGATGGACGTCGATATCAATGTACAGAACGCGCTGATTTCGCGAGAGCAAAGTTTGAATTGCTATCACGATGTCGTTGACATAGCAGAATCCAGAGGCGAGATTCTTCTTGGCGTGATGCAAGCCTCCAGACCAGTTGATAGCGATATTAGACTGGTTGTTGATGAGGTTATAGGCGGCGCTCATTGTAGCACCAGTGTAGAGTGATACGTAGTTCCAGAGTCCATCGAATACGGGGCAGTCGTTTGACTCACCACCAAAACCATATGCTATATACTGAGGATCTTCAGGCTGTGCGTTTTGGGGCGTGATCTTGCTGAGATAGGCTAGATATTCGCGGTCATGAAATACAGCAAGATCCTGGAAGCTCGCTGGTCTCGGTTCGAATAAATCCATGGTATACTCCAATCCATACGAAAGAACGAGCTGTTTAGTCAGCGTCAAACGCCATGGCTTCATTGGATGTGAGCTGCCAAAGTGATGATACTCGACGTGTGGGTTGTAGTGAAAGGACACATTCCAGCCCTTTGGTCTCTCAAGACCGTGTTCTTCAGCTTCACGTGCAATCACGTCCTTTTTCTCGGCATCAGTAAGCATCTTGAAATCCTGGTAATTGGCAACCCATGGATCGTCCGGAGAGAGGTATTCCTGCACGATATCATTAGGTCCGCTAGGCGGAGCAAAGCCGGTAACCCGCATATTGCGAGAGACCTGTAACGCGTCGTCGTGGAGCCCTTCGTACAAACTAATAAGTCGTGGCTTCGGAGCACCCTCGTAGATCCAGCGATCTAGGTCGTCTTCGTTGTAAATGAAAGTCTTGACAAACGAGTTGGGCCTCAACTCCTCTTCCCGACGGTTTCCCCAGCGTAATAGAGTCTCAGGCTCGGGTACAGGAGGCGGAGCTCGATTGTCGTCCGCTGCGCAGTACTGCGGCTGTTAGTGAATGTCGAAGAATACCGGAGCTTTGAAGGCTTCGGAAAGCAGTAGACATGAAATTCCCAATGGTGGCTGTGCGAAAAGGTCTCTGGTACGGACAGAACATGCATACCTTTGGTTTACGAGGAGGTTTATTCGTGGCAGTTTGCGACGGCTTTTTGTAGCTGTAGTCTACTCTGGCTGCGCGACGAGTGTACGGATTCGACTTCTGCCACTGTGGCCCGTTTAGAAGAGTAGCGAGCTGAGGATCCACATGCGCGCCAGCAAAATCGCGACTGTATGTAAAACGGTCCTGATCTTCAGTCAAGTCGTCTTTTTCGTTGTAGTTGTCGTCGAGACAAGGTTCGCTCGTGGTGGATGAGACGACCTCTTCTCCGGCGCAATCATCTGATTGGGTGTGATACCGCTGCATCTCGCCGAACACGTAATCTAGCCTCTTTGTCAGCGGCTGTTCCTGCATGTCCGACGCGTTGCAACACGACTCCATTAGTCTATCGCGAGAGCTAAACTTACGAAATAATCCGACTTAAGATACAAGACAGAATTTCAGTACTAAAAGTGAGGTGGAGGTAAAGCGAGAGTCGAACAGAAAAGTTTTGCGCTGCGCCGTTTCCTTCATTATCGCGACACAGCTCCTTCACTTGCAAAGTCATCAACGTCTCATCGAACCCCATCAAGATCGCAAGCGCAACGGGGCAGACAATACTTTCTCTGTCTCTTCACTTTTCTGAAGTTGCCATCAATCGCGTCCTGGCTGCGCGAGGTACCTCAACAAGACCAACGCCACACACACGTCGATACGCCGAATCAAATAGCAGACCCAATATCTCAGCATGGCTATCGCAGAAGATGCAGCGACAGTGCTCGAACAGTTTATCCATGATGGTAATTTCAACCAGGACCTTTCGTGTGATCACCGCAGCTAACGAGTCGCAGTTGCCAACCTTCCAGCAGAGATTACGCATCTTTACGAAGAAGTGCAAGCCAAGGACAATCAGATTCAAGAACTGCGCTCTGCGATACAACAGCGCGATGGCAGCATACAGAAGTTCATCAAGCTTAACGGCAGCCTAGTCGAGAACCCGAAAGAGGCTGGATATTCGAAAACTATCATGTCAAATTATGAGAAGGCCCAGATTCTGCAAGAGGAGAAGATTGGACTTGTTGATAAGGCTGCCGCACTCGTATGTCGTGGAATTGCGATTTTTGCTCTATTTACTTACAACATCCTAGCTCGACCGTCATGTAAAGCGACTCGATATCAAGCTGCGAGACCTGCAAAATGATGGCTCAATACCCACTGACCCCCAGATGCCCTCACTGTTAAGAGACTCTCCCGGAAATTTGGTGCCGCCAGCGTCACAGTCAAATACAGGGTCCAGCACACCGCTGCTCCCTGTGTCTGGGAACGGCGGCGGCGCTCCAAATCTTGCGCAGGCAGCCGCCATCGCACGACTTACTAATGCGACCAACGTGGGCCTCAACTCGAGGACGAACCCATCACTGCAGAACATGCAAACACAGGCGCTGCTCAATCAGCAGCGACTTACGAATGCGCAGAGTGCCATACAGGCAAATGCAAGGCAAGAGCGAGAACTCTCGGTGGGAAGCGACAGCAAGCGTCGCCGACCGACAGGAAGCATTGGTCCTCTCCCTGCAGCATCTTCAAACCTGGGCCGGCAAGGGTCCATAGGGCCCGGGACCCCGAAACCGTCCACACCAGGCTCTCGCGCAGGCAGCGTAGGACCCCGACCGCAGAAGAATGCACTCACAGTTAAAAAGGCGAAACCACAACAACCGCTGCGCAAAGCGGCCCTTACAGCCAAGTCTGGGGTCAACAAGAAACGCCGCAAGGGCGGGTCCCGAGCATCGCCGTCGACGACGGCAGACGATGAAAGTGTGGCAAGTGAGGCGGGCACGGAAGACGAGGACATGTCCGGCATGGGAGGCGGCGATGCAGAAGAGGACGAGTCGGATGACACCAAGTACTGCACATGCCAGCGTGTCAGCTTCGGCGATATGGTGGCTTGCGATAATGACAATTGTCGGTATCAGTGGTTCCACTGGGAGTGTGTGGGCATCAAGGAGGAGCCGTTGGGAGATTGGCTTTGTCCAGAGTGCAGGAACCAAGCGCCATCGAAGATCAAGAGAGCACGCTAGGAACGGGCTTGAGGGACATGCTGAAGGGGGGTTCACAGTTTGGCACGTGATTGGCGAGACACGTGCTGTGGCTTGGTAGAGTTGTACTTGCTTGATAGCGTGCGGGAGAGGCGTTCGAGTCGCCCGACATCATATGGGCACTTTTTCCACATGGTAGTTTCTATGCGATTGACTGTTCTATACCCCATGAAATTGCGCACTCGCTGCACGAAATTAGTATCGTCTCCACAATGCTGGCCATGATCGCTGGCCATGCCGGGCCAGACCCCGGCGCCCGGGATGGCCATGGTAATCTCCTCGTAAACACGCTGACTACGGTCCGCCATGGAAGTTGGGAAAAGCAACTCTGACTGGTGACAAGACATGCAATGCAGCAAAAAAAAAAAGCAGCGCACGACAGCTTCAAGTTGAAAACGCGACATGGAAACATTCGACGGCAGCAGCTTTACGGCCCTTGCCAGTCGTCACCCTCGCGCGCCCGGCTGCTAGTTAGCGCCTAAATCCCCAAGCCAAGGCTCGCTCGAAAGGGGCGCATCACCGACATTGGACAACAGCAGCGGAAAGCCTCATAAGTCCCGTTGGCCCCGGCTGCTGGGTTCCTGCATGCTCGTATTACCGTCGTCGCTCTCTTCGCACTGCGGCTTCTTTGACTAGACGCTGGCGTGCATTCACACTCGCTTGGCTAGTTGACGTGCTGCTTTGTTTGCATTCGCTCCTTCACCGCATCGCTCCTTCATATTCGGAACGGTGCCGAGCGCCCGTCGACGCCTACCACGCCTAGAGTTTCACCAGCAGCCGTCCTCAGCAGCCACTCTGCCTGCTTTTGCAAACCTTCCCTCACTCTGAAGCCCACTAGCACGCTCCGATACGGATACGATCCTAGTAGACAGCGGCAACCCGCGGGGTGAAACGCGACGCAGCCACAATGAATGCTATGAACACCCGCAATGGCGCCCTGTCGCCCCTCTCGACGGACAGCCAAGAGTGGTCGCCCATCACAGGCTACCGGAACATCGCCGGCGACAACCCATACTCGCCCACGATCCCCCCAAACACATATGGGCCCAGCAACCCCGATGGTGGCATGCTCAATGGTATGCGCCCTGGCACCAGCAATGGCAACCCCTCGCCGCCCAGTTCAGTAGGCCGATCAAGCGACGGCACGGGGCTATATGCCTCTAGCATAAGTGATAGTACACGCCCCATGTTGGACAGTAGGAAGATGCAGGCGCTGGAGGAGACTATGTCGGAACATTTCAGAGTGCTCAAGGCATACCTAGGGCCCTATCTCAATGACGAGAAGGGCAACCCGCGCCCGAGCAGGGCCAAAGACAAGCTGACCAGGCTATCTGCTGTGCAGTTCCAGGAGCTCAGCACCGACGTATATGATGAGTCGATACGCAGAGAGACGGACCGCAAGCGAGGAGGGCCAGGTGCGCCTGGCAACGACACCCCCAAGTACCTTTTACCCAAGAACAATTTCCATCCCAAACGTAATCAGGCGAGACAAAAGCTCTCAACACTGCCTCTCGAGCGCTTCCGTCAACTCGCGACCGACGTCTTCTACGAACTCGAACGGAGATTTCCCCGCTTTACCGGCGGTGACATGCCCCCACGATCATCGAGCCCAGCCGGCAGCATCGCGAGTCGCATAAGTAACAGAGGACCTCCGAGCAGAGGCGGCACTCCGAATAGCATGGGTGGGCGACCTCCGCCAGGACCAGGCTACCGAGGGCCACCTCCAATGGGCGGGCCCATGGGTATGGGTGGACCCCAAGGAGGACCTCCAGGTCCACCGGGAGGACTGCGGCCCGGCTCGGGAAACGAGCCAGGTTCTTTCGGGCGCCCACTTCCAAAGACGTTCCAATCGAACACGATTGTGCCGAACAAGGGGACACTGGTCGAAGATGACGATGATAGCGGAGCAGACGATGACGATGCATTCAACCTAGAAGGCGCTGCTGCGAGACGGCAGACGAATAAGAGCGCAAAAAGTATGAGCATGGCACACGAAAAGATAACCGCGGACTTGCAAAACCAAGTGTCGGAGTTGCAGGACAAGGTTGGCTCATTAGAGGCTACCATACGTAACAAGGACGACGAGCTGCAGCGACTCCAAGACGCCGACAGAACGCGCGACGGCGCCTCCGCCTCTGAGCGTGCGGAATGGGACGAGCTTCGGTATTCGCTCGAGGAAAAGGTTGAGAAGGCGGAGAATCTCAACTCCTCGCTTCGTTCTGAGATAGACAAACTACGCAGCGAAAACGAAAACGTCGAGAACAGCCTCCGTACCCAGATTGCAGATCTCGAGTCTCGACCGCTTCAGCAAGCCTATGACAACGGACACGGTCAATGGAGACAACGGTGTGAGGAGCTGGAACGGGAATTGAACGAACAACAGCAAGTAGCTGAGGAGGTACGGAGAGACGCATCCATGTTCCTGCAAGAAATGAAAGAGTTGTCAGCCCGTAGCGATGCCGCAGCTGAAAAGGAAGAGCAAATGGCAAATCAAGTATCGTCACTTGAGGCTGAGCTCAAAGACTGGAAATCAAGATATGCCAAGGCTAAGACGCAACTACGAAATTTGAAGGCATCCTCTATGGGCTTATCACAACTTGCGTCACCGGATTTGACCAACTACTCCCGCGATGCTGCTTTTACGACACCGGACGGACTGGTCAAGGATGTCCACATTACCAAATTTCAGCTTAGCATTGATGAGCTGCTCCAGAATGCGCGAAGAGCAAACTCGGAGCAAACTCTTGAGAGTATGCGGCACGTCGTCAAATGTGTACGAGCTATTACTGGCGACATCGATAGCACGTCTCTTTCACAGATCCAGTCTCCTACCAGTAGTGTGAGCGGCGACATCTTCTCCAGTCCTGAGAAGCAGCAAGCAAAACTCAAATCTCGTGTCAGCGCTACGGCCAACAACCTGATCACTGCTACTAAGAACCATGTATCATCTGGTGGACTGTCACCAGTCAGTCTGTTGGACGCCGCAGCTAGTCACTTGTCAACTGCCGTTGTCGAGCTCGTGAAACACGTCAAAGTGCGACCCACACCAGAAGACGAGCTTGAAGGAGACGATGAGGATACCGATAGGCCTATGCCGCTAAAGCCCACCGTATACAATAGCTACAATGCTTCTTCGCCAAGCAATGCCAACGACAACAGCAACAGCAGTGCTGCTGCCTCAACATACGGTCATCATCGCAGTCGCAGTAGCAAAGGCGGCAGCAGCGACACCACTAGGTACAGTGCGTACAGTTCCCCATATAGTGGGTACGACGGCCAAAGTGCCGGCATGAATGGTACCAATGGCACAGGCGATAGCAGTATGCTTGAGTTCAAGGTACGTTTGCAAGCAAGCCCAATGCTCACAGCCCACTAACGCGTACAGAACTACCTTGAGGATCAGACAGCAACCCTTGTCCAGAGCATACAGCCTCTTGTCAATCTCATTCGCGCGAACCCCGACTCTACTCCAGGGGACGAGCAGCAAATCTACGAATACATCCAAGACATTTCGCAAGCAGTCGACGACACTGGCAACAAGACATACGATGCTGTAAACCAGCTGTCCAACCCTGCCTTGAAGAAGCACGCCCTTCCCGTCGTGGAGGTGCTGGACGAATGCAGACAAAGTATGCTTGCTATCGACATCAGGGGTGGAGGGCGCGAAAAGATCCCACCACTCGCGTTCAAGACCGCTAGGGCTCTCAAGGTAAGCGACACAACAGTGAAGACAACTTGTATACGTACTGATTGTCATACAGGAGCTCGTACTTCGCGTAGACCGCATCGAGTCTGGCGAACTCACTGTCGACCAAACACTCAAAACAGAGATATAGTGCAAAATTCGTCGCACAAACTGATTCAACGTATAATATATTCAGATCATATACCTTAGGCGCGACTTGTTCATCGGATTGGGCTTTGCCGTTCTTCAACATATTGGATCTGGCACGGCGTTCACGGTTCTCCTTCTCAGGACCTCATGGCATTCAGCGATGTGTGTTTTCTTGGCTACCATCATCGGCAATGCTAGAAACTACCTTTTCGGTTCGATGTCAGAACATGAGAGCATGTAAGGATTGGCATCCTTTACAGGAAATATTATTATTGTTTATTATGGCAGCAGTCGGCACAGGAGCTCCTGCCAGGCTTCATGTAGGGATGGGTGTAGGCATAGGGTTAGGCCGTCTTGGATAATCGGGCTATTTGGACTGAGCTATGAGATACTACGAACATGGAAGGCTTGTTATATGGTAATATAGCCGAATTAGGAAGAATCTGTAGTTGGTAGTGGAATGGCAGCACGATCAGTGAGGTGGCTTGCAGCTTCCCCACATCACCGCCTCTTTGGACCCTGTTTTTGCCTCGGCAATTGTTGCGAACTTTTTTCGCATTACCCCTTCTTACCCTTTCGGTCCGTTCTCATGCCCACTGCTTAACGTGAAGTTGTCCGGCTACTGTAGTACCAAGGAAGTGAATGTAAACCATGACGTCATCATACAGCTGTTACGCGTGTGCGCCTGACCGGGCTAAGACCACATGCCCACGCAGCCACCGTTGTTAGGGTAGTTCTAGATTGCTGAACCGATAATACCAGTGCTTCATCTGAGAACGGACTCCTCCCACTCCTCCCGAAGTCCAAGTCCATCCAAGCCATACGTCCAAGTAGCACTGGAAATCGGAGCAAAGGAAAGAGCATTTATCAAGATGGCGCAACAACTGCAGCCAACATGGCCTCAACAGAGACCTGCATACAACGACACGATCCTCACCATCACAAGCAGCAGCTGTGCAGATCCGTACGTACTCTGGGACAAGGGCACATACTATATGACCTTCACCTGCGGCGGCCACATCGAGATCTGGTCTGCAGACTCCCTCTTCGATTTTGAAAAGAAGTGCAAAAAGAACGTAATCTGGCGTCCCCCACCAGACCAGCCCTACTCCGCCGACTTATGGGCGCCTGAACTGCACTCGATCCATGGTCGGTGGTATGTATACTTCGCGGCTGACGACCCAAAGCATGGGAATAAGTCGCATCGCATGTTTGTCCTTGCCGGACCACCATCAGAGGAGGACCCTCTCGAGCCAAGCAAATGGAACTTCTTCGGCCGTCTAGGTGGTCTACCTGAGGAGCAATGGGCAATCGACGGTACAGTCGTTACGCTCGGCGGTTCCATGCTTTTCGTCTACTCGGGCTGGCCCCTGGGTACGCACGCGGATGAATCGCGCCAAGAAATCTTCATTATCGAGATGATGTCGCCGACAGAATGTACGGGACATCCCATCCGCATCAGCACACCAGACCTGCAGTTTGAGTTCTCTGGTAGCAGCGGCATCAACGAGGGCCCGCAGTTTCTCTGCTCACCAGACGGTCGTTGGATGGGCCTTGTGTACAGTTGCGCGGGAAGCTGGACACACGAGTACAAGATGAACATCCTGTACTACACTGGCGGTCACCCTCTAGATCCACATTCATGGGCCAAGTCTAACAAGCCCCTTTTAAAAGCTGCTCGCGATGACTCTCCACCCTACGGCCCAGGTCACGGAAATTTTGTCCTAGTCAACGGTCCCGGCGGTCCAGAGGTCTGGGGCGTCTTCCACGCTACCGATGCCAAAACTGGATGGGAAGGCCGCAAAGCTCGCATCATGCGCGTGGGATGGGGCCAAGGAGGCCCATTTATGGGTTCTGGCGAATGTGGACGATGCTGTGGCGAGATTGAGCATTTCATCCAAGGGTGTCCTGGAGGTGCTTGTGGAGGCAAAGGTCATTGTGGTGGTGCTGGGGGTGCGGGCGGAGGTTTCATGGAGCCGGGACACCAGGGTGGTAACTCAACGGATGATATCAAGCGGGAGGTCAAGAATCTGATCAAGGGTGGGAAGGGTCTCGTTAGCAAGTTTCTCAAGTAAGGATTAGAGATATTTATGAGCTATAAAGGTATGGAACAGTGGCGCCGAGGAGTATGAGAATGGAGAGATTCCCGCATATCTATGACCTGGTGTGGTCGTGGTTGCTTGCGACTCGAAAGAGTGGTACGTCAGTAGTGTAGGAAGTAGTTCGCCAGGTTGGAGTGCGAATATTCCAATTTGATTCCAACGACTTCCCTACTATGATATTTATCTTTCGCTCCAATGCGGAACTCCACGAGTTAGTATGTTTCTCAAACTTAGACTGCTTCTCGACACCGGGTGGTAGTGGTTCCGCTTCCGCCACTTGTGGAGTTGCGGAAAGAAATGAAATACCGCCGGCGCGGTGCAACGGCATCAAAAAGGAACCGATACGACACTAGTGTTGTATGCCGCAAGATTCTAAAACGCTGCTTGGGTTACCATGCGTCCGCGAATCTTGTCGTGTCAAAGAATTGCTAGGCTAGGTCCAGAGGTTGCTCGGCTACCTACCCTAGTCATAGCCCTGCAGGTAGGAAAGGCGGGAAAACCCGGTCCAAACACGTAGCCAAGTAAACTCAGTCCTTTTCATGGCTTGTTGTCAACCTATGATCACTATTCAGGTACCTCAATCTCTCGCGTCGGGTTCCCGGCTCGGCAAAAAAACCTCACACCACATCAGACAACCCCGCCAGTGAAAGCCGTCACCGTTCTTTACATGGCGGAGTCGGAATACTGACATGCCGAAACCAATGATCATGTCTGAACGTAGCCAAGCCATTACTGCGTCTATACCAAGTTGCGACCACGATGCCAGGTATTTGAAACGCAGATATCCGGGTACTCGTTGAGTCGGTGCGGAAATCCGCCACAACTGCTATGCCGGCTTGCAACGATCGATATATAGGTGGGCTGATGCTTCTGATGTTCCATCATCACAAACACAACACAAGCGGCATCCAAAGCTACGAGTCACTTTTACAAACACTTCCATCAATATGGCTAAAGTCCAAGGAATCTGCGACCCCCGCTTCACCGCGGTCAAAGACCTCTTCCAGTCCTACCTTGACTCGGGAGAGGAGCTTGGCGCCTCCATCTGCGTCAACCTCGACGGAAAAGATGTCGTCGACATCTGGGGCGGTTACGCAGATGAAGCTCATACCCGCTCATGGGAGAAAGATACTGTAACATGTATCTGGTCCTCCACCAAGACTGTCTGCGCCTTGGCGGCTCTCGTCTGTATTGACCGCGGGCTGTTGGATCCGTATGAGAAGGTTTCAAAGTACTGGCCCGAATTCGCTGCGAACGGCAAGGAAGGGGTGGAAGTCCGACACTTTCTTTCGCACGCGAGCGGGGTGAGTGGATGGGAGGAACCCATTACTTTAGAAGATATGTGCGACATTGAGAAAAGCACAAAGTTACTCGAACAACAAGCCCCATGGTGGGAACCCGGCAAAGCGACTGGGTATCACGCTTGGACAATGGGTCATCTCATCGGCGAACTAGTCCGCCGTGTAACTGGAAAGCCTATCCAACAATTCATCACCGATGAACTCGCCCGCCCACTCACCGCAGACTTCCAGCTCGGCATTCCTGAGAAAGAGTGGAACAGAGTCGCTGATATCATTCCTCCGCCAATGGTCCAAACCAGCAGATGCAGGCCCTTGCAAGCGACCCAAACAACCTTATGTACAAGACACTAGGCAAAAACCCCGGTATAGAAGCTAACTGGGCCAACCAACCGCTCTTGAGGAACTCTGCGCTCGCTGCAGGAAACGGCTACAGCAATGCCCGCGCACTCGTCCGCCTCCTCTCGATCATCTCCCTGCAAAACCCTTCTTTCCTCTCCACCAAAACTCTTGACCAGATCTTCTCGACTCAGCAAGAACACAAGGATCTCGTCATACCCACGAAAGTACGTTTTGGACTGGGTTTCGCGTTGCCGGCTGAAGGAACCATGATGGCGAATTTACCACAGGGACGTGTGGCGAGTTGGGGTGGGTGGGGTGGTAGTCAGGTTATTGCTGATGCAGATAGGAGGATGACTTTTGGATATGTTATGAACAAGATGGAGTTGGCCGGCTTGGGACAGCAGGAGGGGGGCAAAGGGGGTATGGGCAATGCGAGGACCAAAGCATTTGTTAATGCAGTCTACGAGGCCTTGGGTTTTGTGGCTTAAGGGAGGGACATTTTACTTTCAATCGTTGGAAATCTCGATCCTCTACCTTTCGGTGTTTTGCTGCTGTTGCTGCCGATGATTGACAACTTGTTTTGGCCAGTCCATCCATTCGGCCCAGTACGGTCCTAGGCAATCATCTATCACACTCACGATACTCTCCCCACAACTGTCTGCCCACCAATATTGTTGAAGCTGTTCTAGCAGTGCACCAAAGTAGGCAAAGATGAGCAAAGCCAAGGGCTGCCGTTGCTGCTGTAGTCTGAAGTATTCTTTTGGCACCAATGATAACCAAACAAACGGCTATACCGATCGAAGAAACATTGTGCGTTAGTCAAACTATCCAACTGAGACGCAGAATGGAAGATGTGGCGTAACTTACAGCGGACCAACCACCATTGTACCCCCATTCTTCCTGGTGAGCTTCCCAAGTGTTCCGGAAATGCACCTCCCACGCACTCATCTTTCTTAACAGATACAATGTCTCGTCGTAAATCGTCTTATTCTCATTGCCCGCCCATGTTTGCTTGATGCGTATCAGATGCTCGTCATTCGGTCCAGGATGCACGTCGGGATCCATATCATCCCAATCCTTTAGAATGAGTATTGATCGCAAGGGTCCCTCTTTAAGGTGCTCATATACGGGACTCATCACGGCACGTATACCGTGGATGAGCGGTATCCATTCTGCACCTAGGATACGCGATGTGCGAGCTGAAACACTGTTGTTGGTGTTGTCGCTACCTTGCTGTTTGTCTAGAACTTCATGCGAAAGTTTAGAAAACGTACAAAAGGCGTAGAAAAACAAGAGCGTCGAAGTGGCGACGATTGCATCGGCGTTTTCTGTGCCAATAGAGTCAATGTCTGCTCTGAACCCGCTAAGAGCGAGCGTGTGGTGGTACGCTGCAACGTGTAGATTTGCGCGTCTATTGCTTGGATGGAGGTAAGCAATATGTAAGGCGGAGAGACTGATAAGTGCATGCATCAGGTAAGCGTAGTTGTATGCTATTTCTGGGAAAACATCCCGCCAGAGGCGGAGGACCGCCGGTACGCCAGGTAGTATAGAGTGACTCGTTACTATTGTCCAATGATGCAGCAAAGACATGTCTTTGAGTGAGAAAGAAGGGATGATTTTGGTTTCAGAACATGGCGTGCTCGCTGCGAAAGGATCGTTCTGAGGTGTAGCTATGTGTAGTAATGCATCTGGAGTTGCCGGTGTTGGACCGGGAGATGGTGCAGCTCCAGTTGAACTTTTGGCTCTCCGTGGCACCGACTCTGGATATACACATGCGATCTCATGTCGTACACAGTGTGAACATCGCGGCTTTCCTTCGTCGCACTATGTCGCGTGTCAGAACAAATGGCCGTATGAAAGATGGTTCGTACCTTGATTCGGCGACGTTTGCATGTGCCACAGCCTGTCCTCGATTTTGTATGGGCTTTTCTCTTCATAGCCATTTGATATAGCCAATTGCGTTCATCACTTGGCTCCTTGTGTAAGGAAAGATGTGGAAGAGTGACGCAGATGACAGGAGGGTAAACGAGGAACGAAGAACGAAATACGCAGCCCCGGAGCCGCGTTGAGCTATTGATGGAAACAGGATGGATCTAACCCGATCCGGGCTGACCTACAGGGTTCTCCCTAGCTCCACCAACGGGCGAATCCTTCCATCATGCGTCAACTCCCCCTTGAGACAACAGCACCAACATGCAATATCCGCGGACTGTAATTGGCTACGTGACTCCCGTTTCTAGACCTTCTAGGCATCAGCAATCCATTGGAATCGAAAAAGTATGCTACTGAAGAATGTCTAAACGCCAAAACCATGCCATAACAACCAGACGCCTCATGAATGCAGAATGCATCTTCTCAACCGCCAACACAATGTAACGTAACGAATTCCCTTGCAAGAACGAGAATTCATCAAGATCTCTCATACAGCCCAATGATCTCGCTATCCAATTTCTTCGCCGCTCCATGATTCGTCCCAAATACATCATCCGCGCGTACGAAGTGGAACAAGACCTGTACTACAAACATGGGCAGCGTATCGAAAACATACATGTAAACCTCATGCGAAGCCAGGTATCCGCCATGGCCCTGTGCGAACTCGATGACACGGAAGATGCAGCGGAGAATAATGACGATGGCTGCAATGGCGAGGAGTTTGTACTAATGCAAAATTAGTATATAGATCCAGTCAACCAAAAGATGGGAAATGAGAAAGGAAGGAAAGAAGAGTATGAACGGGCAACACATACCAAAGCCGGCCAGCCAAACTTCCCATACTGAGGAATAGTATGTCTCTGTGGCGAAGTCCTCATCCTCATATAAAACACAACACTGATGACGACGAAAAAGCCGAAAAACAGCAGCTGCACGAACAATCCAAGCAACATGATCTTCTGTCCCATATCCGCCATGCTAGCCTGCGCCATCATGCCTCCACCGCCAGCTTGCATGAAGAAAGCAATGACATCGCCGCAGACAAATATCTTGGTAACCCGCGTAGGTCGGATGATTGATGCGTGTTCGGCGTTTACGAATATGACGAGGCGACCGTAGATCATGTAAATCGTTGCAGCGTAGAGAGACGGGGGCAGGATGATGAAGAGGGATTGGAGGATGTAGGGTTTTAGTTCGGTGGGGGATTGGGCAGAGAGATAACGGGCAGCGTATCCAACTGTCATCACTGTGGAGGTGTGTTAGTATGGGGCAGATTGTAGGAGCAGAGGAAAATGTACTTATGGCTCCGATGACGAAGGCGGTATAGAACCATGCGCGCCCTCTAATCATCTGGAAGAAATGGTAGAGTGCGCTTAGGCCAAAGAGGCCGGCAAAGAGAATGGCGCCTACTTCGCTGGGGGCGTAGGGAAAGAGGCCGTTACGCCCGTCTTCGGAAGCGGTGTCGCCTGCCATCTTGACGCGTTCGAATGGAAATTATGGCTAGAAATGCACGAAGGTTGCGGTAAAAGAAGCTTGAAAGCCAATTTAATGCGGCCCCTGACGAACAAGAAGCTAGGAGAAACGAATGTAAGAATCAAGATTTCGGTGTTGAAAGATGGTAGAAGAGAAACGAAATGAATGTGTGGTTTGCAAGACCTAACAATCTACATACCGCCCCTCCTTATACAACTGAATCCTCATCGCAAGCTGCACCCAAAGCGCACAAGCCTGTGTAAAGATCCACTGCCAGACGAATACGCGGATAGCCCTACGACAACGAGACCGTGCACTCAGGAACAGGATGCTGGATCCACTTTCGCGTACTTTGAAACCCCTGCATCACCTATTACTTGTGACCCAGCGCTAACGAAATACGACATACGGTGCACGATCCAGAAGATTGCATGTTTCGACGATTCTATTCGACACCTCTAAGCCTTCTAGGTGACGTTGCTACCGCTGCGCCACTGCCAGGAAGCACGGGTTAAAGAATTGCGCAACTCCTTACATCGTCATCCATCCACTACCCTTTCAAGCGTTCTGTTACTACAGTTACGTTCGACTGCTCAGGTCGCCAGTGTGTGTTCTCTATTTCCGCTTGTGTGAGCCCAACGAAAGCAGACGCATATTTGCTCGTGAGCCATTGCTCTACATGCAACATGTTGGTCTCTCGCACAGCTGGCGGATCGACTGGCACGTCATCTCCTGGGGGTAGCAGCGCGGTCGTGCTATAGGCGGCAGAACTCTTCGACATCTCTTCACCCATCGAAGTTTCCGATTGTATAAGTGAGCTACGATCCAGAGGTGAAAAGTCTTTCTGGAGAGACTCTTGGCTCTCCGTGCCAGTCGTTGCAAGAAATTGTGCGTCCGCAGTATTCGTAGGTGAATTGGAGTTCTGCGAGGAGGCGTGCCTCCTTTCGTCTCGAGATCCCTCGAACAGCGCTGACCATGACGTAGGTTGATCCCTAGCCATGTTGTTGTTGTGCTTTCTTGACTCGAAGATGACCTGACACGGTACTGGAGCTTTCGTTTTCGCTGGTCGTGATTTTGCCTCGTTCGCCAATAACTTGGCTGATGGTACAGACGCTTTTGCTTTAGCCGGCAGTGACTTCGCACCGGTGGGCACAGAGTCTGTTGCTCTGGGTACATCTTTGCTGATATCGCGATCGTCCTTGTGTTTCTTCTGCTTATGCTGCGGTTTCATGCGCACTTCGACTTTTCGCCAACCATCCGAATCCTCCACGTAATCCTCTTCTACAGCATCTTCATTTTCCCCACTGCTGTCATGAAGTGTCCGCTTCTCAGCTAATATTCCGGCGTACACGTTTGCTGCGGATACTTTGCTGTTTTGTGTTGCGGGCTCTTCGTCGATTGAGTCTTCCTGGGCGGGATCTCCGTTGACTGACGCTTCATCGGCGAGATCTTCAGCTGGTGTCAAGCAAACATCACTGTCGCCGTTGGTGTTGCTACCAATAATGCTATCGCCATCGTTGTTGCCAACGACACTATCGCCACTGTCGTCCTTGTTGCCAGTGACATTGCCGCCGTTGCTGCCGTCGTCGTCTATGACTGATGGCTGGCACTCCTTCGCGGCGGACGATTTGGTCCGCTCAAGAGCTTCAAGTTTCTTTAGCTTCTTCTTCATCTTTTTCTTGTCCTTCTTCGACTGTTTCTGCTCGCTCTTCCCTGGCGGCTCTTGCACTGTTGGCAAGGGCGGAAGTATCCTGACATTGTCTGCAGCAGCTTGAATCTGAGATGCGGGTTGCTCTGGTACGTCCGAATCTCCTACCAGCTCCACAACTTTCCCCCCTTTCGGTTTCTTCTTTTTATTCTTCGAACTCTTTTGCTCGACTTCGTTGAACGAGGCTTCTAATATTGAAGAATTATTTTTCCGCTTCAAGGCTGATGGTCGCGTCTGTGGGTACTCGTATGGCACATCCTGCCGAGCTTGCCTGAAGAATAGTTCCCACAGAATGAGACTCGGCTTTGACATTGGCTGAGTACTGTACTCAGGAAAGTGAGCTACATCGTAAGTGTTGTATGCCTGAACGAGGCTATGCCACAAAGTCTTCACCCCAGGATGCCTGTCTTGTAAGTAATCGAATAGAGTTTTTCGGGCTTTCGCGCCATCCACGCTCAGTTCGTGTATGTCGTTTAGGTCGTGTAAGAACTGAGCATCAACCCAGACGAATGGATTGGAGTCAGTGACCAGAGGTTGGATGTAGACCTCGAGCGCCCTGAGCGCATGACCAAGTAAGGGACCAACAAACGTGAACGTCGGATTGTGCAGTATATGTCGAAATGCTAGTATCGCGTCTCGTTTGATTCTCCTACGAATCGTCTCAGGTATCTTTCTGTACTTCTCACACGTTGGGAGATTTATCTGTACAATTGCATGCGCTGCACACCATGATACTTCGAAGGGCTTGAGATCAGGCCGTTTGCGGGTCAGGAAAACGATAAAATACGCCATGTCCGCAGCGTACATGGGAGCCAGAAATTCCCTAGCGTCTCGATACTCTTCGCAGAGAGCTGCGGCTACCTGGAATGGGATGCCACCAAGCAGAAGACGTGCTTCAAGAAGAGGTAGGATATTGTCGGTCATATGATCTGCAGGAAGAAGAAAATTGAAAAAGATGATGGCAGGGTGGATTCCGGCCTTCCATATGAGTTTGTCGCCATTGATCTCGAACGAAGCGTCCCAAACGCCGCAACAGTCAATGTTGAACATTATCATGCTTAGAATACAATCCCTGGCTCGCGATTGTGGACTCCGTAGTTCTAGATATAGGCTGGGTAGGAATGAAATCATCAAATCATACTATTGGTTCAAGTCCCTCTTCTCTGCGCTTGCAGCGGCTTCTGAACTTATGGCGACAGCGTTTGGACTCAGCGTGTCTTTTCCGAATATCAGACCCGATGGCAAATGGCCTGTTTCATGTCCGGCTTCGTGTGCTTGTGGCTGCTCTGGAAGAGGCGCTAAAAGTTGGTACACGAAGTCAGTATCTGTCTCACATTCGATTCTGATGGGATTATTTACGATCGGGTCCTGATCCAACCATGAGCAGGGAGCCTGTCAATGGACGGTTTGAAGACGAGTCTCCAGGCGGTGGTCCGGCGGCTGGTACGCCAGATGTAGCTATTTTGAAGAGCGTATTGCGGTATTTCTCCTGGATCTTCAGATAGGTGAAATCGTCGACAGGCAACGGCCAGTACTCGTCGGCGATGTAACGGCATATCCGCAATTCCGAGTTACCTCGCTTGGCCTCTGGAACCTCGTCTAGGTAGTCTGCGATGAATTTGCCTATTGGCAGTAGTCTCTCCTTAAGAACCTGGGCATGCGACTTGACATTGAAATTCGGATTGTATGGCGGCAGACTCTCGGGCGTCAGCGCTTTCAGCTTCTGCAGATCTCTCAGAATGGGTGCTAATATATGGCCCGGTGATGCGTGGGCGCCTTCGCCAGCTTGTGACGCCATCTGCGCGCTGTAGCGGTCGTTTTCTGTAGAAGGCAGGAACCGATCGAGGCTACGGTATAAGTTGCTAAGTCAGAACGACTGGAGAACGGACTGCATGGGGCCTGAGCTGGGTATAACTGCTGGAAGCGATGGGTTATAAATAATTGGTGGTTCTGCGATAGCGGAAGACACAGGATGCGGTGGTATAAAGTCGTTGTGGCCAACAATCGTGACTCGCGGATGGTTACTTGCATCCTCGTCATCGGGGAAGGAGGTGTCCGACTGGAGTAGCGGCGTAGTATCCAAGGCTGCTTCCTCATCCGCAATCGCAACACGCGGGCCGAACCCCCATCTTATCCCACTTATTCCAACGTCTGACATTGTTTCCCAACTTCGGGCAAGCGGGTGGAGGAGGATGGAGAGGATGATAGATAGTTTGCGGGTCAAGCGATCCAACAACATTGGCTTATTAGTTGTGAGATATCACTAGGCCATATGCTTGGTTGAGAGGGCGCGATTGTAGGAGGCGGTTCTGATGAGGAAGTTGCAACTGTGAAGTACATCAGCGTTTGTTTGCTCGGGCGCGAGCGGGCAGGCGAACAAAGTTGGTGCAATCAGAAGAAGTGGATAACGTGCGAAACAAACGCGAGAATTCTTGTCGCAGCATAAACGAAAGAAAGGACAATGACGAGTGAAAGCGAGAGAAAGAAAGGTTGTATGTACGGGTTGACTCCAGGGCGCTCGAAGAACAATGGAATGTATATATACAATATGATACAATAAAAACGTTCAACTTGGCGAGCATGTCTCATAAGATCGCTGACTCACCCGCTCATGGCCTCATGCGGTGGTGGGTCGTTGTGCCTCTCCATAGCTTCCTCTGTAGAGACAAGAGGAGTCCTAGTGTCTTCCGTGACGTCCATACAGACTGGACATGTTCGCAGCCCGACTTTGCGTTGTCATGTAAATGATGATCCAGGGTATCTGTGAGCCTCCGCGGTGTGCTATCCTCTAGCAAGCGTAACGAGATGATCGTATGCAACCGCTACCCCGAGATTCCTCGACCCTCTCTCCAGCCAAAAGGTATGAGCGCGGCAGCAACCTGTCCTACGCCCCTCTCCGTCGCAAGCAGGTTGAACTGCGCTGCCGCGTTCCTCGTATCCTGAACCTCTAGTCGTATACCCAGGTCGTTGAGGTATTTGCGAACCGCAGGCGCAAGAGGGATAGTATTGGGACCGGTACCGATGATGAGCAGGTCTGCCACGTCGCTGTCAGTTTCTGCTGCCCACCATACCTTTATAGGAAGACGGCAAACATACCAGGCTTCGGATATAGCAACTCCAGCACTCCCCAAGCCTGCTCCTGCACTTCCCACTGTCCCTTTGCATTCAGCAGTTTGCCCGTCATCACGTCATCACCTGTGCCTCCTTCAGCAATAGTGCCTTCCTTTCTTCCTGGACGTAACCAGGGTCGCCATCGATACGCTTCACCGCCTATTAAGAGGATTCCACAACCACTTATACGCATCTGGTTGTTGAGCGCGAAGCCATCGCCCGTGCAGGCATCGATTGATGTGGCAGGCGCAACGGTATTTCGTAGCACGTCAAGAGCGCTGAAGTCGGTTTGTGTGTCTTCGTTGCTCTTGGGGCCGCGATCGCGCGATTTGGGAGGTTTGGATTGGAGGAGGGCGGGGCGTGTTGTGTGTAAAGAGCGTGCTTGTCGTGCCGATGCGATCGCCAAGCGTATCTGTTTTGGCGGATTGCGACATGAAGTTTGAGCTATACATCTTGAGAAAGAACGCGTGCACTGCAGTAGACTTCGTTCCATGGTTGTGGTATGCAATTGATTGTTGTGGCGTGTGTCTATGTACAGGCCGAAGGTTATGCTAAAGGCGACGATCGATGCTGTCATCGATGCAAAGAGAGCTTGGACCAGCCAGCAAGCGAGACATCTCTATATAGTATCACTCGCCTGGCACTCCTTTGTTCGTCGCCTCCTCCAAGCCATATATCCAAGTGCATGCTCATGTGACTGCTTTAAACAATATATCTTGCAGTGGTATGAATCTCAATGCAATGCGCTCGTACGCCCTCATTTCATGCCTGCTATCTTGCCCCGGCCACCCCTTGCGACAGCTGTTGATCATGAAGCAGGCAATGGTGCTTGGAAGCCTTTGTTGTTCCATCAGCGGGCATGCTAGATATCCTGACATTGTTCTTCGTCGTCTGAGTCGAACGCCGAAGGAAGATCCTCACAGTTCAGTCCCTCGAGCGCGAATCTCTCCGCCAATCTCAGTTTCTTCTCTTCATTAATCGATTCTGTTTCAAGTGAGGCTGTGAGCTCTGAGCTGGTGTTTACTCGTCTTGGTGCTTGCTTGAGAAACTGGATAGGCGCTGTTGTCCGCTTCGGCCTGGCACCCTCATCCTGCCCGCTCACTGTCGCCCAGTTCATGTCTGCTCCTCGCTTTCGCCTGCGATGGTCCTGTACGCGCGACGGCATGTATTTTGGGATAGGCTCTGGCTGATCTGCGCCCAAGAAGCACCATTCGTCCTTCGGAGGATTGTAGCTGGATGTCATTCCGCGGTCTCTCAAGAGGTTTGACGCCTTGAGCTCTCCTGCTGGTGTGACTTGTTCAGGTGCTGTGGTAAAGTGACCCCAATGAGGTGAGCCGATAGTGCGGCAACTGGGAGGCATGGCTGAAAGACCTACAGCAGGATCGAGAAGCTCGCGCAAATACGCATTGCTGGAGGAGGATGACTTGCGCGCAAGTAGCAAGGGTTGTGTGCGATTGCGCCGGTGCGTAGATGACCCAGATTCCGGCTCGTACGGGAAGAACTCTTGTGAAAACATATTGAGCTATTCTGCTAACGCTCACGGGTATGTGGTAGTTTGGAAGTCTGAGAGATCCAGCTTGCAATCCACCGTACAAATTTGCGACTCGAGTTTAATGTTTGGAGCAGTTGGAAGCCGCGGTTGGTGAGTCTGTGGCAGGATCCTGGAAATTTATGTTGCCACGAACCGTAGGACTGCCTGGTGAAGGAAAAACAACGTGGGGGGCTGGTATCGACACTCTATTGCCCATTGCTCTGTGTCTGTGTTTCTCACCACCCACGGTACGTGGCCGCGTTCACCTGCCAGGCCGTCCAGTAAGAGAAGGTCAAAATCAAAGCCATACCGCCACGTTCACTTTTCGGTAATCGAGTCGACAGGTGCGGTGGGATACTTGTGATCTTTGCGGAGTCTTGGGAAGAGTAGAGGATACGTTGTGAGATAGCGGTGTTGTTGTTCGTTATATGGGGCGGAAGCAAACTGCCATGCCCGACGTTGCAGTCACTGACACCTGTTGTTTGTTTGCGTTTGTGAAAGGCACCCCACGAGGCTGGAAGTCATTCAACCAGAATGCGTCACTCACACTGGAGTGTATTAACCACGCATCGCTGTTATTGACCACTCCATGTTTGAGCCCTCACATTGCCAGCGATGAACCAGCTTCACCCTATCCCATCCTGCAGCGAAGTACTAATATTGTAACACTTGATTCACGAGTGCAGAACTCTCTTTTCCGGTGTGTTCTGCCCATATATTCGTGCCCACCTGGTTCACCTACAGCTTCAATCAATGATGGGGTTGCAGTGAAATGGGGGAATAGGGGAGGTGGATTTGAAGAGTGGATCTCACCATTGCAGGTCGTAAGGTGTCTCTCAGATTAGGGCGGTGACTTGGACTGGAAGAATGTCGCGCTGACACGGCGAACTCTGCGATTACTAGATTTCACAAGGTGAAGAGATACCGCGTCATAGATCACGAGAATTCGTGTCGCGCTCGTGCGTGCTTTCCACAATACCCAAATACAGCCCTCCTCGCGTTCGCCCACCCAACGTCTTAGTCCTGCAGTCAACAACTCAAATTGAGCCTACTCAGCCCAATACTGAATAGCAGCCATGTCCTCCAAAGCGTACGTGTTCCCTTGTATCGCTTTTCGTTTGCTTCACTTTTGCTTACCAACGGCAGACGCAAAGACCACGTCTTCCAGACGGAGAATACCAAGAAAGGTAGTGGCGGCAAGAAGGGCGAGAAGACTACCGATGTTGTGCACAAAACAGCCGAACTCAACGCCATAAGTTGTCGCTTCCTTGAGTTGCCTGCCGGTATGTCGCTCTTTGGTCTGCTTTAATGCAAATCGCTAATCGGCCGCAGAGATCCGCAATCGTATATACCACTTCGCCGAGGAAAAGGTATACGATGATGACTGCATGGCCCCAGCGCTTCTGATCAAGGATCACAAGATCCCAACCAGAAGCGTTGGCGAGCTGAGCTGGCGAAGCACTTTGCGCTATCGTGCGCTCACTCAAGTCTGCAAGCAGATCCGAACCGAATATCGGCCTATATGGCTTCGTCGATCTTGTTTCCACATGGAATTTCCAACGGTTCCGCAATTCATCAACACGTACTATCCCAAGGCTACTGATTATCAGAACGCTCTAAAGCGTCTGCTAATCTCCTGGGACCACGGAAAGATTATTGACGACTCTGAAGCAGACGACGAAGACAAAGAAAAATTTTGCCAGGACGGTCTTACAAACATTACACTCTTGGTCCGCCTCCGCGCGCATTGCCCAACCTTCACAACCAAGTTCGTCTCCCGTCGCATACTTGAGGATGACCTGCCGAACTTTTCATGCCAAGACTGCGGACACAGTATTCATTGCAGGTGCGACAATGGCTGTTACCACGAGGACGCTTATGAGGCGGCACGATTGCGAATGGAGGGCCTCTATTTGTACCTTCAGGTACTAAACAACTTCCTCACCAACAGTACTGAGAACTGGCTGAAGATGTTTCGTGACACCACTCACATAGTCACTCTCGCGGAGTTCACTTTCGACATCTTTGCCCAGCGTCCCACGATCTACATCCGTTTCTCTCGAGGCCGAGCACCCAAAGCTTTCCAGTTGAAGAACATGTACAAATCTGCACTATCTTTCCTCTACCGTTCGGGCATGATGGATCTCAAGGAGTACGACGCGCTTGACTATGTGATCGGCGAAGCAACTGACAAGTACACGCACCACGCTGGTCAATGTGGTTTCCAAGTACACACGTACAACCAAATATATTTAGAGGCATCCACTATCATTGAATGGAAGGCCAAAAAGGAATCCGAGGCATCTGTTTCCTAAAGGCCTCGTTATGGGGAAGAGGGGGCTCGCGTATCCTCAAGGTATACGTGTCAACTCACCTCGAAAACTGAACAGATAAGTAGCAGTGTATATCTTTGGAGTAGGTTTAGGTGTTAAGGGTACACCTTAGCCAAAACGAGTTGCCTCGTATAGAAGATGGCCTTCAATGCAGGCGCTGAAAGTTGTGCAGGTACGCTTGCTGGGACTGAATTAAATGCGACCCTGAATGCCATACAAATTAAAATCAACGGGTGATGCGTATCAGTAGAGAGTGTGTGAACTTGTTTGACACGCGCTCTTAGCAGGAGTAAATGGTCTCCTACTCCTCGGCCGGCATGAGCCGGCCGAACTATACACGGCGCGTCCTAGACCCAAAACTGATGACAGCGTCAATACTGCTACGCAAGCGTTGAAGATGCCTTAGAATGATGCTTCTGAGTTTCATGATACGCTCAGTCACGCCACGACGCGACGATCGACCTATTGACTAATTCGGGCCCAACGTTTGTATTGGCTTCCTCGTCTACCATGCCGATTACTCAACTTCGATAACGCAGAGAGAACCACTCCATCGGAGCCTGCATCCTCGAGACGCTTGTTCGAGACCTTGCGACGTTCTCAACAGTAGGCGCTGCGCGTGTTACGATGTGGCGCAGGTCTTGCGGCTTTGAATGGACGGGTTGTTGGCCTTGCGCTTCGGCCCGCCCGGTGAAGCGATTCTGGACAGGCAGAAGGTAATGCGCACCCTGATCGAGCTGGGTTCTGTGAAGGATTTCGGTCCACGGTTCGCACGAGGCGCAGCATCGGTAAACTGCTGTGTTCCTCTGCACCAAAAGTCTGTAGCCTATCATGTCGCTAACACAGCCGAGCTGAACTCCATCTTGCTGACTACGGACAGCGTGACGCATAATTGGACCTCATTGGCTGCAGCTACGTCCTCCAGGGCATCTGTATCCCTGTGAAGTCAGCAACTAGGCAACATCACATGGAAAGGCTCGGTTGAGGGCTGCTATGGGAGGCGGTAACGTCAAGGCTGACGAGTGCTGGGGTGTTTTGCTACCTGGGGTATATGTAGCCCAGCTCCTCTCTCTAAACATGAGCAGCTCAAATTCAGTCCTCTCGTCGCTTCTCCCCTTGACATCAACCTACGGTCTTGTTACCAACCTATCAGGCTCGTATCGTACCTGATAGGCCTTGACGATGGCCTCTGAATCATCGGAATCCCTCCCTATTCCTCAACCTCCCCCACACTTGTTCGTGGGCAACTTCTCTGAGATCGATCCCAATAACGCGCCGGGATCTTTCCAGCGGCTTGCGGATATCTATGGCGAGATCTACCAACTCGATTTTCCAGGGCGCGACGGCAAAGTTATTGTCGTCTCTTCATATGATACGATAAACGACTGTTGTGATAGCGAGCGGTTCGAAAAACCTATCAATGCTACTCTGGACGAGGTGCGGGCTTTGACTGGAGATGGTCTGTTCACAGCCTACCCTGGCGAAAAGGTGCGCAGCAAACACTCTGATTTATCATAAAGTTATTAACAGGAAAGCCAGGCCTGGGGCGTTGCTCATCGGCTACTAATGCCAGTCTTTGGACCAATGGGCATACGGAAGATGTTTGATGGCATGATGGATATCTCGACACAGATGCTGCTTCGGTGGGATCGCTTTGGACCAGATCATGAGATAGAATGCAGCGATGACTTCACAAGGTAGATACCACCGCCTCCTCGCACAATCTGCCCTTTTTACTAACAGCTTCAAGGTTGACATTTGACATGATCGGTTTATGCGCGTTCGGCTACAGATTCAACAACTTCTATACTGACCGTGCGCATCCCTTCGTGGAAGAGATGGTCGAGGTTTTGATCGAGTCTGGAAGACGAGCTACTCGCACATCTGTCGAGAATAAGCTTCGTGTCTTTGCTGAAGCTCGTCGTCAAGAGAACGTGAAGAAGATGCACGAATTATGCGACAAGATCATCGCAGACCGAATTGCTCATCCGCAACCAGATGCTAAGGATTTGCTCAACCCTATGCTTGAAGGTGTTGATAAGGAAACTGGGGAGAAGATGACAAAAGAATCCGTAAGGTACAACATGGTGACTTTCTTGGTTGCCGGTCACGAGACCACAAGTGGAACCTTGGGTTTCTTGTTCTATCACCTGCTCAGAAACCCAGACAAGTATCTGAGGGCTCAGCAAGAAGTTGACGAAGTACTCGGAGACGGTCCACTCGAACTAAAACACATTCCAAAGCTCACCTACATAAAGTTTGCGATCTACGAGGCATTGCGTTTCCTTGGTCCAATTGCAATCAACGGAAAGCACTCGATGAAGCCCACCAAGATAGCAGTAAGTTCATCTTTTCAGTAATACGGTCAATATGCTAACAACAACAACAAGGGGAAGTATCAGGTGCAGCCAAAAGACATGATCCTGATGAACCTGAAAGGACTGCATCACGACCCCAAGGTCTATGGCGACGATGCTGACGTGTTTCGACCCGAGCGTTTCCTCAATGGTGGCTGGGAGAATCTTCCGCCAAACGCATGGAAGGCTTTCGGCGATGGGGTTCGTGCCTGCATCGGCAGGACATTCGCTGAACAGGAGATGATCATGGTTGTCGCGCTCATTCTGCAAAAGTTCCAAGTTGAGCTTGCAGACCCTGGCTACCAGCTTCGTATGTGTATTAACCCCCTCCTGTACAGGAACACTGCTGATCGCACTTTCCAGATGTATCAGTTACCATTACGCAAAAACCGAAAGATCTGAAGATCAAGGTCCGCAGACGACCTGGACGCACCATGGCCAGTCTAGGTGGATTTGGAGGCGGCACCACCACTACCAAGAAGACTGAAGAAGATGAACCTGGCAAGACTGGGGAATCGAAGCTTCCTACCAGAGACGCGAAGCCCATTACAGTACTCTATGGTTCGAACGCTGGTACATGCAAGTCCTATGCCGAAGATTTGGAGACCAACGCTGCACGATACGGCTTCAAGGCAAGCATAGCCAGTCTAGACTCAGCCACCGAGCACATTCCCAAAGACCAGCCTATCGTTATCATTGAACCTTCCTACGAAGGTAAGCCAGCAGACAACGCAAAGAAGTTCACCGCCTGGCTTGAAAGCAATGCGAGCTCCAAGCTGCTTGAGGGAGTCCAGTATGCTGTCTTCGGGGTCGGAAACAGCGACTGGAGCCATTCGTACCATCGTGTCCCTAAACTCACCGACGAGTTGTTTGAGAAAATGGGCGCGAAACGGTTCACCGAGACAGGTCTCGTTAATGTAAAAGAAGACATCATGGGTCCTTGGGAGAAGTGGTCCGAACGGGTGTGGAGTGATCTTCGTAAGTCCAGTGGCACTACTACTGAAGTACTTGGTGGACAGCTCCAGGCCGACATCACCCCTCCGAAATTTGCTACTTACCTTGGAGGCAAAGAGATTGGCTACGGTGAAGTCAAGATCAACAAAGATTTAGGTGGCGGAGAGGTCGGTCTGCCCAAGAAGCACATGGAGATTGAACTTCCAGCGGGAACATCTTATCGTTCAGGCGACTACATGGTCATTCTGCCACTCAACAGTATCTCCAATGTTAGGCGGGTCATGAAGCGCTTCGACCTAGCGCCTGATGATAACATCCATATCACAGGCACCAACAAGACCTTCATCAGTACTGAAGCACCGACCTCGATCTTCGACCTGCTGATGACACGTGTGGAGCTGGGCACGCCAATCTCGCAAAAGCAATTACAGACTCTTGCGGAGGCGACGCCGGAGAACAAACGGGCCAAACTATTGGAGTTAGCAAGCGACGAAACGTACAAGAAGCAGGTCATACCCAAACGCTACAGCGTTTTGGATGTCCTCGAAGACCATCCAGATTGTCAGTTACCCTTTGCGGTTTACCTTGACTCGCTTAAGCCACTATCTCCTCGTCAATACAGCATCTCGTCATCGCCCCTCGCAAACATTGAGTTTGTCCAGACGCCCGAAGGTAACACTAGCCAGCGTCTGACTGCCTCCTTGACTTACGACGTTCACGATGAGGCTGCATGGAGTGGAGATAATCGCCGCTTCCACGGTGTTGCGTCGACATACCTAGCGCGTCAAGAACCAGGCGAGAAGATTCGTTGCTTCCCACGTCCAACAAACATCAATTTCCACCTTCCATCCGACCCGACCATACCCATCATCATGGTATGCGCAGGCTCAGGTCTCGCTCCTATGCGTGGCTTCATCCAAGAGCGCGCAACCATCAAGAAGGCTCGTAACGCAAAGGTCGGTCCGGCGATTTTATACTTTGGCTGCCGTCACTACGAGAAAGACTTCATCTACTCCGAGGAGCTGAAGCAGTGGGAGGCCGACGGTGTCGTCAGCGTACGTGGTTGTTTCTCGAAGGTCGCTCCTGGAGACCAGAAAGCGCAACGTGTGCCTGATCGCATGTGGGATGAGCGGAAGGAGTTGGCCGAGTTATTTGGGGATGGAGGCGCGAAGGTCTTCATTTGTGGCAGTGCGAGTAAATTGGCAAAGAGCACGGCTGAGGTGTGCATGAAGATATTTAGAGATACCTTCCCCGATAAGACGGAGCAAGATGCGCTGGAATGGCTGGAGAAGGTCAAGGAGGATAGGTACGTGAGCGACGTGTTCGAGTAGATGAGTTTCACAGTGCAGCGTGTTTTTCTTGGGAATGGGGACTACAAATTTCGGTACTGTATCTATGACATCTTTTGTTGCGCTTTCGAGTTTAGTTCCATCCAATAGATTGCATTTCCGGTACCACGACTCGATGGATTCTAAAACAACATGCGAAACCTCTGACCAGTCCCGCCATAAAAGCGATGAAACAGAATGGCTGACCTTGGTATCTTGGCAGCGGAACAATATGCACAATATAACGTGGCGGAGAAATATGCAGCCAAGATACTTTAGCGGAGTGAATCAACCCGAGTAGGCTGCGTGTTCACGTGGAGCAATGGCGTCGCGTGATCCGCTAAACCGCGGTTTTGCGGGGGATACGCACCCCGGACGATCACTTAAACTGTAAGAACAAAGCACAGGGAGTAGATGCACCGAGCTGGCTATTAACAACACGTAAAGGCCTGTGTGCAGTAATGCGGAGGGCCTACGCAAACGAGGTAGGTACCGGATGCTACCGCAATATCGATATGTTTCGGGGTAGTGCAGTGGTGGAGACTTCCCCAAACATGCCGGGAAGTAGTTAATTTGCCGAGCTTGGAACTATCCGGGGTTACTGAAACGATGAAACGGGAGTGGCGTGGGCGCCAATGGCCTTGGGACGACATGGTAGTGTCTGGGAGCCTGGCATGATAGGTGGTATATTCGCATACTGGTGTTGCATTTGATCGGCAGGACTACGGCAAGGGCTGTATTGGGAGAAGTTGTCTGACCGTGACGAATGGGCTACTTGCTGGCATATTTCGCTGTTTTGCATCTTACTCCGAAATGGCGAGGGCGGTCCGATGGAGGTCATATCGAAGTCTTGGTGTTATTAGGAGAGGAGAAGTGCAGATGTGAAGGATCGTCATCGTACTTTCAGTCCTATAAGAGGTGCGCCCCTGAGGATCTGTCGAAAATATCAACAACAGCATACCTCTTCTGTTCTCTACTCTCCATCCAGGCAATAAAGATGGTCCAATTCACTGGTCTTACGGCGGTGCTGGCACTTGCCTCCACTGCTTACGCTCAATGCGGTTCAGGCACACCTGACGCAAGAGTCACTGGCTCCGGCAATTCGTTCACAGCCACCAGGGGCTCAACAAACCTCTACACCGGTTCGGACTATCGGCTGGCCATTCAGCGCGCCCTGGATGGAATCAGCAGCGGACAGCGTGTTTCTGTCATCGCATCCGGTAACATCGGTGCCAGCACCATCACCATCACGAGCGGAAAGACGTTTGAAGGTTGCGGAACCATAACCGTTGCTCCCAGAAGCGGAGCAGGTAACATTGAAGTAACAGACCAGTCTGGCGTCAACATCCCGTACCTTACCATGGCCGGTTCCACCTACTTCGGCTTGCGCTTCTCTGGAACAAGAGACCTGACCCTAGGCAACATCAACTTCAACCTCAGAGAAGGAATGGGCATTCGATTCGATCGCGACCGAGCGGCCAACACAAACGTCAGGATGGGCACCATCACCTGCACTGGTGGCACCTCGCACTGCGTTGAGACATGGAACATCGACAGGCTCGAGATCGGCTCCGTAATTGGCAGGAACGTTGGAGAGAGCGGTCTTCTCATACAGAAGGTTACAAATGCAAACATCGGCACCGTAGACTGCGACAACTGCGGCGCTGGCACCGGATACGCCGCCCTTCGTTTCGCCAACGAAGCTGGAAGGCTCAACGGCGCATACAGTACCAACATCAGGGTCACCCGTGTCAAGGCTCGTGGCGGCGGTCGCGGTATCTTCTGTGTCTCTGCTTCTGGTGGTGTAGAGATTGGTACTATTGACGTTGCGAACACTGGTAACAACGCCATCTTGATTGAGAACTGCTACAATGTCAACATCAGGGCTGGTACCGTGAATGGTGGTGGTGAGGTTCGCTTGGCTGCCAGGACCGAGTTCGCGAACAGCAGGGACATTGCGATCGCGATCAGGGTCGATGGAACCACTGTACGAGAGGACCCTTGCACGGTCAACCCGACCAGGTGGAGCCTTACTGGCAACGGTGGGAGGACCATTTGCACCTAGATGCTCTCAAGATGATCCTGAGGAGCAACTCAAACTGCTATTCCGGATGGGTTGGAAAGTGGCATGGTGCGCCAACTTCGTTGTATATATTGACAGTATCAAGTAAATACGTATCTTCGTCCCAAGGATTTATAGCCTCTGCAGACTCAAATTTTTCGATCTAGGTATTCGTAGTCGTGATCATCTCGTGGCGTTCGCGCCAAAGTATGAGCTGGCGATGTTAGAAGTAAATATGGACATGTACAGAAACACTTGAAGTGCAAAATCGACCACGTATTGGCTATAGTTGGAAGACTATAACCGGAAAGGCGAGGTTCAGTGAGACAGTTGGGGCGCAAAGCTTACGTGTGCTCGAGATTACCTGTCAACGTATCAACCAACCGGTGTAAGCGTCGAGTATCACAAGGCTGAGCAGACTCGTGAACCTCGCTCAATGGCTACGCTCTGTTTCTGGTGTACTGTAGTGCACCCATCTCAGTTAAATTGGATAGATGCCAGCCCCAAGCGCTTTGCGAGCAGTGGTAAGCCAGTCCTTCAGAAGGGGTCGGGTCTGTTACTCGATATTAAAACCGGCTGAAGTCACGTCTTCTCGATTCCCCAGCCTTTTAGTGCATTCAATCTTCCGTCATGCCACGCAACATGCTCGCTGTTCTTCTACTATTGCATTACACCTTCCTACAGCAAGCGATGGCAGCCTGTTTTTGGCGCAATGGAACGGGTAAGTTGTGACTTTACGAAATGCATATGAAACATAAACTCACTTGGTATCTTCACCTTTGTAGAGAATACCCATCCTGCTTACGCGCCTAAAAATAACGATACTTCGAATCCACTTAGCGCCATATGTTGCGCTTCTTGGGATAACCTGCTGCCAAACGGACTGTGTCAGAATAAGGATTCGTCAACTGTTTATCGGGAAACGTGTACGAAGAGTAGTTGGGAAGGAGGAGGGTGCCAGGAACTTTGCTCAACCGAGGTACACGAGGCGTGGCATCTGTATAGGCCACTAAAGCTGACTTTGAATAGAGCCCTTCGCAGAGAGACAGCGATGTAATTGTCACGCCTTGCACTGGTGGCCCTGATTCGGCAACTTGGTGTTGCGGGTCTTCGAATCAATGCTGCGCTAACGGGAGCACAATCCCGCGATACACGATCGCGGCGCGTTTCGGGGATCCTGTACCTACTGCGACTTCATCGTCTACCTCTCCTTCGATTGTACCTTCAACAATGTCCTCCATGATCTCGTTTTCCGTATCAACGCATTCAGCAACGAGCACGGCGATAGCCACCGGCAACGGTGAACTATCTGGGGGGGCGAAAGCCGGCATTGGCGTTGGGGCAACACTTGGAGCTATCGCCTTGATCGGGTTGGGTATCTTCATTGCTAAGGCGTTGCGATGGCGCAAGAAGGCGCGAAATGCGACTTCTTCGTATCGTCTACCTGAAGAGTACACATCGAAGGACGTTTATCGATATGAGCAGGATGGCAACCCTGTACAGCTAGCCGGCACGGAGAGCGAACTGCACGAAATGCCGGGGTCTGTAAAAGTGTCCGAGCTAGATCAGGGTTCATACATTCGGTCAGTTGGCGGTAGTGCTACAAAAGCTTAATACATAGCGGATGCGCGTCTATTAGTGGTGGTGTGGATGGAGAGTGCAAGTCGGAGTTGAAGGCGGCGGGAGGGCTGGCGCTAAATGCTGGCTTGTACGCTAAGAGAAGGAGTAATCCACTGGGACATCACTTGCATCATCGCCGTCATCTCTCTTCTCGGGGCTGGCGGTAGCTCCCATTGCAGCCGATCGCGTACTTTGTGCATTCTATTTACTTTACTCTTAGACAGCGAACCTCGAGCCATTAGAGCCCAGCCACTACGTCATTAATTGCCGCTAATCGGCCTGCATAGCGGAAGTCGTCATGATACGATATTCAGTTCTCCGTAAACTGCGCCAGGCCTGCATACCTATGGAAGATATGGCTAGATGTAATTCTTGGTTCCCATAAGACGCATCATTTGAATGCTGAATGTCTATGGCTGCATGCTGTCCGAACAGGACCGGGCCGACATGTGAAGGGCATAAATCGCGAGCAGCAGACCTATCACGGATCGAAGGGTAAGCGCTTGAACGGGCATATCCGCTATGCACGATAGCACTGTCTAGCCCGGTTTTGAACCACCACTGGATGAAAGTAATAGCTCGTGTTGCACAGCCCCTGGCGCATGGTGGAAACCCCACTGTTCCTATCAAATGCAACTTGTAGGCTCGCAACATCATACAGCAGGACACACATGCATACCACCACGCTGTACAACGTACTATCATCGGTCATGTATGCAGCTCGAGGTTTAAAGCCATTGGCTAGGCGAAGCTTGCGCCGATAAGAAAAGACGCTGGACTCGTGTTTCTAAAATGACTTTCCTAAACAACCAGACGCCTACCTCAACCGGTAATGCAAATGACAGGAAAGACAGAGAAGATGCCGACCGGTTTAACGTGCGATACAAGAAACACTGACAAGGAAGTTGCGCAACAAGTTGTCGAGGACCAGAGAGTCAATGGCGCAGAAGGCCTTGAAGGAGGGGCACTGCACGTACGATCATAGCCCGAGTACGTGATTTCACTAATGCTCTGCAGCGATACATCAATATCCCCTCTTCGGTAAATTTCAACTTTCTCATGCAATGCTCATGGGAAGCATCCGCGGTTACCTTTCAATTCGCGTTGAGCAATGGGGGTCCAGCCTCCATTGTCTATGGCAGCATCTTCGCCTGGGCGGGAACAATCTTAGTAGCCCCATCGCTCACTGAAATGTCACCCATGGATCCCACAGTTGGTGCTCAATATCGGTGGTCGGCCACTTTCGCACCGAAGTGAAACTGCTTCTTCGATTTGATGCAAGGCTGGATTACGGTTTTCGCTTGGATTTGCAGCTGCGCTTCGAACCCAGCGTTGATAGCAAACATCGTCGTTGGTTTGGCTTCCTTCAACAACCAGGGGTACGTTGCCCAACGATGGCACACTACGCTCATCATGTGTGCTGCGACAGCAGTTCCTTTCATTGGCCACCTCTGGCTGCCCAGATATATCAACGTACTCGAGACAGCAGGAGCGATATGCCACGCCGGATTCTTTCTTGCTGGTGTCATTACACTGGCAGTGATGGCACAGACAAGCTCTACCGAATACGTATTTCGAACGTTGACCAAGGACGTCAGCGGGTGGGAGAACCCTACAGTAGCTTGGGGCATAGGACTTATCACTGTTACATACCCACTGTGTGGTAAGCTATGAGAAAACAACTTTTCTGACGCCGACATACTAACTATCCTTAGGTTTCGACAGTATCATTCACATGTCTGATGAAGTCAAGCAAACACGTACCCGGGTTCCGCGGTCTATCATTTTCTCCATCGTGGTTGACGGCGTCATGCAACTTATTTATATGATTACCGTTCTGTTCACCACTGGTGACGAAGAACGCGTTTCCGCCTCGCCTCTACCGATCATCGAGGTCTACTACCAGGCCACCGGATCCAAAGCAGCCACGAACCTGTTCGTCTTCATGCTAATATACATCATCTTTGTATCTTTCTTCAACGTCTTCGCCTCGGTCTCGCGCCTCATCTGGGCATTCTCACGAGACGGGGGATTGCCTTGCTCGTCTACGTTCGCAAAGGTTCATCCAACATTTAGAGTGCCGGTTAACGCACTATATCTCAGCGCTCTTTGTGTTTGCATACTCGCTCTCATCAACGTCGGTTCGAGCACGGCGTTCAATGCTATCATCTCTCTCACCGCACTGGGCTTGTATCTATCGTACTTCCTTCCTATCTTGTTCCTTTTGTGGCGCCGGCTGTCAAGTACGAAGCCATTGCCAATTCCATGGGGTCCTTTTAGGTTGGGCACTGCAGGAGCATTTGTCAACGCTGGTGCTTTGTGCTACATCCTATTCACCTTTATCTGGATGGCGCTGCCTACGATTCTCCCTCTGGACAGGTTCAATATGAACTATGCCGGTCCAATTCTTGGTGCCGTTATCCTGGGCGCTGCTTTAGACTGGCTCTGGAATGAGAAAAGGAGATTCACAGTGCCAGTCGCAGATCAAAGTCTCCAGTGAACGTACTGATTAAGACAGACATGGTCATGTGTTTACTTTCAATGAGAAGACTCAAGCTACGTGCATTCATATTTCTTGGTTGCCTGGACTTTCTCATGAGCTATTCCTGCTTCTCGACCATCTATATGATACCCGTTCTTTTGCTTCCAATACCCCTTCAGTCTACTTACCTACCCGACAGCCCCAACTGCAATGTCCAGTCGCATTCAGACCTCGAAAATGCCTCCGAGAGACCCGGCGAAGGGATTCGCGATAGGCTCAACTTCGACTGGTGAGCTGATGTCTCCGCAGCCTCCATATTCGAACGCAGTATCAGACCTCATGGATCTTGTCATTGATAGAGATGTGCACTACCCGATCCATTCTCTCATCACATCCTACCTTGGTATTGATGACACTCGCAATGTCCAACTAGTTTGCAAAAGGAACTCGGCGCTGTATACGAACATGAAGAAAACCTAATGGAACATCAAAACCAGCTTACAACCATTCTTCAAGGACGCTCGGGTGTTCCGCTCGATACAGGGCAAGACCGAAACCCTGATCAGAAGCGAGTTCGCGGGGAAGTTCTTCCGACGTCTGCAGGTTGAGACTGGACTTGTACTATTCACCGCAACCGGTGTCAATGCCGACACGATCATTGAGTATCTCGAGCGAGAGGGTTATCTCCTAGGGAATGCCCAATCTGGAGATGAAAATCTTGGGGTTTCAAAGGCAAGTTCCCGTTGTACGACCCATCATCGTGGATATACGTTATTGACTATTAGTAGATCTCGAATTTCAAGAAGAGCGAGCCTGGCCGCGGTAGCCAGACTTCAATCACTCTCTGGCATTACGACTACGTTCCCATAGGTACGTTCTTCAAAGGCTTTTTGTGCTCTGCGCGGGCATGCTTTATTTCCTGGAACAAGGCATATAATCTGTTTCCGGTTGCGACGACTTTGAAGCGAACATCTTACCTTATGGCTCCTATGGCAAGGACAGAATGTTTACCTGCGAGCGTTGCACCAAAGCGTGAGTCTCAAGAGGGCTTTACCATAAAGAATGGGCATTGGAGGGCTGGGCTGACGTCGAAGCTAGAGCCGGAGTTTGACCTGTGTCGGTCGATTGGCGACAAATATTCATGGGTCATGGAACTCGACACTACTGACGTCACTACGACTACAGCCCCAGACTTGCTACTAGATGATGCGCAAGTACAGGCAAAAGCTAGATCATCTCAGAGTTGTACTGAATGCCGAGACCGCCGTGCGACTTACTATGCTTGAACCTGCCGATCGACCGCCTCAATATTCCGACATTCTATTCCCTGGTTCTAGGGCGGCAGACGGTGACGCGAAAGGTCACTTCAAGGTACTTCCGAACTGGAACTACTTTGACGATGAAACACAATGCGAGCTCAAGTGGATCTTTCAGGAGTTACTCGATCCGGAGTTGCAAAGCCCGTTCAAACAGGGTAGAGGATCAGATGCGATTCGTTAATAGTGAACGACTATGTTGGCGCATCGAAGAGAAAGTGGATTATGCAGTAAGCATGCTACGATAACACAAAAAGAGTCATCCGATGTATAAATAGCTATACTAAGCTAGAATTCGGGAACATTGTGCATTATAAGAAGATTTTATGTTGTTGACTGCGCATTGGCAAATCATACTTTGTGAAAGTAGCGAAACTGTTGCCACTTACTTCCAACACTTGGAATTTAGGTATTCTGGACTTCTCGCTTCTATACATAACTACCGCCCATCGCACTACCGAGTATGAGAAGAAGCAGGAAACAATTGATCAAATCTAGCCTGGAGATAGTATGAACTAGAACGAGGAAGCTGTGGTAATTCTTGTCTGGCCTCCAACTGTATGCAGGGCGGGAATGGTTATTATAGCGAGCTAGTCGATACACACAAGTAGTTGGCATTGGGCGTCTTTTAGGCCCGTCACTTACTTATTTGGTCATGCAGATCTTCCAAATCTTATGACGTTGATGAATACAACACTAAAGACGAGATGAATGCGACTGTGATGCCGTACAGATACCTAGGTACCAAGATAGTCCGTCACGACATGATTGATGGATGTAGATACCGAAGGCTTGAGTCATGGGATGGCTAAGCTGTATCTGGTGTTGACGTTGACCGCTTCTCGTGACCGTGGTCAAGGTCAGGACATCAGTACTGAGGTAACGAGACATGGTCAGCAAGTGTAGCGATTGGGCGATACAGTGGCCCCTGACGTCTTCCTGTCTGTGTGAGTAGATCACAACGAGTACACCACCCTCTGGAGACCACGTAGCATACCCCATATAATCATATTCTCCGGGAGACCCTGATCTCCCCTTTATCCCACGCGATATGCGGGGAGCGGTCGGTCCTTCTTCACCGCGCCCAACCTGGCCAGTGGAGTATGGCGGTCGGCTATGGCTTGCAGGAGTGGGCCCACCTAGAGGTGCTACCCATGCACGATGATCACAACCTACATACACAGCCCACTCGACCTCTGCCACGCCGTCGCGAAGCTTCGAAATGCGTCGGCAGCCCCGCAAATTTCCAATTCTGCGCTACAGCTGAGGCAATAGGGCAGATGACGACATGGTGTCTTGTGAGACTGAGCTGAGAGCTGCAGCCTTGCCAAGAGCCGCGCTTTAAGTGTCAGATGTTCGCCGCCTGCCATTAGACCACGATACCTTGCACACATCCACACCTCACCACCAACATCTTCACCACACAAATACCAACCCCCTGCGAACATGGGACGTCGCGATAGACATAGAGAGCCCTCGATCTCGCCGCCGCCTCCCCCGCCTATGGGGCAGCCACCACCGCGTAAGACGACAGCATGCAATTGTTCGGCACAGCGCTAACAAGGGACAGCAGATCCCACTTATCACTTTGAGAACTACGAGAACGGCAAACCGAAATGGGCGCCTGGAAAAGACAACCAGAGAGACTATCGCGACTATCGCGACAGCCGCAGAGGGGATCATCGTCGTCCACGAAAGGAGCGGCCTGTAGATGATGCGCCCCCGCCGCCATATCCAATGAACCCTCCTCCCCCACCGGGAGCAGCACAATATCCACCTCCCCCACCAGGAGCATCAGATTATCCACCTCCCCCGCCTGGAGCAGCGCAACCACCGCCGCCGCCAGGTATGTCAGCATGTCCACGCAGTTTCGTAACACAAACTAACAGAGCACAAGACCCACGCGACCACCGAGACCGCGGCGCTCGACCACGTCGCCATCGTAGACAGCCGTCCTACTCTTCCGACGACTCAGAATCAGACTCCCCACCCCCACCACGACGCAGCCACCGCGAGGAGCGTCCCCGTGAAGAGCGCCCCCGTCGATCGAAGCGCGAGGACACCTACGACTCATATGATGAACACTACCCGCCTCGCAGACCCAAGGACGAAGGCCGCCGTGACCGCGATGGCTACAAGTCCGAAGGCTACAAATCGGACCGTCGGCGCAGAGACCGAGACCCTTACTACGATGACCGCGACCGTCGAGACAAGCCACGTGACGACCGCAGACGCCGCGATGACCGTTACGAGGACCGATACGACGACATGTTCAACAGCAAGCCGCGTCGCGACTCTCGCTACGACGACAGAGATCGGGATAGGCGCGGTCGATACGACGACGATGACCGCTACGATGACCGCCGTAGAAGTGGTAGAGACGTTGGCAAGCCAGGAAAGCCTGGGCAGCCTGAGTGGCAGAGGCAGGCTATGGGCATGTTCAAGGACTATGCGCTGCCCATCATCAAGAAGGAGGGTGCCAAATATGTGCAAAAACAAATGGCTAATGGCTTTGGGAGGCGCTAGTGGGCTTTATTTGACATGACATGACATGATAATGATTTGATGGGTGGGTTTGTACGGCGTAATGGCTTGAAGTTAGGAATGCTCCTCATTCTTAAGGATTTTCTTTTGGTGGCAGGATTTGCTGGCTTTGGCGTTGTGGGTATGTACTGAACATGATATCCAATCTACACATAATCTACTTTTTCAAGACTGAACATCAGATCTCAGGAACCTCACGTACAACGGCAGCGAAGGGACCAAGATGATTCAGCTTAAATTGATCTCTGCTATGCGTAGGAGCAATGAATGACCGGCCACTCCATAGGCCCTAAGTACAAGCATGTGTACCCCCCAGGACTATTGATCCGACTCCAACGCTGGACCGGGATCCTCCCACTTTAACACATTTCCATTACGCTTTAGTTGCTTGGTGTAGTACCCTAGGCACAATAGGCGATGAGGCAGTTGATCTGGCAGGCAAACGCTGGAGCGAGTGGACTGCAGTTAGAACGACAGATGTCGTATGAGTCTTGGTGAGCACAAGCGTCCGCCTGAGCGTCTAATCCAGAAACCGATCGTTAGCCAGAACTTTCAAGGATCCAATTGCTATGACTATGGGGGGTTGGACAATGGGAATGTCACATACCAAGAGCCGCACCAGTTTGCTCTAAAGTGGTTGCGGGAAGTGCAGTTGCCGTGACGGCGAGAGCAGCAATGATAGCAGCGAAACGCATGATGACTGTAAGAGGATGATTGGTAGAGTTTTTTTTGGGAGAGGAATTCTTGGTTCAGGTGTTGATGTGTGAAGAGAGGATGTGAATAGTGGTGATGAGGAGGAACTTGGAGACGACATGGGACAACTTTATACATTTTCGAGACTTTGGCGAAGTGGTTTCCTCAACAGGCTTCGAATATCCATTGCCAAATGGAGAACAAGAACCGGGAAGGACGGCTACGCGACGGATCGCGACCTGCATGGAACTAAACCTCATCTCTCTATGTTTCCGAAACCTGGGGGTGGGTAAGGCGTTCCGTACGCCCCATGGGGTCTGAACACAACACCTCAAAAGGACGATCAGGTACCCTTGAGGCTAGATGAGCCACTTCATGTTCCACTATAGATTACACATGTTCGTATACTGATGGTGGCCTTGCATTGACTCATCCTTCTAGCATAGCAATCCCAATCCTCCCCGCACGGTGAAGGAACCTCGAGCAATTCCCCACCAGTACCATCATATCAAGACCTTGTAACTGCGTACACTTGTATTACGAAGGATTTAGCAGCCTCCTATTTTCTCTTAGGTCTTATTTGCTGACGTAGTAGGTATGACGTTGGCTACACTGTAGCGGCCGCACTAAGCTTCGTTCGCCGGATAAGCTTCATGCCGAGCAGCTTAGCTGTGCCTTCAACCCCGAGACCTTCGCCCTAGAGGATTCAGCGAAACGGTTTGATTACACCAAGATGGAGCGTCTTCATCACATGGAGGACGTATGATGTTAGCAGTGAGCTGAAGTAGTGCCTATCTAGAGACAACAGGTCAAGGTTCAGTACCTCGCCGAACAACTATACGAGGGATGTTCGGATGCGACACAACAATGTTTTTGTTGTAAACTTCAAAGCGGAGTTTCCGGTAAATACGACAAGGGTGAAGATATGCATTAGTATGTACAAGCGAACCGGTGAAGATGTAAGTAAGGTTGCCCCACGCGGCAGTGTTCACTGAGACAACACCGGATTTGACTTGCTTCCAACAATGCATCCAGCTCGCCTGGTCAGACAAAATTAGCAACCCAAACGTCCATTGCCCTCACTCCCTTCCGACCTTCTTGCACACCCTTCAAGCTCGCCTCACATGCATCTCGTAATGCGAGAATCACCCCCCGTTCCCTCTCATCATCCACTTTCTCCTCTATCTCTCTTTCAAAGGAGGAAGAAAGACAAGTGGAAACTTCCCATTGGCCGTCCAATAACCCCTCCCCACCCTGCACATAAGTTTCACTCTCTAGCTGCCATCCAGCAGCCAAGGCCAACTCGGTCAGACGTTTTGGCGACAGCACGCTGCGAATATTTGAGACGCTGTTAGGTTTACGGCACTCTAGCGCTGCCTGGGTGAGTGCAGCTAGTACGTGAGGCTGAGCAGAAGGGTGTATCGCTACTAGAGACCACTCGGCAAGGAGCAGACGCTTGCTGTGCTGCTTGATGGCGCGGAAGGTGGAAAGGATAAGTGAGGGGGAGGAGAAGTACCACAAACAGTGTGCAAGGATTGTCGCATCGAAGGCTTTGCCGTCGCTAGTTGGTGGCGAGGAGAGTGAGGAGAGGTAGTCTAAGGGAGATTGTTGAACCCAGGTAATCTGCCTACCTAGCGGGCCTTGCGAGATGTGATCCTGTGCTTGACCCAGAGTATATGGGGAACCTGTCGGAGCGTTAGTCCACTATCAATCACCAATCGGCCAAGGATAGGTAATAGGATAGGAATTGTAATGCCGTACCATAACTCAATTCCGCTGGATCAACTGCGATCACCCTTCCCTTCTCGCCTACAGCAGAGGCAAGGACAGTCGTACAGTCTCCTTGCCCACATCCTAGTTCTAGCACTTTCGAGCTAGTGGAAATGTTCCATTGCCGCAGAAGCGCCAGGCGATGGAGAGTCTGGGAGTGCTGGATGCTGAAGCAGTTAGGATCATGTAGGGAGAGCCGAGCGATATAAGCGGCGTCGAATTGGATGGACATGCTGTGACTGATGGGTTTTAGATACAAGCGGGCTGTTCAGGTTTTGTGTAGCTAGGGGCCCGTAAATTGAGGAGTAGAGCAAGGTAGTTGTGAGTCAGTAAGTTATCTCACGAGTCATCTTTCTTACATCCCTTCTTTAGCCTAGCGCGACCTCTCAAACAGGGCTAGTGTTTGAAGCGTGGAATCTTGTTATCTATGCTACGTGAGCAACAAGAGTGATTGAAAACAACATAGCCAACGTGCGTCGTGAACTTTCTCCTCAACAACTGCGATCGAAAGCTCGGCGCTATTTCAATTAGCATATCGCCCCCATACTCTGGTTTTAGAGTCGTTGGCTGAGGTGGTGGAGGGAGCGATAAGCTGCCATACTTCGGTATCCAGCTCACATCTCTCCTTTATTACATTGCTCTGATGTGCAAACATATATGAGGCTGAGAAGGCGTTCGGACTTTTGCTCACTAAAGAGAAGTAAAAAAAAATGTCGCATTCGATTGCAGTTTGCCTGAATGCTACTCAACTGCTAGAGGTAAAGCAATGAAAACCCTGGAGAGGTACAAGATCCGAGTATATGTCTTGTAGCCATGAGATTAGGTATGAGCCAACAGGAATTGGGTTAGTGTCCGCACTGACCCATAGTGAGGGCTCCTCCAGAGTATATATGCTCGACTACCCACTACAATGATCTTAACTCAACTGCCAATTTACAAGATCCTAGATCTTCCAATTCACCGAGCTTCCTATTAGGTTGAAACCAGTAGTCTCCACAACTCAGATACCCAAACTCTCAAGGCACTTCTCCTAACTAACATGGAGTTTTCCAAGTATGTCATGTCTTTCTCAGCCACTAAACGATTTGTTCGCTGACATAACTTGCAGGGTGGACACAGTGTTTAAGGAGGTGCTACTCGAACAAGTCGGCGATGATGATACACCAAGATTGACACTCAAGGAGATTGCCAAGGTGGATGAGGAGCGAAAGATGCGGGTGCAGAAAGAGATAGCGGCCGCAAAGGTTGAGCGTACTAACAAAGTCGAGAAGGTCAAGATTCGCAATAAGAAGCGCGCTTTCAAACTATACGCTAAGCAAGAGCTCCACTCTTACCAGCGTGTTTCCAAGGTCTTCGGAGAGATGAAGTATGCTCGAATCTTCGTGAGTAGTGATACTGAGCCTTGCTTAAATCGAAACTGATCACTCTACAGCAGCGCTTCCGATGGATGACCACACTGACTACTTTTATGCCCTGTCGATCGGTTGGTGAAGATCGATACTGGGTAAACGGAAACCTATGGCCGAATCGTACACGCGAAATGGTTGCCCAACTGGCTCCTTTCAGGAGTTGGTATAAATCTTACAACTACGAATAAGCCTTCGGGAATCTGGTGGGGAGCTTGCTCCTTGCAGTCCATCCCAAGAAGCTCGTACTTGTTACCGGCTTACTATGAACTGAAATACGGTGATGAAGGTTCCGGCGTCGATACGTGGTGGGACTCATTTGGTACATGGAAGACGCTCATGGATCTATGCGAGGGCAAAGCTCGAGACCTCTCCGACGGGAAATTGATTGAATTTCAAGTATATTTGATGAGTCAATATGTGATCCATCTGGCAGAGGAAGCATCCCAAGCCGCAGAGCTGGTGGATTGCTGGATCTGTTCACATTGGATACTACACGTTGGGTGAACATGTGGTAGCGCTTTATTTGTACTCCGTCAAGAGAACAGATATGACAGTCAGTCTCAACTTGGTGCACATGCAAACGGATGACCGGATATAGACACTCGAGGTATCATCCAACCAAACGGCATTGCCAAATCTCTTCGGCTCAATTCTGACAAAAATCATAGCAAGCGGGTCGGTTCGAAGAAGAGCATTATTAGCCTCAACACCAGGGACGGTGATTGCCAACCCAGGTACAGTAGTGAGAAGTGAGCAAATTCTTTCAGTAATAAGGTTTACATTACGACATCTATCTACATATTAGAAACGACGACCACTTATGACTCTCCTCCCTTGGTTCCGTTGGTGGTGCAGTTAACTTGGCTATCAATACCGTTGATGTTTGCGCAAGTGTACTGGTTGGTTCCATGAGGGCTAGTAACATTGACGTTCTCGATGTTGATATTGGAGCATACTGTTGGGCTGGAGCAGACCAAGTAACCAACGAGCGGGTCGTACTTCTTGCTGGTGGTGCCGTGGAAGTTCTTGATTGTGATGTCGGAGATGGTGAGGTTGGATGGGAACTATAGCATCGCGTTAGTATTGCAGTACAATGATGTTGGGGTGTTCGGGCTAGCTTACCTCGTTGCAGAGAGTCAGGTTCTTTTGGCCGTAGCATTGAGTGATCTCGATGGCGTAATCAACGTTGGAGATGGTCATGCCATCGTATGTGATGTTCTTGACGGCACCACCACCGCCTCCACCCTGGAGGTCGCCGGAGAGAGCAGAAGAAGCACCGGGCCAGACCTTGATACGCGCACCGTCCGAAGCATTGGACATGCTGATGTTGTACACATAGATGTTCTCAACGTAGTCGACCTCACCAGGGTACTGGCCCAAAGAACCTACACTGATGCCGTGGCTACCGTTGCAGACAAGGTTCTGAACAACGATGTTGGTGCTGTTAGGCTTGAACGAGACACAGTCATCGCCGTTGTCAATGTGTGAGTTTTGAATGACAATGTTGTCGGAGCGGTATGTGTCCCAGCCGTCAGTGTTCTTCGCGGGGTTCTTGCTCACACTGCCACCGAAGATGTCGATGTTGTCAAAGACAACGTCGCTCGAGTTGGCAACAAGCGTGTACCACTGCGGACTGTATCTGAACTTCAGATCCGAGATCACGGCACCCTCTGCACCAATGAGACCGAAGAGAATAGGTCGCAGGATGTAGATATCCTTAGCATAGAGGTCGTACCATGCTTGACCGTTGCCGTCTAGGGTGCCACCTCCGTAAACGTTGATATCCTTGCCACCAAGCTGGAAGAAGGTAGTGGCGTTCTGGAATACCTGCTTGAAGGCATTGGCTTGCCAGTAATCCGTGTCATTGGTGAATTGAATGGATCCTTGGATGTCTATCCTCATGGTTAGCGCTGTGGGACGATTAATTTCAGTGTCCTACATACCGAGATCGATACCGTTAAGGAAGGTCAGATCGAGTGCAGTTCCGATCGTGAACTTCTGGTCCTTAGGGAAAACGACATGACCACCGTTGTTGCACTTCTTGATGGCTTTCAAGATGTTTGCAGAGTCATCTTTACCATTGCCGAGAGCCTTGACGCTGCAGGTCTTGGTTCGTGCCGGCGAAGCTGGGCAGGCCTTCTTTGGGTGATACGGATACGCCGGATGGTGTGGTCTCTTGGAAGCAGTAACGCTCACGCTTCGCTCATCGACAGGTGTCGACAGTACTGCTGATGCTTGCAGCAAAGCACATGTGAGAAGCTCGGTGACGCGCATATTGGCAGACGTTCAGGGGCCGATGATCTTAATTGACAAGATTGAGGTCAACGTCTGTAGCTCCAAAACTATCGCGTCGACGGCCACTCTAATATACCCTCATCGTAGCATTATCAGCCGTCCGAGCCGCGGCCTTGGCCCCGGTTCCTGGTCATGATATGCGCTTCCGTAAAATTGGAGGCGCGGAGGAACTCTGGGAATTTTGCTGGGTCATCCTGGAGTCCCCTCACGGCCACAGTGGCTAAATGGAGTAGAACTGTGGCGCTAAGCCAAGAGGAGCGAAGCTTTCCCCACATGCCTTGGGACTTGGCTCAAGGGATTGGTGGAGTATCTCTACCCCAGATTCCGGACCTGTCGCCCCACGACAGCCTCCAAAAGACGGTCTACGCGTCAACGGCTGCGTTCTACGATGAGTGGCATGCTCGTGGCGGTTAAAAGTATTGCCGCGGAACGACCGGCCAAAACAATCTCGGCAGGGGCTGCTTGGAACTTCTAGGCTTGGTGGAATTCGCAGCGGAAAGCCTCCATCATGAAGATAACGCTGGCCGCAATTCTGCTATCCGGGCGTGTCTCGGTCATTTGGTGTTTTTGAATTTCGGTTCCGTCCTTATATCGATCCGAAATTAAGCCAAAACCTACAATAGTAATCATGCTCACAATGTACAACTTTCATGATGGGCGCCAGAGCCCAAGAAGTGGCTTGAGCCAAGGGTGCTCTTGTCGCTCCGACCCAAAAGCTTAGCAATCATTTTGAGTTGCCAATACCACGAGAAGTTGAAGCTAGTGGGACATCACAGTTGTCTGCGAGATCTTTCACTCAAAGTGTTAATCTAGGGCTTCTTTGTATCTTCGAGGATGGGCAGCTCGCATAACGCGTCTATGGCATGCATGTCGGTCGGCGTGTATCGCGCATGTCTGGGTAACCAATAGTCGCGTCCTTCGGGTGTTAAACGTTCGGATCGGTTGCACGCTGTCAGTTTGGGTGCTCGCCTTCGTAACTACGGCGTTGATCACACTCGTTATAGTCTAGGGGGAGATGAAGCGTAGCTAACTTGCTTCGATGGCTGAGTGATCAAGACTCTCTCCACGACGTTTTGGCTTTCCTCGGTCTTTTCGTCTGGATCAAAGGCCACTGTGCGCGAGGAGATGGGCGAAGTAGGAGCCTTCATGGTGGGCCGCGGAGGTGGATGGCGGCAGATTGATGAGTAACGATTCGTCTTCGAGAAGTACCTTCGTGCTGAAATTAGTAGGTACATTGATCATCTGAAATTTGCCTATCCAACCATTTCAGGAGGCCAGTAGAGGTCCTGTGTAACTTGAAAATAAGTATTGGGTGCAGGGGCAGCTAGAAGTAGTCTGCGGACGGATGGCGCGAAAGTGGAACTGTGGGAGACGTCCGGTGTTGAGCCATCAGCCACTATGACGAAGACACGCTGCGTAGACGATGGCATCTTGCCGAACGATTGTACACATACACCCAATTTCGAAGCTCATCAGACCATCATTGCTTCTCGCTCTGCAGTTCGCGTTCATGTCGACTAGGCATTACCAGTGGTTGAATCGATATTCAAGAAGTGGATGTATTTCCAGTAAGCCGCAATTGAGATGCTGTGACGATTAGTGCGCAGGCCTCAGACCTGAGGTTGAAGGCCCCCAGTTCGCTTGAACCAGATGAGATGCATGCAGGTGCGCACTTTGGGCAAGATTTGAAACATTTGGCAGTACATGGTAGGCATGTCATCTCAAACTTTTAAATTGCAGCTTGAGGTTTGGCTTCAATTATTGCAATGGGCTGATAGAGAACACATCCGTCATTGCTCAACTACGGACGTCGCACAACGACCTCTAAACATAGCAGACAGGAGTGAGCGCCAGCTGGCATCTACCCCGATATCAGGTAACTTGGAATGCAGAATCCTATTGTTGCGGATATCGAGTGCAGCATTCGCCGAACCAGGGTTGTGCCATTCGCCAAAGCCGGTCAAAAGGGTGAATTGACGAAATGACAGCTCATCTGGTCATTACAACCTCACTCTTCTCCCAGCCAACACTCGACAGCTGTCGGTAGACGTCGCATGCTGTAACATCCTCAATACTGGTAAACTGAAAAAGCTGGCTGAGTAATCGCTACATAGCAATGTGTAGTCTAATGTAGTGTGAAGTCGAGGGGTTGAAGATGTTGGTAGCTGGCGATTACACGCTAACGATCCGCACAAGGAAGGGACGGCGCGCACCGTAAACCTAAAACTGGGGTTTAGCTCCCGTGTGCACCTCTCTTGAAACCCTTTATTGACCGAATGTTTAAGCGAGCTTTGTCCAAATGTATGTGGTATTGCAAAGGTCCGGACCTTCCATGCATCGCACGATGGTGGCTCGGTGGATATACTACCTATATAGGCTTGGTCATTGAACGTCGGAGAAACATGCACAATAGATAAAGCTCCACGGGGTGGTATTATGCATTAGTTTGTTGTTGGGGTTGGAGGAAAGAAGAGCGAAAGTCACAAAGGGACTCTAAAGATGCGAGGAACGTTAACTCAAGCAGAACAGCATAAAAAGGAGTGACCTCCATTGTTAACACGCTGCTGAGGATAGCCGATGTAATTTGGTGAAATTTGAGCATATCTCCTAAAGGCAACTCGCCGAGATCGCTATGCGAACGACACAACGCATATTCGATATGCATCATGACACTACTCAAGCATATACTATGCACCCACGCCAATTCTCCCAAAGTAAGCACAGATGCACGAATTCAAAAGGCCAGGATACATTACAGAAGACGATGGGTAGCATGTTCGCTTAGTCCAATGGATGGATATTCGTACATCCTTCGATCAACGGCGACTCAACCGGCATACGCTCGGTAACCATGCTGATCATCGAAGACATACGGTGGACCCATCCCCACATCTTCATGCCAACCTTGGTCCACGGGTGTCCGCGGCTCATCAGCGCTTGGACTAGGACTACTCGTAAACAGACTCTCAGTCTGGCTCTGATCAAGCACAAAAGCTGTGTCCGTGATCGGTATACCTTGCGACATAGGACTTCTTGTGTACGATCTTGCTGGCGAAAAAAGATCGAGATGGGGATGACCGAGTACAGGAACGCTGCCAAAGTCGTCATTCCTGGAGCTGTAGCTAAAGTCTACCTCGCTTCCGTAGTGTGGAGAAGACGGGTAGGACATTGACGCGTCTGGGCCATGGTAGGATGGATCGAAGGCTGCGGGCACGGAACGCGAGATGTATTGATCGTTGCGATATACATCCTGCATGCGGCCCGAGCGCTTCATCCTTGCTGAACGGTGGGCGGCTTGACCACCTTTAGCCCCGGAAGCCTGGCGCTGGGGCTGAGGCTGTTGGGTACGGTGGCCGCGTTTGTTGGGCTGCTTACTACGGTAGCGTGTCGTCGACTTGACACCTTCGCGAATCGCCTCATCGGTAAGACGCCACATGAAGCCTTTGCGAGATTCCTCGCCCGGTTGGTCAACTTTCTCAAAAGCCTGTCATCTGGTTAGATCGCAGCGTGTCGTGGGTGAGAGACAGACATACCCCATTCATCGATAAATTGTGCCTGATACTGTTCTGCCATCCTTTCGTTTCTGAGGCACTGGCTTTGTCGGTGTTGTTCTTAAACCATTCATAAATATCTCGCAGTATCATTGTCTTGTTTGGCGCATTGAGAAGCGCCTGATAGATCAGCTGGGCATACGGCTGCTCTTTGTCAATGACGCCGCCTTCACCTGTAACAAATTCGTGCGGGTGCAGAGAAGAATCATCGTGAGGGGTAGAAGCTCGAGTCAGGTCAGAGTATGGACTCTGGTAGCCATTGGGATTGTCGACCTTGATGTGAGAGCCGTACTGGTGGTGGTCGTAGTCGTTACTCAGTTGCATAAGCTGACCGTTGATCTCATGGTCTGACAGGTCCGTAGCATCATGATGCTTTGGTGGCTCAATGTGATATGCAGTGGGTGGGTATGAGTCCGTCATGTCGATATTGCTAGGAAGGCCGGTGAGGTCGATGCCGGTGTACGATCGAGGGCAGCTTGAGCTAGGATAACGTGGTCGGTATGCGATATTGATGTTGTCATTGTAGGACATGCCGTTCTCGGCGTAGTGGTAAAAGTCTCCAGTGCCAGGTGAGAACGGATTAGGCGCATGGTAACTAGCAGCATTCTGCGCCATGGGGTTGAGTAGAAGGTTGGTTGGCGCAGCCCACTGCATTGACTCTTGTTCGTCGAGGCTCATGTTGGAGTTCCCGGTTGTGTGTTCATTGAAAGGCGCAAGTTCCTGGACAGTAGTCGCGGCGGGCGGTACCTCAAAAGGTAGTCTGGGAGAAGGTGACAACGACGGATTTTGGACGTGGAATGGAAGCGGGGTACAAAAGGTGTCTTTGGGTGAGTGAGTGGTATCACAAAAAACGTCTTTAGATGACTGGACAGTTTCACATTCACCGCAGGTTTCTGCGGAGGAAGATCGATGAGGTGACTGCGCATGTGGCATGACTCTTGTGTTGTTGGCCTCTCACGGGTCTGGACAATAGAGAAAACGAGCGTATCGATATGAGATACACGGAAACGAGTGCCAACGTGCTGTGTGAAACCAAGAGATTGGCAGAAAACGAGAGTAGTAAAAGGCTACGCTCACAAATGAAGCGGCCGTTAAGACAATAAGATGCTCCGCTATGCCCCGGCGAATGAGATTGCGTGACAACCATGTCATTGTCACCTAGATGCTTCTTGGACGGGTTCCTGCTGCCAGCACACCTGCAGGCTTGATACTGCGGCAGGGCTTGGGTGGGCAAACAAAGCATGAGATCTCATCGCAAAGACAGAGGATCTGGAGTGGCCTCCGGGCGCAGCTGCAGGGCTGCAGTCACGGGGCCAAAAATTACCGACATGGCATCATTGCCTCACGGGCCGAGACGTAGCCTACAAACCCTCATTGCACCATTCCATCAGGGATTCGGGGTGACTCTCTGTACGACTATTGCAACCAACGATTGCCTGCTTGACACAGGGCAGACGGGAAGTTGCATACTGCTGGGCCATTTGCAACATCGAAACGTCCATCGGCCTGTGCAGCAGTGTTCCGATGTTCGATATTCTTGTCCGGCTTCTGTACATACGATGTATATTGTCCGATGTAGGCCTTGTCCTCGTTCAAGTCAGGCAGCAGTTGTCCATTGTGAGATTTCATTATCTACGTCCAGGCCCATCCCGCGAACTATAACAACCGACCCATGCGAGGCAAGTCTCTTCAGGGACAGGCAATGAGTTTTTCACGTGCAAACTCTTTCCCAAAAAAAGGACATTAATGGCGAATGCTCCGCAAGTGCAGGGGTGTGACATGGTGTGCTGCGCATGCAAAGAGGCAGCAGGCGAGCAACCGCTTGAAAGCTAATCCCACAGAAGCATGTAACACAACTCTTACGATTCTGATTCCGGTGAAGCTCATCCGTAGTCCTTGCCCGAGCTCACATAAAGCAACAGTTGTCCGTGATTGGCCGTTGGCGTGGGGTCTGTCACCGCTTGAATAGGAGTATACACCGCCAACAGTCCCAGCAATGAAGGTGCTGCATTTTGGGAGTGAAGAAAGGTCGGTTGAGCCGTCACCGCCAATGTAGTGGTCACGGGTGATGGTGCAGCGACAAAACCTGGCATTAATGGAATGGCTCGCCTGATGGTGTACCTATCAATGCGCAGGGACTTGTGCGACGTCCGCCCTATTCTTGGTCTTATCATAGCTGCTGAATATAGGAGGGGTCAGAGGCAGCGAGGTGGGCTGTGAAGCGTCCATGTCATTGACAAGAGACCCAGCTACTTTCGATAGTATATCTGCCACGCGTTAGTCGTAGTACCGTTCCGGTAATGTGATCTTGACATACCTTCTTAAACTGGAAGTGGAGTTGCAAGATGCCCTGTATTGCGTTAGCCATGTAGTCAGCAATCGCGGAGAAGGCTGGGACATACCTTGTCAAAGCTGCTCTTGAACCCGCGTTCACGTTTAGCGCTATAATCCCACTCCTTATCAATGATCCTGAAAGCGATGTCTTCGTATGGTGGGCCGGCGATGAACCTGATGAGGCACGTGTCATCTTCACCGGCCGGAGCAAAGGACTGGCCCTTTTTGCGGCCATTCTCTCGCTCGATCTTGTAGGTGGGCGCCTTTGACTTGTCGATAAGGTCGGGATAGAAGATGTTGAACTTGTAGCCCTGTACGACCTTTGGTGGAGGATTGTCATGATCGTAATGCGTTTGGTTGTACTTGTTCCATTCATAGCCCATCTGAACACGGTTGAAGTAGCGGGGTTTTCTGGGCTTGTAGCTACCAGCCCATTGGGGTCGGGCGGTCGTGACTTCCTCTTCGGCGGTAAAGATCTCCTCGCCTTCTTCTACGCCTCGTGCGACTTCCCTCTCGTATAGCGCCATGGTTGCCTTGGAGTAGTCCTCTTTCTCCACAGGCGCAAATCGTGAGGCGCTCGTGGTTACAGTCTGGCTTGTCGTGGGCTGACTGCTGCTGACAGTAGGATCGCTTGATTTGGTCTGTGACGGCACGTAGCCAATCTTTTGGATCTTGCGTCTCTCGGCCGCCGAATCCTCCAGAAAAGCTTTCTCATCCGTCTGTGGTAGCGCTTTGTCTTCGGCACGCAACTTCAGCAGCGGCTGTGGATCGAAGGCTGCATCATAGGCGACAGTCGTTGGTTGTGCCTCACTCCCTTCGTCGGTACCGTTGAGCATAGCGTAGATACTGTTTTGTACGGACGCAGCTGCCTCAGCCTGCTGCTTGCGCAACGTCTGTAGTCGCTCCTTGACGATCTCCTGCGAGACACGCCGCAGCTTGGCCTTGGCCTTCCACACGCGCAAGCTTCGCAGCAGTTGTTCCCAGTAGTCATAGTCGATTGGCTCGTCCGAGTCGAGCTTCTTCTTGACCTGAACCTCGAGTGTCTCCAGCTGTTCGAACGTTTTGGGGGCGAGGAGCTGGTCGATGTCAGCAGCCACGGAGCTGGTGCCGCGTGCTTCAGATTTGGACGACTTTGATTTTCGGCGCATGTCTTTGCAGATTGCTTTCAGGGACTGGGAGGGTTAGCAATGCATCATCTCTTGATAGGGGCTGCACTCACATTCCAGTAGTCGCGATTACTCCGGCTTGTCTCCAGGGTGAGATAGTTCTCGATTTCCTTTTCTAGCTCGGAGAGATCTTCATTGCTGAGACCTTCTAATACACCTTCCGGGTCTACAATATCTAGCTCGTGGTCCTCCACCTCCTCGTCTAGTATCGACTTCTCCGTGGGATCGATGAAGCGCAATGTGACGGCCAGCCAGTCAATGGGTCGCGCGCGCCCACCCTTGACGCGTAATGCTGCCTTCTTCTTAGCCTGCTGCAGTACGAAGCGATCCTCATCTGCCACCCAGGCCTCCTCTGCGGCGTTGGTCGACCGTTTCGCAGGGTTGTCGTGTGCTCGTGAGTCGGCTGACCGCTTTGCTGGAATAGACGAAGATGGAGCGTTGCGCTGGGGCAGGCAGCTGCGCTCGTTGCGCCACGGAGGTTCACGTGACGACATGTCGTTCGGGAACTAGAATATATGACTGTGTTGGTGATGTTTGACTGCAATAATGTCTAGGCCGGCGTAGATCGCGAAATCTTTGGCCAAGGCTGGTGACGTACGGCTGCCTTCCGCGTCTGCAGGGATCTACCACCCTTGGCGCGCCTGCCTTTCACTTGCGCCTCGCGCTGAGCTTCACGTGTCATGTTAAGACTCCACAAAAGGTCGCGTAGAATCGCACACCTACTCTCTTCTTGCAAACATGCGTACCAATCCATCATTCTGCCCGGGTTGAAATGTCTTGTTGGCGCATGCTGGAGCTCTCCGAGCAGACTGACGACAAGCACATCCCCCAGTTACTCGTCAAACCCGCCTTCGATCTGGACTCGTACATAGTACATCTTACCGACCTCAGCAACATATGGTGCGAAGAGCTAGACGTACATGGCATAGTAAAACGGGCGGCACAGGAGCAATCGCCAATCGAAGTCAGCAAACAGGATACGGCGCAGCTTGCCATCCTTCTCGAAAATGTCAAGAAATCCCTATTGAATGGAGAGGATGCCATATGTCGTGCCACTCGTAACGACGCGGACGGCATCACTTTGCACACTAGTATCAGCCTTCCAGAGCCACTCGACTGCTTGACGTGGAAGTTCCATCTGGAAAAGCGAACGTCTGCAACTCTGAAAAACGAACTGATTCTTCCGCTCCTTGTATCATCTCACATTCAGAATGAGCGAATCACTGCCCTCATTTCTATCGTGACCGAAAAGGACAGGGCGATCTCTCGACTCGTAGATCAGTTCGAATCCCACAACATGGACTTGGCTGCCGCTTTTCCCAGCATCGGTGGAACGAAGACAGGAAGGAGGATAGTCAAACGTGAACAAGCGGCGAAGCACGTTCCCGCCTTACGACCTTTTCGTGAAGAAGCATGGAGGCAGGAGACTGAGCAATTAGAAGACACAAACCTGACTACATTTGGCTTGTTCCAGGAAGCATTAGCGCAGAGTACCCCAAGAGTACCACGGCAATTGAAATCAGAGGATCGGGGGGTTGCGTGGTGGATTGCGGTCCCCACCCAGTTGATTCCAGCGAAAGCTCTGGCTATACACAAAGCTAATAAGCCTGTTCCGGCAGCAAAGTCAACGAAAGTTGCCCTGGACTCGGACGAAGAAGAGACAGAGGATGAATTTGAGATTCATGAAAACTTCAACGTAAGCGCATGCTGACATACCAAGAGATGAAGTTGCTAACAATCTCATAGGCACGCAATATTGCCCGAAAGCCAGCAAAGACTCCAGCGCCAATACCTTCTTCGCCACACGATAGAACTAGTGAGACAGAAAACGACAGTACTGAGGAAGATGAGGATCTGGATGCACTTACTAAGAGTCAGAGCAAAAGACAGGCTCAAACGGCACACAAGAGAGTTCGGAAGAGGACACCCTCACCTGAGCATCACTCTTCACCTGAGACGGCTACACCACCAGTTCAGAAGGCCAAAGTAGGCAGCTTTCGAATAGGTGGTAAGCTGAGAAGAACGACCAAATCTCCTCCGCCATTGCCAGAGAATACAGATGTGGAACTGGAGACAGATATCCTATCGAGCAGGGAGTCTGCGCCTCCCTCACAACTGACCCAATCAGTTCTGACACCAAAGAAAACCCGCAAGCCTTTCAGGATCGGTGGCAAAGGAAAGACAGTCGATGGATGTGCTTCACAACGCGCGATAACAGCTTCACCAAGCACCAACCGCATCAGAGCCACGCAATCGCCTACTGTAGAACCATCTTCTTCCCTGCCACCGCCTAGGGTGGTGAAAGAAACGTCGCCCGTTCAGGAGGTACATGAGGAGACGCCAGAGGAAAAAGCAGAGCGGAAGCGGGCTGAACTCAAGCGGAAGAATGAGGGAGCAGCGAAGAAACAGGCCCAGGCGAAAAAGAAGAAAAGGTTTTGAATTGTGGACGAATAAACTTCTCATCCTCCAGCAGCTGTCAAGGAAAACTCTTTCAACCCTGGTCCTTCGGTTCACTTACTTGAAGAATCACAAGTGTTGAGGCGTAGAATGACTAGATCTGGATTCATCGTTGGTACTCCCTTGTTCAGTTGTGTTCTTGACGTTTGTTCGACTCCTTTGATGTTTTCACTACTTCATCTCACATGAACGTGGAAACTTATGAATTCTGTATCTGGTCCAACCCCATGTCCATAGCATTACACCTAGCAAACGTTATACATAGTCTTCCACGATGTGTTGGAGGTAAGGTTATTTCGTACTTCTTGACATATCCCACCTTCACCTGCTACCGCGCTCTCCTTCCGCGTCCGTTTGTATACCTAGTTTTTGCTACCTGCGCACCACGTTCGACACCGCGCTTTCTCTTGCGTCGCCCCCACCTTCTCCCATCTACCATCCATTTGGATAACCGGCGTCGACCTTGCCTGCTGGTTGGGATCGACAACCACTACCTGGCAACATGTGTATTTATCATTACTCTTATGTCTCGACCTGTCGCCACGCCGAGTTCACCAGAATATCCTACTGTAACAATGCAATAGCACTCAGCCTGCCCAGAACGTAAGCACTCGTCTCCTGTTACTGCTTATCATTACTGATAGTGACAGTGACAGTCATTTGTCAGACGACCCGAGTGCAGACGATAACCCCAGCGCTCAATCTGGCTCATCTGCTCATCCATCAGTATCATCCGCCAACAATAGTAGCTCATCGCATTCGCAGTCGCATCCGCACACTCAGCAACAGCCCCAATCACAGCATAATAACAACATGTCAACTATAACGCCGTCTGAAGCTGGGCGCGCTCCAACTTGGGATGCTGTTGTGCAGGAGCGAAGTGCACAAGTCCATCATCAGACTGCTTTCATCCCACGCTCTACCCTTGTTGACAGCCCTCGTACACGACGAAATACCCTTAACGACGCTGGCCCATTATTGAATAGGCAGAGTTACAGCAACGTCAACATAGATGTTCCATTGAATACGCAGTCTTCGCTGCATATGCAGGTCACACATGACGGTAAGGTCCTTGAACTAGTTGCTCGATTGGAGTTGTATAGCGGTTACTCTGACGCCTGCGAAGGATCTCACGAAGACCATGCCGATCGGACTACTAGTCTCGATACGATCGCTGTGAATCATCAGGAGCAGGCGGAGCATCAGTCCGCCGCGCACACAGTCAGCACATCAGGTCACAGTCCTCGCAAGCCCATTCCCACCCAGTGGCTACCCAAGAGCACTGGTCCCAACCTCGCAACAGCCCAGCGTGCGAAGGTACGGAATTCCAAAAATAGCTGGGGCAGTGACTCTCCAGAAGAAGTCAAGATACTACGGGGAACGCGTAGTTCAATCGATCTGGGAAGAACACATGGCAAGGAAGGTGCATTATACCTCACAAAGGAGGCTCTGGCTGGCATCAATAGCACCATAGCATCACCCACATCTCCGCTCAGCCCTAGCACACTACATGGCTCTCCAACAAAGCGACCATGGAACATCCCTACCGGGTCGCCCTTACGTGGCAGCGCGCGGCAGCAGCATCTTTCCACCAGGATGTCACCCAACAAGTCGACGCACCTCAACATCGAGTCGATCTCAACAGCACACTCGCGAGCATCTAGCAGTGTTGCTACTTCTACTGGCCGGGTTTCGTTTCATACTGGAGAGGGGTCGCCAGTAAGGAGTCCTGCAAGCACGGAGCATAGCTTCCAATCTGCTGCAGAGAATCCCGAAGACCTCGATGTTCCCAATTTTGATCTGAAGGCTAACAATGATGATGAGCAGATGCATCAAGAATCCGCCAGTCCGCGTTCCACAACCGCGGGAGCGAACACAGATGGAAAACGGAGTTCCCTGACACCGAAACTTGCGCTTAGAATCCCTGTATCTCAATCAAACCAGGATTTCCACGAGAGCTTTCTAGCAGCACCAACAGTAACTCCGGATGGCTCTCATATGTTTCACAGTCCGCTAAGCCCGGATTCACCCACACCGGTGTCTCGTATTCCACGTGCTGGTGCCACCAGCAAGATCGCGATTCCCCCTCGAAGTCCCACCATCAAGCGAGCCGAGTCGGTGCAGTCTTTGCAATATAAGCTCAAGATGTTACAGGCTATGCAACTAGATGCGACAAAGGTGCCTCTACCCGAAACGCCAAAGCCTGTGCCGGCCCCTCTACGTCATGTCCGTACCGTCGATAGCACCGGTTCAACTTCGACTCTCTCACGAACGTTTGGATCTCATGATAGTGATCGAACGACCGGCACTGCTTCCGAGGATGAGCAGAAACACCCAGCTCACGTTGACAGTCCCGCCATTCTTGCGGACGTCAATGTTCCAGATCAGCCAAACAACATTCCAACATGCGATGCTGACTATGATCACGTCAACAAGCTTACGATCGATCACGAGGCTTCTAAAAAGGCTATGAAGCCAGAGAACGTACCTTGGGGTGTTCCAACGGCTTTTGATCATGGTATGACACTCGCATGTCTGATCAGCATGCCCACAATCATCGTTAAGATTGCTCACAATTTGTGCATAGGAAACATAAATCTCGACGCCAAACAAGACGAGGCTACCTCTCCCTTCAAAAGCCATATCGATGATGTCGAAAACGTGACTTTTGTTCGAGGAAGAAGTGAACGGTATGTACCTTATGAGCGCAAACAAGGAAATAGCGGACGTTCAACGCAATCTAGCACGTGCTCTCTTCGTGCGACTGCTCCAGAATTCGTACCCCGTCCTCCAACCACGACTAGCGTAATCGAAGCTACTGCGGAAAACTCACCTCTAGTCTCGTCTCATGACCTAGCTGGTTTGCCAGATCCAACGGTACTCGATAGAAACGGCATACCGTTCCTGTGGTACATGTACGGTGTGCAGTTTGCTTATGAGCAAGGCTATCGTAATGGTCGTCCAAAACCGCCCAAGAAGTTCAAGCAGCCCAAAAAGCAGCACGCGTCTCTGTCTTCCTCTGTCAATACTCCGCACTCTTCCTCCAAGGCGGTTCCCATCACCAACCCCAGGCCAGCGGCTCCTCTTCCCGAGGCAGCGAAGCAGAGCTTGGCTTCTGCAGGGCCGATGCCGCCACCACCTTTGCCTGCAAACCGACGTCATGAACAGACTCGTCCAGAGAACTTTCGTCCTGGTTTCAATGGAGACATATCGAGCTCGCACATCGCCGATGCTGAAACAAACCAGCCTTTTGCAAATCAACTCAACATGATCTCTGAGCAGGTTGCCCTCAACAACTGCACGAACAGCAACGCTCCTCGTCACTTCAACGTCGATCTCAGCACCTTGCGCAATGTCGGCTTCCCGCCCGGTCCTCGCAACATGCGCCCTCCCACGTACTACACAATGCCTCGTCACGGTCACCGTAACAACCGTAGCAATGGCTTATATGGTGGCTGCGGCAACGCCGGTGTCCCCATCGATGCTACGGCACCGTTCCCTAACCCTGTACCGCCGCAAGGCCGACCAGATCAAGGTCAAACCCACGGCACTTCCCCCTTCGACTACTCTGGATACACGATTGGAAAAGAGTCTTGCAGTTTGGTCGACATAACCGTCGCGACTGAGCGGGGTGGCGGCGAGCCATGTAACGCGTGCGCTCCCGACCATTGACCGACTGATGGTGGCTTTGAAGAAAGATTGAACAACGAAAGTCGATCGATGACGATAAAAGGTTCTTGGAGACTACAAGAACAAAGTATTTTGTGAAGAGAAGGTCTATTGGTATCGCGACAAATACACACTTTAGTCGCGTATGGATACGAAGTATGGCATTACGAAGGAACGAATACCAATGGGCGGATGAACCGCTTAACTCGTAGTTGATAATCAAGAATTGAATACACATGCATGGTTCTATCCGTACCTGTACCTCATGTAAGTACCTCCAGAGTAAGAAGCTCGTTTTTTCTGAGTTGTAACTTACCCTACATAAAAGATCCTGAACGTATTCGCTGTGATTCCATTCTACAAGCTTTTCATCCAAGTCATCAATTATCTCAACCACGAAAGTTTGGATGATACCGTGACCATTATGCAGATAATGTGGTATGTTTATGGAACGGCAGAATGGAACGTGGGCCTGCGGCAACTTTACACCAACATAATTTAATATAAGGTTACAGGATGCAGTCTGTTTTGATACTCAGCGCTTGACGGCTACTCGAGAGCCAGATCGACCATAAGATTTGCGCTGACGGTTGCGGCGCAGTGTTACCGCGTGAACACGTCATGGATGGGTAGATGTTTTACTAATAATGCTAAGGCGAATAGCTGTAACCTAGCATAGAGTGGTGATGCCACACCGTTGTGCAACTTAGGCAAGAGTGGAGCTTGTCATTTCGCAAGGTGGAATGCGAAGTCGGCGGGTCGGCGAACAGTGGACCTCGGCTGGCGGCTGACTAATCCACTAGTCGGGCGTTGGACAAAACTCTCCACGTCGTCGCCACTCTCTTCTTTTTCCATGTTAATAGAAAGTTGCACCCACAAAATTTGACCTCACTCTTTGTTCCTCTACAAGATTGAAGTTGACATAAGCTGGGGAGATCGAAACTCTTTGCCCCCAAGAACTGCCTGCCCCTACCGAATGGGCTGACGGTCCCGTGGCTCCGAGACATCCTATCATTAAATTTTCATCGTTGCTACGTCTCCTCTCGCCTCGAACGATACCGATACGTATACGCACGAGTGACACGATGTATGCATAAACGCGACCAAAGCGACAGAAGTGATCGCTTTGGAAAGCGCTGCACAATAAGATGGCCCGTAAATCGAAGGCGATTGACCACATGGTCAATCGCATGAGCAAAGTACGGTTGGTGGACGAGCGGGCTGCCGCCCCGCCGGCATCTCCAAATGATGCGCCAGAACATGGCAAGAAAGCCGTTCAGCGCCAGCCGTTCCGCTTCTTCGATCTTCCCTACGAGCTGCGATTGCGCGTATACGAAGAGCTTCTGATCTTTCCCAAGACCATCGACCTCGACGAAACGAATTGCCGCACCATCGCACCCGCCCTCCGCCTCTTCCTCGTAGACCACCGCATGCACGAAGAAGCATCGCGCGTATTTTACGGCAGCAACACCTTCCGCGTGTTTCCCATCGGACGCTACATCAACCGCAAGCATCCGCTACTTGCATGGTTCCCTCGCAAATACCGCGCACAGCTTACACGCTTGGAGCTGAGACTAGGGCCAGGCTTCAACAAACCGCCGAAATGCTGGGTTGTGGATAGCCGCCTTGGCCTGGCGGCAATGAAGAAGGTGTATAAACTAAAGGTCTTTGTAGAGCTTGACCCTGCATCAAACGACGTGTTCGAAGGGTTCCGTGCTGGCAAAAACTTTTATACTGAATATTGCGTCGGGTTGCTGAGAGGTTTGCTCGCGCAGGTGCCATCGATCGACGATGTGGAGTTTGATGCATACCCGAGTGTGTCCAAGTCTAGCCCACTCTTGAATGGCTTGCTCGAAGAGACGAAGCTCAATCAGAAGCGCGTGGTCTGGGGCCCCGAGAGAGGGTGGGATAAGATCGTAGAGGTCGACTTGGCAGGCGTCTTGCAGAAGCTGAGGCTTGATACTTTTTGAGCTGTCTCTGCTGCAACATACGTGGTAGAGGCTATTGCATTATATACTATATCCTTTACATTACTTTGTGTATATTTATTTTACAAGCGATAATTAATGAATACAATCTACTCGAAGCTCTTCGTTCAGCCCGCTTCTTCCCATCTTGCCTTACCGACAAGCGCTTCTCAATTCACCCCGCATATGCATCCAGCTTTCACTCTAATTACCTTCCCTTTGTCTATTATCGCAACACTGAGCACTTGTGCATCGATCACGAAGTCTTCCATCGCTTTCTGGAGCATGGCGTGTTGATACCAAAACATGCGAATGCGGCTGCCACACGTTCTCGCCGGAGTGCGATTCGTCAACTTTGTCAGAAGCCAACATTGCCTTGGCTTCAGAATGGCTCAGGATATGTTCGGAAACTCACACTGCCTGCCGAGACGCTATAGCCGCTCCGTATCTACCCACACGTCTTATCAACATTTCCGATCCAAACCATCCTTTTCTAGAAGATAGCGAAGTAGTTAGCGTACATTCATACGTCACGCTGATCTATGTATGGGGTAACGTCAGAAGAAGATACCTGACTAACTCTGGAAATTTCGAGTAGCACTATATCTCAATCCCTTGATGCGACCTCCCAAAGACTTTTCAGGAGGCCATTGACTTCGCTTGTCGCTTAGGGTTCAAATATATCGGGATAGACGCCCTTACGATCATCCAAGACTCAGTCGAAGACTCGCGTACGGAGATCGCGCGAATGGGTGACGTGTACAAATGATCCGCTTTGACGATATGTTCTGGCGCTGGAGACAACGTAGATAAGGGCTTGTCTATGAGTCGAGATCCAAGATTGAACAAGCCTTGTCAACTGGGCTTTGCAGCTACAATTGGAGACGAGACATATTAGATATCAGCTTACGCACAGTCCTTATCCGAAAGAAGACCTTGTCCGCTGGACACTAGAGGATGGATTCTGCACGAAGAAATGCTTGCGCCACGATAACTGGTCTTTCGGCATTCTAAGATGCAATGGACATGCCGGAGCTGCGAATTATCAGAGAGTAAACCCACCGCCGATCCCTCACCCCCTGTTACTCGACAACGTAAGACCGGGCCTTGCGGGAGGCAAACCTGGGATGATTACAGCATATCTACCACTATTTCATTTCTGACTGGACAGCACCAATGCACCAGAAGGTTCGCACCACACGACTAGAGGCATCTTCGAAACATGGTATAAGATTATCGAAGCCTTTTGCCATCGACCCTTGAGTTGTAGCTCCGATGTGTTACCAGCTCTTGCCAATCTTGCAACCGTGCTGGCAGCCAATCACTATATCTCCTTACCTCGCAAGTCCAAGATTCAGTGATTAGGTTATCCCTCTGCTCATCCTCTTGGATTTGGGTCTCTCAGTGGGGTGAAGACATCAGATTTGAATCCAGTAAAAAAGGAAAGCAAACAAACATCCTTTACAACGCCAAGGAGGGTGTGGCCACCCTCGGGGTGGACTTGGGTCATGATCAATCGATCATGAATATGCAACGCCTGGTCGATAATTCCTTGATACTGTGCGGGCGCTGTATCCATCTTGAGATTAGTCTGGGTTAGTCACCAAAGAGAAAAAGATGATATGGCAAAGGTCACGACGTAAGGCATTCCAGCATCACGACTATCTGAATATGGACTACAGTAGCCGGGCCAGGCCAGTCATCGAGGCAAATCGGCAGACAGCCCATGGCAGGACTCAGACTAACAATGTCAAATTTTGCTTATGCAAGGCTCTGGATTCTGGGAATCGATCGGAAGACACAATAGAGCCGCACTCGAGACTTGCGCAAGCCGAAGGAATGTTACAGAAAGAGATCATATTGATCCCGAGATTTCGCAAATCAAAGGCACTCATGGAAGAATCGACTCAGGATTTTGAACCCGTGGAAAAGATCGAAGCTTACTTCACATTACTCGAGTTGGCGGTGGTTCCAGCGGACTGCGCAGGAGAGCACAGACGGGTCGGACTCTTGAAGACTTGCGTTCATTACGACAAAGACATCACTGAAGATCCTAACTTCGATCCACTGGAACAACTACCACACCCATGGTATCACACCCAAAAAGAGACATTCTCGCTGGCATAACAAGGCTGAAAGTAATATAGACCGTTGAGTGTATCGAATCAGCTTGTTGCAACCATTTTGTATCCCTAGCGCTCTGCCTTTACCACCTCGTTGTATGTTGATGATGCTCCTTGATGTCATGTATGGGAACCTATGTTCCCGCAAAATGTTATGAGGAGCACCCACAAGAACAATGTCGTCAAGATACCCAACACCACTCCGCTTTGCATCCTACACCACCTGACCTCCTCGTCTCGCCAAAAAAGTAATTCAAGAGTATCCTCAATGCACTCCCTCCAAAACTTCAGAACCGCTGCCGGTGCACCAAAGTTGGCTTTCGTTACACAGTCTGGACCTCCTTGTTCTAATACATGATTCCGGGTCGCATCATCGCAATACGCCTCCACCCACTCGGCAAGCAGAGTCCAGAGATATACTTTCAATTCGCGCCGAAGTTGGTGAATACTTGTCAAGCGGTGGCCCGGAGAACGCAGTGTGCGATGGAAGTACAAGCGCGTGATCCTGAAGATGTGATCGACCGCAACAAGAGTAGCCTTTTCTTCGTGTCCGGGGTAGTCGCAGCGCATAACATATCTCAGATACTCCTTGTGCGGCGTTAGAAATTTGGCACGGTCTTGAAGGTGTGCGAGCATCTTGAGAACTTCCATGTAATGAATATCGATCTCTTGGAAGGGGTCCGTGTCGGCCATGGTGTTTTCAATAGAGCTCATGACTAGGTAGTTGAGATCCAGTTCTGGTCGGTACCATGATGTGGTCGTTTCTTCTTCCTCAGTTGTATATCCCTCGGATTCACACTGACAGGCTTGGGAGTCCAGACCATCTTTGATTAAGCGAATACAGAGTCGATGGCCGCAATGTAGAGTACAGTGCGGCGCTGGTGCTGATACGCCCTGGCGTGTGTTTAATGGGTCTTCGAAGTCGGGAAATCGATCCTTGTCAATGTCTTTGTTTATGCCATCGAACAAAGGAGATGGTGGTGCGATGGGGAGACGAAGATTCGAGTATGGGCTATTGATGCGAAGTGGCGGCTTAGGACGTATGGTCGTAGACGTTGTTGCGGATGCAAAGTCAGTGTCTGAACTTCATTGTCGTGCTTGATAACGTGTTTTATAAGCGAGTCGTCCTTACAAGCGAGTCGTCCACCCCACCAACTTTGATCACCTTTGAAGATCAAATCAGTTATGCCTCAACGCCAACAAGCTCTATTGCGCTCATCTGAAGCTGATATGCAGCTTACTATATCATCTCTTAATAGCCACCAGATCAAGACTGAGAGAGCTGCTGCTCGCGCGTTTAACGTCCCTCGAATGACGCTACGCGACCGACGCGCTGGCAGGCTTGCACGACGCGATTGCCAGCCCAACTCAAAGAAGCTTACCCAGCTAGAGGAGGAGGTAATTATTAGACATATACTCGACCTTGATCAGCGAGGATTTGGGCCTACGTATACAGCTGCGCGCGATATGGCTAATAAGCTGCTTGCTGCGCGTGGCGCAGGTCGCGTTGGCGTCCACTGGCCGCGCAACTTTGTCAAGCGTACAGACAGTCTTATGACGCGTTTTAATCGATCGTACGATAGGCAGAGAGCTCTATGCGAGGATCCTGTGCTAATCAGCCGCTGGTTTAAGCTGGTAGAGGAGACAAAGGCCAAGTACGGCATCTGTGATGAGGACGTCTACAACTTTGACGAGGCTGGCTTTATGATGGGCAAGATCCAGACTTAGCTAGTTATCACAGGGTCAGAGAGGAGAGGCAGGCCAAAGACTATCCAGCCTGGCAACCGCGAGTGGGTGACGGTAATTGCTGCAATCAACGCTGCTGGCTGGACAATCCCACCGTTCCTCATCTTTGCTGGCAAGTATCACCTGTCAGCCTGGTACGAGGAGGATATCCTACGCGACTGGGCTATCGCAGTTAGCGACAACGGCTGGACAACCAACGAGATAGGAGTAGAGTGGCTAAAGCACTTTATTAAGCATACTGAGGGCAAGGTAGTTGGAGCACGCCGCCTGCTTATCCTTGACGGCCACGAGAGCCACCAGTCTCTTGAGTTTCAAGAGCTCTGCAAGGAGAGCAATATCTACACGCTCTGCATGCCAGCTCACTCATCTCACCTACTGCAGCCTCTTGACGTAGGCTGCTTCTCGCCTATGAAGCGCGCGTACAGCCGTGAGATTGAGGCTCTAATGCGCTACAATATCAACCATATCACCAAGCTCGAATTCCTGCCAGCCTTTAAGGCAGCCTTTGATCGATCGTTCACCTTAGCCAATATCTGCTCAGCTTTTCGAGGCGCAGGCCTAGCCCCTCTCCAGCCAGACGCTGTTCTATCAAAGCTCAACGTGCAGCTGCGTACGCCTACTCCACCAGCTGCTCTCGCAGAGCCTCCCTGGGAGGCTCGTACACCAAGCAACGTACGTGAGCTTGAGGCTCAATCAACGTTAATACGTGATCGCGTGCGGCAGCATAAGAGCTCATCACCAGCCTCGATTATTGAGGCGATTAACCAGCTTAAAAAGGGGGCTGAGGTGATGATGCTCTCAGCCGAGCTTATGCGCGATCAGATTACCTGCCTTGAGAGAGCCAACGAGGCAGCAACTAAGCGTAGGCAGCGCAAAAAGAAACGGATACAGAAGCGTGAGACCTTAACAAAGGGAGAGGGAGAGGATATACTAGCTCAAAAGGAGGCTGACCAGCAGATTGAGCGTGAACAGCGTCAAGGTGGTGAGCGATCAGGCCTTAGCCGCCAGGCTATTGCGCGCTGCAGGAGGTGCAGGGAGACTGGGCACAACTCACGAACGTGCAAAAAGGATGCTGTAGATACTATTTAATCTACTATATTAATCGCTTTGTTCTACCTTATTACGTTGTTGCGTTGCGTAGCTTTGAAGGTGATCAAAGTTAGTGGGGTGGACGACTCGCTTGTAAGGACGACTCGCTTATAAAACACGTTAGTGGCTGCGTGATAGATTGTTTGGCGGATGCGTTTTGAAGCAGGTGAAAGAAAGACAATCGGTTTGATCAGGAATGTTTTGCTCATGAGGGGCGAGACATTGTGCGGACATGTAGCCGTAGTCTAGGCGTTGTATGCAAGTTCATCGAGCTATACGTTGATGGCAACAGTGGCCGCGCGGTGAAGCTTTCCCTCACTTAGCTAACACCAAACTGGTGATGTATTCAGGAGGCAGACTACCAGCGGCTATCAGACTTCAAAGAGTAGTTATTTTGCATAATAGGTACTAACGAGAAAGAACTTTACATAAATTTAAAAAAGATACAATCGAGAATAGTGCTGCAAGCTATCTGTCCGTACAAATAGGAATGCTATGGTGTAGGTCATCTAAAAAGATGCTTTTGTCGCTCACCCTTTAGACTGGAATCATGAACGCGTATATGAAATAGCTGTTTACAGCGGGGTATTATACAACGGACTGGAGTATTGCTCAACATTACTTTCTCATCGTGAACCAACTCCAAAAACAAATGCTGAACCAACATCTAACACTGAAGCGTCATCTTCTTCCACCAAGAGCATCGGTCCAAGTCGAGTGCTTGAATCCTGTGCATCGCATTAGCCTCAAACCTTTTCCTCACAATACGTCTCCCAAACTTACACAAATGTCTCAAAGGGAACTCCTCTTATCCTCTCCTCCCCGTCTTCGTCAACTTCCCATGGGTCTGGCTGGAAGCTCACATCCGCCCATGACAGGAAGAGCTCCCTCCAGTAACATGCTTCCGCAGCAGGTGTAAGATATCTATCTCGAAATGTCGCTACACTGTTCTTCACAATAGCTTTCGCACGCTCTGGGTTCCGTAAGAGGTCTTGTACTTTTGCTTCGAGGTCGGAGAAATCGCGCTTTACCTCTACAACGTTTTGGTTTGGTCCGGAGGAAATGTAAAGGTGCGAATGAGGCTCAATCCACTCGGCTTTATGTGTTATCATAACAGATGCGCAGTTGAGAAGGTATTTCCCCCGGCCAGAGTAGCTGCGACCTACGAAGTTGTCAATATGTTCAGTTCCAGTCATCCTGTTCAGAGAGGAAAGGCCATCTTACCTTCAGTGTGTATAAGAAACTGATACTTGCAGTGATCCATGATTGGCAACGCAGCACTTCCCGCAGTCACATCCGTTCTGCTCTTCCAGGTCACTTGATCCACATCTGCCCATGATTTCCCTCTTGTAACTCTCATTAGCGCACCTCTTACTTCCTTGTTTGTCTTAATAGCCCCTCGCCAGAGTACCTTTGGAACTTTATTCTCCCACTCTACTTCGCTGTCCCGAATATCACCGCGTATTTGCTGATATTCGCCAACCAGATCAAGCGGCCATGACCAGTAGCCAAAGTCTGGCATCACCCACATTTCCTTGTCGAGAGAGGCATGTCGTGAGAAAGCCCAGAGAGTATGGTGAGAGTGAGATTCATCGGCTATGTCGTTTACGTGGAAGGAGAATTCTATCGAGGGGATGGGGGAAGGTGAAGATGTTATTGCGCGATTGAGTTGGTGGAGAGTAGCAAGAAGGCGGGGTCGTTGGTAGCCTTTTCCGTCGAATTTTGAGTCGATAACGTAGAGCTGAAGAGAATAGTGTTAGCTTCCGTGTCTTGTTAACAAACTAAGAAGACGGGGAATGACAATTACCTTGTGGTTGTATATCATAACCCGCACTGCCCCATACGGCTTCGAAGACAAATCGATGTCCGCAAGGCTGACATTTCCCAGGTCTTTTTGTACTGCAACTGAACGGTCCAACTCATCAAAGAGACCAGAGAATTTGGTACGGCACTCTGTGTGAGAGAGACCATAATTTGAAATGGGTGCTGTCAACGGTGGGTGGTAGGCCTTTGGTTTGTGGAGAGTTCCTGGTGCCGCTGGGGTTACTGGGTCCGGCGAGGTAGATAGAGTGTTTTGGAGAGTTCTCGACGTCCCTGAAAACGGACGGGAATCACTGGCTTGGAGACGATAGCGAAGAAGGGCTCCTGTTATGAATATCATAAGAATGCAGAACAAGCCGAAAGAATAAGACAGGAATTGGCGAAGACTACATGTTCTAGTCATGGTCTATGATGTTAATTCTGAACTTTTAAGGGGGAAAGGTTATAATTTGCTGTTGTAGATGTGTATGACCGCAAAACCCGCAACGACTCAACAGAGAAACAAAGCACGAAGCATGAAAGCTGGGCTACAACAACGCAAAGTTTGGCGATGATATCTAAGACTATACTGTGAGTTCTAAGAAAGTGAGAACAGGCGATGCGACGAGATTCAGCGAGGCGCAGTGCGGACCGGAGTGTGGACCGGAGTGCTGAGTCTCTCGCGTAGAGCGTGTTTCCCCTTCACAACAATTCCAGTTAGGACGATTAACCAATCCGAGCTAGCTTCGACTACGCCTCAGAGGCCTTAACCACGATAGGGATCCTGCGATAATTCCAAGGAGTCACATAACTAGTTATTTATCCCACCAACGCGATGGCGGAGCGCAGTTCCAGCGTTGCTGCCTCAGCACTGGTGATCATATTATATGCTTTTCGTGCGGCATATACATCCTTGCCCTGAAGACATAAATGCCTCCTTGGCCGAAGGCGCTTTCTTCTGGTATGGCGAGCTGCTTGCGGATGCTTTCTCTCTGCCTGATGTTGTTCTTCAACATTTTGGAACTAACCTGACAGCACACGGTATGCCCGCGGTATCGGATGCAGTGGTCGATTCTGTTTTCGTTGCTCTACTTCCACTCCTCCTATCTGTCATCTTCTTCCGTGCATACCGGCAATTGCTTTGAATGCTATGCTTGCGGCTGGCGTGTGAACAGGCGTGGCGATCGACTTCTGGCTTGAGGGATGTTTGACGGGGTAGGCCTCCGGCCATCTGGAACGTGTAGGCTACACCAGTTACGAAAGGATGAATGTGCGATGACTGTGAAACGATACGTCGAGCTCAGGGCGCGTCGAGTAGTCGGTTCAAGCCAAGCCCCTAGAGTGCAGCAGCGGGAAGATCGGGCTAGACTTATTTGGGATAGAGCCACCGCCGACAATGACGCAACGCGATTTTGTCCCCATGCCACTCTGGACGGTACCGACTTGGATCAGAAACGACCCTCAACCTCTCCCGCGATGCGACCGCTCTGAAGCGGACATTCCAAACCCTCGATCGCGTAATTCGATATGGCGCTTCCTTTAAGCATCTTCCTTGGCGGCTGCGTGGTCGCCATCCCCGTCGTAACTGGTGTCGCGCAAGGTGTCGAGCACCAGAAGAAGCAGAACGAAGAAGCCGCCAACGAGTCGCGCATGTGGAAATTCAACTGCCTCGTAGCCTGCGACGACCCCGATCCGATAGCGAAAGAAGAAGTCGACAATGGTATCCTCGTCGTGCGCCATGATAAAGTCTGGGTTGTGCCGAGGGATGCGGATAACAAGCCAATGTGGCCGGATGGGGTAGATGGGGAAGGGAGAGAGCCATTGCATCCGTTTGCAGGTTTCTACATCGCATACCCGGACGAGGAACGGTCTCCTCCGGAAAGGGGGCTGGTTAGCACGATCAGTGACGACCCCCCTATGCTGAACTGGATATACTGCGACAAAGAGACGTATGAACTACGCTACTCAAATCGCACGGGCAGCATCATGCATCATGTGGGCGTTTGGGACTGGACTGAAGATGAGACCCACCTCACATTTGACGGCTGGGAAGGCTTCATCGCTATCGACGAATGGGATGGTGCTGATGAAGACCCTAATACGCCGTGGGGTAAAGAAGGGCTGCGCTGGGCAGTGTACTTCGACAAAGACGACAACGGGCTCAAGGGGAGGCACAAAGGAAGGGACATGTTCGAGATCAGCCTCAAGCGTAGGATACAGAGCGCTGAAGAGCAACTGAAGCAGAATGAAGCAGCCGAGAAGAAGATGCAAGTCAAGAGTAGAGGTGGTCTTAGCACTCAGTTTGCTGCGCCTCAGAAAGAGAGAGACAAGGAGTGGGAAAAGAAGTTCGGTGAGAAAGCGAGGCTGGAGCTGGAGAGGAAATTGGCAAAAGATAAGGAGGAAGGGCAAGGGCCTGAGTGGGCCAGAGGCGATGTTGGGAACGGAGGATGAGCATGTGAAACAGACGACATGCCCGCCATGCCTAACAACGCTGTCTGTGAATTTGGCGTACGATACGGTGCTTCTGAGCTCAAATAGCGCTAGAAGTTGGTCGTCATGGCTGTTCACGTCTCGAATCGTAGTATTGCTGAGGAAGGCTGATAACGCCCCGGCTACGCCATGGGACGTTCGGCTGCCTTATAGCTCCGATGAATCGTTCCGTCCCTGGGGTCACCCATTCTACGCATCTCTATCACTTGAGGTCAGCCTCGTCAAACCTTTGACACAATGCTCTGTCACCACCGAGCATCAAGATGATCACAGTCTCATGTTGCGTATACGTCCCCGCCATACGAAATAGAAGGCTCAGGCGGGAATCTCGAACCGCAGAGTAAGGAGGTTTGGCACAGAGTTCACAAGGTGAGGCTCAAGCGACCTCTGCAGCAATCCTGCCGCGGTCATAGTATTGTCGAATTGGTATCAGCGACTGCGGTCCACACTTGACATCCCGTCAACACATTTCAGGAGTTCGTACAAACCACGAGTCTTTCAAATGCACTAGGCTTGCCTATGTGTCCGGCCCCAATTTATGCTGCGCAAGGGTCCTGTAGCCTGAGGGTCACTGGATATTTTAAAACAAAACCCCATTATGAGAGTATTGCCAAATAGGGTAGTACAGATCATGAGAATGAGTCTGCGATAAAACGAAGCATGCGTAAAAAGATATCACAATATATTGGCACTTTGTTCATAATTGCGCACGAGTGACCGCTAAGCCCTGGGGTAATGCCCAATTATCCCCCACTTCCGTCTCCTCCACTTTCGAGGTATTTGCTCTTGCACAGTTCCATCGTCAACTCATACAAGTTTCCTTGATCCCTTCTCATACGCGCTTGCGCTTGCGCTCCATATGGTGCTACCGATGGCCTCATATATAGCGTCGCAACTGGATTGAAGCGCTGAAGATATGTACCGCAAAATGAAAGGAGCCTCAAGCGTTTTCAGTTGTGCACACAGACCAGCCTCCCGAGCAGTTTCACTACGATTGATTTGAGCGATGAACTGAGCCGTCAAAGCATGGGCGCTGAGCAAGGAAGTCTGCATCTGCATCGAGCTGTGCATCCCTGGCGGTGCGCTTCAGTGTTTGGGCGGCTTGTGGAACATCGCAAGAGAGAAGATGCGTAACGCCTACAAGATGTGAATCTGTTGTGTGGCTGGCGTAGTACGGACTTCCGTCGACATGCTGGTTGCTCTCATACTGTCCAATGTCGATGCTGCCTCGATGGGAGCTGCCCAGAGTGTTTATCACCTGGAAGCTATTGAAGGGAACTGTTCCACCATCGATAGAACCAAGTTGAGTATGGTTTGCAACGCCTTTCAAGGTAGTGGTACTAGACGCAGGTAAGAACGCATGGCTACGGGTCGGTATATCCTGGCGAGCACCTCCAGTGTGAACCCGTCCTACTGAGATGCCAAGGCCCCTCAAATCCTCTGAGCTAAAATACTCTTCAGCATCTACCGATGCTGACTGTGTCTTCCCGGAGGCTGCGTCGTTCCTTTTCTTCCAAACCGATCGTCCTTCTTCGATGAACTCTTGACGCTTATCATTCTGTGCACAGTTCACGATGGTACCTGAGTATCGCTGGGCCGGCGCAGCAACAGTAGTTTCGAGATTTTCGCCCTTGAGCAGCGAGAAGCATCGGCTCTTAGACAAACGCAACAGTGCGCAGAGCTGGTCCATACGCTGCGCGAAAGTAAGGAAGCGTGACTTCCGGGCCGTCGCCAGCGCCTGCTTGTCATAGATGGGAAGCGACACCGGGCCATTGATATGTAGATGTTCGGAAACATCAACGAGCTGCCAACAGACCTTCTCCATGTGCTCTGGATGAGGCGCGTTAACAGCATCTCGAGTCCAGCGGTTCACGAAAGCGGGTGTTTCGCGCCGGTCTGAGCATGTTGAAGTGTCTTTCATCGCTTCCAACAGCTCAACAACGTATGCGGCTCGTTCTTCATCATTGGTCGGAATAGTGTCGTCGCTAATTGGTGCGAACCACTCCTTGTCGAGATGACGGAAAAGCATGGCCTTCTTCGCTTCTGCAAGATTCTGGAATGCTAGCCCATGGGTAGTACCTCGCGCTGAAGCAAGCTTAGTAGCCAGTTCCGGTGCCGGCGGATTGGGCGGTACATATCTATAATCGTCTTGGGTGTGCGCATGGGATAAGTCTTGCTGGGCATTAGCAGTATGTTGGAATGGCTGATAGGGAGGAGGCGGCGTGCTTGGGATATCCTGCGCTATCAACTGCTCAAGTGTTGGTTCGTCTTGTCGGATGACGCTATGTTGGAGCTGGTCGTTTTTGTTTGCACAACCGAAGACATTATCTAAACCAATCACTTTGTTTCCTAGTGCTCGTAGTTGAGAAAAGTTGAAATCTTCAAGGCCGCTGTCAGCACTCCATTGTGCGTCTTCGGCGTCCAATGTCATCTGATGCTGAGATTCAAAAGCGTGCTGGATGTCTGTAAAATTCAGCCCAAAGTTGCTGTTATCAGTACGGCTCTCGGCCAGGGGAGTGTCTTGAGACATGCTGTTATCAACGGACTTCCACTGGTTTCGATTGAGTTGTTCTCGGGTCAGAATAGAGTTGATAGTCCTAATCTACCCAATCACTCAAACGTTGGTCAGATTAGTTTTAGGTAGTACCTAGTTGAGAGACTGTAAGGTTGTGATCTGATGAGCATCGAGGTGGAAGAGTCTACATATGCCATATATGTGTCGTGGTGCTTCCTATTCAGTGAATCTAGTCTCCGCTGGTTGAGGCACGGCGATAGTGCAGTGATCTGAGTATTCACACTCCATCGAAGGCGAGAAGTCCATGAATGGAAGACTCGTGCGCTGTGTAGCCATAATACCAGAAGAGTGGAGGAGTTCTAGCAACGTCGATTCGACAATGTCCTAGTAGTATCGAATTGGAAGTAGAAATGTGACTCCCGTTTACACCAAGTCTGATGAGGCGTACTACAAGATGAAGTTTTGACGACATCATGCTGCCAGGTTTTTCGCACCCGCGTCGCTATCGTTGGAAAATAGTAGCTGTGCTAATAAGTGAATCTTCGAGAGAGGACATAGATGCGACGAGGAAGGTGTCGCTGAAGAGACACGTGCTGACAGCGCGACTGAACGCGTCGTGACCAGATTCGGACATCTAGCGGCTTGGCGGACAGTATCCGCAGGCCATAACGAGCATCCAGCTCGAAGAATTATAACGTAATCCGTTTTGATCTACTATGGGCTATATGCCATGATCCTAGCTCATATTTGTGCATCTTCACAACTACAGCATTTCCGCAAACTCCTACCAGTACTATGTAAATGTTCCTGAACTACCCAGTTAGTAAGACTGCGTATTTGGGGCTATCGATAATAATCTAAATGTTAGGCTAAAACTACTCTATCGCTAGAATACATCCATGAAGCACGCAGAACGCTGAAGAATACAGAAAGAAATAGATGTCTATCACAGCTATATTAGTTTCGTTCCACTCGATTATTCTATCGTCGTCCCTTGCTTTCACTACAATGCAATTTACGCAGCAGGCTTTCTCGGCTCCAACTTTCGCGGCGCCTTCTTTGGAGCAGATGCTTGACTTGCATCACCGCTCTTCTGTGCAGTGCTACCCTGCTGACCTAACTTCCTTGGCTTCCTCTTCTCTTTCGGGGCAGCCGCTGGGGCATTGTTCTCTTTGTTTTCACTAAACGATACGCGCTTTGGTTGACTAGAGGTGTTCGCAGGCTTGTTCGCAGTTTTTGATGTTTGTGAGGAGGTCTTTGACTGACTTGTAGTCTGTTGCGCACTCGGTGCTTGCTTTTGCTGAGAAGACTGGGCGGGTTGGGAAGCTGACTGAGGGTTGGCAGGTGCTCTAGTGGTTGGCGGCCGTTGAGAACGAGGTTTGGGTGCTTCTTTCACTGATTCGTTGGACTGTGACTTCTGTTGCTTTGGTGGTTGTGTGCTGTTGGTCTTTGGTTGTTGTTGTTGTTGTTGTTGTGGCTTCGTTTGAGAACTTTTCTGAGGCTGGGTTTGCTGTTGGGGCTGACTCGGCACTTGTTGGGCCTGCTTCTGAGGCTGCTGCTTCGGTTGAGATGAGCTTTGCTGCTGCTGTTGATGTTGTTGCTGTTGACCCTGGCCTCCCCAAGGATTCATTGCAGCACCTATTCCACCCAGTCCCATTGCACCCCCCATACCCTTAGCTGACGGCATATTGGGCATACTCGGCATACTCGGCCTCCATGCTGTCATGTCTTTGGCCGACTGAGACCAAGACTGCGGCATTTGGTCCGGTGCGTCGTTCTTCATTTGCTCCAGCTCTTCTTTGGACGGCGCTTGGGTTTCCTTCGTTTGCATAACCATCTTTTCTAAAGCCTTCTTTTGCGACGGCGTCGACTTGATATCTGGGAGGAAGTCTCCGACAACTCCCTGAACACCTTGACTTGCCATTTCGCCAAGATCCCACATTGGTCCGTTCATCGCGCCGTAAACTGATCCAATGCCACCTCCAAGCAGTCCTGTCACTGTGGATATTGTGCCGCCAACGAGGGCGCCAGTCAGTTTCCCAATGGTAACACCCGGCTGCACTCCCAATCCGGCACCAGCTGCAAGGCCTTGGAAAGCGCCCGACTGCGTGTACTTTGCCGCTTTTCCAAAAGACTCTGCTTCAATTTCCTTGTTGATTGCTTTTGCCAAAATCTCTTCTCTTGCCTTCGCGTCGCCCGCTCCATGCGCAGCTTGCCTCAACTCCCACGCCTTCTGCCCCGCCTGGAGCGCCATGCTTGCTGATACGCCGGCATTCTGTTTGATCTCATGGTCCGGGATGCCGCCTTGTTGGCCGCCAGCGTTGTTGTTAGCCATATCTTGGTTCGGTGAGTTTGCGGTTTTCGGTTTCGATTTTTGTTGCGCCTGTTTCGGTGGCATCTTTTCGTCCAAATGTGATTCTGATAATGTTATAGTAAGGGTCTAGACAGAAGGCTGGGTCGATGGGTTAACGCTAGTGTGACAGCTCAAGTGCGAATATGCTACGTCATTCCGATCATCAAGATCGTCGTGATAGTACGCGACCCGTGTGGCCAAACAACAACCTGTTTTAAGCCAAGAACACGAGACGTAGTCTTTATAAGATGTAGGGTTATCCCTTGTAGAGTCGGTCGAATAACTCAATAACAAGACCGATGGGTGTCACTCAGTGGTTCTTGTCCCAGTAACCGCAAGCCATGACGTCAGCAGCCCGACGCCAGGGTCTCTGGCTTTCCAAATTCCAGTATAGAACGACTCACATTCGCATGTTGTTAACCGAGCTTTCAGTAGTCCTAGCGCTTAGTGTAGTGTCGAACATGTCACTCGGCTCGCAAGTCATTCGCTCAAAATTCATCTCGTAGTTGGATCCAATCATTTTATGTCGAGCTCAAGACATGCAGATACCTATTCATTAGCTGTGGTCCACTCGCTCAATGCGTTGCTATGATAGTGTTTGAAGAAACGTTCACGCCTGTTTCATAGCGTCGCCGATAGCATCAGCTCCCTTTCCACCTCCCCTCAGTTCCTTGTTCGTTACTTGAATCAACACCCTTCGGTAGCTTGTCAGGGATGGCGTCCCGTCATCGGTAACTTCAAGTATCAGATGAAGCAGTTGACCTTGAGCAACCGGCTTTCTGCTCATCAACTCCACCGCGCATTTCTCTGGTGGTGGAAGCGTAACCTCGACTTTTCTGCCCTCATCGTCCAGCTTCTTGATTCCGAGTTCAGCTACCTCAGCATCAACCCACCATTGTGTTGCTGTAGGTTCACGGTAATGCCACCATTTGAACGTGATGTTCCTGTCATCGGGATCGTATGTAGCGGAGGCATCAAGGGTGATTGTTGATCCGGCCTCCGCAGTAATTTGTACAGGCGCTAAGCCTTTGAAGCCGCTGATGTTGATAACTGGGTGATGGTTCGCTTTCTCAAAGTCAGGCTCCATGCTCCATTTGATGCGCGCAGCAAAATCGTTCTGGAATGCATCACGCCAGCGCCAGATCGTCGCGTGATTCGATTTGTAAGTCCTATGGCCGACTTTGACTCTGTCCACTACATCGCTATAGTGGTTGCTGTTCAGCCCCTCAGTGCTGACATCAGTCCGTCCGTAACGACCTCCCCAAGACCCGTAGTTGGGGCAATCGGGTACACCCAAGCCATTTTGGATGAGGTAGAGGAATGTCGGGGTGTCGCCTTCCGGAATGAAGAGATAGTCGGGATACGCACTTCCGAGAGGGCCAATCTGGATGTTCTCCTTGATCCAGCTCTTCTCCATCTTGGTGAAGTCTGGGCCACCCTCATCAAAGCCATAGTACCTGTCGCCGGAGATGCCAGTCCATGCAGCCATACCATACTGGTTCCAGCCGTGAATGGAAGCAATGTAGAAGACGTCAGGGAAATTGTTGCGAATCCATGCGCCCGTGTCGTCTTGGTCGGAGATAGCGTAAACGCGTAGACGTGAGAGTAGGCGCTTGGAGTCCTCAGGCTCGAAATTGTCATCTACTTTGAGCAATGCTGAGGCAAGTGTGTTTGTTCCGCCCCAGCAAAGGACCCATAACGGCTGTGTAGACGGCGCGACAATGCGATCATACAACAACTGTCCGCCTGGAGACAGTGGGATGTCTGTGCCAACAGCCGACATACCGTAAGTCTAAACATTATCAGCGCCATTCGCAAGTAACACATTGCACGTTGGATAACGGGTGGAAGCATACCTCAGCGCCTTTGCAGATCAACCCGCGCATGCGATCTGCGGTCGGGTATTGCCATTTTGGGTGCACATGCTTATTCAAGTTGTCAACGACGTCGGCATATGCGTCGATGATTTTCTCCATGTCTTGCGGGCACACTTTGTTCTTCATCCACGTGCTTGTGCAAGCTACGAGACCCTCTGTCTCGAACTCGTTGGAGTACAGAAGGTATCGACATAGCGACTCAGCATCATCCGGTTCGTTGGAGATGTCGGACAAGATGAATACGCGGGGTTTTTGCGCATATGTTTGTAGCCTTTCGGTAGCCATGTTGGATGATCTAGTTTGGTGTGGTGAAGAGGATGAGATTGACTATGAATACAATAGAGGGCGAGCTCCTATTTCCATACTGTTGAGCTGTTGTGGTCCCTCGACGTTACACAAAAAGCAATTGAAACTGTACCATGGCGTCTCACAAAGGTGGGGCGTTGAGCGGCGGATGCGGTGTCCTTAGGCACCTCCTTCCATCTGGAGTAGATCCGGCTATACTTGCCATCCGTGTTTCTCGGCCTGAAGCTGCTCCTCACTATTTCCTGGATTGGGTCGCTGTGAGTCGCCTCACCATCCCGACCCAGATTCTACACGACTTGGAAAGTACGGAATAGCCGTTGCCACGCGCTCTTAGTGGAATGAGGCTCAGCTGTCTGCGCCACAACTGGGCCGCATCAAACTGTAGCTCAGCCTTGCATGCTATGACGTCCTGCAATCTACCTGCCCCGCTTCAACACCACCAGCCACGATCAGAGGACAGCAATGTTGTTAAGGATTCAGGCGCCCAACAGCCCAAGGCACGACAATACATTGGTGCCGCTGGTCCGTCCGCCAAGCTTAAACGATCATAACCCTTTGACGTATAGAGTCCGGTAGAAGGTAGGCTGTGCTCCTCGTTGCTTCCTTGATATCTAGCGCTCGTACTATGCTCATACCTTACTACTCACGGAGCTATCGATCCAAACACCATATCCCAACATGTCAATCCATAATAAGATCCAACAGGCAGCCCATCAGAATGAACAACTCCTTCGCGGGCTCGAAGAAACAGATGCCGCACCCTCACAGCTCAAGCAGCAGATCGCCTACATCGCTGACCTCGACTCGCAAATCAACAACACCAGAAAGCGCGTCAACGATCTGAAGAAGAGAACGGCTAGTGAGCTGAAAGATCACGAAAAGTATCGCGACTCCACTTTCCGCCGTTTCGCACACAAGGCTAGCGGCAAGAAGGAGAAGTTCGCCGAGAAGGCAGCAAAGGAAGAAAAAGAGTACTTCGATGCAATCCAGGAGCAGAAGAGTGCCGAAGATGAGCTAGCATACGTCAAGCAACTACGCGACGAAGCCGAGATACGCAAAAACGAAATCACATCGCAAGCCAACCGTCACGACACCCTCCAAGCCGAACTCGATGCCCTCTACAACTCAATCTTCGCCGGCCATACGCCCGAATTTCCTGATGAGGATCGCAAAGAGGAAGCTTGCAACGCCGCCTCCGCACAAGTTCAGAACCTGAACCAACGCCTCGAGCGCGAACGCCACGTCCTCTTCCTCCTCGGACAAACCGTGGTGAAGCTCTCGGCAGCACGCGAATATCTCGATGGCGCATACGGCATGAGCCAATACGACATGTTCGGCGGTGGAACAATGGCCAGCATGCAGAAGCGCAACTACCTCGAGCGCGCAGAGAGCGCTATACAGCAGGTGCGCATGCTACAACAGCAGGTCAAGCAAGCCGCGCCAGAGATACCTGGGCTGGGGCAACTCAACATCGCCATGGGTAGCATCTGGAGTGATGTCGTGTTCGACAACATCTTCACTGACATGCAGATGCACGATCAGGTTAAGCAATCTATCGTACAGGTTGACCGCGCAGGCAACAAGTGCAGTGACATTATCAGGCAGCGCGAGGTGCGGGAGAAGAGTCTGCAAAGGGAAGTGGATCAGGCAAAGTCAAAGTTGCAACATGCGCGGTTGGAACTACAGCAAGCGCGTGAAGAAGCCTTCAGGAGGGTACTTGGTGGTGCGCAGGGAAACGCTGGTATGGGGGGTTTTGCGCCTCCTGGTGGTGAAGCTCCTCCGCCTGAGTATGCTCCACCAGCAGGCCCTCCACCCGGATACCAGGCTTGAGCAGCATGTCGTACATATGCTTGTTGACACGGGGGAATGTGGAGCTTCCATTCGGGCCGCATACTCTGGCACTATGTTTAGTATGCTATAGGGGCTCGGCATAACTTCAGTTCTCGTATAGAGTAGATAGAGGATCCTTATGTGATTACATATGAAGCTCGTAATGACACTCGTACCTCGGCAGTTTTGTTGGATGGTCGAAGATTTGAAGACATGCGTTTACTATCTGGAAACTAAAGCGAAGCGGCTGCGACGAGTTTATCGTTAGGATTCTATATTTGTGAGATTTCGTATTCGAGTGGATCTTTTCGTATGAGTTTTGACAGATCTACCGCAAAGACACAACACGCATATGACATCGTTCGAGTGGTGATGCACGGCAGACAACTGATATCTATGTATCATCAGATCAACGGCTATGTCCGACAATCACTTTGGCAACCAGAATATTGTGTGACTTGATCGAATAAATATGCTACATCAGATGCTGCTATTTACCTCCCATAGGCGTGTTGCAGATTGAACATCGCCCCCCCCTAAATAAAAGCCTCAGCAAGGTACGACTCAAAGTTGCTGTCCCGGAAAGAAGGAGTCGCGTCGACAAAGTCCGTGTTCTCAATTGCCCTCTTCGCCGCCGCAGGCATACTATCCCACGCAATCACCGGCTGCTCTCCGCCCTTCGTGCTCGTAGAGATAAGCTGGTGGTTAACAGGGAAAATGGACCTGTAGCCAATCAAGGGACGAGTGCCGTCGAGGTTTGGCCTGGTGACCTTCTGGTAGTCGCCGTGAGCAGAGATGGCAACGCCGCGGAGAGTAGCGGTGGCGGATTGGGCTGACAGCCAGACGACAATGTTTTCCCAGTCGTGTCGGTGGCCGAGACCAGGGCTAGGGCTGTCTTTGGGCATGTACCACGAGTACATGATGGCGTAGGCACCATTGTGGGTGCCAGCGCGGGCATAGACCTGTCCAGGGCTGGAACTACACAATCCTGAAGGGTCACCAGAAGTGGCCAGGCCGCCGCTTCAAAGAATGTTAGTCCACTAATAGTGTACAAGTGTGAACGAAAACTTACCCAGTGTCACCTGCGGCGTTGACAGCAGGGAAAGGAACGCAGCCGTTCTCGACCTTGAGGTAGGGTTTGTACTTGAGCATGAGCTGCCCTACGATGCCGGAGGGAACGGTCTCGCGGAAGCCAACTACAGCATCGTGGTTGATGACAGCACGGCTTTGGAGGTTGACAGGTGAAGCGAGGACGACACTCGCAGCAGCGAGGAGCTGAACGGCAAAGTTGAGCATCTTGACTTTGGTGAAAAGCGAATGGAAGTGGGAAGGTACTGTTTAACGAGTGAACGACGTCTTTGAGCCGGTGATGGGCTGGCTTGCTCTCTGTAAAACGGCGGGTACGATGGATTTTATACAATGGCTCCGATGTTGTTCCAGTTGTCTTCGGCTCTTTCCGGTATCTTGCTTGCTGATTACCTGTGGTTTTCCCCTCTATGTCTCCCGAGACCTCAAAGAGGAAGTTCGCGATGAGACTAACGTAGAGTCGTTGTGCTGGGGACCGTGGGTAGCACATGTGCAGCGCACATGCCTTTACATATCAACAACGATTGGTTGTTTCTTCCGCTTCATTGGATGCGTAGCAATGTTGCCGACATTGTCACTGGGGTACCTGCAGCGCACCGGCGTCCGGCACGGGGCGATTCAAGACGTGCATCTCTACGCTCGGAGGAAACATCTGCGGATGGTAACGCAAGATGTCGATCGAATAGATTGAGGACCAGGACGGTCCTATGCCGGCGAATAGGAAAAAAGTGCGTGGTTGATCGTGACCGAACAATTGGTCCGTGGCCGAGACTAAGCCGAGACCATATCAGGCAGGTGCAGGGGAGGTGAACATAACATGTGGCAGTGTGTAGAAACAAAACAAGGAATGCATCAGGTTTATGGTAGCAGACAGGGAGAACGTGAGAGGTTGATATGTGATGATTGGAGCAGCCAAACGTACCTGCAGTCACATGAGGATATAATGCATGATCTCGGGTATCGAACGGAAGAATGCACAATCATATTCCGCAATGCGAGCAGTCATCCGAACTGTCTCCAGACAGTCTTCCGCTGATCTTTTGGTGGTGTTTCCGGACCTGGCATTAGTTCACGGAGCATGTCGTTGATGTCCAGACCTCGCTCCTGACAGTCGTGCCATTGCTTTGGGTATCCTAGGCTGACCTCTTCAAAGCGCGTGTTGTCTATCCAGTCCGTCCTTCTGATGTGCAGATGGCCGGAGACGACTATCTTCGCGTTGAACCTGTTGTGCCAGTCTTCCGTTTTCTTTGTGCCACACCAAAGTGAGAAGCGCGGGACCCTGAACAGCTTCACTAGGTCTTCCCGCAGCGGCCAGTGGCCTACTATGATCAATGGGGTGTCTGGGTGCGCTGCGACAGCTGCTGTGAGCTTCTTTTCCGTCTTGTCGAGCAGCGCGTTGCACCATTCGATACGCGACGAGTAGGGGTCGGGATGCAGGAGGTGCTCATCAGTCGCTTCTATGTCTTCTTCTCTCGCCCAGTCAAGCGCGCCCTCTAGCTTCACATGACTGGGCCGGAAGCTGTAGTCATATAATGTGAAGATGGGTGCAATGAGACATGGCCCTCCTTCGCCCTCCCATAACGTGTACTCGTCCTCAGGTGTGACTATGCCGTACTCCCGCGCGATGGCGACGCACTCCATGTATTTCGCCTCGCCCCTTGCACCATGGTCCTTCTCTGAGGGCAGCGTATATAGCTCGTGGTTCCCTGGCACCCAGAAGACTTGTCTGAAGCATTCTTTAACCTTGGTAAAGGCTATGCGGCAATGCTCTGCTGACTCGCCAACATCTCCACATAGTATGAGGTCATCATGCGGGTGCGGAAGGAGCTTCTCGAGAGCTTCGCGATTGCCTTTGAAAGAGAGGTGTATATCGCTAATACCCCATAGACGGCTCGCTGGGGGCGTTTCGGCGGATGGCGGGGAGCTAGGCGGGGTGCATGTCTTGTCTGAGGCTGCGGCTGCGGCTTCCGCGGCGGCGAGGAGAGGGTCCATGGTGGCGCGCGACGACGAATGACTTCAAGTTAACTACAGGGCGTCGTGGACGTTAAATACTAACAATGCTCTCAGGAGTCGACGTGTTGCAAAAGAAACTACATCATAGTCCGCTTCAAAACGCGTGTCCGCGGTTTCGGTGGGCTATAATAATCGAGGAGCACAGACCAGTAAGACGTCAACCCTCATATCAGCACAGAGCTGCTGCATCCGCTCATCTATCAAACATCAGCTATTCGTTCAAGCCGCATACACCCGATATACGAATGGCAGTTGTGCCATCTCTCGAAACCGGGTCCCCGCTGACTACCGGCTGAGGCCGCCAAGGATCACATAATAGACACTTGTTCGAGTTTCACTGCTGAGGCCGTTGAATTTCGCACACTACATTTGATCGAAAGAACTACGCCCATAGCCACCTTTGGTCACACTATCAATATCATTCTAGTCGCTGCCAGTGGCTACCATTGCTACATGTACAGTCTTCTCGATATTCTGGCTGTCTTGCTCAACCCAGACGTCATCTCGTCTCTCCCAAGCTATCCAACTTCGTCAAGAACTTCGTCATCGTAAAATGTCCAAGTGGCAGGTAATGTGGAGATCCTTTTCACGTCGCTACTGCCGAGCTCGCCGTTCAGAAGTAGATTGTACTGATACCCGATCGGGCGCTCACCTTCTGGGGTTTTCCATGCCTCTTCAAGCGTCCATCGGTCCAACCTTTCACTCTCCTTGGGCGGATCTGAAATCTTTAGGATCGGTGAGAAAGTTCCATGGTTGGCGGTTGATGTCATAGGCGGAGGCCATGAGCGTCGGTCAGAGACTGTCGAAGCTTTTGTATGCTATGGTCAGTCTTGCGATAGCGCTAGTGTCGAGATAGTGCAGACGGCAAAACTGAACCGGAGCATATCGTGAATTCAGCAGATCGACGATAGAAGGACTTGTCCTGTGATGGATCTTGATATAAGTATGTATTGATCCGTAGAGAAAGTAGTAAAAGATTGGAAAGGTGAGGCCACTAATGATAGCATTTAGATTGTCGGAGCTAATACGTTAACTTCATATGCACAACATTTAATGCTGACGTTACCGTTTACCTGTGGTTAATATTCGGTCACACCGTTACGAACATAGTGTTATGTTACAAGCAGACCATGCAAACGCTCGAGCAGCGATGGTTTCTAGAGACTGGCATGATCACAAAAGACTAGCCCGCTTGACAAGAACATCCCTCATGACGAATCACCGTTTGATCTAAAGCGTGCGGCGGTCAGCCATTCGGATCTTCACCAGCTCAGAGACCACCAGATTTCGACAGACAGTTAGAGAGCTAGATGCATTGCTTGTGGAGGGTGGTGACGCGATTTATGGCTCGCAATCGCCAATCTCCCTTTATATCCCGAAGGTATATTCAAGAATTGAAGCTGAAGATCAGTGCAGTAAGCAACACATAGAGCACTCTCTCGGTCGAATCTCTTTGCGTAGCTCATAGTATGATTGAAGCTGAACGGCAGATGACCTCAGTATCTATTCAGGGGAAGTATGCCCACTACGGTGCTGCCGGAGTCGAGTCGAAGTCACAATGAATATATTGATACAAGGCGATTTCCTTATGTCTGCAGTATTGCTCATCCGTGAGTACCTGGTCTTATAAGTGGTATGTGCTGTGGAAGTGATTAATGGCTCGTCGTCGATGGGTCACCGCAGTAGCACGAGTCACAGTGGGTACAGAGCGATGGGCGTTAGTCAAAGTGGCCATGAGACTCGAGGTTGACGCATATCCCAAGCATTTTTCTTCGAACGTGGGAAAGGGAATAGTAGCGCAAGGCTTTGGTGAGGAGGTTGTAGCCTCACCGTCGTGCTTCTTCACCTTGATTCGACCGCCTAACCCATTACAAACCATTGTGAACTCCCACAACAGACAATAGTCCACTTCTTACTTCGATTGATCATCAAGAAGGTTCAACCAACCTGCACCTCGACCATCAATATGATGGCTCTCTCTACCGGCATCACGCTTACCGATCTGCTGAGCATCCGATTCGTGCCCATTCAGGATTCACTGATGGCTTTGCTGGATCCATTGGATACCCTCGCTATGATGTTGAAATCTAAGGAGATCAACGAGAAAGTGAATCAAAAGCTCAAAGCTGGTTAGTGCGACATCAACGCTCGGCTTCAGTCATTCTTCCGAGATCCGCGCGTCTTTCGCTCAGTACAAGCTCACTGCAGCCCTCTCGCTCACTGTTTCTTCATTGGGTTGATTCGCAAACTTATCTTTTTACTGTACTTCGAGAAGGATGTTGAAGCTATGTTCTGTTATTTGGATGCCGAAGGCTACGTTGAAGGCCCTTCAAAGTTATTCGGCAAGGGTGTGTCCTCACCTTCATACAAAAGATATGAGAAGTATGGCCCTCAAGGTATCTGGTATATGATCGGCGTGTGCAGCAGTCATCGAGAGTCTGCTGTACAGATGGTTTTGAACGGCCAGTGTGTAACTGGAGGTCTAACATTCATTTCATGGAACAAGGCATACCAAGTATTACCTTGTACGATATTTATCAAACAGGAAATGTATCTTCTGTGTAATCAGACAGGTGAGGGGTCTTAATTACGGTTATTTAGCCAAAATGGCATCAAGATCAAGAGCGTGCACTGAAATGCATGCGAGAAAATTCGCCCGACAGATTGCTCACTCGCCTACGACGCATTGGAGACGAGCACACCTGGACAATACCCCTCGATACGGTGGGTGTCACACCTTCCCCCACACCGGACTCTGTACTTGACGTGTGTACGTTTCGAATGAATCTTCCTGTTATGCGAGGTTTCCCCGTGGAATACTATACGCTGGACGTCACTACCAAATTTTGCCATCCGGTACCAGAGCATTCATACTCCACATCGCATTTCAAGGATGACGGCTTGGATCCTTACTACCTCAATATAGTCCAACTCTCTGATAGAATAGGCGACGCAACTGTAATTGACACGGCGAAGATGGATGAGGAGAAGTGACCCACAGAGTACGGTACGGTGAAGGGAGACATATCCAAAGCATGTGAGCTGCGAGGAAAGTTCGTCTTGCCGAAGAGCTGGCGCTCTTTCGACGAAGACGTTAGGGTGTACCTGATGGCTGCTTGAAAGGAACAAGTGAAGTGGGAGGAAGAAGAAGAGAAGAAGAAGAAAAGACGTCCCGATTGGACTTGGCTGCGACTTTGGGGAAAGAAATGGAAGAGGCAGTTTTGCAGACATGCGGGAGATTTTAGAATGCACGGATTACAATTCGGAGCGAGCTAATGGCTCTGACTTGTAGACATGGAAAAATCTATATCAAACGGGAGTCGAAAGTTCTAATAAGCTAACGGTGCAACCGCGGTGGTAATGATGTCACAGTCATGCACCTTTCGACTGTCACACTAAAGAAGCCAACCTCAACATCAACCTCAAAAAGGAGCCTGTCAATGGTGCCACAACACAAGCTTTGGGAAGCGAGTAAGAAGCCTTGCACCAAAGATTATTCGGAGAGAAAACATATCGGACCAACAGTTACCGATGCAAACGCCGCGGCAACTACACGCTTCTCGCCTCGAGTCAAGCAACCGAACCAAGCTCATAGCCAAGCTAAACATCCTCCGAGCTCATTACCGCAGCTTAGGCATATAGCTTGCAACCATGGATCGGCTACTTGGCAGCTAGATGACGCGCCAACGTGATTGACAGGGACCGAGTGCGATTTGGCGCGACGATCGGCGACAAAAGCTATAACAAGAAATGGAAGCCCAGGTGACGGTGATTTGGAAAGTAATCATCGTCACCATCGTCACGAACATCATGTCGAGCATCATTCCCGTCGACCTGTCATCCTTTGCGACGGATCCGTCGTACCTGAACACTCTAGTCACTACCAATGTCTCCAATCCGAGTGTCATCAATCTTCTCGCATACGATGAAAGCTTCGCGTCTGTAGTTGGAGAGAACGCCACAGCGCGACAATTACATAACCTTGACTGGCAAGCTTTCCATGAGGCAGGTGTTTACAACAAGGACGCAAAGAAGTTGTACGTCACGAGCAACTGGGCTGGCGACTTGGAGAACCCCATCAATGTTACCATAATCGACCTAGCGAACAACTACTCCATCAGCTCAACGCGGTACTCAGCTCTTGCGGAAGCCAACGGCGCAACATCCTACTACCCACCCGGCACCCAAACCAACGGCTCGACTCCCTCACGCGTTCTATACTGCGACCAAGGCGATCTTGTCAACCCAGCAGGTCTCGTCTCCGTAGACCCCGTAACAGGCGACTCTGAACGCATTTTGACTAACTTCCTCGGTCGAAATTTCAGCTCACCCAACGATGCGCGTCAGCACCCTGTAACAGGCGATATCTGGTTCACAGACGCCGACTACGGCTACATTCAACATTTCCGACCTGCGCCCACTATTCCCAAGCATGTTTACCGCTTCTCTCCTGCCACTGGTGAGATTGCTGCTGTAGCAGACGGATTCACTCAACCCAACGGCCTTGAGTTCAGCCCTGACTACAAGACGCTATACGTTTCTGACACTGGCGCCGTGGAGTTTGACAAGAACCTCACGCGGCCGGCTACATTATACGCCTTCGATATTACGGAAGACGGAAAGAGACTAACTGGAAGACGGACATTTGCCTACTCTGACAACGGATTCCCTGACGGTCTACATACAGATACCGAGGGTAATGTATGGGCTGGATGTGGTGACGGCATACACATTTGGAATCCTCTCGGAACACTAATTGGAAAGATCTGGCTTGGTGTTGAGACGAACAACTTTGCCTTCCTACCCGGTGCTGTATTGGTCTTTAGCAATGCACAATTGTGGATTGTAGAGAACTTGAAGGCTGTGGGGAGGGAGGTTAGCAAAGACTTTGGAGTTTGAAAATACTATTTCGAGTCGCAAATAAACGAAATACCTTCTTATAAATGCGCTCGGGCTTAGACCTGAATAGTCCTTCCATCGCCTGCACGAACATTACTCGAGTTCGAGCCACAACACAATATCAATTTGAAATCCAACACAGGCAGTCCCAGCACGATGGCTTTCAACACATACAATGGCGTCTTTGGCTCAGTACACCACGCCCCAAGAGGTCGAGCTGTCCGATCCGCCTGGCCCGATCATGATCTCTCCAGCACCAGTGGGCAGCGATCACCAAATGACTTTTTCAAATAGTTCTCTTAGCTACCGTACGAAGCATAGCCAGAAGAACAGCTTCTTGGCCACTCCCGATTATAATCGTTCAATGCTATATGTCCCTATATGTTTCAGCCAGTACCGTGGTCTTTCACTTTCCCCAAGGGTATTGAGAGCAGAAGGGACGTCGGGGGTCTCTTAGCGCATTTGTATCGTTTCATTTGGATAATTGTTCGGTCAGCGAGCATGCTCCGTAGCTACAACAATAGGGCGTATTGAGAAAAGTAGAATTTGCTGATAGTCAGAATGTGATCGATGTGCTATCTTCAGAAGGTGTTGAATGTTGAATGTCCGGGATATGAGCCACGTGAGCGCATCGCTTATCGTGCGCTAAGGATTACACCCCTGCACAGCCTAATGTGAGGTCTGGCCAGGCACAGCCGTCACAAAATCTCTCGCCTTCTGTCAATCAAAAGTCACGATAACGTACCCACACCCACATACCTATATCCACAATGGCTTTCCTCCGATCATTCAACTCTGGCATAAGTATACGTGACATACGAAATTGACCCACAGCCCGCGCGACAGTTTACCATCTATTACCTGGCCCTTTGCTAGACATCGAGGGGCATAGTTGTTTCCCGCAAATTCCGCGGAGTACGATTGCTTTTTGACTCCTGAACGGAGCGCCGATTCACTCACCCGGCAGTCTGCTTGTGTGTGCTAATAATTTCCTCAATACCGCTACCATGGACGCCCCCGAAAGCGACTCGTCTATCCCTGTAGCCAGTGACTCGGTTTTCAGTCTCTCACGCCCTTCGTCAGCCTCCTCAATCCATCCGACCGATACACCGAAAGATCTGCCAGCGGGCGCACCGATATCTTCTCTCTTCCAAGTCCGACATACGCCGACCGCCGGTCGCGCTGTTTTCGCTACCCAAGGTATACCAGAGGGTACACTCGTATGGCGCTCAGAAGATCTCACACTCAATGTCCTCCTACGCGAATATCGACGCGAAGTATGTGGGCAATGTTTCGCATACGATTACGGGCGGGATCTGGATATACGGGACAAGACGGTAGGGTTTGCGTTCTGTTCGAAGGCATGTCAGGATAAATGGCGGGAAGAGAACGGCGAGATTGGTGTTCAGGCATGGACTGCAGTCGAAAATTTAGTAAGGAAGAGGAGCAAGGAGGATAGTGACATGGTGGACACCGACCTACCACGACCGAAGGCCAAGGAGATTCAGCAGGCTTGGGGAAATGTTGCTGCGCAGGCGGCGCTGATACGGGCCGCACGGGAAAGCGAACAAACAATACCGGGCGAAGAAGCTGCAGTTCCAATCACAAAGCAGCACAAAAAGGCCGTGTCAAAAGCACTACAAGAGAACATCACACCCGACGTGATGAGCTTCTGCGTTAGTGGCCTGGTCTGGCGATACCTTCATCCGGAGCAATGGGAACGCATGGAGGCACTTGCAGACGACAAGACACCTTATCATAGCTCTGACGACCTCGGCGCGTTCACAAGAACCTACCTGCACCTCCTTGCCATCCTTCCCCTACCGCTCCTCCCACTGCTGACGGTAGAGACGCTAATCACGCTCTCGTCTCGCGACTCGCACAACTCGTTCGGTATTCGCTCCCTCGAAGACGACGGCTCAGAATTCTTCGGATACGGTTGCTGGCCCGCGGCAAGCTACTTCAACCACTCGTGCGGGCCGAACATTGGGAAGAACAGGGAGGGTAGGACGTGGTTTTTTAGAGCTGGGAAAGACATCGAGAAAGGGGAGGAGCTGTGCATTACATATCTTAGTGGAGAGGAGAGGAAACTAAGTCGTGGTAAGAGACTTTTGAGGTTGAAGAAGACGTGGGGCTTTGATTGTGCGTGTGAGAGGTGTGAAGCGCTGTAGTAGTTGTCGCGAGTAGTTTAGTTGATGTTAAACTTACAACTTAGGCATTTCCAACTTCTGCATTCTATACCATTCCCATACAAAGATTTACTCTCAAAATGAGCAATATTGCAAGCGTGAAGAACCTGTAGTTGGCAACTCCACGAGCAGACAGCCGCAAGGATAACTGGATCGACCCTGCAATTTTTGGAGATGTTCTGGAAAACCCTCAGGGTCATCTATCCACTCGAGTAACGAGCGCTCTAACAATCTGCTCAACTTTGCATTCGCAAGTCGTCCCGCCATGTGGGTTGACTCACTCCCGCGAGGTCGAAGGGGTTTGTCTAAAGAATGTTGCATGAACTTAATTAATGTTGGGTGGGAGCTGCTGCCAAGTGCGGAATGTTATCCTTTCTGAGCCGTCCCCTGGCCCTTGTACGGCTACCGGCTCACTAGTAATATTGAACCCGTAGGATAGTTTGCAGCATCTATTTGACTGAATGCACACGGCTTGTTGCGTTCTGTTTTGACCTAGTATCCTCGCTGTTCTTAAATTTGTACAGTAGAAGGCTAGAGGGGCGGTCATCATCAATGAAGCTGCCGCGTTAGTCATGTCATCGAGGGTCCAGATGATTACCACGAGGATGATGTGAGAAAGAGTCTCTTTGTCATCAGATTAGTGAGATGGAAGCCCGAACATCAACAGGGACTCTGCTGCCGAATGTCCATGTCGGCTCCGCTCGCAACTTTGCATATCGCACAGGAAGCACGCGCAATGATAGATGGACGGTCCGAATCTCAGGCGCAAGGCCGTGGATTTCGACCGACACTAAAGCGACGTTCCGAACGTATGTATGTAAGACGTCTCGTGGCGCTCTTGGCTCTGCCCAATGCGATCTGCAGATGGTTCATAACAAATATGTGTGGACGCCGTAAGCGGCGGATATGTTTCAGTCGAGAGACGGAAGATTGACGTCTTCAATGAGCGTCCCCCACTACCTACAGACGGTGACGTAACGGATCCGCTGCGCTAATTGGACCCTGCAGGCTGCTAGGCCGTTATACTGCTCAGAGCGAGAAATTAGAATTGCGGGCGCTGGGAGGACGCATGCAGGAGAGATTGCCATAGTTGTTGCTATCCACAATGCATCATGGGTGCTGCCTTGGTCTTTATATGCGGTCATTGGGCACTCTTCGGCCGTCTTGGGACCCTCTTCCAAGGTCGCAAAGGAGGTTTGCATGCAGCGTGGCGTCGGCGGCAGCATCCCTAGCGAGTCTCTCAGCCTCTAGATGGAGCCAGGCTCAACTCTGCGAGTTTACTGGGAGGAGGCTGCCGGAGATTCCGCGGGCGTCAGCATGTGCCACTATTGCTGAAGAGTATTCGCGCGGAGGTAGCGCACTCGCTTTGTCCAAGCAAAAGACAAATAACATGTCTTCGCGCAAAACGCTTTTGAAAGATACATAGACTTCTTCTTCCTCGTCTTCTTGCTACTCCATCATACCGCCGCACTTGGCCGTCCCCATCGCTCGCCTGTCTTGCCATATCACGACCCTTACGTCGCCCCAGCCATCATCGAGATCGGATCCTTCCGCTGAGCAGGTCAGGCTCCACGAACGGTGCTCCATTGACGTTGAAATCAAACCCTTGCTCGAGCTAGCGGAAGCCGTAAGATCTCCCTCCTAGACGGGACGCGGAACAGCGATACGAGCGTCATACCTCCACCAAGCGGTAGGGCACAAACGAAGCATTCGAGGGCTGTCATCGAGATCCGAGTCGCTACATGCAGTCCAAGAACACATCTCCCCGAGGCGGACGCACCAAGAAGATGGGCCTCCCAGTAATTGAGGTATGATGGATTTCTTCCTCTGCACTACAAATGCCAGAAGCTTCTCAAGGCGCCACGCCCATGATTTCGCGCGCGTATGGTGCAGCTTGTTTGGCGATGATGTAGCTTGCATCGTCATGAAGCCCGTGCACCAATGACGCAACGTCGCTCCTCTCTTGTTCCGGCTTCACTCCTTCCTCGTCCATGCATGACCTTCTCTCCAACCAAGTCTTTTCCTTGACTTCCCCTCACTGCACGAGCTTTCCCGTCGCACTACCGCAGGTCTATTCTCTGCCCCAAGAATCGGCTGCACCCGCTTGTTTTCTCTACTTTCCACCATCGCAGCCTCCACGACCCCGCTATTGACAGCGGCTTTGTAATTCAACTTTGCACCCAGACCAGACACTAAACATGGCCGCGATACAGAATTTTAAGAACTTCCTGCGACATGGAAAGCAGGCCCGCCAGAATGCGGAGCCCACAACCAATGTTTCCAATGTGCACGCTCAGTCCCAACATCAACGGTACAACCAGCACCCAGAGCCTGTACATCATGGCATCTCAGAGCCGGCCATGGACCACAAGCCGCTCCAGAACAACGCTGCTCCCCATGGTGACTACTCCGTCGGCGCTGGCGCTGGCGACAACCGCAACATTGCTGCCCAAGCAGGTGATGCCGCCGCCCACGCAGCCGCCAAGGACCAGAAGAAGCAGGCCGCAGCCAAGAACGCGGGTGTTGACCCGTCAGTACTCGAGCGTATTGTCGCAGAGGAGCGCGAGGCCAAGGGCAAGCTACCTAGATATCCTGGGCTCGAGCGATGGACGCTACTCGAGAAGATGGGCGACGGCGCTTTCAGCAACGTATACCGCGCACGAGACACCACCGGCCAATGGGACGAAGTGGCCATCAAGGTCGTTCGTAAGTTCGAGATGAACTCACAGCAGGTCAGTACTACCCAATCCCTGCCCCTCCTTGCACATTTCCGTGTCTTTCCCCTCCCCCCCCCCCCCATCACGTTGAATAGTTGGGTGTTTTTGGACGTTACCAACGCGAGGCCGGTGTAGGACAAGCATGTGCATCCGGACTTCAAGACGCCAAAAGCAGCCGAGGTGCGATAATCTTACCCCCGATGCTCGACTCAGAGCATCCTCTACCCCATCACGACTGGGCTTGCAAGGGCAGACACTAACTGCCCTATAGAGAGCGAACATTCTCAAGGAGGTACAGATTATGCGCCAGCTAGACCACCCCAACATCGTCAAGCTCATCGACTTTTCCGAGTCACGGCAGTACTACTACATTGTGCTCGAGCTGTGCCCGGGAGGCGAACTGTTCCATCAAATCGTTCGTCTGACGTACTTCTCCGAGGACCTTTCCCGCCACACCATCATCCAGGTGGCGAAGGCTCTGCAATACCTGCACGAAGAAGCAGGTGTTGTCCATCGGTTCGTACTTTAGTCGCGATGCCAAGCATTGACGCTGACGTCATATCACAGAGACATCAAGCCCGAGAACCTCCTGTTCTATCCCACACCATTCATCCCTACTCGCAACCCAAAGCCAAGGGGACCAGACGATGAAGACAAGGCTGATGAGGGAGAGTTCGTAAAGGGCAAGGGCGCCGGTGGTATCGGCCTCATCAAAATTGCCGATTTCGGTCTCAGCAAGGTCATCTGGGATACGCAAACCATGACACCTTGTGGTACTGTCGGGTACACTGCCCCTGAGATCGTCAAAGATGAGCGCTACTCCAAGAGTGTCGACATGTGGGCGTTGGGTTGTGTGCTCTACACACTTCTGTGCGGTTTCCCTCCATTCTACGACGAGTCCATCCAGACCCTTACAGAGAAGGTCGCCCGTGGCCAGTACACTTTCCTCTCGCCCTGGTGGGATGACATCTCCAAGTCTGCGCAAGACCTGGTCTCCCATCTCCTGACAGTCGACCCTGAAAAGCGATACGACATCAACCAGTTCCTCAACCACCCATGGATACGTGAGGCCGATGAGCCAACCTACTCTGCCTACGACGCACCACCCCTCGCCACACCTGCCGCGAAGAAGGAGCGTCTCCAACCAGACTTCTCACATTTGGAGTCACCAGGCGCTCGTCGCATGGACTTCCGTTCTCCTGGTGCCGTCAACCTCCGAGAAGTATTCGATGTTAGTTACGCTGTACACCGACAAGAAGAGGAGGGTAAGAGGAAGAAGCAGTTTAAGCAGGGTTACCGTGGTGCCAATGCCATAAACTCATTGAACGCTCTCGATGAGGGCGAAGATGACGACGAGTACGCTGCTGAGTCTGCACCATATGACGCATCATCGCAACATCCACCTGCGAAGCTTCCCAAGTCCCAAGGTGCTGATGTAACAGGCATGGAGCAGAAGATGCGTAACACCACACTCTCAGCCGCAGCTCAGGCCCGCCAGCAACAATCGGCACCGCGACAACAAGAGCGGGGATACGGCCAACACTCCGCAGCAGTTGCGGCCGCAGCTAAGCGCCAAGTCAGGAATAAGGGTGCGTTCGAGCTCAACATGGACAGTTCGACATTACTCGGTCGCCGAAACAAGAAGGGTCCAGAGCCGAGCGGCCTGAGAAACACAACCACGGTTGGCGGTACATGACAACCATCGTCGCTCGCGAAAGATTGGTGAGAGTAGCGCCTAGCGACAAGATGGATGAGACATGTCACGACGGCGTTTTTGCGTTTCTTTAATCACTCATTTCCTGCCCCCGGTTCTACGAATTTCAGTTATATCATGTATGCAACCTTTGTTTGTTCTCCTCTCATGGCATAGTTTTACGGTCCCTGTACTCGAAATGATGGGTTAGGACATGGAGAGAGGGACTGAGTACATAGTTTACTTCAGCAGGGCGATGGGAAATTAAGGCGAAACATGCAACCAATGGCGTGTCTGCCAAGTAGCATGAATGATAATTTTGAAAATGATGGTCGTTTTTGGTGCGTCTCATGTTGTGATGAGGTGATATATTTGGGCGTCTTGGTTACACATCGTTATGCCCTGATGGAGCCAGGACTGACATTGCTCTTAACTAGCAAATAGCAAATAGACTGCTAGAGAGCTGGATAGGGCACTTGCTACGCTCTAGACCCAGAAAGAGGACCAAAGATGGAGCCCAACAGCAGCTTTTGAACAATGACCAGCTACTTTCTGATATGCAGCAGAAGCACTCCGACACGCAGCACAAGCTTGATCAGACACGTGCTCGTAAGTCGATTTAGCGAGTAAGGAGGAATTGCTATTTTAGGTAATATTACCCAATTATCTACCGCTCTATATTTCTCTTGCTGAAGTGGTCTATACGGCGCTACATTGACATGACAGATCATGTCGCCAGTTCAAATGTAAACCTGTATGACGCTGAGATGAATATTCGGAGAATCAGATCTCCGAACAGATCCTCTTCTTTACACGCTTAACGAAGATAGTCGCGGTAGTTGCCTTGCTGCATGACAAGCACACTGTGTGGCCTGGACAAAATGAGTTGAGCGCCTCCAGGCTATGTCGTGAGCTATCAGCGGCATTAATGCACGGATCTGGCGGTTGTCACAAGAGAACTGTATAGCTTCCCAAAAGGGAAGATGACATTACATTACTGATTATAAGCGACAGCCAACTACATCGTGTACCGTGTTCGTGTTCGGCACCTTACGACTCAAGCCTTCAGGCGAGGCAAGTAAAGCTCCAACAACCAGAATCTTTTTCTCTCCTGTCTCTCATCCCAGTTGTTGCTTAATACTTGTGACCCTTGATCACGATCTTACCGCCCTCACACTTGAGGCTGATCTCCTCGCCGAAAGTGTAGTAGCCGTGTTGATCGGCCTGTGGGACAGGTTTTGGTTGTGGAGGGGGTTGCGGCTCATCGTCATTCTCCTTCTCCGGCTGGGGAGGAGTCGGATGTTCGGATTGCGGCTTCGGAGGAGCTGGAGACTCTGGCTTTGGGGGTGGTGGAGGATGCTCTGGCTTAGGGGGCGGTGGAGGAGGATGCTGCTCTGGCTTTGGAGGAGTTGGATACTTTTCGTCATCCTTGTCACCTTCTGGTCTACCCGGGTGCTCTGGCTTGGACGGATGTTCTGGTTCCGGCTTGTGAGGCTTGTAGCTTCCGTCATCGTGCTCGTCCTTGTGTTCAGGGACCTCGGGGTGCTCTGGGACTGGCTTTGGCTTCTCCCCTTCCTCCTTGTGTTCTTCCTCCTTGTGTTCTTCCTCCTTGGGAACTTCAGGATGATGATCCTTGCCATCGTCATCACCGTCAGGGTACTTGCCGTCCTCTACAGGCTTGGGTACGTGGGGAACTTCAACCTTAGGAGGAATGCAGATCTTGCTGTGGTCGTACTTGTCGCGTTGCTCACAACACTTCTGATACTCCTGAGTGGCTTTCGCGTCATCTCCACGGACAGCGATAGGCGTCGCTGCGGCAGTGAAGGCCAGGATGGCAACGACAGTGGCTTGAGTGAGACGCATGATGAGGATGGAGACGGATTATTGAGCGAATGAGTATGTAGTGATTGAGCTTTACTAGTGTGAACGAGGGGTGGATTGCGGAGGACTGCAACAGCCGACTTTGATTGTACGATCGATACCCGCTCGGTGGCCGATATCGAGACAATGCAGGCCATCTCCCTCAACTTTATACTTGAGCGATGAGTTACTTATCTCGTCTCTACTTCGCTAACCCCTCTCTTCTTAGCTAGGAATCTGCGCAGTTACGTCTCAAAGTATTGAATTTCGGCGTTAAAGACGCCCCATTGTCTTAGGGGGTGCAGCCGAAGTACCGTCATGGCACTCTAATGGTTGGGACATGCATTTTAGGCCTTCTTCGTGGAGCTTGAAGCTAATGCGATGAAGTCATAATTTCAAGACGGACATCGTCAACTGGGCGCAGTGGTAGAGCGAGTATCGTGGTGACTACGCAGGGAAGTATTGCCTAGAGCTGCTTCGTGGACCGGACTATACTCCATGGTGCTCAGAGAGATCGGTTTTGAGCGATATTCGGAAGCTGGCTGTGACGACTATAGCGGAAGCATTGAAGTCCTCGTATAGTTGCCCTGGCCTGTCTTGCCGTTGGTCAAGGCAACTGCAAACATCGCGATCGCGGGTTTTGCTGGTAATGCGGAAGGGTCTTATCCAAGCCGCCGTCGCAGAGTCAACGAGAGGGCTATTTTGTGCCGGATAAGCCGGATGAAGGTGGTGCTAATATGTGAGTTGCTGAGAGGTTGGGGAGTGAAGCTCCTCAGAGGCGGATCAAGCGCCATCCGGGGTAGCGTCTCGGCGACGTGACACATCAAATTGCCGGACTGGATCGGCACTGCTTCCACTCTCGCGGTATCTAGACGATCGCTTAGCGGGAATTACCCCAGCTCAATGGGTCAACAGGTACAACTCCAGTCTGTAGGATAGGCTGCGTACGAGTTACGGTCGGCGCGTATAATGAATGTCAAAACTGCCTTCACCCAGGTCGCTCCAGTCACGACTACGCTCAAGCGGAAGTGCAAGTAGCAAATTTCACATCGACCTTACAGACATAACTTGTCTGCCTTGATCCCCGCACTGCATCTCAACATTGAGCGCTGGTTTGAACTCGATAGTCGGATACTAAACCCGTAGATCGTCTTGGCTGCTCAGATACCTAAGTGGCTAGTGCATCGCCAACTCTGACTTCATGTCCGACTATCCAAATATACATATGCCCTAGTTGTAGCGGCGAATATGATTGGATTGGACCTCAAAATGAGCTGGATATCGCTCCATTTCGTCCGCTAAGTGTTTACCATGTGGCGGCGATCACCAAATTCAAGCTAAGAAGTCAAATCATGTTAGCTCCCCATGGTAACTGGTGATCAGTTTAACCTAGCGACATGGAGCTGTGCTCAGCCTTGATCGCAGGAAGACTGTTCGAGTTAGTCTGTTGCAGTATCACATTATCGTTGTATTGAGAGTACCTCACTGCAAGGTTGGCATTGTACTTTGAAGACCTGATCGACCTGGGAAGTGTGGAACTTCTTGGAAGCACACTCGTTGTCGAACCCGATTATACTTTGTGTGAATGCGACGCTGAGCATGGCGTGGCATAGCTGAATGTTCCGAGCTTCCGTCTAGCGTTTGGTTCCATCAACGCCGACCTTAACCAAGATTTTAGACTACAGTACATGTCTGTTGCGGTTAGTTACCATAGTACTCTTCCAACTGTCCATCCGTCTTTCCGGTACCAAATCTTCATCTATTTAGCGTAGCATGAACGGAATGTCAAGCACCTACATTGCCTCGATGCTTCATTTCCAAATAAAACATGTACGCAGAAGAGTGAGCTGCTCCAACTCAAAACGTTGCTTGACGCCTTGCATCGGCCATTCATATGGAAATATTGAATCGTGGCACAGATCGGTGACCATAGAGGGGTATGTACACTGGCATATACCATGATTGGACATCGACTTGAATATGCATCCCAAAAGACACCAGTATATACGTGGCAAAGAATGAGATGTATGACGACGTTCGAACGGGAAATGAGACTCGTTTAGATTCTAGATCAATCATATCGCCAACGACTGTAACGTTCAACGGAAAGTCACAGATCCGAGTATAGCTAGGCCAACACTCGAGCATGTTGTGTTCTCTCACATAGTTACACTGGTGCAGCCTGGAGGTACTCGCCTTCTTTGAAATGGCCAGACGATAAGCTAAACGTATATCTGTACAACTATCGCGGCATTATTTATACCAAGCATGTTGTAGCAAGTTAGCTTTACTAAAAGGACTAAAAAAAATAGTAGAGATTCTAGTAATGCCACTTGCAATATTGATATTATGCAAGGGAAGTGCTATTGAATAGCGCACTTACGGGCTAGCTAGACCCCTAGGTGTATCGCTGCATGTCCGACTATATCAAGCGGAACGACGCGGAGGAAGACATGACTAAAGCGAGCAGTTCGTGCTTCGCTGGCTAGCTCACTATCGGAGCTCTGTTTTACGCGTCGTGAACAATGCGACTAGTCAGTTGATGCTAGATGAAATGCCCAGTACATGTGGGAAATTGTGAATGTGGGAGTGTTGCATGAACAAAAGAGCGGCGCATATATCGGATGCACCATGCGTGCGAAGCTGATGCCGAGACTCGCACCGCAAAAGCTCAATGAGATAACATTGTAAATGCTACTACAGCACCCGTCTCCGTTCTTCCAAGGTATACAGCTCCCATAGAAAATGATAACATAGTCAGAGGTTTTATTCTTCAACAATGCCACCACACCTCATCCGACGAGCTCCTGCGTCAAAAGCCTCTCCTGTCCGCTCAAGTAGTTACGCTTCTCCAACCATCGAATTTTATCCTTAGCCCTCCTCGTACTTAGTTTTACTTGGGCTTCTTTGAAGGCGGTAGGTACATCCTTGGCTATCTTGCCCACATCTTCGACAATTTTGACCACATTCTTGGCGACCTTACCTGTTGTAGCCTTGGGCCCGTCCTTGCATAAGGTTTCGATGATCTCTATGATTGATCGACGGCGGGGTTTTAGTTCGGTGTCGAAGAAGGGATAAGGATCGAGTGCGACATACTCCGGTGGTGGATCATCGTGGATTTGATGTTCGGATTGATATGGGAATCTTCGGGGTCGACGTGTACGCTGCTCTAGAGCTGCTGCTGCCGCTAAAGAATAAGGTGGGAGGCTTGCAGCGCGCTCCTGTAAGACGTGAGGTGTAGATGCCCCCAATCGATGTGGTACAAGATTATTCTCGCTCGCAGTAGCACTCGGAAGATAGATACCAAATCGCCGTTCATCACTGACAATGCGAACGGCCATTGTTGTCTGCGACCCAGACCCAAGCACCGCTGCATATGTTCCTCCTACGTTTGCAACATCTGCAACAGTCGAGGCTTGGAGTGCAAGCTCGATGCGAGATGAATTGGGGGAATAAGGCAGGATGGTATCAGGCGCAGTGGGAGCTGACGGTAGGGTAGACGCGCTCTGTAATATCATAGTGCGAAGCTCTTCTCGCAAGGCATCCACCCGGGCGTTTCTTTCGATGCTTTCCCGAAACCCACTTCTGGTGTGTAGCTCTTCGACAGAGGTTTCGTAGATTCTGCTCTCTGATCTTGTGTCATGGCTTCTGGCGAGTGAATACAGTGGTGATCTCTCATTGAATGGCCACATCAGAATTGCCGACCTGCTTTTGAGTAAAACGAAGAGTGCAACTCATAGGACGAGAACGCCAGGAGGAGGTGTGAAAAAGTATACAATGAGGGGTGTTGTACCATCATAGTGCATGGTTTAATTGCGATGGCCGGCTCTATCAGGGACTGTCTGTTCGCAGTGGTTGACCATGTGTGGTTCTGGTTCGCCTAAAGTCGTAGTATCCGCGACGCGTCCTGCGTGCTATAACATGATGGCTCCTAAAATGGGTGTGCAGAATTGGGGTGCTCCTGAATTCCAAGGCTTGTTAGAGATGACCGTCTGGTCTTGCCAGGTTGTGCATCGCGGGCGCGCCTGTGAGTGTAGATTTCGGGCGAGACGTTGGTGTTTGGAGGAGCCGGGCGACGAGATGACGACAACTGTTTTGGTTCTCTTGGCGGATCGCAATGGCCGGCAGCTTTCCTTTTTTCGCCTATACCACGCAACACAACATCGTCATGGTTCTGCACCCTGCTTTCTTTCCGGTCTTGAATATGATCATGATCATCTGTTTTCTCGATCCTTGATCTATCTCCATCAGGCAGATGACCGCCCTGTGGCATGCCGTGCCGTGCCAGTGCAGCACCCTTAACCAATAGACCACATCCGCTGCAATGCCTTCGTAACCTGTCTTTACTATCACGACGGAATGCATCCGAAGTACTCTACTAAAGATCTTGGCAGCATATATCCTGACATGACCGTTAGGGTCCCCTGGCTTTAGATTTCATAATGGGCGATTTACTGTACATGCCAACGAAGGAATAGCCCTAGCCCAAAGGACACATATCCTAGATTTGAGTCTTGTTGCGAAGTCGACGTTGCAAAGGCAGACGCCTCGTACTTCTCATGTATGGACGCGGCATCCTCCACCCTCCGTACGATGTTGGAAATGATGGGGTAAGTCGCAGGAGAACGGAGAGAATGAAAACACGCGCTAGGCTGATCCGCCTCCCGTGATATTTTCACCAGCAGGAAGATCTTTAGCGATTAGCAAGATAAGATTCGATATGTCATACGATCAAGTGGAAGAAGAAGACCAAGGAGGACAGGGCGTTCAGCGGATTGCGGATTGCTTTGTCGTGGATGCACCAAGTGCCACCCATATGGATATTGCAGTACCTGGAGGCCCAGTTTTACTTTACAGGCCCCCCTTACAGCCCGTGTGTTTTGGGTGTATGTAATAACCGTGCAGTACGTCTGGTCTCGCGTCCTCGCGGCACAGCACATGGTACTACCCTCGCGTGCAGGATGCCCCTTCAGGAAGGCGCTAACTGTACTATGCAAGCCCTTATAGCGAGAGATTCTTATCGACCGCTGCAATGTCCGCCAAAATCGTTTCGAATTTGTGTCAAACAAGAGTGAATCATTCAAAGACACCCGTAGGCGTGGATCGGCCTCGTGGCGTTGGCATGGACCTGGTGTTCGGAACACGGACCACCTACAGTAATGCGAGCAAATCAGCCGCCAATAACGGCGGTACAGCAACACCACGCAATAGCTAATGTACAAGATTAGAGAAATGATACCCGTCTATCTTTACTTCAGATTGCGTTACACAGAGCGATGTCGTAAACCACCATACAGCCATCGGCAGGCCATCCATGACCAACCAATTGCCCCTGATCCAGACAACCCGGCTTATCATCCAGGTACAGCGACTATACCGCTTTCATCCCGTCTCTTATCAGCCATCAAGACCCTGAGTGCCTACCTTCACCGTTTTATACAAGCGCGACCGTGGCTTACGGGCCTTGGCTATTTGGGACATGCAATCCGTCTTCGCAATCCTTCGCGGCATCGAATCTCAGGCCAAATACAGCCACCCAAGCCAGAAGCTCCACAACGTGAGCTCGGTTCCATCAGCATGGAATTCCGGCCACCCTGCTTATCTTTGCCCAGGCGGCGCCACGTTCGACTTTGGGGGCACAGCAGCTTCGCATGTGTGGAAGCAGAAGGCGAGCCGGCGCATCAATCTCGGTTTCTTGGAATTGGCGGGATGGTGTGAGGAAACGCGTTGAAGGTATATCAGCTTGCAAAGCCCCTGCAACTCTCGTCTTCTCTTTTCAGAACACCCCAAAGGTTCCAGTCCCAGTCGATACACCGACATCCCTACACCATGGAGGTACCACCCACTGTAAGGATCATCAGCAGACAACGATAGTTTAATACACAAGAAAACTAACACAACCGTAGCCTGAGTTCGACCCAGCGAAGCCCAATGGCGGCAACCCGGATGTCGAGAACATCAACCTTCAGTATACTGGCCTGGAGTTCCACTACATATACCTCATGATCATGGCTTTCCTTGTGTTTCTGATTATACCCGGAATCGGTTTTCTCTACTCTGGTCTCGCTCGCCGCAAGTCGGCGCTTTCAATGCTCTTTCAGTCATTCGCCGTCATGGGAGTAGTTACCTTCCAATGGATGTTCTGGGGTTATTCACTGGCATACTCTCGCTCGGCCAGTCCCTTCATTGGCAACATGGACAACTTCGGTCTCAAGAATGTCATGTCTGCACCATCCCCAGGCTCCTCATTCCTACCTGAAATCGTGTTCTGTAAGTAGCCCATGTACTTCCAACAAGATCATACGTGCTGACTATATGCAGGCCTTTATCAGTTGCTCTTCTGCGCATGCACTGTGCAGCTCGTTATTGGTGGATCGTTCGAACGTGGTCGCATTCTACCTTCAATGGTCTTCGCCTTCTGCTGGGCAACTATCGTGTACTGTCCGATCGCTTGCTGGACATGGAACGCGTAAGTCTTGTGGTTTATGGGTGCTGAGCTGGACTGATCATAACTAGAAATGGTTGGCTATTCAACCTCCCCTCTCTAGATTTCGCAGGTGGCGGCCCCGTCCACATCGCATCCGGCTGGTCCGCCCTCGCATACGCCTTCGTCCTCGGCAAACGTCTTCACAAGGGCGACAAGATCCACGGAAAGGCTCATAACCCTACACTAGTCTTTATTGGCACTGTCTTTATTTGGTTTGGATGGTTCGGATTCAACGGAGGTAGTGCTCTCAACGGTACCGTCCGTTCGATGCTGGCTGCATTCAACACCAACACTGCGGCCTCTTTCGGTGTTCTCGGTTGGGTGTCGGTTGAGTACGTCCGTACCAAGGGCCACTTTTCCGTGGTCGGTGCCTGCTCTGGAGCCATCGCTGGTCTTGTCGGTATCACTCCCGCTGCAGGTTATGTCTCTGTGTGGATCGCCGCCCTTATCGGTTTCCTCACTGCTGCCATTTGCTCTCTTTGCCAGAATGTCGACAAGTGGATCAAGATCGACGAAGGCATGGATGTCTTCAAGCTTCACGGAATCGGTGGCATGGTCGGTTCCTTCCTCACTGGTATCTTCGGCCAAGCCTGGATTTATGACCTTGATGGTATGGGTCCATACGACGGCCTCGGCGGTATGGACGGCGTGGGCGTGCAAATCGGTCGCCAATTGGCTGAGATCGTCGCCATTGCCTCTTACTCTTTCGTCGTCTCATGCATTCTGTTGTACATCTTGAAATTCATCCCTGGCATGCATCTCCGCGTCACCTCAGAGGCTGAGATGATGGGTCTGGACCTCGACCAGTTTGGCGATGAGCAGATTGGCGACTGGAGCATCATGGAGCAGAATCACTACGAGGCAAACGTCAGCAGTTCTAGCAGCCAGCATGCGCCCCCACCAGTTCCTGCAGCAGCAATCGGCAAGCAAGCGTAGAGTGCCAGAGTTGTTCACCCAGTATAGATGTATTGGATATATGCTCGGCTTAGAACATATGCGAGTACATTCGCACTAGGTTGTCCAGATTGCATAATATGGCGGAAGTTAGAAGTGTAAGATCGTCTGTTGACGACCAATATATGGCACGAATAGAGCCTTTACACATTTCACACCTTATCTTTTGTAAATATACTAATTTTCATTCGAGCTTTGACTCAACCCATACAACCTATGACCAAAACCTACTTGCAGACACCGACATCTCTACATACTCCTGTGATTCCCTACTCGAATGTGCAATTTGTGCTCTTGCATCTAATAGATATGCCAACAGTTCTTCTACAAATGTAAGAAAGCCATCGTCGTCCTCTCATCTTTGACAGCTTCAAGCTGTTTGAATATCTGTCGCCACGTTGGACCCGGACTCTCAACAGAAGTCATAACGTGGCTATAAAGCTGGCAAAAGCAGATTGTACACTGTATATTCGTCAGAAGAATCATCTTCTGAAGTCACATCAGTCTGTCGACGACGGAACACAGGTTTGCATACTATGAAGGGCGCGCGGTCAGGGAATGAAGTTCTAGGAGATACCAACCGTGTATGCAAAGGGCGTACAGCCACCTCGAATGTCGATTGTAGAACAGGAACTAGCGTGCGGGACACCAGGACTTCAGGTTGTCCAGTTATGCTCGCAATTCCTAGTAGTGACAAACGCACTTGATGTCTGCGGCCACATACTGGCGAGGTAGACGAGGTCGTAACCCGCGATGATACGGGAGGGGAGACTAAAAATGACAGCGAAGACGTTGAGAAGCCGCGCTGCAATCCTAAAGAGTTGGGATCCGTCCTTGAGGGAACCCTGGTCGGCTTGATCACATGCAATGGAGTATGTCTTGTCGCGTCCAATTTGGTGACATTGAAGCAAGTGTTGCCGGTAGCGATCAAATCGCCAGACTTTCCCCGTACCACCAGCTGCGCATGTCGCACTTTTAGTGCTTGTGCAACATGTCGAAATGGAAGGAGCTCCTCAGTGCTATAGCCGCCCGTATATCGAGCTAATCCAGCGAAGAAATCTATTACGAACTTCTCGATCTTCGTATGAGTACCAAGATGAGATTCCAGATACACAAATGGCTCGTGGTCTAAAGGTATCCTGGTATGTGCGTTGAGTAGCTCAAAGTAGAGTACGCGATAAGCATCTATCAGCTTATTTTGCAAACGCATATCGTCGAGCATATCCGCGAGATGCCATGCTTTAGCGAGTTTGAGCATCCTGTCACAGCCACTAGTGAGCTGCGTTAAGGGATTTCGTACATTTCGTCGCAGTTGTCCCCATAGACCACTGCTATCCAGATACTCCAAGACTACCTCAAAGATGATGGCATCGGCGTTCATAATTCTGCATCCATGCACAAAGCGTCCGTGTAGTACCGGGCATCCCTTGAGAGCGGAGCGTGAGATGTGGACAAAGCGGGCATGGGGTAGTCTGCCTACTCGAACCTCGATACCGTTATCACTTGAAGTTGAGGAATCTGTGAAAGAGTTTTCGTCAAAGTCACGTCGAAAGCCGAACGTCGCTTTGAGTAGCTTGAACATCTGTGCGACGGTTAAGGAAGTCTGCTTAGTATAGAAGCTTGAGTTGAAGCAAGTTGGGATCGCAAGCCTGGAGGATCGTGCCAGAAATGTCGAACGTTCGTTGGGATTTAGAAGAGTGAACGGAAGAATGACAGTGTTGATGCACATGACTTTTAATATAGGAGCCATGGGCAAACCCAGAGATCGCCTGGTTTGAAGTTTTCTGGTATGAAATTTAACTGTCCAGAACCCTTTCCAGGGTTCGCTAAGAAATGAACCAAGGTTGTTGGTTTTCTTGCTGGTTCTACAAGAGCTGCTCCAGTTAGGGAAGCGTGTAGTATTACTTATGATAGGAAGCTCATGAAGAATCGGCTTTACCTGACTTGACAGTAGGTCATCCGTTGTCGCAAACTTACATAATGCAATAACCTTCTATTGCACTGGGTGCTAGAGTAAGATATAGTAGATACGACCTTCCTCCGACGGGTGAAATTACAAGCTCTCTCCACTGCGTAACGCTGAAATGTAGGTTGACTAACATAATTAGAAGGCACAGACGGCCATTTCAAGCTGACTGCTGGATGGTAATAGGCATGGCGAAAATATTTCAGGAGTACCCCATAAGCAGATTCAGGTTACCAATGGCAATTACTGGATTACTATCTAAAGCTTCCCATCCAGAACGCACAGTTAGCACAGCGAGAGATGTTAAAAACAGTGGTGATGTGAGCATAAGCAAACCATCACTACATACTGATAGTACCTTCTCTGCACGAAGATAGTTTGACGGATGACGATGATGTAGGTTGGAGAAGGACGCATGCCAGGCAGGCCAGGCAACCGGGAACGGCGATGACATTCGCACGGGCCCCATGCTAGTCGGGCCGACGCCAATCGGAAGCTTCGCGTCATCGCACCTACACCTCAAACACGCGATGTTTGCATACAAGATAGCTGGACCGTCGCTGCGGTCCGCATGCTACGCGTCTCGGCAACGGACGATTTCTGTCTTTCGTCCTGCTGTGTCACAACTTCGTCACCTTTCGGGGCAGCGCGTGCAATATGCCCAGCGGAGAAGTGGAGCCCCGAGGCCTACCCACGAACAGCCACCTATACCGGAAGAAGTATTACAGCAGGCGATAGACGATGCTTCCGACAATACATATACGCAATTTCCCAAGGTTAGGGTGAGATATCTGCTTCCTGCGATATGGGCGCTCTCTGTATCCGGCGGCATCTTTTATGGCCTCGCCTACCTAGAAGCCAAGAGGGAGCTCAAAACAAAGCCAGCATCTGCTGGAGGATGGCTTCAAGCGCCACAATGGAGTACAAGACAACGCGGACCACCAACCCCGACTGAAGTCGTAACTGGAGCCTGGACCAATCTCGATCCCATTTCGAGAGTCACGTACGGAATTATTGGGGCCAACAGCGGCGTCCACCTGAGCAGCTTTCTAGTACCCAGAGCCTGGGAAACTTTGTGGCATTTACCCGCTCGCAACGTCAATTACACCCAGTTTACATCCATGTTTGTACATTCTGGAGCTTTGCATTTCTTCGTCAATATGTACTTTTTGAACAACTTTATGGCGCCAGTTGGCTACTCTCGCCTATTCGAAGGCAGTCCATACCATACGTTATCATTTTATCTCTCAGCTGGCGTGCTGTCAGGCTTCGCCCAACACTGGACGACCTTAAGTACTCGCATACCTTTTCACAGGCGACCAATTCCTGAGATCTTCATTCGCTCTGGGGGCGCGTCAGGAGCACTGTTCGGAATTCTGGGAGTCTTCTGCATGCAATACCCCCACGCTGGCCTAGGAATACTATTCGTTCCCGTACACTTCGACGCGCAATATGTACTGCCTGCGATCCTGCTTTTCGATCTCGTTGGCATTATTCGTGGGTACAGCTTTGTGAACTTTGGTCACGCGGTAGGTCTGACACACAGCAATACATGGGTCTTACTAACAACAATAGGCTCACTTTACCGGTGGAATGTTGGGTGTAGCATACTCGTATTTTGATGGGAAAACGAACCTTTGGAAACCACTAGTGCGCCACTGGAAACGCCGTCTGCAGCAATCCTAGTCGCTTGGAAAAGCTTGGGTGATCAAGGATCATCAATGGCTATACGGAAGGCTTGACGACTTGAGACGGCCTGGAGATGCGATAGAAGTCTCATTTCAGAACATTACCATGAAGCGCATGTGATCCTCTCGACACATGCAATTGGACAAAGAACACAAACACGATCAAACTTCGCAGCATTTTCAATGAAGGCAGGGGTTTGCTTACGCAGGATAACTAAAACTTTCTTCTTTTCCTTTCATGTGATGCAAACTGATGATCTCGCGGCGGAAGACTCACCATAACCTATAAGAGCAGATATTCCACATGCCCACCAGCACCATCTACGTATGGAGCGGAAACATGCAAGCTAACATGTCCAGAAATAGCGTTACCATTGCACTCGAAACTGATGATGGTCGTCATGTCCCGACTGAACTCAGCAGTCGCATGCGTAGACGTTGTCCCGCATTGAACGCGATACCCCAAGGTGCCATACTACGAGGTGTAGAAGTCGAACCTTTCCGCGCCGTGGTGAGCTATCTGGATGGCGACGAGTCCCCGAGAATCTCGGTCTTCACAAATCACATCGGTAGCAATGAATTCTTACTTTTCTTCGCTCAAACGTGGGTGCTCGCGGCGCGACTTGGTCTTCCTATTTTGCAGAATGACCTCATGACAATCATGATCAGTATTCATGCCAGCATGGTTGACGGAAGAGGCACAGACTCGGGACTTCAGTACACCGCTGGCGAGTCCCTCTCCAAAGCTTTCCAGCATCTCCGAGACCAAATTGGACGCAACACCGATGCCGAAAACTTTCTCATATGCTTCGCTGGTAGGACAGCACCGCTGATCGACGAGCTGGAGCGGAACCTCAATAGCGGAGAGATTGACGGCGCCATTCGAAAAGAGATACTGGCGGAAGCACGATCTTTCGGTCCAGATCCCATCAAACACCATCCACAAGCATTCCTCGTCAATCAGGAGAATCCCCTAGAATACCCAAAACTCGAGATACAGTCGAAAAATGTACCGTGGGCACTTTCCGAGACATCACTTCCGGACATCGTGGATAAGGCAGCTACACCACAGCTTTCTCATATGTACGGAGAACTGGGCAACGACATGCGAAAGTAACCTTCGGAGATCACAGTACCTAAGTATCCTATACGACGCCCTAGGTCTCCATATCCTACTTTCCAGCGAACACGCAGCCCGCTTCCCGACTGGCCGCACGATACTTCTGATATCAATGTGCGCATGCAGCCCGGCGACCCCGACGACCCCGACGACCCAGGTCCATGGCATCCATCGCAGGCTGTGAATTTTGATGATCCCAGTCCTCCCATCATCGATCGGGATCCAGATCGCCCTACATCGCTACCGCCGCTATCATCGCTATCATCCCTACCCCCGCTCTCGTCCGTATCTCCACCCTCATACGCATCGTTACAACTATCCTTTGGTCGGTCCCAAGACCGTGAACCCAAAGCGCCATATATCATCCAGATTATTCAACATAACAACAGCGCCCACGACAATGCGAATCACATCCAGAATGGGGACAAAAATACCGCAATAGCGCAAGCTCAGGGTGGCGGTAGACGTAGGAATGGGGCTGTACGAGCCGTAGCAAGCAGCGGTGGGAACAGCAACAAGCTAATCAAAGAGAGAAAAAGAAAGCGATGTAGATGGTTCTCACTCTTGACCTGCGGCAGTAAGCACCATTAGAAGGGAACCCGACACGATGGAGATACCGAAGGGTATGGCATGGAGGTTATGAACATCAAATCGTTTTATTGGTAGACTGTTTATACTGGCACATACGCCGTCGTCGTCGTAACCAAAAACTTCTGAACCATTAATCGTACTCCAAACAAAACTTCTTCATCCTACTGAAGATGACTTTCTACGTGCAGTGACCATATCCTCAGAAACCAACCCCTGACTTTGGCTTTCCTGCTCATCCTACGTTTTGCACTAGCTGTTCCATTCCTCTCGCTATCTTGACGTAACAAGTATACGCTATCCCTCGCCCGCAGAGCAAGATTGCCTAGCCCTTCGATCTCTACATCTTCTTCGTCTTCTTCCATTTCCTCATTGATACTAGACCTGTAGTCTGGAATAGTGTTGTGAAGACCAGTCCTCATCCTCCGGCGCTTCTCGAGGACGATACTGTCGACAGCACAAAGAGCTAAGCGAGACATGTCTTCAATGTCTTCGAGTTCCTCTTCGATCTTATTGATGCTCATGTCTGTTGGTAAGGATGATGGCTTTCTTGCTTGGTAGCGCATGAGTGGGCACCCGATCGCGAGGATGTTGCTGTCTGTGGTGTTGGTGCACGATGGCATGTTTCAGAATCTGTGGAGTGCTCTAGCTGTAAAGCGTCTGTCAATCGATATGAGCTAAGTGGCGGTATACGAGACTCTGGATGTACTCACTATCAGCTGAACGCTGCTTTCGCTGCCAGGTATCGTAAAGGCTGGAGGTATTCACAATAATCGAGAGTGGAGATGGCTTTTGCTTTCGCAGTGTCTGGAGCGATACGCAGCTGCAAGGTGTTTGCGATCTTTGAAATAACGGCATATGATCTGAAAAATAAATGATGGTGGAAATATTTAGCATTGCTTTAATATTGGTCGTGGAAGCTACTACGAGTGGACCTTGATTGGTAGATCTTGTAAACGCACACCATGGTTTCAAACATGCTCTCTCCTCTATTGCATTACTCATCCCGTCATTTCTCATTGGAAGCCGAAATACCCTGTTATATGCATCAAAGCCATGGCACATAGCCTACCCAGATATCGTGCAACGAAAAGCGCGCGTCGCATCCTATTACAAATTGAACCTCTTGATGTCTGCCGCCTTGAACTTTCCACCAAGAGTCTTAACCTTTTCTTTGAATTACTGCTGGATATCTTCAGGCATAGCGGAGAATCCTCCAATCTCTTTGACCCTGCTCCTCAGCTCGACTGGAAGCAGTGTCAAATAGTCCATGTCGGGCGAGTTCATCATCTCCTCGAACTTCCCATAGAACATCTCTTCAAACTTGTCCGCGTCAAGTCCATGTGGATAACTGCATGGGCCCTCATGCGAAATATCGGTGTAGCCTAGATCGCGTAATGTCTGACGCGCGAGAATCTTCATCTGCTGCTCACATTTGGTACAATACCAACGTGACACCATACCTACACCAAGCTTCTTTACACATGACTTGTGAAAGTGTCGAGTGGGGCAATCGCGATGTGAGCAAATGATAGTCTCCTTCACTGGTGACACCTTCGATACGGCGGCACGACAATAGCACATGTACTTCGTACCCGGGCGCTTGAACTCGTTTTGCTGAATATCCTGTAGCATACTCTGAGTAAGCTCCTGCTTGATGAAACCGTTCTTAGCATAGAGTCGCTCGAAACGAAGCTCTTGCGCCATGAGAGCTCCAGGGCTGTATCCATTCTTGACGTCATCATACTCCTTCTGCAGACGAGCAGGCACTCCTTCTGGATTGTGATTACGCGCTCGGCGGGCAGGGTCCTCCATGAAGTAATTGATCATTTCATTATCGATGAGCATCAAGCGGCCCTTGGTTCGATGGTTCTTCTCATACAGTGATAGCAGCCTCTCCCCATGGAGGCGGTTGAATGGTCCAGTACTACACAGCTCAACACAAGGCATCGCTAGATAGCACTGATCCGCCAAAGGATCGACACACGAACAATCTGCACTTGAGTTAGTGTCAGCTGTCAAGATGCAACTATGATGTACTTACGAGGCTCGTGGAAAGGACAGTCCGGGACGTTGTTATTCTCGAAATGACATGAAGTATTCTGTGAGCAACCACTCCATGATGGCGAAGATGGATTGGTGAGTTGATCAACGACAAAGTTGCGCAGAAACCTAATCCAGTGCATGTGCTTGCCGTGCTTTGTGACCACCATTGGTGATACCTCGCTAATGGGTCCGGAAATTATAGCAATTGGCTCTACTACTGCCTCAGTGGTCATATCTCCAGTTTTGGCATCCACCCAGTAAGATTGCAGCTTCTTGTCGATATCCAGAACGCCGGTGTCGAGCTTGAACTCTGGTGGCGTAGAAAGACCTTGAGCTAAGACGGTAATCTCCTCGTTAACATCTTTGTTGAGATCCCCGATGACGACCTCCTCTGATGTAGACTGCTTCTTTGCTTTGCGCTTAGCTTCCCGTGCCTTCTTAGCCTTCTTCTTTTGTGACACCACGGGATGGCCACTGGCATAGTCTTCCGTCTCGATAACGAAGCTCTCAGGTTCCTTGGGATCCCAGGTAATCGGAGGCTTCACCGCATTAGCTTGGGAATAGACGTCGTTAGACGAGCTTCTCGCGGCTAAGAGATCGGGGAAGTTGGATGAGTCGGAAGACCATGGAGTCGGCCCCGGTGGAGAAGTTTGAGCCAGGCGCTTGCTTGATATATTGCCCCAAAAGCGTGCCTTTGGCGTCTGCATTGTGGGTACACTTTCGTTCGTAACAGTCTCCCAGCCATTGAGGGCCGGGTTGAGGGGTTCCTTTGTCAGACCACGTACCGGAGCCGGTCCGCGCTCCGAAGCCTTGACGTTGATCACCACGACCGCGGCAGCCGGCCTGCCAGAGGTCGGGACAGGTGGTAAGGATAACAGCGGAGTGTTGTAAGGCTCGACATCCACAAGGTAGAGTCCGTCGTCGCCATTCACACGCTTGTGGCTACTCTCAAGATGTCTACGGTCGGGGCTGTGAGCAATTCCAGGCCGCTGAAGGAACTGATTCTCGTACTGTTCGCTGAAAAATGTTAGCTGCCACACTCTTCTATAGATACGACGATATTGTGTAGCATCTTTCTTTGAACCCCAGCCAATCTGAGATAAGGACAAGGGCAACATACCCTGATGATGGACAAATCTCGTCTGCAGGGGAGATGGCACCACTGACATCACTCGAACTAGACGCGAATTTCTCTCCGGTCTTCCAGTCCTTATTGGTATATCTCTTCTCTACGATCCCATACGATGTCTTGTTGGTATATCTGAGGTAGCCAGCTCGCCGCATGCGCGATTCAGCATTGTCCTTGTTGACCAGAACGATATCCTCGAGCACAGCTTGCTTAAAACCGTTGACGAGACTTAGAAATGTCTTGAGCTCTTTTCCTTGCAACCCCTTGGTTTTTGTGTTGCGCCTGAGTAGCTTATTGATGCGGAAGGTCTCCAGGATGCGTTTCATTCCGGCTTCGAAGCCAATGTCAGGCGTATCTTCAGGAGCCTCGGCGAGCTTCCTAAGCCCCTTCCGGCTGACCTGTGTACTATAAACATGGGCGTGGTACTACAGAGGAGTCAGCAAATTGAATGAGAGCCAACGAGATTGGCATAATTCCAGCACTTACACGAAGCTGCCTCTCAATCTCTTCATCCTCTTCTGGATTTTGCGGTCCGTCAGCGTCATTGCCCGTTATGCCTTCAGCAGAATGCACGACGGAGTCGATATATCTGATTTCCTCCTGGGTGATGACTCTCGATCTACTTGCCCCTCTCGCAAGACGCTTCGCGTCCTTCCTCTCACGCTTCGATGATGGCGTGTCCTCGTCGCCCGGCTCTCTCGCTCTTCCGCGTTCTTCTGGCTCGGGTTCGCCCGGCACGATATTCCAGTCGACCTCGCCGCAACTCTCGTAGACGGAGCGTAAGCGCTCTGCGATGTCGTGGTGGCGCTTGTAATGCTGTTCCTCTATGCCCATACAGTACTTGCAAGTGTGACCGCGAAGGCGCATGAACATAGCCTAGATAGTTAGTACGCTAGTCGCCTCGAGTATATTTGACATAACAAACCTGATGAAAGCGCACGTATGGCTCGCTGTGCTTACCAAAACAGGACGCTCTCGCTCCAGGATGACTCAGGGGACGCTCACAGAACCCGCAGTGGTGTCTGGTATGGTCAGCGAGAGTATATATTTTGGGTGGTTGCCTCAGGAAAGATTCTAGCTGCCCAAACCAATAAACACTGGAACTAACAACTTACTTGAGCGCCTCCGAATTCTCCCACTTGAAGAGTAAGTTATTAACCATCTCGTGTTCTGATGTGGGCTTTTCAAACTAAACGTGGTCCGATGGTTGTGAAGAAACGTAGGTGGGGGTTTGTGCTGTGGAAGTGCGAGCGGGGAAAGAGTGCGCGACTGAGACGACACTTTTGCCTGATCGCAAAATCTTTAGTGAATGAGGCACGGGAGCATTTGAAATTGTTTTCGCCAATGTAGCGGGGTGAGGTGCAATGGTCGTGCGTGACAGCGTGTTTTCATAGCCCAAGGCTGACTACGTAATTGTGGAAAGAGCGAGTGACTGTGACAACACAACGATGAAACGATTTTTGTAGAGACAGCGTTCGACGAAATCAAGATAGTACACGTTCACGCCGGATCAATGGAAATACCTCCCTTCTCGTTGCGATATAGCGACTCGTCGTTGCGGTGTAGGATGCAGTGAACCGACAATCCGCGATGTGCGCGTTGTTGCATCGTCGTGGCCGGGATTAGAGACAGGATTTGGAGACACTGCAAACGCGCAAACAACGAATCAAGTACCGCCAATCAGAGCTAGGCATCCGATACAATACGTGCACCAGCCCAGACATAGGGATAGTTACGTTGGTACCAGTTGACGCTTCGACGTGTTAGTAATATTGCCTCGGCTGCGATTGTCACTCTCTACTTACAAGGTCTTTCGCCCAGCAATGCGCGGGTGCGTCGCCCACGATCCACCCAGCGTGACGTTGTGTTTACCGTCGAAGAAGTCGGCTGCCTGCTGTTAACATCATCCCATCATGTGTTGACGAGCAGAAGCCCGCCGGATCCCCTCATACCTGTATAACCCGGGTACAACTCCATCGGCTCAAAGCCGTCATGCTTCTCCAGCACAGTACTAGTCCACTCCCAAACACCGCCCAGATCAGATTGGCCGCAGAGCTTGTTGCCCTTCTCGACCACTGAGACTGGATGCCAGTGTTTGAAGCCCACGTTCGTCCCTTCAAGGTCGATGAAGAGATCGCGTGGATTGAGACCAGATGCTGCGCCGGAGTCGCCGTTGGACAAAGAGTGTGATGGCGGCGTCTCAAATACGCCTTCGTTGATCAAATGACTGCAAAACTTTAGCCGATCGTCCAAGGCATTTCGAAGCATCCATCTTACCCATTCACTGCTGGAATCGTGTTTCCGAGCGACTTCTCAAACTCCGGCTTCATGCTGTCGACGTAGCTGTAGATGCTTCGTGCTTCTTCCACCGTGGGGATACGGCCGCCCATCCATTGTGCGCAGCCAGCTAGTTCGTCGTACGATGCCACGACGGGCCAGCCCATTGCGAACTTCAAAGGAACAGTGCCGTATACAGTGCGGACAAACTTGTCCTCGGTAATGCTCTGAGGTGAGCCGTTGGCGCCATCATGGTAACCGTTCACCACGCTGTCTCTCTTGCTAGTGCTTGCGCCCTTGGCATTGGAGTATGGCTGCTCGCACCACGATGCAGGTATAGCTATATACAACAGTCAGTGAAGCTCAGTCAAACGGTTGGTCAAACTAGCGCCAGCGGTTCTGCTGCAGTGATCACGCACCTGTCTTTCCTGTCTGAGACAGATATGTGGCGTACTCTCCGTTTGTTATCGGGCGAGCCTTTGCACGGAAGGACTTCACATGCGCTGAGCGGCGAGGTTTCTCGTTGTCCCATCCAAAGTATCGTTCGGTCTTGGAGTCATTCTCAGGGTCTTCAAGACCTATTTGGATATCTGATTCGGGAATCGTGAACCATTGGTTTTCGGTTGCCAGAGTCTGCGACTGCGCTGCGAATGCTGCGAAATCTGGAACCTTGGTTCCAGGAGGTGGCAAGACCTTGTCACTCTGGATCAGCATGTAGAGTAAAGTCTCCAAATGCATGACTTCATGCTCAAAACCGATCCACAGTGCTCGAGACACGCGGCCGTTAGTTTCTGCTTCTCCTGAACTGTAGAGCGCTTCGACCTTGTTTCGCACAGTATCTTGGAATTTTAGAATGATCTTTAACGGCGGCCACTCTTCGGGAACCTCGGAGTGGGCATGGCACTGAGTCGGGTCTTCGACATCAGGGTCAACACCGCGCTCGAAGATTTTCCAGAAATAAGCAGGGTCCGAAGGCTTGCCGTCGGTGGCACGGGCGATGTGAATATCCAAGAATGTGGGAATATGGCCAAGATAGAAGATGCACTCGTTGCGAAGCTTGATGGGCTTGGAGAGTAGATCTTCTTCGGGTATCATCTGCTTTGAGACCGCATCCCAGGCCGTCCAAAGTTCCTGCCACTCAACGAGTGACGGTACTGGCTTTGCCGCGTACTCCTCAGGCTTGGTGGGGAAGAACATTGCAGGCTTGGAAACGAAATGCAGGCCGTAATCGCCCTTCGAGTTCGCCCACACAACGTTTTCCGCGAGTTTGGCCAACTCCCAAAGCTCTTTCGCTTCCTCACGACTGTACTTGTAAGATTCTTCAATCCGGATTCGTTCGCCCTGTTTGATCGAGACACCGTCAACAACAGTGTCTTTGCGTGGTGCGACGAAAGCGTGATGTCTACCTGCTTGGTTGTCGTACTCGCCAATGGCCTCCCAATCTTGGATATCGAAAGCCTCCTCGCCCATGAGCGTGTTTGCGTGCTTTAAGCCGTTGAGAATGAATTTGTGCGTTACACCGTCACGATCGTTGTACGCATGGTAAACACGCTAGTTTGGGTACATAGTCAGTGTATGTTGGTGTGTATGCTGTGACGATGGGTTACCTCAGGATCTTTGCATGAATCGATGCCGATAAGCATGGTATCGCCAGTCTGTAAGACTGCACCAAACCCGGCAAGGAATGGCGGCACCTCATGACGCTTAAAATTGCCCAGGCTAGAGCCCAGCCAAAGAATGGTCTTCGGTTTCGCTTCGATTTCGGGAGTCTTCAGCCACTCTAGGGCATCGTCGTACGTGCCATATAGCCCAAAGCACTTGACATGCTTGTATCCTTCTGCATGCTTAGTTAGCGAGTGGTCAGGAGGGTGGTTCACGTGGAACACGGTATCGCGTAGTGATAAGGAGATAAGGGTTTTGTTGCCCATTATATTGACACGCATATATGCAGGTTCATGTAGGTCTGGACCACATTCACTGAACAGTGTATACTGTGGCACGCTTGATTTAAACCCCACCCCCTCTCTGCAATACCGATTATCATGAAATGGTTACTTACCTGTAGGTATTTCGCCGAATGTCCTCTTCAGCTCTGGGAGGGATAGATCGACAGCGTAATACTCGACGTCTTTGCCAAGACGATCGACGGCCTGCAAAAGTATATTCACCTTTCTGAGGTTGCTACAAGAAGATTAGTACTCACGAAGCACAGGGCTCGTTTCCAATCTCGTTTCAAGTGGGAGGCAGGACCCTACCCACTCCCCAGTTCCACGATGATGGAATTCGGCGGGATTCGTTCGGCGATTTTATCCGCATATGTCTCGAGGACCTCGATTTCGGCATTTGTTAGGTAGTACCTGGCGTAGCGAACAGTATCAGCTCGGAGTTGATTTAAGCCACCAGTGAGGCTACTCACTCTTCTTGGTATGTAATTTCTTCGAATAATCGAAGACCTTTCTGGCTGATAGAGCAAGATAGGGTTAGCGTGCATCTTACGCTGGTTGCATCACCGCTTACTCGTAGAGCAACAACGTGGGCAGCTTCTTTTCGCCACCATTCTCAGGCCGTAGACCCTTCTTGATATCGGCGAGGATATCGGACTCCGCAGTGTCTGTCCGGATATCAATTATTTTGGTCGCCATTTTCCCGCGGGGCTTGAACTTGGATAGGATGGTATAATAAGTCGATATGCCCGTCAAGATCCGTTCTGTTAATCACACCTAATGCCGAGGGCTGCGCAATACTTATACAGCGCAAATGGTACGTAATGTGGGTACTCGGACGCTTATGCCGTGCGGTAGCTGACGGTAACTAGAGGACCGGTAATAGTTCTAATGGAATAGTGCAGAATGCAATGTGTCGCCAGTGAGCAGGTACTGCCACACACTGCTTGGCTAGCGGCTGCAGTGGTAATATCACTCACAAACTCACGACAAATCAAGACATGCGTTCTTCTCACGATCAACAGCGGTACGACGGGAATGCCTATATAGTTCGAGCACATCATGGACAACAACCCCGCCCGAAGAGATTGCACTGGTACCAATGCGATCCGGAAGCATGGTACATGAGACGTCCAGCATTGCTGCGAGGCCACATTGATGACGTCATTGTTTTCCAGCTAAGGAAGGGACGGAAGTCCGGGACCAACAACGTTGAGCAGCTCTAGGGAAGCCGACGCCAAACGAAAGCATTCAGGAACACGCTGCAAGATGGGCAGTTGCTCGGTCGCGGACTCTCGCCAACCGCAACAAGTTCATGGACGATCACGGTGCCTGTTGCGGGGTCGATGAATTGCTGCATAAGCGATGCCGTCACAGTGGAGTCGCAGACTTGTTGACACATGACACTGGGTTGGCAAGACTTTGAAGTGTGTGGTGATCACAGCGTGATTGGTGACGTGAGCGTCTTGCTAAGCAGAATTGACTTTGGCGTGGGCAAAGTGCAGTACCAGCATAACGAGTAGATGAACGGAAGCAAGTAAGAAGCAGCAAAAGAGCGATAGCGATGGTTTGATGCATAAGGATGCCCTGTATGATAACTCGAAGTTTGGCCTGTGTTGGCGCATGCCGAGGTGCGACGCCAGCGCGGAAAAGTAGCGCGCGGTCATGTCCGCCCACTTGGTCATCAAAAGGTGCCATTTAACCATAGCCATATTCACCATGGACACCAGGCCAGCGCTTGTGCTGAGAAGCCACGAGCCAACCATCAGGTAACATGGTTAGCATGTCCGTCGCGACGTTGAATACATGCAGGTACTTACGCTCGCCCGCTGTCCTGGCCAAGAATCTTGGAAGCACTATCCTCCCCCTTCCCTTCCAATATCATACAACACTCATGCCCAGAAACGATCGCGGTGCACCCGAGGGCTGACTCGGGGTAATCCTGCTCGAAAATCCAGGGCCAATGCTTGTTTGCTTGATTTATCTATCTCGCCTCCGAGTATCGCGGAATCTGCCAAGGTTTGGGATTCTCTAAGACGAGTACTGATGAGCCTCCCAAGCAGATAGCTCTTACGGGACTCCCCTTCCATGCACGTAAACCAGAAGTCATGGTTTCTCACCGATGATGTGTCGCCTTGGATAATACTACGCATCATGTGCAGAAGCACAACGTGGCTTGCCCCTTGCATAGGACATCACAACACTATCGCTGTGGCCAAACGGACAGCATCCGCTTGAGCCGTACCTGATTCAGCTATTGCAGACCATCTCCGCATATCATTTGCAATGTCAGAGGTTCGGCGCTGGTTCTAATTGAAAAGCCACAGAGTCTTCATCCCCTTGTTTGGATCTTCAGACACGGACCTGGGACCACTTCAACAAAGCCATCAAGGAACTACCTGTGCAACTATACCATCCCACATTGGAGAATATGATGAATATAGCGGTCCGAGTGCTCTGAGTTGCTTATACCGAAGAAGCCTAGCACAGAGCCTGGCTGCTGCAAGCCTCCCGATACCCTTTAGTAGCCCTCCTTCCGATTGTCTTGGAGCATATGGCTTTGTCTCATTCCATGAATACGGACCTTTCCGCTGCATGACTATTACGAGGCGGAAGTCTGGTTGCCAATCGCTCTTGACCTAGAGGAAGGCCTTGCGCCACTGCTCTGCTCGAGACCTGATCGCACTTGTTGTTTCCGGGACTCGCGGCAGCACTCAGCCTTTTGACTGTATTGAACAAGCCTACGCTTGGAGTAGCTAATCTTCATTGTAACGCCCACTACATTCATCTGTGAATAAATGGCTCTCTTAGCCAAACCAAGTCGAACCTCTACATCCGTAATATCTTTGCATTCGCACTACGAACATTAGTTTTGGCCTGTCACATTGCTCACCAGGTTTGAGAAACACTCAGGGTTGCACTACCGGCAGCATGTACTGCACCAAAGCTTCTTCTCAGCCGTGGGGCATCCCTGCTACCAATGGCCTCTTCTCCGCCAACGAGGCCTCCACTTGGCCATCCGGAATCTCGAAGTTGCAATTCGAGAAGGAGATTTTGGAGAACGGTCTCGCCAACTGTGTTACCTATTTACAAGTTCTGCGCAAGAAGCAAGCTCGAACCGAACTGCGATTGGTCACGAACCCCTCACTATCCCGGAAGAAGAGGAAAAAGATGCAACAGAGCAGGCGTGAGTTGGAGAAAGAGATCAAGGACCGAGAGCGAGACGAGCAGGCTTTTCTCAACAATCTCCAGGCTTGCAAAGCAAACATCTACATCGCCGAGACCGTCTCATTGCCAGCTACAGCCATCTCGTCGACAGTACCGGACGTTGCTTCAACCTCGACGCGATACTCATACACAGAAGACGCGCAGACCGAGCCTACAGAGATAGGCTGGAACGGCTGGATGGGTGAGACGGTACTCTCACCCTTTCAAAAGGAGAGCAACAACCCTTTCTTCACGGACAATGTCGCTCCGGATGAGTGTTCAGAAACTGGTAAAATTGGTGGAAATATACTGGAAAAATCCAAACAATCCCTTTCCTTTCCGCGCTTCGAGGATGTCGAAACTAGACCGCGGGTATCGCCCAACACACAGACGCATGCCTTGTTGAACGCCGAGGCTGCAGTCTTTCAGCCTCAACTCATACACACAGGTCAAGGCGATGCTATCGATCAACAGGTAGCCCAACTCCATCTCTCTCTATCGATGGCGATCACTACTTTGAAGATAGAAGCGCTGGAGCTCCTGGAGAGAGGTCTTGTTGGTGACACGGGCATTGTTCCAGCACAACAACAAATTTCTCTTGCAAGTTTTGATAAAGAGGCTAGCATCCAGACTGGGGCCAAACCTACAACACAGCAAAGCCCGAAAAAGGTCACCATAGCTAGGAATCTCAAGATTAGGACAAGCTCTCTATGATGAGAGAACACGGTGGCATGTCAGCCAGCCATTCCATAACACTCCACAGCACTTGGTACTATTGGTAGAGTCCCACTCTCATTAGCGCGTTGCGTGCTCTCCATCCGCATTCTTCCATCCAATTCGATCGCTCGCGATCACATTTTTTAAGTTTCGACTGGCAGCAGGCAGCGTTGACGAGTGGGTGCGTTTGTTGGATCAACACTATTCAAGGAAGATACAGAGTTTGTTCATTTCAATGCAAAATATTAGAGAAGATACATCCTGCTGCAATGCACTCTTGAAAATCCAGAATCTGGTTGCTTGCACATGTCAGATGGCTTCGGCCCATCGCTGCCATGTTAGGTGAAGCGAAATGCCCCACACTGTGCCGTCATAACAGCACACCCGTGTTTGCGCGCTTGCGCGCCTTGCACACAACCGAACGACTCCTCCCCTCACATACACGTTCAACATCCGCACGCTAGCTAGAGTTCAACACTCTGTGCAGTATCGTTGGTCCGCATAAAAAAAGCGCGATTTTCACTCGTCCAAGAAAAGACGGAGCCTAGAGCCGCGTTGTTTGGCTCCAACAAGCACCTCCACTCTATCCCGGCAGTTCATACAGCAGACCACTGCGCAGTGCTTGCATAGCGTCGCGGCAAGCTCGCGCCGCAGCCGTCCCTGTAATATCAACCGGCGAGCCCCTCACCCAGTTCTCGCTGGAAGAATCGATACCTTTTCAATTGCTTCATCTCATCCAACATGGCTGATGTTAGCAATGGATTGAAGACCGACGACGAGCTACGAGAGCGGCCGTCAGCTAAGCCACTGCATCTCAACAACGCAGACGATGCTAAACAAAAGGTCTTGGAGCTGAATGACCAAGAGGATAAGAATCACAAAGATGACAACAAAAAACGAACATATGGAAGGACTCCAGACGGTACAGGTATGTCTCATCTTATGCTGTGCGAAAGCAAAAGCAATTACCATGCATACGTAGCGCACTTGCTCCTACCCCGGCCCACTGATACTGACTCTACATATGTAGTCTTTATCGTTCCACAGACTCACGACATGGTCTCGCAGCTGCTCTCGCCCTCGCAACCCAAAAACCTGTCCGATATAGCAGTCCTCGCCGTGCTTGCTGTCCTGATCTTGACCTTCGTCGTACTGCCCAAAAGCGCCCGCATACCCATATTCGCAATCGTCTTCCTCTTCTGGCGCGCCTGTTACAATGCTGGTATTGGCTGGCTGCTCGATGGACAGTCTAAACACAACCGTCTCGTCCTCTGGGCGAAACAAAGCCATATCTTCGAGAAGCCTGAATCAGGCAAGAACCCACGTCCTGCGCTGTACAATCTCCTCAAGCGGGAATTAGAGACCAAGATCCCGAACGATTATAAGTTTGAGGAGGCGCCGCTCGAGTACAACACATGGCTCGTGTTTAGGCGCGTCGTAGACCTCATACTCATGTGTGATTTCGTATCGTACTGCCTTTTCGCCCTCGCCTGCTTCAACCGCCCCCAAGAGAGCTTTTTCTTGTGGATTCTACGGTGGACGACTGGTATTGTCCTATTTCTTTTCAACCTGTGGGTCAAGCTAGACGCTCACAGAGTTGTAAAGGACTTTGCTTGGTAAACACCTTACTTACATAGCGCATTGCAATCATGGCTTACCATCCTTAGGTATTGGGGCGATTTCTTCTATCTCATCGACCAAAGTCTGACATTTGATGGCGTCTTTGAGATGGCACCGCAGTAAGAGGCCTCATCATGCTTCCCATTGAAGACAACACTAACCCGCCGCTTCCGTCAAAGCCCAATGTACTCGATAGGCTATGCCGGATATTATGGTATTGCCCTTATGATGGCAAGCTACAAAGTCCTAGCGATCTCTATCATCGCCCATGCAGCCCAATTTGCCTTCCTGTCGATAGTAGAGGAGCCTCACATAAATCGTTTGTACAACCCACCGCCTCCCCGCCGTACGCGCCATAATTCTGGGGATCTTGCTATGGAAGATCGACCCAAAACTAGCCAGTCTGATGTCGCCTTCTCCGAGCCAGCCTACGATCCCACCAAGCACCAACCTGCCCAAACGCACCACATTGTAGGGCCTCTTAACACGGATTTCCACCGATCCATTGATCTCACGGTAGTATTGCTCTCGTTCTACATGTTTTGCTTGGCGACGCTAACCCCCAACACCTGGCTCGTGCGAACATTCCTCTTCATCAACGCATTCGGGTGGCGGCTTTGGTACGCGTTAGGACTGGGCTATATTCTGGATCGTCAGTCTAAGAAGAAGAATTGGACCAAACACTTCATCAAGTACGGCGACACGAAGGAGGAAGCCTGGCGCCAATGGAAATCCCTATATCATATGAGTACGACCATGAGTCATGCAAGCCTTGTCGCCGTGGCATGGAAGATGTACAGTCTCCCACCGGACGGCCTGAATGGTCTCACCCTCTTTCGCCACGTTCTTGGCGCAGGTATGATTGTACTTCAGCTCTGGGTTGCCATGAGCATCTACGAGTCTCTGGGCGAGTTTGGATGGTTTTGTGGGGATTTCTTCTTCGACCCGCCCTCGAGATCGCTGACTTACTCCGGCATCTATCGCTTCCTAAACAATCCCGAGCGAGTTCTCGGGTTAGCTGGCGTCTGGGGGGTAGCTCTCATTACATGGAACCCAGCAATCTTCTACCTCGCTACGACCGCACATGTCCTCAACCTCGTATTTCTCCAGTTCGTAGAGAAGCCCCATGTCATCAAGGTGAGTACAAAACGTCTTGGGGTAGACCGGCGACTACAAGTACCTGTCCAAGTTCCTAAAACATTTGGAATTCACGTGAAGTACATGACGCCTCCGTCAACATGCCGAGTTTACCTCACCTGTTTTATCCAATCTTTACTGACTGTGACATGTGTAGTTGTACGGTCAAAACCTACGTGAGATGTCCGGTGTCAGCAAAACAGTACGCCAAGCACTACCAGACCCGGTTCGCCAGTGGCAATCCGCAGCCGACGAGTATCTTAATTCTACTATGGAGTTCATCGAGAAATTCCTGGATAACGCAAGTCCAAAAGTGGCTGCCACTGTCGACGCCTTTGTCAAGGATACAACAAGTCTTTTCAAGTCTTACCCAACGCGTATTCCCGTCAGTGGCCGTTCGTCGGAAACATCTGGTCTAGATCCAAAACAATACAAGCTCGAAGTTGAAGGTACCCGCTCACCACCGACGGTAGAGCAACAAAAGAATGGTGGCCGTGAAGGGGAACTTGCGAGAACGCCAGCAATTCGTACAAATGACTTCAAGACACTTATACTTGAGTACGGTGCCCCCATCAAGGTTCGCTGGCAAGCACCCATCAACCATAGCAAGAAAGACTGGATTGGCTTGTACATGGTTGCCGACAACCAATCTCGGGATGTTACACGCATTAGCTCTAACGGGCGATGGGTGGCCACTAATCCCGATGTCTTCGACTCTACTCGAGCTGACGATGGTATTCTCGTCTCTGACAAACTTCTGCCTGCCAATCCCGCCGATGAGGAGTCGTCGGATTGCTACACTGGCGAGGTTGAATTCCGGGGAGATAAGCTGTGGTGGACTACGGGTGTGTTTGAGTTCCGGTATCACCACGGCGGTCGACACCACGTCATGGCGCTCTCGCAAGCTTTTGAGATTCGGATTCCTAGGTTCGACGAGGACGATGTCGAGGTGGATGCCAATGGCACAATCCAACGTGCTGTGGAGGAAACCCTGCTTCACATCGTCCAGAACTGCTTCGACCACGACCCTGAAATCGCCCCATCTACCCCCGAGGAGCCCTTTGGCAGCCTAGTTGAGCGAGATGGGAAGTTTGCGAAGCGAGTAGTATTTGCAGTCCACCAAATGTACGTCTTTCCCTTTACTGTATGTCCTTTGGAGAGATTATTGACAATGTCCAGGTTCGGTATAGAGTTCGCTCCTGAAGTGGTCCAGGCGGACGGTACGGTCAGTCGACTTGCTTGGCGCATCTTGAATGCTAAGAAAGTCTTGGTGAGCCACTCACAAGCTACCACAAGGGAGTTGGGTCACTAATGGAGTATTGGTAGGCCCCTTACAGCATGTCTTCGGCTACTCACGGCAGGAATACCCCAACAAGGGGTTGAGAAAGGCTTGGACGGTATTCCCGCGCCTGGCTCATGTAGAAGCACGGTCAGTTCTTTGTCTCTGGTTGGGCATTGTCTTGATGAGGAGGGCTTCCAAAAGATGGGTCCGTGTGTCTGGAGAACAACGAGTAAGGTACCATGTGCGAACCGTCCATGTCTCCAGCGGAGCTTGTTATAGTGAGGCGGGTGGATATATGGCAAGCTTGGCGCAAGCAGGTGACGATATGCGTCTTTGGGAGTTGTTGACTACATACGCACGAGGAGTCGAGTAGGAGTTGTGCATACATGCGACGTACTAGTGTAGAGTACTGGGCGTAAAAGAAATAAAAACATTTGATTGATTTTGCACTGTCGACATCATGTGATTGGAGCGACAGGATCAAGAAGAAGCATTCGCACACACAAGCTACTGATTTGGTATCACAGCCTGTCAAGAGTCCATCCATAAATCACTTGGAGATAGCATGCGGGGCTGCATCAAAGGCGGTTCTGTTCACCGTACTCTTTGCCCAGTTTGGGCTTGCCGTCCCCTCACCTTCTCATCAGTGATCAGACGTGATGACCCCATAATATGCATGAGGCTGTGAATCAATGACCTGTGATGACGGCAAGAGCGCATGCGAGCCGCGACCGAGATGCGGAGGTCATCTTATCAGATGGAGATGGAGATGGCGACGCGGTTGACGTGATTCGCGGCGGCTGGTTTAACCTCGGTCTGGCCCATGGGAGTATCTTCTGGAAGCTATCGCGCCTCCGCAGCTGAATAGCCCGCCGTCGCATTCATACCATCTCCACGATAGTACAGCCAGAAACTACCTGTAGGCTGGTGTGCTTTCACTATCATACTGCATTGTTGTGCTGCCTCTCTGTTCTGCGCTGCACGCGTCGTAGCCTCTCATCGTTCGGGAGTCCGCACCTTCCGCACCCCAGCGGGTCCGCACGTCACCACGCGACATTGCGCCCCCTACATTCCCACGTTCATCGTATCAACCCAGCAACTCATCGTTAGCACCTCATGATGGGAAAAGGATCCTCCAAGACCAGCACCAAGGTGCTACCACTCATTCCGCTCGCGTCGCCGCTCGCCCTCCTCCCCGGCACAACACTCAAGATCCCCATCACCAACCGCTCCGATGTCGCCGCCATCCTCGCGAAGATATACAGCATTAGTCCTACAGCGAAGCCCGATGCGGCCATTACAGTAGCTTGTGTGCCGCTGAATTCCAACACGCTCGGCCCGGATGGGCAGTTGTTGATTGAGGATGGACATCAGGGGGAGAAGACGGTGTATGAGAGCGATCCCATGCAGGCGACTAAGAAAGACATCTTTGCATATGCTTGTGTCGCCAAGGTCAGCGGTGTGCAAGGAAGACGGCAGGGCGACCTGAGTCTGGTCGTCGAGGGTCTGGAGAGAGTGCAGGTTGTTGATGTTGTGCAGGAGAGGCCATACTTTGAGGGAGAGCTGATGGCCGTCGAGGAGTACAGTACGTACTATCAACGCCTGAATTCACCTTGGATGGCTACTAACAAGCACAGTCGACATTGCGAGTGCAGATCTTTTGAACCAGTTCAACCTCCTCAAGCAGCTGTCGCGCGAACTGCTCGCCCTTGTCCGCCTGTCGGCCATTCTACCGCGCACTCCACAAGTCACACTCTCCCCTATCGTCGCTCGGAGGCTTGAAGTGTACATCACCCGCAAAGACTTGTCAGAGGCTGGCGCATTGGCCGACTTCATGGCGAACGTGGTAGAAAGCACACACGAGGAAACACTGCGCGTACTGGCAGCTGTAGATGTCAAGGAGAGGGTTGATCGCGTCATCGAGATCCTTCAACGTCAAATCAGCAGCATCCAGGGCAATACACGCATGACAGTCACTACAACGCAAACACAGGGCGGCAGCTTGGACATGGAGACACTGCGACGGTTACAGCAAGAAGCCTTGACAAGAAGGGGCAAGATGGGCGGCGGCCTGCCTGCTGGTTTCCCTGCCGGCTTCCCTGGTGGCGGGCAACAGCAGGCGGGCGAAGAAGAACCGAATGAAATCGACGAGTTGAAGAAAAGGCTACAAGACGTCAAGCTGTCTCCGGACGCCGACAAGGTAGCTCAACGTGAGCTATCGAGATTGCAGAAGATGAACCCAGCACAAGCAGAATACCAGGTCTGCAGGAACTACCTCGAGAACCTCGCCGAAATACCATGGACGAAGATGACTGTCGACCAGCTCGACGCGCAAACACTGGTCAAGGCGAAGAAGCAGCTCGACGATGATCATTATGGTCTTGAGAAGATCAAGAAGAGACTACTCGAGTACCTCGCAGTGCTCAAGCTCAAGGAACAAGCGAACAGGACCATCGACGATCAGATTCGCGCGCTCGCCGAGACACCCGAAGGAGAGGACGAGGCCAAGGAACAAGAGCCTGAGGACAAGGTTGCAAAGGAGCCTTCAGAAGCAGAGCAGCGACTGTTGGAGAAGAAGCGCATGGTCGACAAGTCCCCAATCCTACTGCTTGTTGGACCACCGGGAACGGGAAAGACTTCACTGGCCAAGTCAGTTGCTACTGCGCTTGGTCGCAAGTTCCACCGCATCTCACTTGGCGGTGTGCGTGACGAGGCAGAGATTCGTGGTCACCGTAGGACTTATGTCGCTGCTATGCCTGGTCTTATCGTCAATGGATTGAAAAAGGTCGGAGTCGCCAACCCAGTCTTCTTGCTCGATGAAATTGACAAGCTGGGCATGTCGAACCACAATGGCGACCCCGGCGCAGCCATGCTTGAGGTCCTTGATCCAGAGCAGAACCACACGTTCACAGACCACTACGTCAACATCCCTATCGACCTCTCCAAGGTCCTCTTCATCGCCACCGCAAATTCGCTCGACACCATCCCGCCGCCGCTCCTCGACCGTATGGAGACTATCCAGCTCTCCGGTTACACCACACTTGAGAAGAGGCATATCGCATCAAGACATTTGATCCCAAAACAGATCACGACCAACGGTCTCCGCCACGAGAACCTCAGCATACCCACCGACGTGCTCGACAAGATCATCACATCCTACACACGCGAATCCGGTGTCCGCAACCTCGAACGCGAGATTGGCTCTGTTTGCCGCTCCAAAGCCGTTGAATACGCCACGGCAAAAGACACAAACACACTGGCGGCATACTCTCCCGTTGTCACCCTGGAGGATCTAGACAGTACGCTCGGCATCGAGAAGTTTACCGAAGAGCTCACCGAACAATCATCTCGCCCTGGTGTTATAACAGGCTTAGTCGCGTATAGCACCGGTGGCCAGGGCTCCATCCTCTTCATCGAGATTGCGGACATGCCAGGTTCAGGCCGTGTCCAGCTAACCGGCAAATTGGGCGACGTCCTCAAAGAGAGTGTAGAGGTAGCTCTCACATGGGTCAAAGCCCATGCTTTTGATCTCGGTCTCAGTGCAAGCCACGATGAAGATATCATGAAGAGTCGTAGCATTCACGTCCACTGCCCCTCTGGCGCTATCCCCAAAGACGGTCCTAGTGCTGGTCTCGCTCACACCATCGGACTCATTTCCCTCTTCTCTAACCAACCCGTCCCGCCTACGCTGGCTATGACGGGTGAGATCTCTCTTCGCGGACGAGTGCTGCCAGTTGGTGGTATCAAAGAGAAGTTGATCGGCGCGCTGAGAGCAGGCGTCGAGAGAGTACTCTTACCCGAGGGTAACAGGAAGGATGCTAGGGACCTGCCCTTGGAGGTTACGCAGGGGCTCAAGATTGAGTTCGTCGGCCACATCTGGGAGGCATTGGGCAAGGTCTGGCCTGAGAGGTGGGAGGGTGAAGACGGTAGGAGGGGCTGGGAGAGCAGATTATAGATTGTAGAGTTGTATGAGAGACGGGTTTTGTATGGAATTTGGAAGGAGTTGGTTTGGCGCATTGTATTTAGCGTTGCATTCGTTATTGTTGATGTATCATCATAGCTACTCGCTTCACTCACATACGCACTCATATTTCTGACTTGGAAACGCTTCGTCTCATCTCGCTTCACTCAGTCTTCGCATATATAGCCCTCTTCACTCACTTCCCTTCCTCTCCTCTCAACATCATATTCTTCTTACCTGAAACAATGATACACAGTCCTATGGTGAGTTGCGTCCCGACCCTTCTCCTAAAAGATACCCCGTTGGTTGCATGTGCGGACACTGCCCCAAACAATCGCCGACTCGGGCCACGATTGGTTTACATATCCTTCAACTATGTTGAGGTGGTTTGCGACAAGAGTCGAAAAACTCCAAAATGAAGGAGAACATCGAAATATGTGGAGTGTCGAAACTGAAGCAGTCATTGACATGGTGCCAAATAATGTTTTGTGCTCAAAGGAAGATCGTACTCTACATCTGGCCTTCAGATTTCGGAGAGCCTCAAGTAATAAAACCTATCAGCCAGACATGCAGAATTCCTGAGGGCGGGCTGTAGGCATTGTACCTAGGTATCGTAAGATTGTTTTGAATGACAGAAGTTACGTAGACAACAAGCTGCCAGCCTGATCTAATGGTACCAGGTTGGTAGAATGGTACTTTAAGAACCTGAAATACGATACAGAGGAGGGGTGGTCAGAGAAGCATGGTAAGCTGGCAAATGGGTTTACACTTTAGTTCTTGCGAGTTGGAGACAAGCTGAGCTGTAACGACCTTCTTGTTTAATAGGACACAGTCCGATGTTCAGGCGAGGCAACGGAACTGAGCACTAGTTACACTGAGCCTACGTTGCAAGCTCCGGTTACTTAAACAGCTGAGTGATTGTTCGCTACGGAACCGCTTGTGGCTGACTTGGTACACGAGGCTGAGACTCAGCCTTTTCGGATTGCTGTGGTCTTAAAAGGTTGAATCCTTTCCTACAGCAATAGATATAATACTGTGGGGTTTTAGGAATTCTCTGCCTGGATCTCTAGACACAAGCGAAACATTCATACAACATTACCACCTATGTCTTCGTCAGTGAACAGTCCTAGTTTGCATCCTATAGCCTTGAGGCGCTCTTCGACTGGCTCGTTCAACCACTCAGCCTCGCTAGAATCCACCCAAATTGTAATATTGGAAGATCTGAGTGTGGACGACCGATGATCCACGGGTACCTTGAAGACATTCTACCCTAATGAAACGTGGCTCATCGACACCGCAAACGGACCAACGTTGCAAGCAATCTCGGTGCCGAAAAACCACCCTAATCTTGACGCAAAGCCTACGATATCAGGCGAAGGATGGCTCATCCTTCTGCTTACCTCCAACACATTTTGTCTGGCTGCCATCTTGCTACTCTATTTGTATTCTGGCAACGACAGGCAGTACATGACGTTTGACCCAAACATCCATCTCTTGGTACAATGACTGCCCACTCTTCTGGGCACCATCACCATAGTTGCTTCCCGAAGCGCCCTGGAAGCGTACTTACGTATAAAGCCATACATGTCCCATGGCGGATGGTTGTCGCAACATTGTGGGACCGCAACAAGCAAGAGGTGTAGATACAGTAGCAATGCACGTCCTTCGTCCGCTCGCCTCGCAAAACGTTCTCTGGACTTTCTTCAGAAGACACTATAAGCGATTCTGGTTGCATTTCAACCAGTTGCTCATTGCTTTCGTAACAGGATCTAAGTCGGTGTTGTTGGTGATAATCAGTAATGAACCAGGATGGACCATTAAAGTATCTCCTATCACAACCATAGCGCTTTTGACACTCTACTCAGCAAATCAAGTCACACTGCTGGCACTTTTCACATTTCTCTGGAAACGCCACATCGGCCTGAAATACGACCCGACTACAATCGCGGACTAGTTGGCACTTTTTCATGATTCGAATGTACCCAGTGACTTCGCAGACTTGGAACGTACCTCGGCTTGCCCAACCCGCCTAAGCTCTCAGCCGCCACTCCTTTCTCCGTTTATGGAAAACCATCTCTCTACTTCGCATTTCCGATGGTTTTCGCATCATCGCTCTTTGTCGTTGGCACGATGCAAGCCATAGATATAGGTGTTCGCTTTACGAAGACTTTCGCAAGCACATACAAGGTGAATGCGTCAATCGAAGAGAGCCTGTTGTTGGATTATCTGTGGGGAACGCCTGGCGTCGTCTCCATTGACGCCATACGGAGCAAACACTGGAAAGTAGCATGGTTCCCTTTTACATCCTTGATGGAGCACTTCTCTCCGGTGCTTACGGCCAACATGCTGACCCCCGTTATCACCGAGAAGGAGATGACATTCAAGTGCGGAGAAACAATCTTCTATACGGCGTCCGGCTTCTTGGTAGCTTGTTTCATTAGTTTGCTGTTCGCCTGGCCTCGTACGCATCAGTTACTTCAGCAATTTCGTTGTAGTAGCATCATGCTAAACGAAGCTCTGGATCTTTCTGATGGAGTGCTGGAAAGCGGCTCCTTGAGTCGAAACAGTTTATCGAACAAGGCCGGTTTGAGATGGGTCTGTACACAGGCGTAGACGGGGAGAAGCATTCTGGCGCTGACTATGCATGGAAAAGGAGGGTTGGACGAAGGAAACATGTAACGCGGGTCTCCAAAATCGACAGGATGACCGATGGGTGGTTCGTAGTAACGACTCGATCCCTTCCGTAAACCTAGGCTTACAAACCCTTTGGCAGTTGGACCAGACAGTGGTTTCTCATCAACGAATATGGGAATTGGAGGAAGAAAATACTGGCGGTTGTCCAGGCGCCGGAGTCAGACACATCTTGGGTTCAAGCTGCATGCACATGATTGTAGGGAGCGCAAGGCGAGAGATGATACCGAGGCATAGTATTCAAACGAGCATGAGCCCTGTTGATCAAGTCAGCAAGGACTGGCAATGGAGGCTTGTCGATGCTGCTGAAGTGACTTCGTTACGCTCCTCTACGAGCCACTCAATCCTCCACTCCTCACAGCAAAGACAGTCGGCGCCGAGCACGCGTCACCTTTCCGGCAGCTTCGGGCTCAGAGACATCTCTTTTGGGGGGAACCATTGACGATCCTACTATACCAGCTTCCGAAAGCAACCTTAGCACCTCGACGTTGTAACCCGGAATGCCGGGAATAGGGTGGAGAGACGGAATCTGCGGAGGCGGCGGATGAGGACTGAGCTCTGCGCGCGGCGCACGGGGACCAACAAAACCCCAGCCCCTAACTTACTCCTACAGTAGTGTTCTGGCCAAGATGGCTGAGTCAAGCTTCGGATCCGAAGAGCGACCACATCCATCTCCACCAAGGTACCTGTTGGCGTTTCAGAGGCCCTGGCATACTTCGTTACGAATGTCAAGGATCGAAAGGATGTTATTAGATGTAGGCTGTGGATCGATGGTATCCTCCTCCTACAAAACGTTCATTCGACGCGAGATTGAGTGTTTTCATTTTTCAGACGCATGGATTTTGGCACGTCAATACGTGACATGTGTTTGCAATAACGAATCGAGTCGCAAAAAGCATCTACTGCTGACTGCTAGTACCAGATGATTGCGGCCTATCGCCATGTGTAGTTGGCGAGTAGATAGGTGCCCTTCGTGTCTTGACTGTGGTATTGTTGGGTGTTCCTGTGCTGTCCTGACTGGGGTGATATGTCGCGTTGATGGTGGGCCATATACCTTCAGCTAAACTCAATGATAGTCTGTATACCAGACAAAACGTTAATCTCGCGAAACGCCTACATGTGATGCAATTTCGGCTGCGAGCATCCAGATGCAATCCGGCTTCGATGCCGCGTTGGGATGTAGCAGTCGTCTGGACTTAGTATGCGTCGCGAAAGGCCCGATATATCTTAATACTAGGATTCTGTGATCGATAAGGTAGCCGCAATGCCCAACGGCGGCCTGCCGCGGCGGTGATGCCGGGTCGGCGAACGGAAGTTGCCGGTGGATGCTCTTGTGCCGTACACGCCCAATACGTATGTAGCAACAAAGACTTATCGACACCGACACAGTAAATGGATGAGATGAGGTCGCGTAATTATGTGTTGTTGATGGAGAATCCCAGAAACCAAAGAGGAGGTAAAGTTCAAAGTTCGGCATCACTGCTAATGAAAGCTTGCTGATGGTGCCGATTCATCAAGCGGAGCACGCGAAGAGGGGCGTTGTCTCCACCCGTCCAGGTCATCGGGGCACACCAGGATTACATAGGTTTCCCCACCGGTGAACTGGGTAGTAGAAGCAACATTGATCGTCGCTGCACATCGAAAGTTGTCATTGTCAGGCTCGATATGGCATTTCAACTGTCCGCCATAAGCCCCGAACCAGCCCATGGGTAGAGCTGCATACATGCCCAAAACCCACCGCCGGCGAGATACTCGGTGCTACAGTACCTCTTGCAGCCTTGATGACATCGTTGCTTGGCCCTTCTTCATCTCATCGCAAAGACGGCCGATGCATGCCAGCGCAGCAAGCGGACTATCTACAAGTGCATTACTGATGGTAGCGTACTAACCCGACGACTGGAAGGTGCTGCACTGTGCCTCTTGGCAGGCGCATGTGCGACGTAACCCTGGAACCGATGAGGCGATGTGGTTGAGCATGGATTTGCTAAGTCGCAGCGCTGCAGACAAATGCAATATATATCGCGGAACTGGAGGCGGGCATGAAATCGTGCAGCCGCTCATTTGCTGGATAAAGAATGTTGGGTCGAGCTGTCTGTACAGCGTGACGCCGCACAATGTGGGGTTGTGCCCAGGAGTGGATTGGATATTTCAACAGCGAAGGGGTCTGCTGGGGCAGACATTCAACGAGCCTTCCATGTCCACCTGATGGGTGGTTTCAGAGGCTCTTGAGCCCTGTCAACCCTTGGTGGAGAGAGGGCCCCAGGGTGCGGGCAAAATGCTCCGCGGAGCGGCGAAGCTTCTCGTTCAGTATTGGTGGCCGCTGACAAGCAGACAGATCGATGCCTGGAACGGACACGGCTCCGCCACGATCCCGCAGCAGACCTTAGGCCGTGGGCACCAAACAGCGACGCAGGCTCGGTTGCAGCCAGAATGCATGCAGCCGTGGTGTGCTACTGTTCCCCGTGCACAACCTGAGCCCTGAACTGCTCGCTGTTATTCGTGTTCCCCAGCGATTTTCCCAGCGATAAAAAGTCCTTCGCCGTAGTCAGCCGTAGCATACATTCAGTAGCAGGCAGTGCCCTGATGTTGTCCGCCTTTGTGACGAACGGGCCGCGCTGTCTTTCTTAGCGACGCTTGTGAGTAGTTCGGGGTCGATTCCAGCGCACTGGGAAGCCGGGTCATGGTCTGATGCGAAGCGCTCTGCACATACATACATAACTCGCAGCCGCCACCCTTCGTCACATCGCCATCGTTAGGGACTCGCCGAGCAGCTTTGACAGACGGTTAATTCGACCTGTGCGCCTATTTACTCCCTCCAGGACAGTCCTTGGGTGTCGAATAGATTACAGTTTACCAAACCTTCGGTGTCCCGCGAAGTTCCAGTGGCCAGACTCCAGGGATTTTTAGTTGGGCTGCATGCACGTCTGACATTCAACGGCGCGACCTCAGCACCGGATCATATATTCTTGGGTCCATTCCAACTCTATTCATAAGTTAGCAGTGCCCCTTTGTTGCATTGGGATTTTGCGAATACATTCGTTGCGACAGCCACCATGACGACACCAACCGATACTGCGATGCCGGACAAGGGCAAGAATGTGGAGCGTGGTACGCTGGGGAAATACGTGAAGAGAATGAGCACTGTGTTCAAGAGGGAGAAATCGAGCAAGAGTGTGCCAACGGTAGCGCCTGAAGCTTCTTCCGCCCCTCAAGTTGAGCAACAACAGCCCGTCGTGAAGGAAGTCGCGAAAGATGACAAAGTGAAACCGGACGTTATACCTGCCACGTGAGTATTTGACATCCAGCATCGATCTGTGTTTCTATACTAATTCTACAAGGCCCGTCAGTCCCAGAGTATCGGCACCATCAAGCCCAACCACCAAGGAAATGGATCGCAACGCTATGCAGCAGGAAAGAGCTCGTGCCTTGTTCGCAAAGTACGGCCTCACTCTAGAGTCGCATGAGTGGATCGCTGCGCCAGCGCCCAAGTCTACTGTGCAGCGGGTGGAGAAGTCGATTCGTATGCGTGTGCACCGCAGCTGCCATCGCTGCGGAGCCCTCTACGGCTCTGACAGGGTGTGCCTGCAATGCGAGCACAAGCGATGCAAGAAATGTCCTCGGTACCCGAAGAAGAAGACGCCCGAGGAGAAGCAGGCTGAGAAAGAGGGCATGGAGCAGCCAAAGAGAAAGAGAATACTCACTATACGCACGCGAGGCGGAGACGAGCTCGTATATCAGCCCGCGAGGCAACGCATCAGACGTACCTGCCACGTATGCGAGAAACTCTTCGAGCCCGCAACGGCAAACGTTTGCGATCAATGTCAGCATGTCCGGTGTACCAAATGTCCACGTGAGCCGGCCAAGCTCAATAAATGGCCTAATGGGTATCCAGGCGATGCTGAGCCTGACAGCGAGACGGAGGTGGAAAAGCAGCTTGAGAAGTTCAGGAGGACTTGGCGAAAGCCGAGGCAGAGGGTACGATGGCAGTGTGAAAAGTGCAACGGCCTCTTCCACAACAATTCGCCGCAATGTCCTGGGTGCGGGCATGAGAGATGTGACAAGTGTACAAGATCACCGTGGGTATAACCTTTACAAGGCTTGACAAATATGCATTGCTAATAATACACAGTGTCAAGAGGCTTGAAAAGGGAGAACATTTCGATGCTCAGGTCGTTGCGGCTGTAGAAGCTAAGCTGCGAGCTATGGATGTCGATGACGATTCGCCTTCATCCGCAGCTGAGGCTACGTGAGTGTGCAGCGTTGATCACATTTAAACACACTCAACACGACAATACATAACGACCTGATATCCTCTTTATTCGGAATCTTTTCGCAGAGTTGCTACTCCTGTGCTATGCTTTGCTCAATGGTGACAATAGCAATAACCGACATTTCGTCTTGAACGCACTCACGTTTCCACAAGCCCACAATCTGTTAGCTGCCGTGTTCTCTCAAGTCACTGTACGACCAAGAACTCTATTTCTCACCGAGTTGGTAAGCCACTAACCACAACACCACGTAGTCAGCATCACAATGTCGTACACCCCCACCTTCTCGCTTCCCCCTCTACTACCCACCCCCAGAGTTTAGAGCTCCCTCTCTCCTAGTATCTATGCCGATGCAATGCAGTACAACCCCAGCATCTGCGTAAATTACCAACCAAACCAGCTGTCGTCTGAAGTCCAAATGAGGTGGCGTTTTCCAGCGCGCAGTGTGGGGTCTTCCGTGTTAAGTTGCTCAAGTGGATACATGTCGGGCCTGCGAAACGAGTACGGTGGATGTCAGATAGGCTGTTGGGACTTATGAGGCTGCAATATCGATTTCAGATGTTGTGAACATGTGCCATGCGAGTTGCATTGTAGGAGTAGTGCATAGTGATTGATAGATGATAATGTTTGGCCAGTAATAGCTGTAATAAAACTAAGACATGCTGTGCAGCTTTTCAGCACTCTTGTGCTACTTTGAAGTTCTACCCTGGACGTTCTGGCGTATGGCTTGCTACACGTCCTTTACTTTCTCTACTTTTCAACCCACAGAAAGACCCCTGCTTACCTAATGGCGTACGGCGTGCAGTCAAGCGGGGAAGCGGCACAGACGTCCTCATTCGCGTGCTGAAACATCACAATCGTCCACTTCGTCCTTCGGGTCATTACATGGTGCTAGTATCCACAAGGGAAATGGTAAATAAGGGAGGTTTATGGTCCTCAAAGCTTGTATTGTTTCCGTTCACTACTACTCTATGGATGGAGTAACCTCGACATTACACCCAGAACCCATTGGAACTGCTGATACAATGGTATGGCCTCGTATACCATAGACTTGGTATGTGGTCGTCAAATCGATTCATAGTCGATGCGTAATGGCTATATCATCCCATATAACTTATCAAGCAATCCCATCTTGACGCCCGCTCCAACCACCTCCATCTAGCCCCTGCTTGATCACCTGTTCGACCCCCACATCTAATAGTAGCGATGATCTCTTTAGCCAATTGCATCCTGGTAGGCACATGGGGGCAGAGTTCTTAGATTAACGTGGCGCTCTGAGTCCGGATCTGGTTGGTCTGTTATCGAAATCGCAGTTTTTTTGGGTACTGTTCCAGAAGATCGCTTAGATGGGTTAGTTTTTTAATCTGCGAGGAGTGTAGATTTTGCTAGACGTTTAGCTACGCGAATAATGGACTTTAGGGTCCAGAAACCTTAAAAGGTGAAATAGGTAGCGAAGTGACAAGAGTAGAGGCTAAACTATGCCTCATCTTAGACGAAATCTTTGAGAGGCGGCATTCGGAGCCTGGAAGTCTTCTAGAGATGGAAGAGGTATTAATGGGCCCAATAGTATGCCTAGATGGGTTGGTATGCGAGAGATGGAATGTCGGATTCAGAAGCTTTCCAGAGGTGGACTATTGGACTCGAACATCGCAAAGGCATTCAAGAAGGGCTGTGGTAGCCACACTGGTATCCAGGTAATGCTCACAGGAACACCGCTACAAGCAAATCTTAGAAATGTCATCAAATCCAAGCTTTACACCTACTTATGCGATTGTTCATATGCGCTACGTCAAGTTTGCAATCTTTTGCTCAAATTCTCCAGTGACTATATCGGTGGCCTATTCAGTAACTTACAATTACCATCACAATCCCGAACTCACCTTTGTCTGCTTCAATCCAGTCTCTCGGCACTCCTTCTATTAAGCCAGACCTCTTGAAACCACCTCGATGCCAGGTGCCGACTACTTGGAATTGTATTAACCTCTTTTCATGCGCTATATTAGGTATAAGTACCTGGGTAGCATTCTTCAGTATCTAAAAAGTAGCTGAGTATCACTTCTCAAGAACCTATGTCCCATATCTCACTTCTGAAGATCCGCTAGGTCTCAGATATCGCTTCTCAGACACGGGCCCTCCACCGCTAAACCAAGGTCCTTCATGCTTGCCCAAGCAGTACACTACCAACCTCGTAACGGCCTACACCACTACCTCTGGAGCTCCTTTGGATCCCACATTACCACCTTCCGCCGTTTCTCCACTCTTCCCACCTACGATCAACAGACCACAACACCAACCTCTGTGACTTATCAGTCCAAGGTTCCAACTTCTACACTGTGCTAGTAGAGAATCCCAATCCTGTAGTTGACTAGTCCAGAAGTCCGACTTCTGCTACTCCGTCTATTCCAGCCCATATTTCTGTCAGGTACCAGGTCAGAATCCCAATACCCACCTTGTCCTGGCTAGCAGAATCCCAACTTCTCAACTTTCAATAACTACTACTACTACTACTACTTCCAAACATTCTCTTACACGACACCTATAGTAAGTGGCACGTTCCGCATTTGATCGATCTCGACATGGAAATCTAGTTGCCATTTCAAAGATGACAAACCTTGGTTGGGGACGACGCGTCCCTCACGCGTCGGTCGTGTCTTCTCTTTGCTTATTTGAACTGGCGATGAAACTCGGTAGAGTATGCACGGATAGGCACGTGCTATGTCTCTTTGAAGTAGAGATGTACCAAACGTTCTGCGGGCTGATGCATGCGTACCTTGAATGGGAGTGTCGCGTGACGATGTGATTTCCAGTGACGTAGGTCTGTGCGGGACATCAAACAGCTCCGCCCCGCCGCTTCATATACAAGGCAGCAGCCACCAGCACCACAACTCTCGTCTTCGCTCACTCCCCACCACGAAAACTGCATCTTCTTCACCAAACCTCCACATCACCCAATACCGCCACCATGATGAACTTCGTACTCTCCCTGCTGCTCCAGCTGTCAATGTTCATGCTCGCCGAGGCAGCTCCCATGACGGTCCAGTCAGCTAAGCCCTGGCAAGCTGGTACCGGCGGTGGTATCATTGGATTCATTGTCCTTGTCCTCGACATTATCGCATGGAGTAAGTACTACTAACGTCCCTGACATCGTCATTGTCGCGCTTTGTCCAAAGCTAACATGTGCTGCAGTCGAGATCTTCAAGTCCAACCGTCCCGTCCCCAACAAGGTGCTCTGGGCACTCGTCGTCTTCCTCTTCCCTGTCGTTGGCATGATCATCTACTACCTCTTCTCCAACCGCCAAGCCCACAACACCTACGAGCCCATCCCGGCATAAACGAGCTAGACAAGTTACGCGTTTCGCATACTTTACGCGCCCAAAATACATATCGGTCTTTCTGAGACGATGGACATATTCTCACGGGCGCGCACATGTCCGTGCGAGGAGCTGGCGGAAGATTATCGCGTGCTAGACCTCGCATATGAGGACTGGTGGCCGCTGATGATGTACAGGTTTTCATTAATGGTATTTGGCGCAAGGTGTTCCATATCTCATACCCTTTGACATAGCAACCAATTGAGCTTATGACCATCTACATGCTTCCCCACAAACCAGAATCGATGCATGAGATAATGAATCCCACGTACCACCGCTTCCATATACCTTGCTATTCCAGCGTATAGGCCAACATTCCTCTCCATCTTCCACAAGACAAGTCCGCCGCGGTACCCACTCAGACCTTCCCAAAGATACCTTCTGCAGTGGCGAATTTGCCAGACAATGCAATGAGCCCACCCATCAAGCTCATTACACCACTAAAGATCGATACCTCCCTGAAGCCGCCATACCGATCGATCAGCGCGCCGTTGATGGGAGGACCGATGAGAACAGCAAACGCCGCAATACCCATGCCCATACCCATGTACGTCCCAATGTTCCTCGGATCCTTGGTGCACTTGGAGATTGCTGCTGAGCCAGCCGATATGATGGTACCGGAGACGAAACCGAAGAAGATGGAGTAGACAATGATACTAGCGTTAGTTGCTGGCTCGTTGATGCAGAACACCATGACGCTAGTGCTAATGCCTGCGAAAGCGAACATGTTCATTCCACCGAGCTTATCTGCTAGTATTCCTGGGATGATCCGACCGAATGTCGAAGACCCATTGATCATGGCGAGAAGGTAGGATGCCAGTAGCGGACTCATGCCCCGGCTAACAGCATAGACTGGGAGATAGAAGACCGGTATCCACATGCCCATCATCATGAAGAATAGTCCTGCAACAAGCAGCACGTACTGCTTGGTCTTCCATGCTTCGCCAATGAAGATCGTGGTCTTGCGGGGCGGGATACGCGGCTTGATAACGAAGCAAGCAAAGACCATGAAGGGAAGCATGATAAAAGCAACGATGCGGATGGACCAGCCGAAGGACAGAGAGGAGCTGTTGAGCAGTTTAGACAAGACAATGGGAAAGATAACACCGCCAATGGATGACCCGGACACCACGATACCGAGGGCGGCGGCGCGTCGCTTGTCGAAGTAATGTCCCATTACTGCAAACGCTGGAAATTGAAGGAAAGCTACGCTGGAGCCCATGAGGATGGATTGCGCAAGGAAAAATTGGTAGTACTCGCTGCACAATGAGACCATCATCAGACCAAAGACGTAGGTGAGTGTTGCGGGTCGCATCATCTATTCGTTCAAGTCAGTATAACATTAGTCTCATTAGGCCAAAGAATACGCACCCAAACTCCATAACGATCAAACATCGGCCCTCCAATAGCGCCTCCAGCAAACTGGATGAAACTTGCTAAACTGCCTATCCACGCAATCTGATCCATGCTGTGGTCTTTCAGTTGGTGGGTGGAATAGTATTGCTGGAGCACTCCGAAGCAAGATGTGAAGCCGAGACAGGAGAAGAAGATGCAGAAGCCGCCAAAAGCGTTGAGCCAGGCTGTTAGACCACCATCGGGAGCAGGGCCTAGGGCGGTAATTTCAGCATCAATGGCTGCTTTGTGTTTATCGTGGGTTGATTCGCGAGATGCCTTTCCAATATCGTATGAGGCAACTGAAGGAGTGCTGGTGCCTAAGGCGGTGTTTGAGATTGTGGTTGATGTAGGCATCTTGGACTTGTATTCAAAGATCCTAGAACAAAAGTCTGTTGTTCAATGGGCCTAACAGGGAGGTTGATGAGGGTAACACCGCTCATGTCAATGGGATATATATATGACTTAAGCGGTTTGTTGTATCGTCATGAGAAGGAGGTTTTCGGTGTCAGTATTCATTCGAGTCGGAGATAAGGACGCATGCTCATTGGCCCACATCCCCGGAAGTGCAGCTGTGTCCGACTTTTGGAACGAGCCACCGACACTTATTCCCGCTCCGCTCACTCTTATACTCGCCTCCATTTCTCCTACTAGCGATTCTGATCATCACTCCACCGAATAGAGAAAGCTCAACTCACGATGACCGACTTGAGTCGCAGACGCAAGAGGCCTGCTATGTGAGTTCGTTCGGTGACCCCATCGCTATGACCGAAGCTAACCATATTCAGCTCTTGCACATTGTGCCGGAAGAGAAAGATACGCTGCAATCGGGAGACGCCATGTAGTAACTGTCTGAGGAGCAAGACTGGGTCTTGTGTCTATGAAACTGACGTGCCGGACAAGAGGCCGGCCACGGTGCCTATTGCACCCATACAACCACACAACAGTAATTTAACATCTATAGGCACACCTAGTATGCCTTCGAGTTCATCGGTCACGGCACCCGGTGTTGGTAGTAGTCAATTCTCATTCGAATTTGACGCTATGAGAGCACGTATTGCCGAACTGGAAGACAAGTTGTCGCGAGCAGGAAGTACTGCCAGCTCTGTCTTCTCGCCGCCAGCTTCGACTCCGGTGTCGACACATACTGTGCACACTGTCAGCAGCTTTGCCTGTACAGTCGATGTCCTTCAGGATACTCGGATGCCTGGTGGTGCAGCTATTTCTCGAGGCATTGCGCACAAGAATCGAGTTTTTGGTCAGAGCCATTGGATGAATGGTTTCGTAATGTACCGCGATATCATCGAGATGATGGAGCCTTATCTCAGAATGGGATCATCCAATGTTGTTCCTAGCATACGTAGAGCTAAGTCTTTGGCCCGGATCATCAAGTCGCACCGCTCTCCAACTTGGCCTACTCCACCAACGCGAGACCTTCCTCCAAAACACGTCTGCGACGATCTTGTGGCTGGCTATCTCCGCACCATGGAGACAACATACCGCGTATTGCACGTCCCAAGCTTCAAGCGCATGTATGAATACATGTGGACAAGCGGTCCAGAATCTAGCATGGCATTCATAGTGATGCTGAAGTTAGTCTTGGCCATTGGTGCGATGATATACGATGACAAGGTGTCTATGCGAGCCGAAGCGGTACGATGGGTCTTCGAGGCGCAGACCTGGCTATCCTCGCCCTTCTTCAAATCACAACTTGGTGTTCAGTATCTCCAGATTAGCATCCTTCTTCTCCTTGCACGAGAGCTTGTCGATGTAGGCTCAGAATTGGTTTGGATCTCTGTAGGTACAGTATTCCGAGCAGCGGTGTACATCGGTCTCCACAAAGATCCGTTGCAACTGCCGAGAACAACGACTCTTGAAGCCGAGATGCGCCGTCGGATTTGGAACACGATTCTCGAGCTGTCACTTCAGATGAGTATGGAATCTGGTGGGCCACCGTTCTTCTCACTGGACGATTACAACACAGCGCCACCGAGCAACTTCGACGATGAGCAGCTTGTAGATGCAGATCCCATTGCAAGAGCAGAGGGTGTGTATACGCATACATCCATCTCTGTAGCTCTTCGCAAAACCCTTCCAGCTCGTCTTGCCGTGCTCAAATTCCTTAATGACATCAATTCGACTGGAACGTATGAGGAGACGCTTCGCATCGATTCAGACCTGAGAGCCGCACACAGGCTCTTACGTCGCACCATTCAAGCATACGCCGCATCTGCCACCTTGTCTCCTTCGCAGTTTACACTGCAAGCTGTCGAATTCATTATGCAGCGCTATGTCACCTGTTTGCATCTTCCATTTTTCGCTTCCGCACTTAACGATCCGGTCTACGCCTATTCGAGGAAATCTACTGTCGACTCGTCGCTCAAAATCTGGAGTATGGCGTGCCCAGGTATGAGTGGTAATACGTATTCTTCTAAGGAGACGGACCTAGCTCGCCTGTGTCGATGCACAGCGGGTTTCTTCCGAATGTACGCCTTTCACGGGGCGACATTTCTGGCTACTGAACTGCGGATGCGGATACAAGAGGATGAAGACGATCTAGATGCGCTGCCGCCACCTCTACAGAACATTGTTGATGATGCTGCAAATTGGTATCTCCGGTGCATTCAAGCCGGCGAAACAGGTATGAAAGGCTACCTTCTACTGCGTCTCATTGGCGCATGGATCGAGGCGACAAAACACCATATGGACAGATCGGAGTTGCCTGCACTACTGGTGGACGCGTCGGAACAAGCTGCTGGAATTTGCATACCGATCTTGGAGGGCTTGGCTGGCAGTCAAGAGCCGTGTTCTGGTACTACTGGTATGAGTGGAATCGGTATGGAAGATTTTGATTTCCAATTCTCACCAGAGTTCACGGAGGATTGGGATATGCTCATGTCGGGTACTTTCAACATGGACGAGATGGGGACTTTGGACGCGTTCTTGTCGTGATGGCGGGGTGCGTAATTACGTGGTCGATAGAGGTAGACATGCTATGATCAAGTAGCTGTCGTTTCGCACGTTGACAGCGGCTGTCACATAATGGACAGAAGAGGCTGAAAAGAGGAGAATTCTGGGGCTTTCGTTAGACGCCTAATGCATGAAATGCCCGTGCGCGGATGACGATCTTCCCGCACCCCAAACCATTCTCCAATCATCCCATGATCACGCCGCACTTCATCTCACCGCCACATCTTCCATCGCAACTAACAAATCTATCGCAGTGACGCCTCACAGCTCCTTCATTAACAACTGGTGCTTACACTAATGATGACATGTCGGCACGATCCGTCAATACTCCACGAGGCACCCTAGCGTCTACTAGGGGCGCTTAAGAGCCTCCGTGTAACCTGATACACCATGAGCCTCACAACCACCCCTTATCCGGCAATCCACGTCGCACTGCAGTATGAATGACAGCCATCATCGTTCTTGCGGCCTCATATATCACGTCGAAGTGGCCTGATTTTTCTTTGCTTCCCTTGTCGCCTTTTTTCTATCCCGAACTTCTGGTATACCTCAGGCAGTGGAACCAAACTCTACCACCAACGATCTTTCTTTTCTTTTCGTTCGTCCATTCATTCATTTCTCAAGGCGTGCCGGTCACCAGAATACCTTTCTAATAATATCTTACTTTTTCCCTTGTCTTTCCCCACCCTACCCATTCCTTGAGAATCCGGAAATATCGACAACGGCGTCATGCATACCTCACTCCTCACAAACATCTTCATCGCCCTCTCAGTCTTCCATCTGGCAGCCGCTGGCCCAAACCCTGCCCCCATCCTCCCCGGAGGCCTCCTCAACACCAAACTCGAAGTCCGCCAAGTCTTCGCCACACCTTCGCAAGCTGATCTATGTCTCGACTACGAACGCACAGCCAACATGTCGACCGTCGGCGCCAACGGCTCCTACCGCACTGTTGTTATGCAAAAGGCCAACGTCGGCACCTTGACCAGCGCACGCATGATGGATGCTGCTATCGCGAAGCTGCCTGCACTTACAGCCGATGCGGATCTAAACTCCAGGTGTGGGAACTGGACAGAGATTGCTCTAGTAGAGGCAGAGAAGAACTTTACTCAAGGCATCGTGGCACAATTCACGACTGAAGGCTTACCTGTAGGCATCAAAGCTGGACCCGAAGTTTTGGTCATTGTGGGTGCCATTGCTACACTTTTTTCGATTGTGTGGGTATTCCCCGGTTGAGCCTCGATCAGAAAGGTTAGAGTGATGGCCTGGAGGCTAGGTGGAGTGGAGAAGAAGGAAGTGGAACGTGCAACAGCTTGTGCACCCTTGAAGACGCATGAGACCAAAGTCAACCATACCCAAATATCAACATCTCAATGAACCATCAGGTTCTTATCAACATGCAAACCTCCTTCGCAGTTTGACGCAAGTGACAACAAGAGAACAAGTTTAATGCGTAGATGCAATTCAAGTATATTCACGAAATAAATGTATGTACAAAACCGAAACAACTCTCTGCTTTAACCCTCTTCACTCATACCAGTGAGTTTGTATCACTCCCATGGTCATTGATTAGAAAGTGACAACACCAACACCAGCGCTCTTCTGCACAATAGCGCAAACACTGGCCGCAGGGTCAACAGTGTACTTGTAGCTGGGCGCGAAAGAACCTTTCTGCGTGATCTGAGTAGGGCTGTTGGTGAAGATGTTGTCCTTCTCAATCGCAAAGCCCTCCTCGTCAGAGTCCAAGTTGGTAACGACAGCCTTGTCAACACCGGTGAAAGAGTTGGCCTCAACGAGGACTTGAGCGCCCATGCGTGAGTTGACACCGGAGATGCCGCCCTCGTAGCAGGAGCTGTAGATGTGTCCGGTGCCGAAACGGATCGAAGGCAAACGAGAGTTCACGCCGATGAATGAGTTGTGGTGGTAGGTTACGTGGAGCTTGCCCTTGTCCTTGGAGGCGTTGCTGTCGGAGTGGCCCACTAGAGAGCCCTTCCACTGATGGATGTTAGTACTGGCTTTTTCATGAGCTGATAGTAGCGGTGAGAACTTACGTGGTCGTGGAACTTGTTCCAGGAGAAGGTGAGCATGTCAGCTCCAGACTTGGCGTCGAGCAGACCATCGTATGTGTCCTTGCCGCCAGTAATTCCCACGCTGGAGAAGTCGTTGTGGTCAACCCAAACGTTAGTCGAGCCCTCAATATCGATAAGGTCCTTGCCCTTGGGGGCGCGGTAGAACTTGAGGTTCCTGATGATGATATTGGAGGTCTTGAAAACTTGGAGACCAGTGTCTGTAAGACCAGCATCCTTGCCAACACCGAGGATAGAGGTGCCAGCGGTACCGACGCGGACGACGCCGCAGCCAGTAAGCGTGCCCTTGACCTTGATAACTCCGCCGGCCTTGGCCGCAGCAGTCAACTCAGCGCAAGAGGTGACAGTGGTGCCTGCACCGCTTCCTCCTCCGGTGGTGCCTGCAGCGAATCCAACAAGTTCATCGACAGCTGCGGCGCGCTTCTCCATGGGTGCACCATAGGCAGTGGAGGCAGCGGTCATAGCCGCGGTGGCAATCTCGAAGAAACGCATATTGGTATAGTTGTGAAGTTTGGTGAAGTAAAAGGGAGAAGAGAGGGCGTCGGTTTCAAAGAATGTAAAAGAATGAATAGAGATCGACTCTAAAGTGATGAAGGAAGATGTTAGATGGGAATTTAGGCAGTGGTATTGAGGATGTCTTTATACTGAAGATCTAGGCTGGAGGATCTAGGCTGCTGGGATCTGTACAGGCTCCATGATCGTCAACTTGGCCGCCCTTAATACTACGAGTCGGGGAACCAACTCTTGAATGTACGATGTGGAGTTTCTCCGCGAATATATGACTTTGTCTTGGCCTTCAAGAGGCTTAGGGCAAGCGCTCATGTTCCACCAAAGGCATTGGTGTATGGCGGTCTCGTGAGCTAACACGTAGTAAAGGCTTGAAGGCCGAATATGCATGACAAGCCTGGGGTGCATACCTGGGGAAACCTCAAAAGCCGACGGCTTTGAATAATTGCATTAGCGCTGAAGGATTCCGAAAACCTCTCGAAACAAACCGAAATAGGAAGTACAATATAGGAGCCGGCGCCACTGTTTGACAATGTTGCGAAGAATTCTTGGCTGTCAGTGTGGAGAAAGACCACCAATGGGATGAATTTGTGGGTCGAAAGATCGGCATCCTTGCTGAAGTGGAGGTTGCAGTGACAACATCACTAACGTATGCACACGCCGATGAATGGGTGGAAAAATACTGAAGGTTTCAATATTCTGATCGAGACGATGGCGAAGTAGGTTGAGTGTTGGTTGGAGTGGAGACGAGAAGGGACGACCCTATCGGACATAAACTAGCTTGCGACTAGCCATGCGAAGACGCCTGTCAAAACACAAACGTTTTCCTAGCAAGCCAGCAAGGTGGTTGCTGGATTTTTTGACATCTTGAGCTTGACAGGACAGGGTTACGTTTAGCTACATCGTTCATTCCGGACAAGGGTCAGACAAAAACCATATCCAGCCTTCTCATGCGCGCCAGACATCGAGTCAAGATGGTGGAGGCATTCGAAAGTCCAAGAACGCCAAGACGAGATCTGACTTGTGTTCGAAACACCAATCTCTGGGCGCATATTGTTCCGACTCCAGTTCGGCGGTATGTGCTCCGAAGAAACGTTTCCACGCTAACTGGTTCGGCGCGTGAACACCGGGTACACCAAGAAATCTTTTGTACATTCGCTAGAAAGCACAGTCAACGAGTCCTTTACGCCGTCTTCGGTGGATTCGATAGACTTCATTCAATCTCGCTTGCCTAAACAGAATTGTCATTGTCGTCGTCCACAGTATGGATGTGTGATTAAAACGGGTGGGCTGATATTGCCCCCAAAGCAGTGTGAATTCTTGCAATGGCGTGAGGTATACGTAGACGGATGTCGCACCGATAATCGTCGACTAGATGTGTGGATCGTCGGTGATTCTTTTGGTCTCTCTGTTTGCACATTCTTCTGTTCTCCTGATCACAGAAAGTAACATCGCACGACTATTTACCGAAAAGGAGTAAGCGTCTTTAGCTCAGACTGTTGCTCGACATTCTTTCGCGCTGGTCATCGAAGGTGCGCTTCCGTGTGCAGTATACCTGTAATAGCTTTTGGGCGTTTCGGTGGAGCGTCTGAGTTTCTCTACGAATCATCAGCCTCAACCGACAAACACAGTAGCGTGATCATTCACAGACTTGTATTGATATATGCAATCCTAATCACGCTCTCAAGCACGTCGTCTACCCTCACTGACCGGATATTCGCAAGGCCTCCTACGATTTAAGAGCTACCATGAGTAGTAACATTGGCAGATATATCCAGGTGTCGCCAACATGCTTTTTATGCAATAGACCGTTCACCCCAGATCATGCACCGGCCTCGTTACGAGCCTGTGGACATATTTTCGGCTACCGCTGTCTCTCGATCATCCTTAACGGCGGTGATGTTGACTTGAAAGGCACTTGGTCTGATATACCCAGTATCCACATTGACGAAGCGGAGTGTCCAGAATGTCAAGTGTCGATTGCAAATGTCGACAGTGAACAAAGAGCTTTCTCGATACTAGGCGACATTAGCCGCGATGCACAAGACCACCGAAACAAGCTCAACGCCTTTGTCGAACTGTTACGCGAGAGTGTCGCAGAGACTGACCCTACTATCGAACGCGAGGACTTTATGCAATTCTTCAAGAAATGCTATACGAGCGATGGAGATAACATCCTCCAAAAGGCTTTGCAAGATGCAGCAAGTGCCGGAGACTACTTCTCACCGTTTCACGACGCCATCGCCGCGTCTCGTGGGGCCAGTCCTCAGCCTATGGCTTTCCCGCTCATTCGATTCTGCTTCCTACTCTGGGATACCCATAACGCGATCGAAAGGAAGACAAGTTTGGCAATCAACGTTCTATTGTGGGAAGCCAACCGCTGCCTGGGTGTCAACAATCCATTGGTTCAGTGGGAGGATGTCGAAGAAGCTGCCAATTTAGACAACAGACGGCTCTTTCCACTGTTGCATGGCCTGACGATGCTGGTGTCTCAAGCCCTCGCACGCAATAACCTAACAAACCCTTGGCTGGGCGACCAGAAGCTGTATTTAGCGAACAAGTTAGCATGCGATTGCGTAGGTCCACATTTTGAGGGTAAGCCCTCAGATCCGTGGTTGTACAAGCTCGCAATTGTGGTCAACGAGCTTAAACGTCATCAATTCGAGATGGGGAGGAAGCCATTAACTGGTTTCGTAGCCGAGAAGAGCATCGTGCGAGGATGGTGGGCGATTGCGCAAGCGGAGGCTGAAGAGTCGGACTGAGGCGGTGCAAATGTTATTTCACGCACATAAGCTACAGCTTAGATAGCCTCTTAACGCTTATGTATGAGATAAACATATTGTTTCTTCCAGTCTTTTCTGCTCGTGTTCTATTGCAGTTTCGGGCCGGTTAGTGACGCGTTTTGAACGCTAAAGATGTGGATCGGGCTAGATTTGCGGGAAGATCCGTGGATCATGCTAGCTGGAACTGCGTATATCGTATTGGCGTATCCCAACCGTTAGGTCACGACGATCGAGGTGATAAAGGTCGCCAACTGCTGCCACAACTGACTGAGTCACAAGCACCATTCCGGTTTCTTTCAAACAACTCTTCATGATGAAATCGCGACCAGATAGTACCCAAGCGCCAATACCAATGGAGTTCGAACAAAACAATGGCGTACATCGCATGAGAGCGCGACCAGATAGTACCCAGGCACCGATGCCTGTGGAATACGAACGCGATAATGACATACATCACATGGATGCACCACCGCCATACACTGCGAAAGAGCTGACCGGCTCAATACCGCAGCCAGGAGATACTGGTGTAACAAGTAAGTTTACATCTTCCCACTCCTTGTAACCATGCTGATTTAATGAAGACGATGGTCGCATCGACATTGACCTCAACTCAAGACTCACCAAGACACTCGTCAAGCTCGTGCCAAAGCATGAAAAGGAGGAACCCGAATTAAGTCGCCGATATACCATCAGCAGATTATGGAGTATCCGTCTGAATATCGTTATCCAAGTTGTAGGAAGTCGAGGCGACGTGCAACCGTTCATTGCTCTAGGTCAAGAGCTGCAAAAGTACGGACACCGTGTTCGAATAGCGACCCATAACACATTCGAGAGCTTCGTACGCGAGTCGAACCTAGAATTCTACCCTATTGGAGGAGACCCGAAAGAGCTCAGTATGTTGAAGAAACTAGATGCCGCAGATACCCCTGTATACCTTGTTAACATGCAGCAGTGGCATACATGGTGAAGAACCCAGGTCTGATACCTTCGATGAAGAGTCTTCGCGAAGGCGACATCCAGAAGAAAAGAGACATGATTACGGAGATGCTCTACGGCTGCTGGCATTCATGTATCGAGCCGGATCTAAAGACTGGGCAGCCATTTGTGGCAGAAGCAATCATCGCCAATCCGCCCAGTTTCGCGCATGTACATTGTGCCCAAGCATTGGGTATCCCACTCCATCTTATGTTTACCATGCCCTGGAGCAGCACGCGAGCCTTTCCGCACCCGCTGGCGAACTTTAAGGGCGGCGAAATTTCAACTGCGCTTATCAATTACGCGTCTTATGGCGTCGTCGAATTCCTAACATGGCAGGGTCTCGGAGATGTCATCAATCGGTTTAGGCATTCCTTGGACCTCGAAGACGTTCCTATATCGGTTGGACCTGTACTCGCTTCCACACTCAAGGTGCCCTTCACATATTGCTGGTCTCCAGCATTGGTTCCGAAGCCAGCTGATTGGGCAGCACATATCGATGTTTGTGGTTTCTTCTTTCGCGAGCCGACGCCGTACGCACCGCCTGCGGAAATAGATCAGTTTCTGCGTAATGGACTTCCGCCAGTGTATATCGGGTTCGGAAGTATTGTCCTGGACGATCCCGCGAAGATGACATCAAGTATCCTAGAGACGGTGCGCGCCCTAGGTGTCCGAGCGATAATTTCGAGAGGATGGAGCAACCTTGGTGCCGGCTTGCCAAACGACAATAAGGACGTCCTGTTCATCGGCGACTGTCCTCACGAATGGTTGTTTCAGCATGTCGCAGCGGTCGTTCATCATGGTGGAGCAGGCACAGCTGCATGTGGACTGCGCAATGCGTGCCCTACTGTTGTGGTACCCTTCTTTGGAGACCAACCATTTTGGGGAGAGATGATAGCAGCAGCGGGAGCAGGTCCAAAGCCTATTCCCCATAAACTTCTGACCACCGAAAACCTTATACCAGCTATCCACTTCTGCCTCACGCGCGAAGCGAAGCAAGCAGCACGGGCTCTATCTTCGCAGATGGCGAGCGAGCGTGGTGTTGAAGCAGCTGCACAATCTTTCCATGCGAATCTTCCTCTCGAGACAATGCAATGCGCTCTCTTGCCTACGGAGGTGGCATCCTGGAAGGTGAAGAAGGGGTCTATCATCCTCTCCAAATTGGCGGCACAGGTACTGATTGAGAACGGTGTGATTGTTCCTTCTGATCTCGAGAATCACGAAACAGACCAGTTCATCATCATCAATCAACGATGGGATCCCGTGACAAGCACAACTTCTGCTTGTGTCGGTATTGTCGGAGATATGGGGATGGCAGCGAAGGGAATGGTTGTGGATCCCTTCAGCGAGCCCAAATACTACGTCACTTCTTCAGAGTCCTCAGCATCGTCAGAGAAGGCGAACAGTGCGGCCGTTGCAGGCCGCGTGGCTGGCGGGGTCGCCAAAGGCTTCGGCAGATTTGTGGGTGCGTTCTACAAAGGCGTCATCGTTGATCTTCCCCTCGCCACCACAGAAGGTTTCCGCAACGTACCGAGACTCTATGGCGAAGAAGTCAAAGACCATGGAGAGGTCACTGGTGCTCTTTCCGGATTCCAAGTTGGTGGTAAGAACTTTGTGCACGGCATTGCGGATGGTTTCTCAGACCCTTTCCGTCAGACGTACGAGGGCGGCAAAAAGGAGGGCGCGATCGGGTACGCGAAGGGCTTCGGCAAGGGGATGGCTGGACTGGTTACGAAAACGAGCGCAGCGGCCGTAGGAATCGTAGCATACCCTGGAGATGGTATTGTCAAGAGCATGAAGTACTTGGCGAAGAGCGGAACAAGAAAGCGTATCAGAGCGGCTAAGTTGGTAGAGACTGAATGGATGGGCCGGAAATCGGAGGCTGATCTGAACGCTTTGGAGCTCATTCGGGAGTTTGAAAGATTAAGGAAGGGCAAGGAGAAGGTGAGGACGTAAGGGCAGAATGGCCCTGGCGCATGAGCCAATGCGATGCTTGATATGCAGTACGAGGTGGACATGGAGTTTGGTGATATACCCTTTGTGAATAGATTTTATTTGAAGCCTCATCCAGGTCGACGTGAGCTCTCACAGAGACGGGCCAGATGTGGTTTTGCCCGGCTTGTGCTCGCATATCGTAATACAGCCGTAAAGCTCGCGGCTGCGATCGTTCACGGTGGAAAGGCGTTGGGATGTGTTATGCACGATAGCCGAGACAGACGCAATGGTTAAGAAGAGATGAGAGCCCTTCTTGCATTCTGATATGTAAGGCCTAAATTGAGGTGCGCTTGTCGAGGCGTTCGGGAGTGCATCGACAGGGCCACGAGGCGAAACGAGGATGTGGGCCCGCCCAATCTCCGTACCTGCGAATTCCGTCCCGACGGAATTCAGATGAAATCCGCATTCAGCGCATCCCGCCGTCTTACAAGCTCGCGCACCAAACCCGCCGTGATGTTGAGGTTCCTCCTACACAAACCGTCCACGTGTGTTGGGGTGCGGAATCAATGATGGAAGCCGATCGGGTGCGCAAGACTCCCGCGCCATACGGTCAAGCGTGTGGCAACTGTGTGAAAGCGAAATGCCGATGCATGATACGTGATGGAGGTTCCATCTGCGACAGGTGCGTCATTCTTTCTATATCATAAACTATGCCTTGTTAAATCCTTTGTCGCCTGATGCGTAGAGAGCGAAGGTTCTTGCTGTCGCACACCTCACTAGCTGGGTTCCAATCGCGTGGAGCATGCAACACATTCCAAGGGTGTCAGAGCTAGACTGAAGTCAATAGATGCCATCGCCTAGGGAAAGAATGTCAATCCTCATCTACGGTGCGTAGGAGGGCACCAAAATCGACTCCAACGCCAAAGAGGTCGAAACTGGAGGATAAGCTTGATGAAGTTGTCTCGCTTCTTCGAACACAGCGTGCAGCGCCTGTGACAATGTCGCTCGATGATCAGCTCGTGCTCACACCTGACTCCTCAATCATTCCTCAAAGACCAACGGATAGCCCCGATGATAACGACCACTTGACTCCTCAGCAATTAGTCGACTTTCGGACGACTTACCTGCATCACTTTCCCTTCGTGTACTTATCGGAGAACCTTACCACAGACGATCTTCACAAAAAATACCCACTACTTTGTCATGCCATCCGCACGGTACTCACTAAGGCGATCACTCAGCAAAGCCGGCTAAGCAAGCAACTACGAGAACAGCTGGCTTCTAGGATTATAGTGCAAGGAGAAAGAAGTATTGACCTGCTCTTGAGTCTCATCATGTGTATAGCTTGGTAAGAAGTCCGATATGCATAGCTTCCTCATTGTTGACGCTATCTAGGTCACCATATTTTACTCACGGAAGACAATTTCTGGGCTCCATGTGTAATCTGGCGAAGACCCTGATTAGTGACCTTCGTCTTGATAAACCCGCGCAACCGACGGGATGTCCCAGTCTAGGTCCTCGTGTGGACAACAAGGAAGTCCACACGAATGAAGGAAGTAGAGTGTTACTAGCTGTTTTCATATTATGCGCTAAGTGAGTATGTAACTGACTTTAGCTGGCTCAACTGATTGTGGAAGTGTTTCTATAATTTTCGAATACGACCTGACCCTCTGGTCGTCGCAGATGGACGACGCATGCGATAGCCTTAACGCAGGCAAAGAATGTGAAGAAGATGGCATATTGGCTGCCACTGCGCGTCTAGCAAAGATTGCGATTAGTGCTGCCGAAGTATCTCGAAGAGCTTCGGATGATCCCAGTACAGCGAGACATGCTATGGTGGCTATCGACCCTCTTATTCTGGCGCTTAGCAATTTCCAAAGATCACTCTCTGCTGAGTGCCTACAGCACTGTAAGATCATCATTCCTTCACCTCTTCGACCACTCAAAGTATGCAGGGCTTGTTATCGGGCTCACCCAAACCGCTCAGGTTGCTATCTACGACCTCGCGCTCTTGAGATCGCCCACAGCTGAGCTGGCAGCGTCGCATCTCGCCTTCGAGCCTAGACGCATCGAATACCTCATGGAACTCCTACAGACATGCAAAGCCTGCCGAGACCACGCTTTGACTGGCGATGTCATGAGTCTGACAGCTCCATCAATGCTCATATGGTCCTATTGTTGCAAGATCTTGTATAGACTCTCGAGCATCACAGGGGTACCTGGCTGGGATCCAACCATCGTTAAATCAACCGTCGACATCGTGCAGTGCTTAGAGAAACTCGCGGAGATTGCTGAGCGAGCTAATACTGAATACAAGGCCGAAACAGGTGAGGATACTATGTTTGCTGCAGCCGCAGAAACTCTGAGAGCTATTGCACCAAACTGGAAACCCCCCACGAGTGAGCATGATAACGCCATGGTCAACGCAGCAGACGGATGGAATAGCGGGATTGGCGGAGACATGACGATGCTGGACTTTTCGAACGACTTTTGGATGCCTAGTGCTTTCAATCTTTGAGATATGCAAGGAGATTTCGGCTACACCTGCATGGTTACGCTTATGGACAACCGTGCATATCGCGAAGAATCAGATATTACACTTCCTATGGGTACGCACATGAATAACCTGTATACCTCGAACAAAGCGTTGTCAGAAGCACAAGGCGATCTTATTTGCATACTGTGAATATTCTGGCGTTCTGAAGTGGTTTCCACAGGCCTCCATTCCACCCTTCTTGACATGGATGTGGTTGCCTGAAGTTCAACTCAAACCCGAAACCCGTTCGATTGCGCTCAGGCCTGCCCGGTAACCTCTATAAACAATGCAGCACATCAACGAACGACTTCCTCCTATATCTTCCTTCCAATCTTTCTTTTATCTGGTCGCTGTACGCTTGCATCGCGTTTTGTCTATCGCATTCGGATATTTCGGCTACCCTTTCGATAACATTTCGTTCTTATTCTACACCTTGAATCAACGCTGTGTAAGGCGGAATAATAACATCAGCCAGTGAACATGAAAAGCAATGCAAAATTCACGCCGTCAGACCAATATCTTGTTGGTCCGAAACTCTTCACTCTTCTCGGCAGCCTGACGCTCGTCACATTCCTGGTCTGCCTAGACACATCCATCATGGGCACTGTACGTACAGCCTAAACCTCTAATACGAGACGCAATACTGACAGGATCAGGCAATACCACGTATCACATCTGAATTTCATTCACTTCCAGACGTGGGCTGGTATATCGGGGCATTTACGCTTGCGTCGTAGGTCTTTCCAAACCACTCGCTCATCTTCTTCCACGCCTCGAACATAAGAACACCGAACATCGGGCTGATTTCGCTACTAGCGCGACTCTGCAACCGCTTTCTGGAAAGCTCTACACGCACTTCAGCACCAAGGTAGGCAATGCGTTCTCTTTAGGTAGCGTCACACCGCTGATCGTCTGGCAGATTGTGTTTCTCACGTTTGTGTTTTTGTTCGAGCTTGGGTCTCTACTTTGCGGTGTGGCCAGCTCTTCAGCCGCTCTCATTGTAGGAAGAGTGGTTGCAGGTTTAGGAGCTTCTGGTATCGTGAATGGCGCTATGACGATGCTGGCGGGAGCCGTGCCGATGGAGAAGAGTCCCGGTACGTCTCTAGCTCCATGGATGTCAGAGGATAAGCGCTAACGAAAGGTGAAAGTGTACACTGGTATAGTCCTTGGGAGTACGCATGCTGGAGCTCAGAAGTAAATACGACCGGACGCTGACCAGATGATAGCTGCACAAATGGGCATTGTCGCTGGGCCGCTCATCGGAGGTGCTCTTACTGAGCACGCTACTTGGCGCTGGTGTACGTTGTCTTATGTTTTGTTTACATCTTCTGAAGCTGACGTTGGCTCGATCGCAGGCTTTTACATGAACCTACCCATTGGCGGTGTGGCAGCTGCGCTCATCGCTTTCGTTCCCGTTCCTGAGCGTATATCGAAATCGCGCTTCACCATATCCCTTATTCGAGAAGTCATCCCGGATCTCGATTTGTTCGGCTTTACACTCTTTGTCCCTTCATCCATTATGTTGCTTCTCGCTCTTCAGCTTGGCAGTGGTGGAACGTACGCTTGGAATTCCTCTACAGTCATTGGCCTGTGGTGTGGCGCAGGGGTATGCGCTGTTCTCTTTATATTTTGGGAGAATAGAATGGAAGACAAAGCTATGCTTCCCGGGAAGCTGCTTGGAAAGCGCGTTGTCTGGACAAGTTGTGTATATGCCAGCTGCATCATCACTTGTATGATGACAGCGAGTATTTGGATGCCAACATACTTCCAGGCCGTGAGAGGCAATGGTCCGACTGATAGTGGGGTCCACGTATTGCCCAGTATCTTGAGTCAGCTTGTTGTTGTCATCGGTACGGGTGCTGCAGGTACGTCTCCATATTTACTGGCGCATGATTACAGCAGCTCACTCTTGGTAGTATCGCGTATGGGGTACTATCTCCCTTGGGCACTCACCGGTGGTATCATCACCGCCGTCGGAAACGGTCTTGTGTCAACATTCACAGCATCTACAAGCACCGCGGTATGGATCGGGTATCAGATCGTTATGGGCGCTGGTCGAGGATGCGGCATGCAGATGGTAACTAATGACATTGCTCAAGTCATTACTACATCGCTGACATTTTAGGCAATCATCGCAGTACAAAATGCCGTCCCGCCTGCGCAATACCCCGTCGCTCTAGCCAGTCTCGTCTTCTTCCAGAATCTCAGCACGTCTATCGCTGTCGTTATCGCGAACACCATCTTCGCACAGACACTCACCTCCACTATCACACGCTACGTACCCTCAATATCGCCTCAAGCAGTGCTTGATGCTGGATCTGGTGCCAGTGCTGTGCGGGCACTCGTACCGCCTGAAGAATTGGATGGTATGCTAAGAGCGTATTCGCAGAGTCTGCGTAACGTTTTCTACTTCTTGGTGGGTATAGCATGCCTGGCTGTCTTTGCAAGCTTGGGTATGGGTCTAAAAGATATCAGGAAGAAAAGTGGCAAATCTGAAGGGGATGTGGTGATGGATGAGATATGTGAGGACGGCAAGAAATCGGAAGAACCTTGAAGTGGTTGAGCGTATGTCAATGGAATTTTAACTATGATTGGTGAGTACGCCAAGAGACGCTGGCGACGAAGGCCAAACATCCTAGTGGGGTTTTCTTAAGATTCTTCTATCCAACTGTGAAGACGTTCCCATATCTCGTCACTATTCTTCTCCATGAACATCATATGCCCATTGCCGTGGATACCAACTTTTCCGAGCTCGAGATGTGTAGCCTTGGAACAACCTGCCTGCTTGAGGAACTCAACTGTACAATAGTCGTATGGCGCGTGGTAGCTGGCTTCTGACGTGACAGTAAGAATCGGTAACGGCGCAAGATTAGGAAGTTGCCTTGGTGCCGGATCTACTGCTTGCAACACACAAGGAACGGTCGAGTTGTCGCTTGTTAGGTTCGCAGGTTGGTACACCTGACGTACAAACTCGAGCACAGGGTCAGTCACCGGTGGTGAATAATTCATCGGTATATCTGTCAAACCCCACTTTCGCGCGGATGCAGACCCGAAAACGGCTTCCTGGAATGGGGGGCCAGTCGGTTCTATCAAAATAAGGCCCTTCGTGAGATGGGGCCGAGCATCGGCTATCAGCAACGGCATGAGTCCTCCTTGACTGTGACCGATCAACCAAGTCGGAGTCCCGATCAGATCCAAAAGCTGTGCTCCTGCCGACTGCACAGTACTTTGCTGGTAGGTGGCATTGGAGATGAACTGGACATTCGAGGAATAAAAAGCGTCGAAAGTTGGATCGCCCATAATGCCCGTTCCCGGCCATTGAGTGTGAAGTGTGGATTGAGGCCAGAGGCGATATTGCTGTGGAGCAGTGAAGCGTTGTTGGATAAGCTCAGCAGAGTAAGTCGACGGTGCATCAGCGCCTGCCCTAGGTGCCCATGCAGAGCGGCCACGGAAGGTTTGATCCACAATGTAGACTGTATGACCGGCCGCTAGAAAGTGTGAAGTCCATGACATACCTCCGTCCGGCTTAACGAGAAAGTTTGTTCCGGTCTGACCTTGTCCATGGATCAGAACTAAACGCGGGTGTACCAAGTCAGTGCATGTCTCACATGCAGTCCGTACGGGGACACCTACTGATTGGATCCTTCACATCTTGTTCGGTTAAAGCAGGCGATAGCTTTTCGACGTACATTTGGTCCTTGAATATGTGACCGCCCTTGCCATCGTCGCTGTATCCACCGCCGACATAGAAGTATGTCCGGACTGCCGGGACTTCAGACTGGGCAGGCCGCTCATTTTGCGCTGACGCCAAGCAGGTGAGCAGCGTCAGATGTCGTAGAAGCTTCATAGCTGACGGATCACGTGAAACCTGTACCAAAGGGTGAAGATGAGGCGAGGAGATGGTGTCGAGGTAGACCGCTGCGTTGTCGTCCTATGAGGCCAGCATATCCAGCAGAAAATCACTGCTGCGTGCCTCCAGTTCGTCACACCGCCTGAGATGAGGATCTGCGGAAACGGCTGATCGAACTGGGCTTCGTCCTTCCTGCAGGGGTTTCATGCGGCTACGATCCTCCTGTATGTACATTTGTTCAGTTCTTCGCATGGCACTGTACAAGGCGAGGGTTCACTCATGCCCGATTACTTGATTGTGATATAATTTGTCTGAGGCGCTTCAAGTCTGCCACTGCCCAAACGTGGAAGCGGCCTTCATCAGTTACCGCTGTTGTGGGTTCAGAGATACCGGCATGGGCCGGAAGATTATTGTTGGTCTTGGCTGCGGGCCCCATAATCCCGAGGTTGTCCCCGCCCGCCTCAAGGATTCGACTGTCTAACCTTGACAGGTAAAGTACTAAACTGATAGAACGGAGGTTTGACCCGCATGAGTATTGTACCGCTCCACAGGATGAACTTGCAAGAGTCTGATTTGACTTGATACTCTAAAATTATGGAGACTGTCTTATTCGGTTTGAAGCATTCGCCCGACTCTGATCCGCCTCCTCATACGATACTAAGACGGTTTTCTTTGTTGTTCCGTCTTCACTTTGAGAGTCTTGGAAGGATATGCCAGATGTTATGCTGGTCTGGCGATGGGGCTGAAGCATCAGCTCTTCATCATCTTTCGGCGCGTCCGACGCTCTCCCAGGCTGCCTACCGGCGCTACCTATGGTTCGTATCGTGGACGAGGCGCCTGTGCCTGCACCTGCGCGCCGTACCGATCTTTGAGATTTTTGTTGTGAGCGTTGTCGCCAGAGGTTGAGCGATCCGTACAATACAGGCGCATTCACTACTATCGCAGCAGCAAGCAGTTCAGTGCTTGCCCATGTTGACCGGTTTGCTTGCACAGCTGCGTGCATCGCGTTGATGGGGAGCCGAATTATCGTGATTGCGATGATGAAAACTCCAAGCGTACACAGACAATAAAGACGCAACTTAGTGCGCCATGATGTTCGCAACGAAGATAGCATCGGGAGCGGGAGGGCAAGTAACATAAAGTCAGTAATCTAGGGACGAGCTGAAGTCAGCCTGACCGCACTCAGTAGAGTATGCACTTTGAAGCAGCGAAACAGAACTCACGATGTTAAGAATGCCTAGTACAAGCAGTTGAACCTGTGCCTGAACACATCGTCCTAGGGACTGGTCAGAATATGTCCGCACAGATAATGACACCTTCAACACGAACCGGGAGCTGGAACCACCTGCCAGTACAGATGGAAAGGGTTGCATTCAGTGAAGCCAACGATCTGCGCAGCAACCCAGGTTGCGGCGAAGATCATGCCGTAAGACCAGGATATGTATTGCTTCCATCGTTCGCTTGGATGAATATGGTGTAAAAAGAAGTTAAGTAGAGCTGTCTTTTGTAGCCACAGGCTGTTTATGCTGTCAGCGTACGTCGTCATCGTTCAGTGCTACTTACTGAGTGTTATAGATCGGACGATTGGTGATAGCCAACTTGCTGCCTATTGTCCTCCGATATATCTCAGTGGACGTGAAGTTTGTTTTGGCCCGGACCGCTGTGGGCATATTGTTCGTTCCCCATGTAAGGACAACGTGAATAACACCACCGCGTGTGGCTACGCATAGCATTGCACCCAAAGTACAATAATCTCCAACGTCAAACTTGCCGAACACAATTCTTCGACAGACAAGGCGCGAGATCATGGTTACCATGGCGAGCGCGGTGAACAGATGATGGATAAGTAGGGTTTGCTCCATCTCGCATGAATAGGATGCCTTGTCATAACCTGCAGGTGCGCCCGCGATATGTCGAAACTGGCCAAGAATTTGGTTGGAAAGACGAACCTACATGTTTGCGGCTGTTCCGTGTGCGTGCACAGGAGACGAATGGCCCGGCAAGTTGAAATGACAAACCATGGGAATCACAGTTTCGGGTATGACCGAGGGACGCCGGATGCACTTGCTGCCCAGGTGTTAACGCACTGACGCGACTGCCCTTGCCCCTGCTGTGATGGCGCGTCGACCAACGGATCTTCCGCTAATCGGGTGATCGCGGACAAGGTGTAGTTCTTCAATGATATCGCGGTTACCTGAATGGTGAGTAGGTATTGTCCCAGGCTATGTGCAATGGAAAAGAAAGCCCCAATCAAAACCGTCGCTTCGGCTGCTACGTGGCAAGGATATGAGAACGAGGAGAGGGGATGCTAAACAATTGTGTTAGAGAATATAAACCACTTACTAATTGACATCGTGTTCCTTCGCGATTGGGCTTATGTCGGTTTTGATGTACGTGCCATTTCTTCTTGTCCACGATCATTCTTACCCGCATCTGTCTATCCATCCCAAATCTTACAGGCAGCCCTACCTTCTTTCCTAGTGCTGAGCCCGACTAATCTAGATATGACTTGATCGACAATTCGAAAGCCTCTTGCGTTCAAGATGTGCGCTTGTGTATACTGGAGAAACTCGTAGGCGCTGAGCAACATCTCCTATAATAGTCTGTGGGTATTGAAAGATCAGCCAAGACCAGCCATGATCGCCACTTCAGTGTAAGCAATATCGACCCGAGAAACAGGGGTCAGTCAGTATCAAGGGCCACGATCTTCGATCTCCCAAGAATTTGCTATTCAGAGTCTCCGCGATCCCTGTGCATGCGGCTGTACTTCTACTTGCATGATAGCAAATCTCCCATCTTTACCCGTCTCTGGATCGAATCCGTTATAAACCGCCTGTTGTTCCTCACTCCCAACCCTTGTCAAGCCTTCCACGCTTCCCATACTCTTCAACGACGTGTTCCTAACCAACTCGAAATTGTCTCGGCTATCATCGGCAAGGCGTTCGTGGTGCGTAACGCGCACTTCGTTTGTGACATAGATGTTCCAGTTTGCGATGACGGTAGGCCAGAAGATGGGCATAGAGGCGCACATTATAGCGAAATCGACCTCGAGACAGGAAATTATAAGGACCTCGGGGTACCACCACGTAAAATCGAAACTTTGCGTCACGCTTTGACTGTGCTTGAAGGTGCTCCAAAGACGGAGGATCGCCATGAGTACGACGCTAAGCATGTCAGCAATGGTCAAGCGATTCGACAATCATGACCTACATCGAACCGAGAGCGAACAACGCAGTCATAGCGAGGACCTGCTTCCGTCTCAGATCTTTTCTGAAATACTCCGTGAGCGGTACCAGAAAGATCGCAATGTCAAACAGCATATTCGTCCCAGCGAACGCAAGGACCGAATATCTCGCCTCGTTGACCGTACGATACCCGAAGCCGTAGCATTTGGCGCCATTTGTCCTGTCCCAAAAACCCGAGACAGGGAAGCATGGCACCCAAGCCATGAATGAGAAAATGAGGCCCCATGTTACGACTAACGCAAGGAGGACGATACAGACTGTACGACGGATGCCTTGCTGAAACATTCTCAGGTACTGTAATAGTAGCGAGATCTTGATGAATGCGGTTGTTGTGTGATATGCGGCATTGGTGATATAGAGCCAGATCATGGTCGGTTGTAATATCTCGAAGACTTCTATAAGATGGTGGCCCAAGCCATATCTAGTACCTACGCGAAGAGTTAGATACGATCACGACGGGGTCAAGGGCGCAAAGCTTACCGTAGAGGAATGTTACAAGAGCTACCAAGTTAAAAACAGCCGCCAGAACTACAAAGAGATCGTCGAGGCCAGGTTCGCGAACAACTCGCAAACGTGTGTGAAGACGAAAGGCAACCACGATCCAGCATAACACCTGTACTTGTGAGCTTCCGAAATGTTCGACTTTCAGGTTGGACATACGTGGAATGGTATTGTAACGCCGAACATGGTTCCTTTCTGATTCGCCAGTGGCATAGGCTCATTCGGGTCTGGAGGAGTTTTGATCATCTCACCGATGATGGTGATGAACTCGTCGGCCATTGCGACCAAGTGCGTATGCTACGCTTCGTTCAGATATCTGGGCGGCACTGTCAAAGTCTCCCAGCGTATGGAGACATGAAAACTTCAAGTCGCGGTATGAAGAACTGCGACCTGCGCATCAAGTCATGTCCCTGAGGGACGCTGTACCCTATATTCCCAGGTGCCAGGAACGGCATTGCGCAAGCTGATCTTTCAGCAGGCTTTGCTGGTTATGCGGGATGAATCGCGCGCCGTTTGGGGATGATGGCGGCCCCTTCTTTGCCGAAATCTAGGCTTTCTGGAAATTCGAAGAGAATGCACCCGCCTCAGTGGACTGAAGAACGGGGATCTTTTTCGAATGCGGCTGCGACGCCGTTCGGACGGGAGCGATTCTCACGATCCAAGACTAGGGTGGCATGTCATCAGGACTAGACCACGGCGATGGTGCGACACGCGAGTCACCGTTATTCGTGAACAGTAGGAGCTGAAAACTCGATGGGTAACAAAGTTACTTCTTACAAAGTTCTTTTCAGATTTTCTGTTTCTGAAAAGAAACCTCTAAGTGAGCTGATGTACTGGGTGGGTGTTGTGGGCGACAACATCCTCCCTAACTCTCCAGGGATTCCAGTAGGTACCGCCGAGGCGTTTGGTCATGGCGCATTGCCAACTCTTTCGTATTTCATCTTAGTGCATGACACATCGTGCATCCTTGGATGTAGATCCAGATCGCCCAGAGCGGTGTCCACATTCGAGATAACACCGACGGTAGGAAACAAGCAACCGTAGTAGGTGTGACGAAGGATATGCCCGTCAGATGTTGAATCGATGAGCCCTTTGCGCAACATAAGGGCCTCACCACGTAGGGTTTTCAGTGTGCGCAAAGGGATAGCACCATGGCCCGATGCAAGTTTAAAAATTACAACGATCGGTTCGTTTCTTTCCTAGAACATTAGGGTATATAATGATAGAAGGGGAGAGCTTTATAGACAGGTCAGTCGAGCTGATGAAACTGCAATCACATGCGATCGCGCTTACGCCGCGACGAGGCGCCTACGTCAGGTCCATAAGCGAGGCAAAGAAAATAGCGATTGACTTTTGTTTCAACAACAGTAACAAGGTACGAAAGTGTGAGGCGAGTGAAACATGTTCAGATTGCGGGACACGACGCCCATTCGACATGGCTAAAAATCATAAACTCTATCAACTTGGTACTCCCATGCCTTTTACCCGCCCAACGCCCGTAGATGCACTAAGATCCAACGCCAGAACCGATGCGACATAGATATCATGAGTCTTGAAGCTTAGTCTTCCATCTTCATCTCCTCGAAGTCATCCAGCAGCTGCTCCATCGGGATCTGCAAGCCCTCATCTTCGTCATCACCAAGACTGCTCTCGGTCTCCATAGCATCTGCATCGCGTTGCTTCTGTTCCTGTTGCGCCTTGTATAGTGCCATAGTGGCGCGTAGGTCCTGGTCCTCCTCAACGTCCTGCAAGAACATCTCAAAGTCGCGCTCCATCTTCTCTTGATCTTGCTTGCGGGGCAGCATCTCGCCCTCCTCCCTGTTCATACGCTTGACGCGCCAGTTGCGCTTGTTCTTGTTCTTCTTGGAGCGCTGGTAGTACTTCTTGACGAGCATGACGTCAGGAATGGCGGATGCGTACTTATTGTTCGATTCGAGGACGTCAAAAAGCTCGTTGTTGAAGTTTGTGTTGGCCAGCAAGTAGCCCATTACCGAGTCGCCAACGTGTAGAATGCCACCGAGGTGTGTGCGGCAGTAGTATGTTGTGTCGTTGACACCCATGTCGGAGGCGCGGGCAACAGTCGCTTCGGCGAGGAAGTGGCGCCCGACTTGCTTGCCTAGAGGCTCGATGTCCAGAACAATGAACTCGGTCAATTCTTGGACATCAGCGAGGGGTCGGAAAGGTGTGCGCCAGTAGATGTCGGTCGCGACATCGGCTGTCTGGAGCGTGGAAGGGTCAAGTAGTTGTAGTGAGGTACCGATGCGCGTGCAGAGTGTGAGGGGTGAGACGTTGCCGAGCTTCTTTGCGAGTGGAATAGGAAGGACTACAAGGTCGTCTTTGCAAATGGGTACAATTTCGACCGAGAAGGAGAATTTGTAGTTCTTTGTCGAGGTGTGGATATCGTGTGAGATGAGTTCTTCGGATCGCTTGATGTTGACCGGGATGACGGCTTTCAGGAAGTCGCAGAAAGCTACAGCATGATTCCTCTGGGCGAAGAAGAAGTCGATACCGTCGTGTACTTCCTTGATGTTGATCGTGTCCTTGTGTGCGCCATGCTTCAGAATCAACTGCTCCAAGTACAGGAACGTCCTCTTGTGCGGCACCTTCTGTCGGACTTGGACAGAAGCCCTCCATGTGTTGTGGGTGTAACTCTTCGCGCAGTCTGGGCATTGGTTGTAGTTTTGCGTGAATTCCACCTCGAAGCTCTGCTGCATGATAGCGCCCTCGTTGATCTCCGACTGCACCGTAATCTTGACCTTTATCCTCCTGCTATGCGGCTCCGTCCAAATGAAGCTGGCGTCGATGATGCGCAGCTTGTTGAGTCCGCGCAGTTTTCGTAGGCATAGAGCGAGCAGTTCGCGCGATTCGGGATGGGCGACGACCCAGGTGGTAGGAGGAGAGAGCCATCGGTCGCAGTCGCGGCACATGAGCAGAATCGCTTCGCGCTGAATGCCTCCGGTGACATCCGTCTTCAGTTTGATACAGTCGTAGCAGAAGGCACCGGACAGTGTGCCGTCAACAGGCGCGCCACAGTCTGCGCAGAGAATGGTAGCCGCATTCTTGGGCTCGGGCGCAAAAGAGCGCTGAGCATCCATCGTGACGCCCTCCATGTGTGCGGTATCTGTTCGACGTAGGTGGTTTCGGTGGGTGGGGTTCTTTCAGCGACCAGAGAGGCAGAAAGGCAATATATAAGGCGAAAAACTAGTAGTCGAGTGTGAGTCGTAGGGTGAGGCAAGTCTGCTTTGAAATTGTCCCCCGCAGCGGCAAGCGCGAGGGGCAAAAAATGTTTATTTGGCTGCGCTATCTTATCAGTTGTCACGTGTGTCTGCTGTCACCGCGTCGCCGCCTGCATCAGGAATTTAGAACGACAGCACATCAAGGAGTATCCGATTTACGCATCGTTGATAACTTCTCATCTCTATATGATGTATGAGATGATTGTCTCACCGCTTTCGCTTTAGATTCTTCTTGGATTTCTTCCGCTCTTCCTCCTGCCAATAACCCAGCACAACATTCGCGACTCGCAGCAGCTCGCCCCTCTGCAAGCCTAGGACCTCTGCCAGTTCTTGCATGAACTCCAAATAGGACGCGGTCTTCTTCGAGAATCCATTCTGGATGTCCGTCAGAGTAACCAGTTCCAGTTGCCATACAGCGTGAGCCTCTGGGTTGTCTTCACATGTGCCGTAACCGTTACGATCTTTGAGACGACGCTTGAAATAGCTGTTCTCCTTTCGGTCTAGCCATTCTCGAGGTATGGCGCTGATCCACATCGAATGGGCCCTGATGTCGATGTCAATGCGACAGGTTTCGACAATGAACCGTCCGCTGCCGTCTCGAAGGGGGAAGTACGTTATGTCGGTCTTGGGTTCTCGACCCCAAACGCTGTCGACGAGGATTGACCGGTTGCTCGGTAGACCTCCCCTATAACCGTCTGTAGGGAAGACAAGGTTCTCGATACCGCCCATGAAGCCACCACGAACTTCCCGGAATGGATCATTGTAGGATAGGAAGTCCCTAGTGCTGGGATGATCGATGACATTGTACGAATTAGTGTTATTGACGTTAACGAGAAACCGTGAGTCACCCGCTGCGGCGTAGCAATAGGAATATGTGCTAGCCTCTGACTTCCAGATTGTGTCGACAGGCACTTCGATCGCGTAATAGTAAGCTACGGGGTCGATGATGACACATCTATCTGGGCAGCAGATCATGACTATGCAATGATACTGACGCGCGCTGGTCGGCCGCTGAAACCAACAGTCAGTTGCAAGCTTCACTCGCCTTGCCCAACTTGATAGACCTTTTGCTCTCAGAGACGTGCGAAGAGCTTGAGCGCATTCATTAGCCATATGAAAGCAGTTCTGGAACAATTGGACTGTTGATGGCGTGAATGCTTCGCTAGCCTCTCTACCTGTCTTGAACTGATGTAAATGTTCCCAGGTGTGGAAGTTCGAATATGATACGTTGAGTCGATTCCTAATCGTAATGTCATCTGCCGTCTTCAGCATATAATTGTACACGTTTTTAAGGTTTCCGTTCTTTTGTCTAAGGAGATACTCTGGCAGGACAGACTCTGGATAGGTCTTTGGATCAAGTTTCTGTTGAAGCTCGGACGCGATGAGCTTTGGGTGATCTGATTCTGGTGGGAACGAATCCATTACGTGGAGTAGAATGGCTCACGAGAGCGCTTCGTGAGCTGAACAACGGAGATAGATGACAGGGTCCTTGGCCGCGAGTTGAGGTGGTGCTGAATTGAGTAACGTGAAGAGAAGAACTTGCTCTTTCATAGTGACGGAATGCATTGTAGATCCTGCTAGTGTGTCGTGAAAGTATGAAACTGATGTCAAAAATGTCTTACACTTTGGATGAACTGTTACCTAGGTAGTGAATTAGAGGATCAAGGACTCCATCACCTCGTAGATACCGCACTCCAGTTTTCTGTGATTTGTTGTTGTATCCTCGCTATGGGATAGGGAATTTAGCCACTTAATCAGGCGGAGCTTTGATGAAGGATGTAACCCGTCTTGTTGTCGCGATCCTGTAGACATGATTTCCTACCGTGAACACAATGCTGGTGTAGTGAAAGGCGATCCATGTGATCGGGTAGTCCATCAGACGCTAGCAGGGATCTTCAATGGTCGGTACAGCAAAATACCGATGTCATTCTAAAAGTTATGCTGCGCAACGCCATCCCACCATCTGTGCCTACTTTGTCACTCAGCATGTCTTTCCCCAGGGTTGCCTCGTCGAGGTTTATCTGTAATGCTTGTCGCAGCGCGCATACGCGACAATTCGGGCCAGTACCTAGGCCCCATGGTGCATCACTGCGCACCTCGCTTTCGACATTCTCACAATGCGCCTTCAGTACAAGTGCGATTCGAAGGTTAGATAGGAATGATCCTTTGGCGGAAGACCCCGAGTTTGCTTTCCTTGAAGACAGTTCAAAGCCGGTTCCTGCGGATCCTGTGTCGCAAGAAGCCACGACAGACCCTCTGGGAGACTCAAATGAAGCCGCGCCAGAAGTCGCTACCAAAGCCACGCCATCTGTAACGCCAGTGTCGCCTCAACAAGACAACGCAGTCCCATGGTACTTAAGACAACAGTCTTCAATCCAATCGCCCGCATTAAACCCCGCCGAAATACCGGATCTTCCACCGAATCCGCCACCGCTCCTCAAAACGCTTCTCGATTATGTCTCGATCACGGCTGGTCTGGACGACTTGCAATTGCTCGACCTGCGAAACCTCGACCCTCCGCCTGCGCTCGGCCCCAAGCTGATCATGATTATCGCGACAGCGCGCTCTGAAAAGCATCTTCACGTAGCGGCCGATCGGTTTTGCCGATACCTTCGACGCGAACACGGCTTGAAGGCGAACGCAGCTGGTCTGTTGGGTCGCAACGAGCTCAAGATTAAGCTGAGGCGGAAGGCGAAGCGCATGAGAATGTTAGCAAACGTCGGTGGTGCCGCGCCGGAGGGGAATATTGATGACGGCATACGGACAGGCTGGATCTGTTGTACCCTTGGAAAACTGGAAGCACATCCCGACGACACGCACATGCCAGGTGCTGATGTGGAACAGTTTGTAGGATTCAGAGACATCAAGCCGGGCGTGAACGTGGTTGTGCAAATGTTTACGGAAGAGAAGAGAGCGGAGACAGATCTAGAGACACTGTGGGGTGGAGTGCTAAGAACACACCAAAGGAAGGACAAGAGCGCCGACGAAGCGCTGAAGGAACTGGAGCAAGACATCGAGGATCTGGAAGAGGACGCGGAAGACCTTGAATACCAAGCACGAGAGTCGCCGCAAGCAGTCAACAAGCCGCCCACCGAGTCTAGCAAACCTGCCAGCCCTCCAACACCCACGCAACAGATGCACCGTCCCCGCCCCACTCCAAGCGACTTCTTCCCGCCCGCTCCCACCTCAGAGGGTAGGAGGCAGATGCGCCGATTACATACAGTTGGCCTCAGATAAACCTTTTAGACACAATCAACACGTGCAGCACTTGCGCCGTTTCATAGAGCGAGCGAACGCTACGATTGACGACTTGTATATTATGTAGATTAGTTGTGGAGTTCTACGGATCGTACGCGAGCAGTGGAGCTGGGCGTTACAAACAAGGAGACTCGGATAACAGATTATTAGTATCCCCGTGCGCCAACGGTAGAAATCAGGCGATAATCAGACATCACAAAAATGCGTACAGCAGTTGCAATGAGTACGATGAATTGGAAGACTAAAAACTGCAGACGCTACTTACTACAAACAAGACACGGACGATTCCCTTCACATCATCACAGCCATGCCTTGAGCTGTTTTTCCTGCCACCCCACCCAAGTCAAAATGCTGCACCTGCTTCATCGAACCTTGGCCTCCAGATACATCCAGCACCGTAATCGCCGCATTCGTCGTTCCATTACCTGGGCTTAGTGCGTAGACGAAATCTCCTGCAGCACGGAGATCAATAAGACCAGGGTCGCCGTTGGCAGATAAATCAAGCTGCATAATGATGCTTGCGTCGTCTAGACTCATCTCGACAACACGATTCACACCGACATCTGTTACGAAGGCGCTTTTTGTGGTGTCGGAGATTGTAGCCCAACAGGTTGCTGCTTGGCCATCGATGGCTTGTGATCCTTTGACCGTTGCTTGCCCTTTGGAGTCGACTGACAGGACTGCAGCACCGAACGAAGCGTCAGTGACGAAGAGGGAAGATGGATCGTTAGGCATGGTAGCTGAGCCGAAGAGCACCGCAGTTCCCTCGGGTGAGCTACGAACGTCTTTCTTGGATAGAGTAGCTGCCCCGTTTGAAGCTTGCACTGCGTAGGTGGAGAGGAAGCCCGTGTTGTTCACTGTCGGGTCGCCCTTGACGGTCGTGAAGAGAGCAGATTCATCAGATGAGAAGAAAGTCTGTGAAACTGTGTTCAGTGGTCCTACAGGCGGTGTGCTTTGTCCGAGATTGAAAGGTCGAAGGCCATCCATCTGCCCGAGTCCTTGCGAGGAGAAGGAAGCGCAGGATATTCCCGCTACAGCACCTGTTGTGCCGACGCATGCGAGCTTGTTCTTCGCAGAAGCAGCGACTGTGTTGGGAAATTCGCCGGGTATGGCCACCGGCTTACCAGCGCAGGCAAGCGATGTGGGATCGTTAGATGATATGGTCATCATGGTAAGGGTGTTGGAGCCGGCGTTCACAGCGAACAGGTTCTAGAATCGTCAGTCAGGCTCTTTTCTCTTTACTCACTATAGATTCAGTTGAACTTACATTCCCAACAACAGTCAAAGCAGACTGGCCAACGAGCGCATCAGGCGTTGCCGGCTTTCCCTCCGCATCAACAGCAACAGATCCCGCACCACCTGTCTTCGTAGTTTTACCCTCGGAGAGCATACCATCAGCTCCAATCGGTAGTGCAACAACGGCATTTTCGACATCGTTGGTCAACATATAGATGGCCTTGCCCACAGCAGGATTGCCAGGGTTCTGTTGTTGCATACAGCCCATGCCACCCTGTTGTTGTCCTTGGTCCGCGCCTGCGCGATGCCGTTGGTGTGGTGCTGCTAGTGCTATTGAAGGAACTAGAGCGAGGAGGATTGTTGTAGTGAACATGGTTACGGTGTGAGAGGTATTTGAATGACCGAATAGAGAGCAGAAGCGAAGTGCGAGTGGAAGACTGCGAAGCGATTGTATTAAGGAAGTATGATAGAAAGTCCAGCTGATCTGCCGAGGGCAACTTCATCGACCGCATATCGTTCTCTTATAGACGTCGCCTCAGCGTCGATACCTCACACCGTCGCATATCAAGAAATGGTGATTATTCGATCAAGATTTCCTAATCTGGAATGGCTTGCACTCGCGGAGGACGACAGGGGGCACCAACCACTCCCGTGGCGTTCCCAGGCTGAGAATTGCAAGGGTCACCCGCACGGCGCATCATCCTGACCTTGTAGTCGTTCCTGTGCGGAAGGAGTTTAAGGGCATGGGCCGGCTATGCGGTAGATACGAAACGGTGCCTGTGTCAAGCGAGCGCTCGGTCGATCTATTGCCGGAACAAGGATTTTTTGATCATGAAGCAATTACTAGAGAAGGATAGCGTGAGATTTCAGATGGAGGATAGGGTTAGGTAGCACAATTTAACACTGTCTCAGCTGCGCCCGTCAGACATGTCAGCCGGGCCGTTTTCATTGGCGCGACACTGGAGATGGATACGGGATTCCAGGCAAGCTAGACTGGACGTCTGGTCGCTGTGCATCGCTCTTCGTCTTAATTGCTGCTTTCGTTGGAAAAATATCGATACTTGGGCTTCGGGAGGCTAACAGCATAAGCGCAACGATCCATTCACAGTCTTTTTATTGGGTACCTGATAGAATACCCGTAGATCCTGGCACAATCGAGGCTTTGCGCGTAATGAAGTTCACCTTCAAGCCTTTCAAAGGCGATAAAAGTTCCCCAGACGGTACGTCTCATTCGGACCCATGGTCTGCTAGGTGTGGATCGCTAAATACTCATCTCGCCTTGTTAGACGATGCCGACACGCGTAATCCAGGACAAAGGCGCAGAGACCAGGTTCGTCGAGCGCAGAAGTATGTTCAGCCGTCATACCTATGAATCGATTCCTAACCCTGAATCTATTGAGTAGAACCCATCGCGAGCGCAAAGAAGCATACACGGCTTCTCTCGAAGGCGAAGTAGTTCAGCTCCGTGCGAATGAAGCCAGACTTTTGCAGGAAACGAAGACTTTGTATTCTGAAGTCGCATTCCTGAAGAAACTACTGGTAGAGAATGGAATTGCGATACCTCAGAGAATACAAATGGCATATGGCGGGGAAGGAGGGGGAGGAGATTTAGAGGGTGAGAGAAGGATCGCGCTGTCGGTCGGCCAAGAGAACAAGAAGAAGAACCGACGGAAACAGATCTACGTACAGCATATGCCTAGAGAGCCATTGCGTGAGTGCACTGTAAACGAATTGCAATTGCATTCTTTGATGATGTCTTTACTGATGACTCCCGTACAGCTGGCTCGCTACAGCTCATTACTCCGCCGTCGTCTGGCTCAGCAGCATTAACGTACACATCTGCTGCTTCGCCTGATAGTTCTACGACATATATGGGTAACCTCAACCCAGAGATTGTTGGGATGGACTTTGTCTTGACGTATGCGCCCCTACTTTCCCCTCACTCATCTGTCATTGCTAAACATCCATACATAGTCTTGAATCTCCCTGCTTACCTCATATCGATATCGCCTCACCTGATAGTAGCAACTCGGATACGGATCCTCCTGCTTCGACCGGCCACGCCCTCACTGTCTCAGCATGCCTCTTCCATCATCATCCTTCGCCATCCGGACAACGTCAATTCTCACCTGCGATTTGGGAAGTTCCTCAAGCCAGTATAGACCAGCTGTTAGCATTGTCTGCTTCTGTCCCATTGCAAGACAGTGAAGTCACGCCCGTACAAGCGTGGGATTATATCCGGAGACAGGAACAGTTCGCGGGACTGGAAGCAGCAAGATGGGAGAGGTTGAAGGAGAAACTAGTAGGATCTGTGCGATGCTATGGTTTTGGAGGTGTGATTGAAAAGGACGCCTTTGAGAATGCAGTGTTTGAGGCTTTTGTTGTGGGGAGGGTGTTTTGAGGAGATGGACCGAGGGAATTGGCTCGAAGGGGGTCGTGAGGGAATTGAATCTCTCACTCTGTTTCGTGTTTTTCTAATGTCATCAGAGAACAGTAGTGCGAGAGGAACGACGTGCCCGTGAGGTTTGCAGCTAGTTGCCATGGTGCCGGCCTTATTCCCGAGAGACAAAAGATCGTGTCGCTTCGGCTGGCTGACGCATGCCACAAGCAATACGTCCGGCTTCCACACGGCACAACAACAACCCACTACCGTCTTAGTAAGAGGCATGGTAGTCGAAAGATTCCAATATCTTCCATCGTAGGATTCCAAGGAGCCCCCGGTATTATCAGTTGGTGCATTACTTTAACAAGCGAGATACGGGGGGGTATACGAGGCCCAGAGTGGTGAGTGGTCCGGTTGGTGGCGGTTCTGGACCTGCATCACGCAGCCGTCGCGTCCCCAAACCGCGCAACAGTAGTATCAAGTTGGTCGAACACAACAAGTTGAAATCTTAACCTATTTCCATGAACCAAGACGCGTTGCCAACCAAGATTGACGAAAACTGGAGACGACAAACCCACTAAACGCTCCCGAAAAGCTTAGCAGTCAACTAATCGATAGATCGCCCAATCGCCAGCCCCACACCAAACAACAACGGCAGCGTCATCAGCGCCTACGTCGCCACCTCGGGCCGGGCAAGTGTCAGCATAGCCACCTTGTCGCGTGGTGATTGAAATAGTATAGTACCTGCAGCCAACCCGTAAAAACCGTAAGACACGCGGCCCTGGTCGTTCAAAACCTTGGAACAATAACTACCCGGCTGCCCCGGAAACACTGCGGTTCTTTTGTTTCTTGTGCATTACACAACCAAGCTTTGGAGCAAGATCTACCAAGCTGCGCTGAGGAAGCTTCGACTACTCTTGACATTCGTTACTTACATTCGTTATCGACAGTCAATATGGTGATGTGGAAAGGTCTTCTTTCTACTGTGGTGGCGGCGCTGGCTACCAGCGGGGTGAAGGCAGCGAGCTACGACGATATCCCAGACATTGAGGTCTATGGACAGCATTTCTTCTACACAAACAATGGCTCGCAGTTGTAAGTACACTTGCTTTGGGAAGGCCAAGAGTATGATTCTAACACTATCACAGTTATCTCAAGGGTGTTGCATACCAGCAGAATTACTCTCCTAACGGTTCGACAAGCGCCGACACCAAATACACCGATCCGCTTGCCGATGGCGACGCCTGCCGACGAGATATCCCCTACCTCAAGCAACTTTACACAAACATTATCCGCGTGTACGCTATCGATCCTACTCAGAACCACGATGATTGCATGGAGCAACTAGCCAGCGCAGATATTTATGTCATCTCCGACCTGGGCGAGCCTGGTACATCGATCGAGTCGAACAACCCGGAGTGGGATGTTACACTTTACCAGCGATACACTGGCGTCATTGACGCGCTAAGCAAATACAGAAACGTCGTTGGTTTCTTTGCTGGTAACGAGAATGTTAGTAGCGACAACCAAACGGCCGCTGCCGCGTTTGTCAAGGCTGCTGTCCGCGACACAAAGACATATATCAAAAATCAGAACTACCGCAGTACATTGGGCGTGGGCTATGCGACTGCCGATGTCCCATCTCGCGATGAGCTTGCGCATTACTTCGCGTGCCAGCCCGGCAACGCGGGAAACACGACCTCCATTGATTTCTGGGGCTACAACGTCTACTCTTGGTGCGGCGACAGCAACTACGCAAGTTCCTCCTACGGCGAGCGCGTTCAGTTCTTCTCCGACTACCCCGTCCCCGTCTTCTTCGCTGAATACGGATGTATTGAGGGTCTCGACAGCCCTACAAGCCGTCCCTTCACAGAAGTCGAGGTTCTGTACGGCAACATGACTGACGTCTTCTCCGGCGGCATTGTCTACGAGTGGTTCATGGGTGCAAACAACTATGGACTCGTCTCGCTAGCTGACAACGGTGCAAGCGTATCACCCTACCCGGACTTTACGTCTCTGCAGAGTCAACTCGCATCCGCTACCCCGACTATTACTCAGCGCTCTGAATACACACCTTCCAACTCTGCGCCTGCTTGCCCCTCAGTCGGCGGAACATGGCTCGCGCAAGCTTCTCCATTGCCTCCCAACGTAAACCCTCAACTATGCGCCTGCATGGTAGACAGTCTGCAATGTGTCTACACATCCGACGACGACGATGCCTACGCCGATGACTTCAACTACATCTGCGGTGAGAACGAAGACTACTGCAGCGGCATTGCGCACAACTCCACGACTGGCGACTTTGGTGCTTACTCTGGCTGCGATCCCAAGGAGCAGCTCGCATTTGTTGCAAATCAGTACTACATTGGCCAGAAGAAGCGCGCAGATGCTTGCAGTTTCTCGGGCAGGGCAAGCATCCAGACCGCATCGACTGCGAGTGGTTGTGCCTCGTTGCTAAGTGCTGCGGGTAAGAATGGTGATGGCAGTGTACCTACTGCTACAGGCAAGGGCACAGCGGCTGTGAGCGGTGGTAGCGGCAGTGGTGGTGGTGGTGGAGCAGCAAGCTCTAGCAAATCCGAGGGTGCTGCTCCCAGCGTCAATGCTCCTGGTTTCTTCGCCCATGGTGATTTGGTCATGGGTGCGTATGCTGTTCTGGCAGCGGGTAGTCTTCTCGGTATGCTTGTACTATAAGTTAGTTGGAGTGTGGTACGGTGATGAAGTATGCTTGGATGACGTTCAATAGGCATATGTGGTGAGGGACGAGTGTCATGATATTTTGCCTTTTTCTTTTCGTCCATTGATATATGTGACCAATATAATTCAGCTATTTTTTCAAGCTTCAGCAGCTGTACATGTCACAGGAACTGAGATGGGAATCAATTGCTGAACTACACAGGGGGACATCTTTAGCCCGTTCAACTTGGTCTCCTAATCGCAGTTGAACATCACAAGCATTGACTACAACGTATTGCACCGACTCTAGATATATTCTACAATCTACGAGCTGGCCTTTTCTTCTTGTTTCTTTCTTTCTTTCTTTCTTTCTTTGCCTACGCTGCAGTAGCGAAAGACACTGCTGTTATTGATTCCAAGACAACGTCTCGTGCCCCATAGCCACTCTGTACATGAGAGGGACCGAGATACCGTACGTACATAAAAATCCTCAGAGATCAGACACACTACGTCTGATACCTGACGATATGCCAATCCTCTCCTCTCATGGGGGGATATAACTGTAAAAAGGGGAAAGAAGCCCAAACCCAAATATACAGCATCCCCGACGCCGACGCTGCGCTTGAAGCCAAGAACCGACATTATAACGCTCTACTGAAATCAATGCGAAGTTGATAGTTTGTGAGCCCCGATCACATCCAAGCTTTGTACTTTAGCTCTGCAGTCGAGAATATGTGAGAAGCTAGTACATGTTGGGTGGTCCAGGACGACCTGGCTGCTGGCGTGGAGGCCCACCGAATTGGCCATCGAACATCATGCGTGGGTCTTCGCCACCTCGCATGCCAGGCATTGGGGGTCCGCCGTAGCCGGGAGGTGGAAAGTAGCCTGGTGGACCTTGCATGCCATTGCCACCAGGTCCTCCAGGTCCGCCTGGAAAGCCGCCCAATCCTCGGATACCGCCAGCAGGCGGAAAGCCAGGGGGGTGACCAAGCGGCGTGTTGCCAGCTGAGAAGCTCGGTCCTCCAGGGCCCATTTGTTGACCATTAGGGCCATTAGGACCATTAGGACCATTAGGACCATTAAGGCCAGGTGGTTGACGCATTGGACCACCGAACCCAGGCGGAGGAGCGATGTTTGGTCGCTCTTGAGGTGTTGGCGGCATTCCTGGTTGGCCGCGTCCGCCCATATATGGCATGTCCGGTACAGGCTGCGAAGGAATGCCCATGTTGGTCGGCATGCGCGGGTCACCTCCAGTGCTACGGCGCTGAAGGCCCATAAGTGGATCCTCGGGGGTAGGATATCCCATTGGCATGCGTTGGTTCTTTCCTCGCATGGCGTCCTGTTGTTGTAATCGTTGCAAATGCTGAAGCTCTAACTGGCGGTCGGCCGCATCACGACGCATCATTTCATTCTCTGAGAACATGCGAGGGTCTTCCATGAAGCCGGGGGGTAGAACACCGCGACCCTTGGGTGGGTGCTGAACCGGCATCTGAGGCTGCTGTCTTTGCTGATCGAAAAAGGCCATGTTGTGACCTTCCTGGGCCGGGCGAGGCAAGTTGTGGCCTTGTACTTGAGGTGGAGTGCCGCGGGAAGGTTGCTGCATCAGGTTCAGCAGGAAGTCCCGCTCACGCTGTTTTGTCGCTTGGTCACGTTGCGATTCCTCGCGCGCGCGACTGTTCAACAAAGCTGCGAGATTGGCGTCTTGAGGACCGTTACGTTGCGGCGGAGGCTGGTGGGGGAAGTGATCTTCTGGGTGACTCGAATCGGGGCGTGGAGGCCTGAATTGATCAGACATCGCATTCTCTGGCGACATGCTGCTGAAGCGTGATTGTTGTAAAGGCCGAGACTCAGGTGGGCCAGCACGTGGAGCCAGGATGTTCTCCAGTATACTCTGCTGTTCGAGTGTCCTTGGTGGTGGCCTACCATGCTGCGGATCTGGCGGCGGCGATTGCTGGTGGAAGTCTAACGATATGCCTCCACCATGCCTCATACCATTCGTCGGTGTAGGCATGGTCGTTGGAGGTTGGGGTCCTGGGGATGGGCCGGTACTGACTTGACCAAGCATCTGAAGAATGCGCTGGAATCCTTCTTTGTCGGCGTTGGCCTCCATGACGGGTGCTGGAGACGCAGGGGCTGGGGCTGGGGCTTGGCCGGGTGGTGCTTGCTCTTCTGGTTTCGCAAACATGGTCATGAACCTCGATTTCTTGTCTGGCTTGGGTTTCGCCGAGATGATCTCTGCTGGTGGGATATCTACCGACTTGTCTCTACCCCAGTTTCCGAAGAGAATGCCCTGTGTAGGCTCGGCTCCGGAAGGCGTGTGCAGAGGTGCGGTCAACATGGGCGGAGCGGTAATGGAGACGGCTGTAGATATCTCGGCTGGCACCTCTCTCGATTCCTCTTTTTCGCCAGCTGGTGTATCCTTGGCCCTCATCTGCTCCTTCCAGCGCTGGAAATCCTCTTGTGTGCGAGGCTTGAACTCCTTCTTCTCCACCTTGGTGTCCATCCATTCTGGATCTTCTTCTCCACCTGCACGGTTGCCGCCCCTGTTCCACTCGCGGCCGTTGTCACGTTCTCGGTCTCGGTCGCGTTCACGCCAACCGCCCTGTACACCAGTTTTTATACCCTCATCCTTATCATCACGACGACCCCAGCGCGGTTCGTTGCGCTCGCGGTTGCCACGGCGCGGGGCTACATCCATCTCAGGGTCACCTTCGTGCTTGTCGCGATTGCGGTCGCCGTTGCGGTGGAAGCGCTCAAAGTCCTCCTGGCCCAGACTCTTACGTCCCTTGACGTTTGTCCAGCCCTCACCGTCCTCTCGGGGAACGCGACGGCCATTGGCGTAGCCCTTGTCTCGGTTCCGGTCGTTTTCGCGGTCCCGTGTCCACCGATCGTTCTTTGGGAAGCGGTCGCCAATATTGTCTCCATCTGTGGAAGTGAAGCCTGTTCGCTCCTTTGCGTCGCCCGTTCCCTTGGCTGGGGTGCGTGCTGAGAGGAAGGCTAGCTTTGGGGGGCCGAGCACCGTCTCTTCGCCAGGTTCTACAAAAAGCGCGTCAATAGCGGCCTTGATGCCCTGAACATCAGAAGACTTACGCATGCTCTGACGCCGACCGAATTGACCCATGGGGTTGATCAGCGGCCGCTGCTCATTTGGCGTGACCCCTTCTCCGTCTCGAGCGCCCCGAATGCGACGCATGCTGCCGTTGTTGTTGTTGTTGTTATTGTTGTTGGCATGGCCACTGTTGGTGTTTTGGTCGGCAGGCACGTCCATCCATTGTGAGATTGAAGGCAGTCCATCGGGCTTCTTGACTAATGGGGACTCTTTCAGAGCCAACAGGTCAGCCTCCGAATAGGTAGGCCCCCGCATTCTCGCGAGCTCGGCGCAGCGCGAATGTGCAGGTATTTGTGGGATAGGTGAGGTTTGTTGTGTTCAGGTTCCAGAGGCGAGCCGGGAAGTAGGTTGTATGGTGTCTGGTGAGTGATGATGGGTGAGGAGACTGTCTCGAGGCGATCGGGTGGTGAATCGCTTGCCTCGCTTGCAATTGAACAATGCCCGCTCTGCAACCCTTTCGAAGACGGAGGATGCGACGTCGGTGATGAATGCGATACAAATGGAAGTGTACGATGGTGTGATGCTGAGCGATTGCAGTATGGGTGTAGTTCGAGGCGCGTGCGTGTCGCAAGTTCTTGGACGAGGTGAAGGAGCTTGAGGTGGGATGCAACGTGGTAGGGGAGTAGCGCACCCCTGCTGCTGTAGCGGCGACGGAAAGCGGAGAAGAAACAATTGCGAGCTTAGTCGTTCACGGTAGAGCAGCAATTTCGGGATGGAAAAGTCTTGAACAGCTCTGGGTACTTTGATATAAGCAGTGGGTGTGTGAGTAATAGCGCGAGTGTTTGTTGTGGTTTTGTGTCCCAGGTCGCGAGTGGTGCGGGTCTCTTTGGGAGAGCCCTGGAGACACGCGCCAAGAAATGCTGCGGGAACGAGTAGGTGCGTCATGTTAGGTCCACGACATGTGACTACAGCGTGCACTATACCAGGTGGACATGACTTCACATTCATTATTATCAAATTACGACATGAGTACGAGAATCAGACCATCTCGCATGATGATGGCTGCCTTGACTTTTCGCTAGGCAATCGCGCCACAAATCACTTCTGCATGACCTCCAGATTAGGAAGTCGCAACCAACGCCCTGTAATGCTCTGAAATCCATCTCCCAAACGCTCCATAAGGCTCACAGACACGTACTAAGACTGAAAACATCAGACCCTCGCAAGGGAGGCGATCGTCTGTTCGAGGCTGTCACTGCTCCACGCAGCCACCTTCTCTCGATCGCACGTTTCGTAAACACGTCCGGCCAGTGTCCTCAGAGCACGATGTCGCGGGTCGTGGCCATCGAGCATCATCTGGATCCATGGGATAAGCCCACATCTCGTGATGAGCGTCGTACTGCCTCCTACATGTGTTGCTCGCAGCAGCAGCTTCACGATCTTGTCCTTTGCTGAGGCCGGGCATGATCGAGATCCATAGTGTGTCAGCAACTGCTCGAAAATATTGCTCCTCCTGAACAGTTCCATATCTGCAGGCGTCCGTAGGCTGTCCATTAGGTAGTCAAAGTACCAGTCCACTTCCTTGTGATAGGTTGTGTCGTCGTCCGGTTGACTGGCGACGATGCGATGCCAGAAAAAGCGCAGCAAAGAGTTGACATCCCAGGCTGGAGCGGTGGTGAGAAACTTGTTCACTGTGCTGAAGAGAGAGTGCGTGGGGTCCGCTACAATGCTCGCACAACGAGCGGCCAGCACTCCACCAACGTACGGGAAAGCTTCAGCACCAGTCAGATCCACTGACTCCAAGAGCTCACCAAGGAGGAGGTAGAGTTGCTGTAGATCGAAGTCCATGTTACTTCCTTGTTGTCCTGTAGCGGTATCGTCCTTTCCGGGTACGTTACGACGGCTAGATTGTATCGTCGCCGTGAGCTGTCGGATGTTGTTGATGGCCTGTATGCGGATCTCGGCGTGTTCAGAGCAAAGACACAAAAGTAGTTCTCCAATGTCTCCGTCATCAAGTGCTTCACCGAGCTCTTTCTTCCTCCAGCGTGTGAGTCCTATATGCTTCTCATCCTCGACGGGCGGCTCCTCAAGGTCGATAGCAGATCTGAACTTGGCTTGCTGCTCAGCCTCTTCCGTAGGCCTAGGGACTGGCGATGCCGATGATCTCTCCGAGCCACTAAAGTCTGCCCCGGTTGCCAGCTTCAAGGCCTCCTTGGCTCTCTCCTTGCCCATTTTCCACAGGAACGCATCTTTCAGGACTTCTTTGTATGCCACGTTCGCCGATTCTACCAAAGCATCGCGTACACGCTCCAGCTGCGTCTCGTCTTCGCCAATCAACTTGAGGAGGTATAGAAGTCTCGATAACCATTGGGCAATAGCATCCGCCGTGGTGCTTGTTGCTGCCTCTCCACCCTTGAACGGCCACTGTTCCACCAATGTCATCAGTAATGTGCTGAAGGGCCCAAGACTGCTCGCAGATTGCCCAGTACGTAAACACATAGCATCTAGATCATCAAAGTACTTGATGGGTACCTTGGTGAAGCGTGCGCAGCAGTCATCTAGGAAATCGAGGACGTCGGAGGACGGTGTGACTGACCCAGACGTCGATCCCAAGCTCGCAATAAGAGCGTCGAGCGCGTCGGGTGAAGTTTTCGTTTGCAGCATCTCCTGGTCATGTAATATGTCGCTTAAAAGAGACCTAATACCTGCGTACAGCTCACTCTCTTTTGACGTTACCAGTAGCTTCAGAAGTGTGACAAACGGTGAGTATTGAAGTGATTCTGCTCGAGTTATTAGTAGAACTGACTGAGTTCAGAAGAAGACTTACTCTGCTTTTGCCACCATCGCATAGCTGGTGAAAGCTTTGCCATTTGTATCCAGTGCTCAAGCTCCATGATGCGGAAAACCTTGTCCTCGGGCGATGCTGTGGGCTTGTCGGCCTCAACCAACGCATTGCACAGCGGTAGGGAAACGTCGAATTTCTCTTGTAGCGCAACTTGAGGTGTGGCTTCGTAGTAAAGCCGCAGCAACCTGGTGATCGATTCTCGCTTCATATCTTTCAGGCCTGGTTTCTTGAGGGCCAGGAAGACAGTGCGAATGGGCGGACAACGTCGACTGACTTCCGAGATGAGGCGCTTAGCTGCCTGTTCCCACTGTCTAGAAGATCTGGTACCACTAGCGTCATTGAGCTCTCTGAGAACAGCCTGTAGCTTCTGGAGCGCCACTATCAGAACGCGGATGGCAAACAACTGGATAAGATCGGAGTTGTGGTTGAGACATTTGGTAAGCACTTGCTGATTCAGCGGTTGCGGTAGGATGCTGTTCATCAGGACAGGTACTGGGGGTGGGTGATCGCGGAAGTTTCTCTTTGCACCAAAGTACCTCGGTACGGGAAGCTGGATAGCTTGATACAGAAAAGCCGAGTATCCTATCCATGTTGAAGTGAGCTTAGGATCGTAGCTGAAATCACGTCGCTTGACAAAGTAATCTGCAACCAGTTCGGGACAAGCCCGGAAGATGTCAATAACAAGCTCTTGGTGCAGGGTATTTGCGTATGGTCTTTGGCTCTGGATGAACTCTGATAGAATAATGTTCCGGACTTTGGGGGTCTTGCTGTAGTTGTCAACAGACTCGAGGCCCAAGTCGTTGCCGTAGTCAGCAGCGTCGTCTAGTTCGCCCTCATCGTCATCAAACGTCGAAGGGTAGAAGCCTTGTGTAGGCAGCATGACACCATAAGCAGGGTCTGTACAGACTAGGCGAAGGAAATCATGAGCAAGCTGGTCAGGTGCCTTTTGTCCGTCAGCGAGCGAGCCTTCTTCTACTTCGTAGCTGTATAGACTGGCTATGCGTGAGAGTGCCTTTCCGTTTAGGATTCTGCTCTTGGTGTGCCTTGCGATAGCCTTGTCTTGGAAAACATGGCTTTTGAACACATCGAGTATCTCATAAATGAGAAAAGGCGGATCTGCGCGGATATGGTCGAAGACGGCACGAACAACGTTGGTGTTGGATAAGATTTCGCTCTTTGCTCGTTCGTCTTGGTATCTCAAGTGCATCAGCAGATACCTGATGGCAGTAGTACGGATGCTCGGTTTCTTGACATGGTCCGCCGCCGACTGCTCTCTTCCGAGGTTGATATTCCTTCCAAGTATCTTCGGCTCAAGCGTAAAGTCTCTCTTCGCGTACACAGCTCTCGCATGTGCACCCTCATTGAATCGTGTAAGCTCGGTAAGTAGTCGCAATGCCGGCGCGATAACGTTCTCTTCCTTGGGTGCAGCTGAGGTACTTCGGACGAAACGGCGAGCGATGGATGGTTGTAGGAGTGTCTTGGCAAGAAGTGTACCGTACTCGAGGAAATCGCCATGGCTGGCAAAGACCTTGAACAGGAGCGCGAGCACAGCTGTCACCTGGGAGACAACGGCGCTGTAGTTGGTTTCAACAGCATGGTCCCATCCCTGCGTGAGGTTCTGCAGAAATGTCTTGTCTTTTTCGTCTCGTCCTCTTCCTTTCTGCGTGTCTAGGTACTCGCGAAGAATGGCTCGCTTGCGGGGCAGGTCGTGCTCATCGGTCGGGTAGAGGATTGAGTCGAGGAATCGTTTGAATAGACTCAGACCTGTTCATGTAAGCTCCTGATCGCATGCAGGCTGTGATTATGCCTACCACTTCGGAAGTCGCCTGAAGAGCTTTGGTCGAAGAACAGGGCATTCTGTAAGTCGCGCGCAGACGTGATTTCCTCGGCGGCGCCATTCGGTCGTGGTGAGTTGCGCTCTTGCGTGTTGTCGATTCTTTGGCGTTTAGAGTCGCGGTCGAATTGCGCACTCTTGGTGTTGGCCTCGAAAGCCGTTCTTTTCCCCATGTCGCATGTCCCGTCGTAACTAACGATCGCATATCTCAAAAAGTTCTGGAAGTTCTCGCGGATGCATGCAGGGATTAACGCGCTAGCTAGGGTCAGTGCGTGCTCTAATCGGCGAACGTCAGTCATCACTCCGCGCTTCACATGTCTCATTATCCTCGCCATCTCACAGCCAGTTTATTGCGATTTCACCCAGCACCTGCTTTATGGCTCAAATTACCATTGAACCATCTGACTTGTTACAACAACCTCAAATCTCTAGCTTCGTAACGTCTTCTGAGTACCTCTTGGATCATCCTAATGGATACTACCTGCTTTACATGTAACCACTTGGAGGGGTACACCAGTCCAGTGCCTCCCATTTACCGCAGAGAGTAAAGGCGCTCAAACTCCGGCAACCTGGTACCAAGCTTTCGTGGCATTGATCGAAGTCATGCTGTCCTGAGGAGACATCAGCCAACCTCTTTTTCACGCCACATACTACTCTCTTTCTACTCACAAGTCACTATCTAATAGTGTGCCGTCAACAAAAAATCACGGCTTCTAACCCCCATAGAGATTACACATTGTTTACTCAAGTCCCAGTCTAGCCGTCACAAGGAATGAAAGAGAAGGGAAAGGGACATAGACTTCATGCACAGGAGGGCAGAAAGACGTAACAGCCGCGCCCAGTCTCGAACTCACAAGCTACTCAAGCCGCAAACAAGAGCAAAAGACACCTAGGTACGAGAGGTATATGCTGAAACCTTGCACCCGCGGCACGATCAGCTACTTCACAAAGGCGAGAAAACTGGGACAAGTTTCTAGAAGAATGAGTCTTTGCCATCGCCCTCACAAGTCCGTCGGATTGTCATTTTTTACTACTTGATGAATTCCTCAACATCGAGCGTTAAATACGCAGCGAGACTGGGGATTAGGACTCATAAAAGCGGATCAATAACCAGAGACCCAATTGCGTGTTTGCAGGGCTTCAAAGGAGTGAGATGTGAGTGAGAGCGTGTGTGGGGGCTCAGCGGCGGTGGAAAGTCGCCTTCACCTCGAACTCCAAAACAAAACAGTGCGTACAATAGAGTGTCGCATGGTCCCGACACTTTTTCTCCTGCTCGAATCCTTATCGCAGTCGGTATAGTTGGAGATGTGGAAGACTATGTCCATATTGGGATATGTAGTCAGCAAATGAGAGCTTCTCCCAGAAAACGCTACCTTTTCCACCGGACGACCTTTTTTTTTAGAAGGAAAAGGATCTCGAGTATATTTGGCGACCTGTGTAACTTGTAGTTTGAAGCAGTCTCCTACCTTGGAGAAACAAAGGCTTCTGAAACCAGTAGCTGTCACATTCAAGAGAAGATATAAGACAAATTAGCACAGCGCGCTTCAGTTGATCACCAGATATCTCCGCACATTTCGTGCCATACATGATCAATCTCATATGCATTGAAGTGTCCTCCACCTAACGACATGTCACTAAACTTCAACGTTACACCAACGTAAACATGGATATAAAGTGAAACTACTATGCCAATCTTCCACGATTCTTTCAATTGTTTGATTTGTGATTTGATATATATCATCTACCTATTTCGAAGAGAACCCTTCTACCATCTTTCCAATTACAAAGATCCTAGGATAACAAAACCAAGATGCAACCGTAACTCTGGAGGAGCTCAATATGTTTCTTCTAATAGTAGTGGAGTAGTCCCCCCCAAAAAAAACATCTTCATGATAGCGTTCGAACAGCAAAGATGCAAATATACAACAAAAAAAGCAAATGAAAAAAACTCCAAATATGCCGCAACGCCGCGATACCATGCAGATGAATCAGGGCTCGAAGATGAGTCGTGAGTTCAGCCAAGACCCCGCGCGACGAGTAGGACCTAGATATAAAAAAACGCCGTATAAAGTTTTGGTTGTAGTTTGCTGCTAAACGAGAAGATCCGGGGTATCATGCAGCGACGTGAAAAGGAAAAAAAAACGAGAGATCAAGGAAAAGCGGAGCGAAAACTTGACAATTGTTGGATGGGGCTAGAAGAATAATTTCTGCGTGTTTTTGTATTAACATTTCAAAGGTCTGTGGTATTTTGAGCCCGAGCTTATCGAGTTGTTCTTCTCGCGGATTTTTATTGTTGGAGGAGGTTCCTGGTTCTTGACGGAGAGGAGGGCGGAGATGGCAAGGGTGATGAGCGTGATGAGCTCAGCGGAAGCTGCGCCAATGGCAGTGTAGAATGCGACACCCTGTACAATGTGTTAGTGGCTGTTGTTTTACTCGCGGTAGAGCGGATAGTTGTCTTACCTGTTCTTCGCAGACAGCGCGGTACTGGTACCGCCCATTAGTCAAGACATTCGCGTGGGTACATGAGTATCTGCCCAAGCTGGCCTTGCTAGCCTTGTCCAACAGGTTGAAGACAATGAGCGCTGTGATCCACATGATGACTCCAAAGCTTCCAGCGACGATGCGATAGACGTCTCGTGAGCGAAACGGTCGGCGGAAGGAGCGCTTGAATGAGAGAGTGACAATGGCGACCGAGGCGAGGAAGTTGCCGGCGGCAATGACGAACAGAACGATAGAAGGCGCGAGGTTGGTATGGGCAGGCCAGACCATGGGCAGTTCTCCTTTGCGCAGGTCGATGTAGCGGTTGCCGCGGTAGATTTCAAACGTGTGCATGAGCATGCACACGACGGCGCCGCTGAGGACAATGATGAGCAGGCGAAGACATGATCGGACTCGACTGAGCCAATGCGCCCGCGACGAGATGGCGAGCTCGAGAGGCATTGGCAGCCTCTTGGACTTGTATTCGCCGTAGTCCGCGGCCTTTGGGTACGAGAGAGAGCCGACAAGTCGCGAGAGGTTGTATGGAGTTGGCGGGGGAGGCGACGAGGGTGAGGGTTCGGTAGTGGTGACAGTGCAAGTCTGGGCAGGGCTAAGACAAGTCGCCGTGGTGGATGTGGAGTGATTTGACGCGAAGTAAGCTCTGGCCATGATCTTGGGAGAGGTGTCGGCACAGGCGCGGCAGCTGGGCGTCGCGCACCCGTCGAGCTGCTAATGGGGCCGTCGAGGTTTGCCGCAGCGTGGTGTAGAGAACGTCGCGGCGGGCCCAGAGGACATGTGTCGGAGCAGGATGAGGTGTGGTGGACGCGGCGGGAAGAAGTGGCCGTGACATAACCCCCTAGCCCTAAGCAACCTTGACGAGGCTGAGTCCCGCGGACGCCTGTTGAGCCCTGCCGATCGACTTTACGTCGAGACTCTGCATGCGCCAGACGCGCCGGGCTAGTATTCAATTCAACGCGTTTTGTCTCAATCTACTCATCTGTCTCCTCACTTGCCAATTACTCTCTGCGGCGTGCTTCTGTTTTCCATGGCGCATCGTGAAGTTGCTCAGGCAGACACTCGAGGAAGGCGCGACCTCCACTAGCGAGATGGTACCCGGAATAGTCTGATTGCGCCTTCCCTATTGGCCCCGCGTTTCACCCGCGCCTCCAGAATATATCTCCGTCATACTGTTTGCGCCTCCTGCGATGATAATAGCTTATCGCAGCACGGCAGTCACGCCGTCTTATACTTTCTGCTATACACATCTCTCGCAACTCTAGACACGATGCCGATATCATACATTCCCAGCATCCCGGCATCCTTTACTCGAGCGTAAGACGCGCGTTCATCGAAAATAGGCGTCCAATGGCATCCTCGTTTCCTGCAGGGGTATGCGGGCCGCTATTGACTCGAGCAGCCAGCGCCCAGGAACCACGTTGAGAAATATCGTCTACAGCTCCAAGCGGCCATCTGCACGTGAGTTGGATGTGAATGTGTCTAACTTGTCTACACAGCATTGCTGCAGTAGTCTGGCCCCGAGTTCGTATTTGATCTGGCATCTGGGCTGTGTAAACACCGATTACATGCCAAGTTGGGGCCCCCGCACAGCCACGGACCCCACGGCAACGCAGGCAGACTTGACGTTGTCTGCTGATGCAACTATTCGCGACTGCCACTGATAAGGTGTGCGTTGAACGGCATCATCTTCCGAGGACAGCACAGCTTCCTGTTTTTGTCACTCAAGACATGGTCAAAACCGTTAGACTGCATGCAATGCAGCTGAACCAATCGTTGTACCCTGTATCTATGTGGCTGTGTCGTCACTGTGCAGGAACCAACGTTCTTCGTGCAAGGGTGTGAAGAACTTGATCATCACACGGAACGGGTTGCTGGCTTTGACACGCCAACTTCATGTGTCTTGGATACATTTCCTAGTAAGAGCTCACGTTTATCATTGCTGATGCCTAGCACTTTGTATGTTATATCGCGAGCGTACGGGACGACATAAGCTTCTTCCTCCTAAGAAGTTTTTAGTCGTATAGGGAGGGGTTCTGTGATAGTTTCACTTTGTCGCACACTCCTCGAATAGCTTCTCAAATTCTGGCGAGGCCTGCAACACATCCTGCTTTTCCTTCTCCCAGGCTTCAGCAAGTCCGTCTGACTCAGTAGCCTGCATTGCCGCGTCCAACATAGCCACTGATTCCTGCACTTGGTATAGCACATGTTTGACTTCTTCACTGTCTGCCTTCTTCTGCTCTTCGAGGCACCTGCTCCAGAGCAGACATATTCCCATCATGATTGTTCCTCTGTGGGCATGTAGCCTAGGCCAAGCATTGAGCAAGACGCTTTGCAACGCTTTTAGTGCTGCGAGCAGAAGTGGCTTGTGGCTAAGTGCGAACGGCTCCTGCAGTACAGCTGAGAGCAAAGGTACGAGGTCGGGAAGATGTTTGACTGTATCAATGCCCATAAGGCCTAGTAAAACAGGAACGTATGACATGATCAATGTGGCCAACTCCGCGTACGACGACGGCGTAGGGAAATGCGCAAGAGGGGAAAGAACTCCTTCACGCAAGTTCCTATCCAGGAAACGCTCCCGAGAGTCGCCTTTATTGGTGTCTGCCGGAAGAAGTTGAGCGAGCGAAGTCACAGCGGGGAACACCTCTTTGAAGAGCGTAACAGACTCTGCTTCCGGTGTGATAGAAGGGATGTATGTGAACATGGGTAGTAGAGCCTCAGCAAAGATATTGTGATATCCAGTGCGTTGCAAGAAGTTTGCGGAACCCTGCCTGGCTATTGACGACTCCTTCACATCGTCCGCCACGCCCGTCTGGTGTAGATTCCCAAGTAATAGGCCGAGCATATGGCAGCCTCGTGCTTTCCACTCCACTCCAACATCATCGATCATCTTCAGTATTGGAGGCATCAGCAACTGCCATTTTGCTTCTATTGTCTTTCGGTCCAACACGCTAATCGTCCACTTCAGCAAGTCCAAGGCATACTGGTTCCCAGCGTCTTTCCAAGGAGCCGGTTGCCGCGAGGCTTCCAGCGCATTAGACGTAGGCTTATTCTGCGGAAAGAGAGGTGGGATGGTAAGCTGAAGAAAGTGTGACGCCAGGCGAAGGGAAAGCTCACTATCAGTTTGTTCAGCCCTAGAAGCCTTTACCGCCTCGATGGCTGCGGTGGGGTCGGTGACATCGGGGTTGCGTAGCTGCCAGGCCATGACGACGTCGAGTGCATCTTTCATCCAAGGGCCAGGCTTAGTACCGAGTGCTTTGGCAAGGTCTGTACCTTTGAGAAGAGGTCTGAAGGTGTCGACATCGAGGATTTTTAGCTCAATAACATGGCTAAGGAAGCTTTCATACGAGCGAAGAAGTTCTAAGGATTATTAGCAGCATTCAAATTGAAAGACTAGCAAGCACCTACCATCTTTTGACACCCTTCCGAGCACAATCTCGTAGACAAGGTTGAAAAAGACTTGCGTCCTCCATGTTGAGCCCCAACGACGGATAGCCATGCCCAAAGTGTCTCTAGCAGTCGCATCGTTTGTTGGGTTGATGGTGTCTGGTCTCCGAAGGCTTTTGGCACATTGACTGACGATGCTGCGGATCTCTTCGCTGTTACCCAAAGAGGAAGCAATGACGTCGCAGACCTTGTTCGGCGCTTTGAAACCTTCCCGAGCTACCAGGTAAGCAGCGAAATAGGGTCGCTGGAGTGGCTTCTGGTGAGGAATTGTTGGCGCATCGACCCAAGGCATCATGGTGGCGCAAACCCATGCCAAATATTTCTCGTCCTCGTTTCTCAATAGGGTGTCTGAGATGGCAGTAGGTACATCGGTATTCTCCACGATAGTCGACTCGACAAAATCGTACGCCGGCTTGAAGTAGGCTGTTTCCGGTTCAGAAGGTAGCTCGCGGGTAGGATCTGTAAAGACAGTCCTGTAGAGACCAAAACGATCGATAAGTTCTAGAGCCATACGTGGTCTGGGGCCCCTTAGCATCTTCTCAAGCTCTATGCCCACTCGCTCACGACTGATCTTGATCTTCAACACATCTTGTATCTCTGCGTTGCCCATGGCCTTTGCTGTCTCTGGCTCAATAGTGTAGTCGAGTCGACTGGCAAAGCGAATCAGACGCAGCACCCGGAGTGGATCATCCTTGAAGGTCTGATAAGGCTCGAGTGGAGTGCGGATGATCTTGGCAGCCATATCTTCATGTCCGCGTCCGGTAAAGTCTTCAACTTGACAGGTATGAAGGTTGTAGAACATGGCGTTGACGGTAGCATCGCGCCGCATGGCGTCCTCTTCTGCTGTACCAAATTCCATCTCTGGATTACGAGAGACTTCGTTGTACGTCTCTTTCCTGAGGTTAACAAGGTCCAAATCGATGCCCATGATCTTGGTGGTCGCAGTCTCGAGGTTCTTTGACTTTTCGGGATTCGCTTCGATCTTGTGCAGGCCTGGAGCAATCTTCTTCGTCTTGTCGCGTGTACTAAGGCCGTCGTCTTTCTCAATAAGACCATGCTTTTCAGCGTTGCCCGGAATTTCAAGATACTCTTGCATCTTCAGGCCAAAGTGCTCGCCAGTCATCTTGTTGATGGCAACGTCGATATCATGGCTGCCAACTTTCAGAAGCTTATCTCGAACCCAGCCTCCGGTCCAACGCAGCACAATCTTCTCCTTCACTAGTTCTTCTGGAACCTGTACTCCAGTGACATCTCCACTTGAGGGTGCTTCGTCGATGTAAGTAGCCACGTCCAACAGAAGTTGCCTAAGCTTAGATTCAACTTCTGTAAGTTCCAACTGGGCCGAGCCGCCATTTTTTGTCGACGCCATGGTTCCGTAAGGGTGAAGGAATTGGGGTGAGCGCCGGTCGATTTTGCGCCGTTTAGGGCTTGGTTGTTGTGGTTCGGATGGCGAGCTCGTCCTTGACATACGAGATGGTTGCAGGGTGAGAGTAGAGAAAGTAGTTGGAACCGGATTATATCGCAGAAGTGGGCGAAGTGTCGGTGCAAGGAAGTTACGTTTATATAGTAATGAAAATGTCCGCGGTGAACAGATTGAGGCACGACTCATCAACGACATCCATGTGAGTCAAGATGATTGCTGCAATGTGCCCCTAGGTCGTAAATCGCAGTAAAGACAGACAAGAAGGTTGCAGAGGGCTGTTTTGTTATGTTTGCGGAAACATGTGACGCGATGAGGGACAATTGTGTGGTGATGGAGATGCCGCATTTCGTCCAGTCACAAAGCGCAGCGGCCGCAACTGCGATGATGCACCGTCCAACGTCGTCACACTCGCGCAGCTACAAACGGCCAGCTGTCTAAAGTAAATTCTCACTGCCGCCAATTCCAGCACACGACAATCCGGATACATGCCGACTGCCTCGGAACTTCCGCGCGCATTCAGAACCCCGCGGGCGCATCGCCCTAGCCTCTCATGACGCCGCCTCAAGATGCCATGCCGAATCCCCCAAAGTACCCAGCCGACCCGGAGGCGTCAATGATACTGCCCAAACAACGCGCATCGCCGGCTTCCTCTCTCGCCAGTCTCCCGTATCGCCGTTCAAATCCAAGCCTCTCCAAGCTGTTCGAGTCTACTACCAGCATATCTACGTCGCGCCCCAACTCGGGCACCGCAACCCCCACCCAGAGCACGGTACAAGGCTCGGTATTCTCACCGGGATCAAGATTGAGTGGAACAGGGACGCCCAACAGCCTACCATCGGGAGTATCGGACGAGTACCGGACGCTCATACAGCAGGCGTTTGTGCCATGTGTGGCTGTCTTAGCGGACGCGCAGACGGAGGAGCTGATACGGGGGAAGGGTTTGGAGGGTGGACTGCTACAACTGCTGCGGCCATTCGGAGAGTCAGTTCCCGGCAAAGTCACAATACGAGATAGCAACGGGGCAAGCAAGAGCTGGGAGGATTTTGGTGTGCGCTTCATAGGCGTAGATGATGCATATCCGGATTTGCGCGTTGACACGGGTGGTCAGCGGACATCCTCGAGCTCCACACGGCCACCACGACGGGCAGGAGGTGATGTGTCACAAATCGAAGAACTAGTCGACCGGCATCTGCAGTACTCCGAGTTCAACAGACAATCTCCCGTGTCAGACTATATGAACAGGGGCGACGCAACAGCCACACAAACAGATGGCACCGCTTCACCGTTCCATACTCTATACCTACGCCGGCTACTATCAGGACTACCGGTGGTACCTCACGAGACATTCTCCCACCCTGTGGCTGGCATCATAGCCATCTCGTCACGAAATCCACACCCTATAGAAGAGCTGCGGAGACTTTACAACCGGCAGCATGATGGCGATCTTCGTTTTCCGCAATGGGTTGAAAACGACTTCTTACGATATTATGTCTTGATCCATGATGAGGAGACAGGGGATATCGCCAAATCTAATCAAACATTCGATTCGATGAAGCGACATTTTGGTCTACATTGCCATCTACTGCGACTCAAGAGTCAGCAATGCATAGCTTCAGACGACGACAGTGTACGGTTACCGACCTGTGAATGGATGTCTGCAGGGGAGGAGCTCGCAGAGATCCAGAGAAGAGGTACGTCTGATAGCATCAATTTGATACGAATGTTATGTACTGACCCTCCGAAAAGAAACCACAGACGATATAACAGATCCAACGCCCTACTTCCCCGACTCCGACATCAGCAGCTTACGCACCTTCATCCGCGAACTAGTCACGCAGTCTATAATACCCAACATGGAGCGCAGCGTCTCTACCTGGAATGAGCAGATCCTTTCCCGACGTCGCGGTTTGTCAGGCCGCTTCATGTCTTTATCAAAACGCTGGACGCCCTTTGGTGGCTCACGAACCTCAGGATCATCCTCCACTGCATCGGGAAACTCCAACTACGACAGCCTACAAGGCTTTTACCGCCCTGACGCCCCCGAAGCCATTATGCGGCGGCTAGCAGATTACTGCTTCATGCTGCGTGACTGGAAACTCGCATTGAGTACATACGATATCTTAAGAACAGACTTCCAAAACGACAAAGCCTGGCGACATTACGCTGGCGCCGCTGAAATGGCCGCCTTATCCGCTCTCATGGCACCTACACCACTATCATCTAAGAACCGCGCAGAGAACATCGATGCGTGGATAGAAGCTGCATCGTATTCTTACACTGACCGCCAGCGTAGCGCGGCACCCTACTATGCTCTCCGCACTCTCGCTCTCAGCTTCGAACTCTTGCGCCTCCGTGGCTCCTCAGCCGCAGACGATGCCGCACGCTGGGCAACCCGCATTCTCGAAACGGGTCTTGTAGGCGCGATAGGCCACGCCCTCATCACCGAACGCATCTCAGCCTGCTACGCAGTACGCACAGGCGTGGGCATGTACAAACTAGGCAATAGACGCAGGAAAGCGGCGCTCTGGGCTGTCCTCGCAAGCGAGAACTGGTACAGACTAGACAAGTCACAGCAAGCTGAACGCGCCCTCGATACTGCACTCAGGCTGTACAACACTCAGGCGGAGAGTGCGGAAGGAGGGGCTATTAGATTGCCGTTCGAGGACATGCAGCGCTTTGTGGATGAGTTGAGACAACAGATTATGGGCTTAAGGTTGGCTAATCAGGGCTATGGCAGCGAGCATGGCGGGGGTGAGGAAGAGGGTATGCAGAGTCCAGAGGTAGAAGAGGAAGCTGAGGCGTTGGACAAGAGTCCACGGTTGCATAGGAAGAGCTTAATTGGGGCCAAGGTGCCGCCTATTGACATGGCAGGGCCTCTGAGTCCCGCGCTAGAGAGGTCCAAGGGCGAGGTAGATGCCAAGGACGAGGGCTTCGAATAGACGTTAGATATGCGTAATGGTCATGATGATTAAAAAACCTGTTCATCAAATCTACCATGAAGACTTCATATTCAATGACCTCACAAGATGCAAAAAACCACAAGCCTCACCATATATCAATTGGCAATAGATCAACAGGAGGAATGGTTCTCATTTCTAAGTAGGTATCAGTCATATACCCAAGAGATCATCCACTTCATCATTCATTTGGCAACGCAAGCGCAACCCCCAAAACGCCAAAGCCAGTGATCAGAGCGCGGCCCAAGCACTTTGGCACCCGTCAGTCATGCTGGCATATGCAACGATGTGTAACAGACAGCCCCTGCCAATGCTCGTATGCTATGCAAAGAAGGAAAAAAAGAAATAACCCAGGAAGAATAAGCGCCCAATGTTATGCTGGGTATCATCATCAGCGTCGTCAATGTGAACCGTGAACCATTGTCCGTCATAAGCCGTCATGCTACCAGGCCTACAAGGCGGTAACAGCGGGTGTGGCCTCTGCCACTGCAGCACTCGTAGGTGCTACGGGAGCCGTCTTCTTGGGCTCTGTTAGAATGTGCGCCGATGGTGGTGGTGCGGATGTAGGCGCAGGTGTGGGTGCGCGGGATGTGGTGCAGGATGGAGTGGGGGAGGAGGTGTCTGAGGTGCGGAGGCCACGGAGCTTGATGGTGAGCTTGACCGGCTTCACGGGCTCTGGTTGAGGAATCTCAATGTTAGACTGTTGCGAGGCTGCGAATCCATTTGATTCGTCTGACGAGCTCTCGGTACCCTCTGGTGTAGAGTCGGAGTCGAAAAGCGGCAGAGGCGAGCGACGCTTTCGAGAGCGCCGGCGCTGATCGTCATCGTCGCCATCAACACTAGGACTAGGACGCTTCTTGGAGACGACTTGTGGCACGACGTTGACATCGGGCGGCCCGGTGTGGGGTCCGGCAATGTTACGGACGGAAGAGTAATGCTCCCAAGTCTATGGTACGTCAGTATAATGCCGGTGGGGTAGTGGTGACATGACTTACATGGTAGGCAATGTGAAGTGTCTGGCGGTTGTCCTTAGCAGCCAGGTCGTCATTCGACGTGTAGTATGTGCGGGGTGAGAAGAGATAGGTGTAGTCAGCCTGCCAGAGGCGGACGTGGACGTTGAGGGCTGAGGCAAACGCTGAGACTTCCATGTTGTCTGCCCACTCGCCGGGCTGGCCCATCTTCTCAACATGCTCTTCAAACTGTTGTTGTAGTTGCTCCTCGGTGTAGTATGTGGTGTCAACGGGCTTCGCTGCAGCTGCAGCAGCAGTCTTGCGCTTGGGATTCCTCCGCACGTTATTGCAGGCCATGTACTGTCGGTAGAAGTCTGCGCTATCCTTCATATGCTCTATGGTCGCAATACGCAGCACCTCGTGCATGTCTTGGGTGCCGTAGAGCTGGTCAGATAGGGCGTTGAACAGGCAGTTGCCTTGGGCGAAGTCAGCCTTGAACATGGAGAATATGTGGAATTGAGCTCACCATCGCCACGAATCTGGCTGGCATACAGGGCATTAGCCTCGAGTATGGGGAATTCAGGCGAGTTGGCCCGTTGTCTTCGGGTAGCCATATTGACAGGTGTATCTAGGGTGGGTGTTGGACAGGAGAAGTCGGTGTAATGCAAAGAGGAAGGCACAAGTGTGGGGTGACGGGGTCATGGATGAGGGTTGAGCTTAGGTGCGAGAGTTGCTATTGTAGTGAGGGCTGGGCCGGCCACGCCAAGTTGGTGAAGGTCGTGGCCGGTGAACGTGAATGTAGAATATCTTTGTGACGCGCCCGAACTCTTTGAAGCTCTCGAAGGGACACGGCGACAGGGATGGCTCAGCTTGGCGAGTCGCAGGAACAACGATCTCCGTCCTGAGTCAGGACAGCTCACGTACAGGAGCCTGGAGAAGTACAATCAAACGTCAGCCAACCAGACAAAGGGACAGAGGCTTCTTGTACGTTTGGAATCAGAGAAACTAAACGTTTGAGATGGTACGGAAAAATCTTCGGCCTACATACCTCGGAGCCTGCAATGATGTCACGGACCGCAGAGCTCCCCCAGCTAGCCGATGGGGGCAGGCCCGACTGATTTTCGCGATATACGGGCGGTGAAGAGCAAAAAAGCGCGTGCAAATGTGCAAAAACTGAGTCTTCTCAATAGTCTGGACAATAGTGGGAGGGTGCAAGTGGCCGATTACAGCGTTGTAATGGACTTAACAAGGACAAGCAGGCCATCTGGTCAGTAAACAAAGCTCGCATGTGCGCACGCGTTTTGTCTCGTGTGCGGGAAGGAGCCAATAAGCGAGCAAGGGAATCAAGGCATGCCCCGCCAAACCATCGCTCCGCAACACGGAAGACAGGAAGTAGTCTTCTATGACCCCTCGGCACATCACAGGTGCGTCAAGACAGCTGCCGCTCTGACCCTGAAGCAGTCATCATGGCCACCCAGAAAAATGTCGTCGTTGTAGGGTAAGCTCGCCTGTCAATGCTGTCATCATTCTTGAATTGCCCCTCCATGTTCCTCCCGTAGTAGTAGTAGTAGTAGTAGTAGTAGTAGTAGTAGTAGTAGTAGTAGTACTCATCACACCACTACCTATGACTCTCCAACTTATCTAGTTCGTATCGGGCTGTAAGGTCAACATCACACTAACACTTCCGCAGAGCCGGCGTCATCGGCCTCTCCACAGCCCTCGTGCTCTCAAAGCATAAAAACTTGAGCATCACAGTCGTAGCCAAGCATATGCCTGGTGACTACGACATAGAATACGCATCACCGTGGGCAGGAGCAAACTACTTCCCCGTCGGCAAGCCAGGCTCTAATCTGCAGAGGTTTGAGAAAGCTACCTGGAGTGAGCTCGATCGAATCTGTCGTGAAGTACCAGAAGCAGGTATCCATTATCAGGACACAAGGATATATGGAAGACAGAAAGATGCAGGCACCGCTACGGGGCAGTGGTTTGAGGAGTTGACTAAAGAAGATGCGTGGTTCAAGGATGTTGTGCCGAATGTATGTAGTGCCTATCTGAACCTCTATCTTCATGTGCTCATCAACCTTACTTGCGTGATAACACACTGACACTATATAGTTCCGCGTATTGCCCAAATCTGAACTCCCAGAAGGCTGTGACACTGGCACAGAGTTTACCTCTGTATGCATAAACACCGCCGCCTATCTTCCCTGGATCCTGGGACAGTGTGTGAAAGCTGGTATGATTATCAAGCGCGGCATACTATCCCACATATCCGAAGCAGGCAGCTTTCACTCCTCAGGACATGCCGACATCGTAGTTAACTGTACCGGTCTTCTGGCCTCCACACTCGGAGGCGTCATGGACAGCAACGTGTACCCTGGACGCGGTCAAATAGTTCTAGTGCGGAATGAGCCTGGTGTCATGGTAACAGTAAGCGGGACCGACGATGGCAGTGAAGAAGCTACATATATCATGCAACGTGCAGTCGGTGGCGGAACCATCCTCGGCGGCTGTCTGCAACACCACTCATGGGAATCTCAACCTGACCCCAACCTCGCCCAGCGCATAATGCAACGCTCCATCGACTTGTGTCCCTCGCTAGCACCGAACACTGGAAAGGTAACTGAGCTGAGTGTCATCAGACACGGTGTCGGTCTACGTCCTATGCGGACGGGAGGCCCAAGAGTAGAGAAAGAAAATATCGGAGGAATTTGGGTCGTGCATAGTTATGGTCATGCTGGCTATGGATATCAGAGCGGCTGGGGAAGTGCGTGGGAGGCTGAGAAGTTTGTGCTGGACATTGCGAGGAAGAACGAAACGATGGCCAAACTTTAGGCGCACACATAGAGGAACAATCTGCTTGAATATCTACTTGTAAGAACGGATTTCTATTATCCCGGTGTGTCACAGCACCTCTATCCGCATCCATCTTCCTGTTTCTTGAACTTCCTTGGCTTCCTGGCCTCACCGACATTCAACACCGTCTTTCGCCTGCGCATACTACCTGGTCCTGAAGGGAGTGCATATACTGTCCCGTCCTGGTCTGCCTTTCCACATCTTTTGGTTTTTGATTCAGAGTACTTCGCGCAGTCGGTATCTTGTCAGGTTTCCATATGGCATCGCCCATCGCGCGTACCTTAGCCCACGTGTGCGTTCCACGATATGCAATCAGCAAGGAGAGGCTCCCAATAAGCGTTGTGGCAGGAACGGCAATGGCCCAAAAGAGTGCTTGCGAGCTTCCCATGTCTCTAATGTCTTTAGCATCTATGCCAACACCGAAGAGATGAATGAAAGAGGAAGAAACACAACGGTGACTAGAGTCAAAACTCTGATGGCCTTGGAGTTACTCTCTTCTGAGACATTGACATTGTAACGGAACATCTGTTCTGTCTTATCGAACAAGGCTCGAATTTCCATTTCTCCTGTAAGTGCCGCTCCCCCAGCAGCGGGGTGCTCGAAGATACGGTCGATGAGGAGAAATGAGCTTCACCGTCAGCTGGCGTGTAGACCATGGATGCTGCGACAGAGAACTGCTCTCGATGATGTAAAGAAGCTGGTTGGAAGTGAAGAGCTGTTGCCCTCTTTGGTGCCCATATACTCTCATCCTGTCTGCTGCTGTTCAGCCTGATCTTGATAATTTGTTCATTTTCACTAGGGTTGTATGCTGCATCACCTATATTCCCTGCAATGGTGTTGGCTTCTTGCTAGTGATTAATAGCTATAGATTACAGGATTAAAGGTCAGAAGCGCGGGTGAAACTGTGACGGTGGTAGATGAGGAGTCGCGCGTTGATATAAGCGCCCATCTATCTGTGCCACCTGAATATTAAGCGGCCGCTCAGCCCCCACCTTCACAGCAAGGTATAGCACCTTCCGAGGCCTCTACAACAGGTGCAGACTGTGATATTAGTGCTTGATCTTGATAGGTCGATGCTCAATCATCCTTAATCATACGCACCATTGGTCACGTTCCGAAGACAGAGACGATTATCGTAGCTTGCACAAGAACAGTAGAGCACGCAGGGTATGTAGGGATGGTAACAGATCGCCCGTGCCGCATGAGTACTGGACGGAACGTAGAGAGTAATTGCACCAAGTCTCAAGGGTGTGTTGAAGTTCTGCGTAGGCACGCGGGTGGCGGCTTGAGATTGCCGTATTACACGGGAAGCGGTATAACGATGGCTTACATCGCCGAAGTGGCAAAGCTACTGCGGATACTCCTCATTCACAACGGCTCCCCGACCTAAACTGCAGTCAAGAATGCCTTGATGTCATCTACGGCAGGCTTCAGACTCTTCGATGGTAGACTCCAATCATGGCGCTTCAACCCTCCTTCATGCGTCAAGTACCAGAGAGTCTCAGCGGCTGTAATGCGTATCTGTTTCACCGTCAACATAAAGCAGGATCATTGTTGTGTTACATATACCTTAGGAAATGGATGTAAAAGCATGCTCACAACTTTGGAGAGAGTATCTGTCCTTGTTGATGGAATGTCGCCTAAGCCACGATACACGTCCAGTGCGAGATGAAGCTTTTGCATGTGCGTGGACTTGAAGTGCGCTTTCTGCGTATAGGAAAGAAGTGCTCGGAAGCTGATGTCGTCAGTTGATCTGCACACGAGGTACAAGAGACAGGCCCTTACTTGAAAGATGTCGACTGCAAACGCTGCATGATCTGCATGTCGAACAAGAAGGATATGACTTCTAGTAGAGGGAGCAAAACCCTGTCGTCGGTGATGTTTTCTTTCAAGAGCATCAGAAAGCAGTTTGCGAAGTCGACCAAGGTGAACTGCGAAGTGTCTGATACATCTTCGTCTTGTATTGTATCAACAAAGTCCAACAAAGCTGCTCGCGAATTCTGTACGACAGACTCAGAGCCCATCCCCGCAGAACTCACGAATCCAACGCAGATGGCGTCCCTGGTCAGAGGGTTTATCGCTAACACACCTAGTGCGCTCAGGAAGTAAGTCTTAGAGGAGACATCACGTATGACTGTGGTGCTAACTTCTCTTTGCTGAAGGACTTGGTCGGCGATCATGCGCATTTTGTCCAGTTTTTCCAGAGATAGCCGAAGGACATCGGCAAAGATATCATACTCACGCTCGTTGCGTCTTTCGGTGAGTAAACCACATGCCCAAGCCAATCGGACAGTTTTCAAGGCCTCAAGTCGAACAAGTGATCCGACATCTCCCCTCTCGGTGATGGTGTAGTCGTTTAGTGCAATGTGCAAGGCGCTTGCAATCTGATCTTTCACATCTGAAGCAAGTTGAATTGGTTGCGAAGTCTGACTGCTGAGCAAACAACCCAGAGCTCGCAATGCCACTGCCCGAGCCTCAATTGCCACAGCTGGAGTGCACCTGAATGTGAGTACCTTCACGATTCGTCGTTGAAGACTTTCCTTTTCAGTATCAACTGCTAAGCTGTCCAAACCGCCATGCGCAGCTCCAACAGCGATCGCATGTCCAGAACATCGCAGTCCATTGTAAGATGCTTCATTCTCCAATCGACCCAGCCACGATGTTACCATATCGACCGTTTTAGATCCAGGTATCTTGGACAACAATGAAACTATTGCTGGAACAGCATCAGCGATGGAGTCCAAGACGGACTCCTCGTGACGAGCCAGACAAAGATTCAAGAGGTCACAAATCTGTGTTACTGGCAAGCTAGAAGGCCAGAGCTTACTGGAATACTCAAGGGTAAACGTTGCCATCGCTCCGATGAATGTGCATACTGATGATGCTGTGAATTGAGGTCGCAGCGCTGGTGAGGTGAATGCTTTATCTTCAAGCTTTAATTCGTTTGAGAATGATGTCCAGAGGTCCATCAAGGACGTATATGAGTTTTCATATGCTTGGCTGCCGTGCGAAACTTCTGTAGTGTCAATGAGAGCTGCAAGAGCAGTTAACAGTCCCTGACGCTCTTCAACCTCGCGAGGCCGTAATGCCGCGAGCTTGTCGCGGACCTGAATTGACATATTTTGTACCACCGCAGAAGACCGGCCCTTGGATAGAGAGCCTATAGCCTCTGCTGCAAAGAGGCGTGAGTCCGAGTCTAACGACCCAGTTCCTCTCCAATCTAGCAGGCCGCCGAACAGAGCCTCCCAGTACAGGGACTGTAGCTCTCCCGCCTTAATTGCCACATCGCACATTGCTCGTTGACGAAGACCAACAGCGTGGAAATCAACGATCTGTACGAGTGGTATACCCTCTTCTATCGTGTTGGGGTGGCGACCTATGAGTTCCTGAAGCGCAGCGGATGATCCTCTTCTGATGTTGCCTGCTGGGTCAAGACATGCTGCGACTACCAATTCGATCGCCAGCACTTGAGGTACGTGTAACGACTTGAGGTGCTCAGAGGCTCTGATTGAAGCGGTCTCCACCGCAAGGAGGTCGATTGTAGGGTAGCGGCGAGAGAGCGCCCAGATACCGAAGCAAGCCGCATCACGTACATTGGTACCAATAGATCCTCCAGTCGGTGAACGCTGCTCGAAGCCGAGGGACAGTAGGAGGGCGTTGAGTACATCCGATAGATGGCTTGTAGAAATTGCCTTACGATAGAGTAGTTGGGATAACGTCAAAGTCAGCCCATGCCATCGAAGTGGGTTCACGCTGTTCAGATTGCGCTTGGACCCCTGCCAGTAGATGTTTTCTGTGAGAGAACCTAGTATTGCCTCGACAACCTCGCTGGCCATGTCTGCGTCCAATTTGAGGGTGATGATGCTAAGCGCTTTGCTAGCACCGTATCTGACCGGCGTATCTCCATCGGCAAGCGCTTCGAGAAGGTATTCGATGACCTCTTCCAACACTACTGTTGAGTCGAGCCCAGGAAGGGCTGACGTCGCCTGGAGGCAATGTAGTACAGTATTGCGCAAGCTCTTCACGACTAGTTTGCGAACGACAGCTGACGATCGGACGAATGCAAGACTTTCTTGATCCAAGATCTTCCTGCACGAGAGGTAGATGGCAGCGAGGAAAGGGCCAAGTTCTTCGTTTGTAGCCGATGCTAACAGTCCAGATAAGAACGATAATACACCAAGACACTGATGTATGTCGGTTTTCTCGTCGGAGATATCCGTGAAGAAGGATAGCGACCATTGAACCATAGCATCCAGTAAACCTAATTTTTGCATGTCTGGTCGCACACACGTTCTCACTAGGAGACTAGCAGCGGCGCCCCTCTCCTTTGTCGGAGACCGAAGTCCTAACATACATATCGAGAGTACCCGGAGAGTCACACCGGGCAGTTCTTCAGGCAGCTTCAGCCCAAGAGCTACTGGCGCCTCTGCAGAAACTTGCAGCCCAGACATAGACTCTAGGGGAAAGGGCGCTAAGAGCAGCTGTGAAAGCCACAAGAGTAGTATGTAGCGCTGTATCCATGGCCGAACTGCTACCTGCTGTAGGGAATTGTCGTTGTCGGGTTTGGTTGCTTCGCTGGCTTCTAGTTCTCTCAGAATTGGTTCGAGATAGCGCGGCTCGTTGTTGAAGAATCCTTTGATGACCTTCTCGCCTCGGACCTTGCAAAAGGTGTTCAAGACGGAGCATATAGCATGTGGGAGAGCTACAAAGCCTTGTTTTGGTTCGTCTCTAGTGCTCACAGATATTGATTCCAGATAGGCATCAATTAGTGGAGGAATGAAAGTCTTGAGGTGGGTGTCCAAAATTTGGGGATCCTCCTGGAATGGCTCAACCTAGCAAATGTCAGCCATCTTTTGATAAGATAGAACCAGAGAGTTCATACCAAGCTGCATGCTCTGTACATGTCAGTTGCCCTGACATGTTGACGGACGGAACCGAGGGACACGCCATGCTGTCGTTTTCGCAGCAATCGCGGTAGCAGCCTCTCGAAATCAGACAGGAGCGATGCGGATGCTCGCTGCAATTTCAGATCGTCGTCCTCTCCGGCACTCATCATGGATTAGGGTGAAGTTGTGATCCAGTTTGCGGGCGACGATGAATGCCTTGTCGCTTGAGTCATTTTCGATCATCATGGGCAAGCACGACGCGTGATTCTGAGTCAACCCCGCGACGCGCTTCCACAACTTCTTCCACGAACACCGCTGCACGACTATGTCAGCCACAACAACACTTACAATGGCGGAAGAGAATTACAAGGACTACCTCACTGCAAGAGTGGTTACCGAACAAAAGCCCGTCACTTACAGGCTGTTAAGCAGAGCGCTTAAGATCAATGTCAATACAGCGAAGCGGTCAGTCCAGGTAGTGCAAGTGTTCGATCATCAGCTTACATGGTCCAGGATGCTCTTCGAGTTTCGGAAAAACCAGAATGCGCGGAAACCAAACTCTATTCATGCGACCTATCTGGTAACTGGTACACCAAAACGAGCCGAGAAGACCAATGGTGCCCACACACGAAAGGGCGAGGACACAGACATGCGCAGCTCGCCTCCCATGAGCTCCATGCCTACGTCCGAATTGCCTCAAGATTCTGATTATACTAGTGACCCCGACGATGAGGACACGCCCGCACCAGAGGGTGTGAAAGAGACCCGGATTATGTTGGTGCGAGAAGAGGACTTGGAGAGTGCGTTCCGGTACATGATGTTTATGAGTCTTTGCTGACAATCTGAACAGAGACCCGCTCAGAGTTTGAAGAAGGATTCACGGCTCACATCTACAGTCTGGAGCCTGGTCCGCTTGAGGTACGAGATCCTAGGACCCTTCGAGGCTCATACTAAAGCAAGCAGATTCTCGGCGTGCTGTCTTTGTGTAATCGCGAGGTTGTGTCAGAATATACAGATGAAGATCCTCTAGAGCGATGGAGAGCGTATGGTTCAATTCGAAACCAACACATCAAGGCACGAACACTGGCTAAAGCTACCTGGGCGCGCTAACTCGTTCGCAGAGAAGAACCGCGAAATATGCCCCTCCTACTGCTTCGTCCAAGCCCGCTGCGAACCTCGTCATAAAGTCTACCGCAAAAGCCACAACTACCCTAGGTGCAAAAGAGAAGGAGAAATCAGCATCTACCCAGAGAGGAAGCACATCAGAGGACAACACATCGGGTCGCTCAACGCCACAACCTTCTGCGGCCCCTAGTACACTCAAGAGGAGCGATTCAAAGTCAGGGGCGAAAAAAGACAAGGCAACAGGCGATTTGTTCAAGTCTTTTGCAAAGGCCAAGCCGAAAGCGAAAGAGGCAGAGAAGTCCAAGGAGTCTACGCCGGCCCCGGTTGAAGATGGTGCGTACACAAGCTGTCATTCCTGGCTGTACACGACTAACTTGTCCAGAACCAATGCAAGGAATGTCTGAAGACGAAGGCGATCCCGATGACGAACCCGAAATCAAAATCGACGAGGAGAAGAATGAAGCAGCCCGCAAAGCCCGAGAGGAGCGAGCCGAACGACTGCGCAAGATGATGGAAGACGATGGTAAGCCCTCGCAGCTAAACATAGCTTCGTTTTCTAACGTTTGCAGACGAGGAGATGCCCGATGCGCCAGCCACAGCAGATTCACAACCCGATGCGCCGTCTACAGCGGCAACGGATACGACAGAGCCAGCTGATGGTGAAGCTACTGTGACCGTAGCAAATGGTCGTAGACGCGGCCGAAGACGCGTGATGAAAAAGAAGAAGGTCAAGGATGAGGATGGCTATCTCGGTAAGTAGCCAGTGAACTTCTGAAGCTCTCTAACTAACTGTGCACAGTGACCAAGGAAGAGGCCGTCTGGGAGTCCTTCTCAGAGGACGAGCCTGCACCAAAGAAGGCCAAGCCAGCACCTGCCAAACCATCAAGCTCAGCGAAAGGAAAGAATGCAGGCAAGAAAGGGCAGGGAAGCATAGCCAGTTTCTTCAAGAAAGCTTGAGATGTTCATAAGCAGATATGCTTGCCAGGTATTTCAAGACGGGAATGTTCCTGCAATGTCGTCTAAATAGGGCAAAAGCTGAGCATAGTATACTGTATAAATAATTCGGATACACAGTGACAGATACATCACTCGTACCCGTTGAAATCATTCGACCTTGTCGTAAGGGCAGGATACTCTACTACTCATGCAACAAACTCCTACCAATCTGGCGAAGCGATATTATCGAGGTCGCCGAATTGCACTACTTGAGGCGCCCACTGTACTGGGTACAATGTTGTACACAGATCTTGACTTGTTGAACGGTTTCGGGGCGCTGTGATGCTGTGTAACACAGTTGGCTTGTGCTTAGAAGGGAACCCTTGCTATGGGCTTGCATGAGAAACCTGAATTTAAATGTAGTTGATGTTATATTTGTGTAATGTCAAGCTTGCAGGTCTCAAGAATGAAATTATCTGTCTTGTGAAATCGCGCTGGTGGTGATGACAGATCCGGCCCCTCCTCGGATGCCCCGCAGAACCAGGGAAGCATGTGGCTGCCACATTTATCCTCATGGTACATTTGATACTTGTAAAACACATCAATGCTTTACCAAAGCTTCTGTTAACGATTGAAGCACACTTGAGGGCCGCATAGGTACTTGCACTAAACCAGACAGAGGCTACTGACCTCATTGAATCTGCACGATTGCGCAGGTACAGATCTGGTTGATGACGACATCATTCTTAGACAACATCAAATAGTCTGAAGCTTCGGAACTCTGAATTGTTACAAGCATCACGAAGAATTCAATTGCCTCCTCACAACAGCAATCATAGCTTCACGCACAGCATCCCATCGCCTTTCGCGTGTCCTACGCACCATGTCTACTACAGCACCCTCCGCATCAACCCTCCCGCCCGCGCCATGGAAGTCCCTATTCAGCGAGCACATCTCCAAGATGAAGTCGCCTGAATTCGTTCTCGGAACACTCGATTCAGCACCCAAGGGATCGCCTACACCCTTTGTGCCTCGCGTGCGATACTGCATCCACCGCGGTTTCTGGGCCGAGCTACCAGAGAACAAGCACAATGATGCGGAGCGTAACCCTCAAGTTTATCAGAGCGATTGTCCTACATTCACAACAGATGTTCGCATGGAGAAGGTGGGACAGATATTTGCAACGAGCGCGGGGCATGCAGAAAGCAATGATCAAATACAGGGTAGTGGCGGTGGAGGCCCTGTGGAGGCTGTATACTGGAATGCTGATACTGGCACACAATGGCGAATCAAGGGAAGGGCATTCGTCATCGCAGACGATATCGAGGGTGACGAGGAGAGCAGTGGTGTAAGGACTGTCAAGAGTGAGGTGGGGAAGAGGATGAGAATTGTTGATGAGGGCAAGGAAGACCAGTTCAGTTGGCAAAGGGAGCTGACGGGATTCTTTGGCAACCAGAGTCCCGGCATCAAGGGTAAGAAGTGTCGCCGTCTTTGAAGCTTTTAAACAGTCTAACGCAATACCACAGGCTCATTCAAGAATCCTCCGCCTGGCCAGCCTACGTCCAAACCTTTTGACGATAAGAACCTCGCACTGGGCTCCAAGGTAGACGACTTGAAAGACCCTGTTGCGCGCAAGAACTTCCGCCTTGTAGTCATTGTGCCGGACTCGGTGGAACAGACCGATCTCAGCGATCCGGAAAAGGCACGGAGATTTAGATATACATTTGACGAGAGCGCAAAGGCCAACGCTGGATGGAGGACTGAGGAGCTATGGCCTTAGAAGCGCCGCGTATAGGTGTTTACGAGCACGCATAAACGAACAATCAAAAACGACTCAGCAATCGAATGTTCGAAACAATACCACACTGTTCCCTGATACTATTCGGTTCCTTTGTAGGGCCGAGTGTGTGCAGTGCTATTGTGTAACTCGTTTGTCGCAGCGACCCTTGCTGAATGCACATGCATGGTTCCGATGCAGTCTTCCCTACAATGTGGTTCAGGTCGGCGACCATGACCATGGCCCTTGTTGATCTGAATTGTCGCCTAAGGATGGTAAATTTGTTGAGCGTGGTTGAATCGAAACATGGAATTTACTGGTTTTGGTTCTGTGGAAAAGCTGCATACTGAAAACGTCCTTGTTGTTCGAGTACATTAAATGAGGTTCGAGCACAAGTCTCGTGTGTCGTAACGTGCCAGGCTGACGACATGAGAAAAGCAGAGGTGCGAAACGAAACGTGTGTTGAGCAGGCCCCTTACCCGCATAACCAGGGGGGCTATTTCCGTCGCGTGGTTACCTTAACGGGCAGTCGATGCGTTGAAGAATCGTCGGCAGCCTAGGATGATCCTAGACGACTCATCTAAATAATGCTACGTATGTTAACGTTCACGCTACAGCAGTTTGTGTGGTAAGCTTCAACAGTTAGATACCCACCGGCCTCGGTGCGCATGTCGACAGGTCAGGTGGGCGCACCCGCCTTCCTAGCCTGGCATCGTTCGCGAGCACAGCATGTCGGTCACTGGACTGTGCACAGCAAATCATCATCTTACACAGAAGCAGGATTATGGAGAATGTCTCCGTCATATACGTGCATGCTGTACGGACGGTTGGATAAGGACGATGCGGACATGGGGCTCAATCCTTGGTTGTTCAAACTAGCACTTTTGGTATGCAATTCGCAGGTTGAAGACAACACAAAGGGCGCCATGTTTTCGTTTCGGCTGAGGCGCTGCGGCACGGGTGTAGATACGCCGCACTGGTGCTTATTGGAAGTAATAGCCGCCGGGCGGAAGTTCCCTGCGCGCTATCGCCAAGTCGATGAATGGGGGGTTGAGCTGGCAGCAACCGTTAGGCCGGCGGCGGGTGCAGGCCGTGCAGCGTGTTTCGAGCTGTCATCGCAACTGGCGGAGTGGATCGAGCCGCGACATGGAGGGAGATCATGTGCAAAGCGCAATGGACTAGGAAGCCATCCCCCATGCGCGTCTAGCGGATCACGACAAGTGAAGTATGTAGATGCGTTATCGCGGAGCCATGCGAAACACCATAATGGTTGGATCGATCTTGTACTGCGTCGGCCATGTGGCAGCGCAACGACAAACTCCGCCGTGCAACGCCCAGGAGTGAGGCAATTGAATCTTGTAATCTCGCGACTCGTCTGTAATAAGGCCGAGCGCCCTGTTCGATCACCGCTAAGGGTACGGAGCCGTTGCTGCGGTACCCCATACCTCTTCTGAGCGGAGTACCTTCCCTGCACCTTGCACCCGCACCGATGCAAGTCCGTTTCTTTGCTTTCTGACTGCCCCCTCTTTCTTCTTGGTGTAATGCACCGCCGTGGATTTGTACCACCGTCGTCCCACCCTGCATGTCGGTAGACAGGACAGAGTTCAGTCTGGCCCCGCTGATCGCATCTCGTATTAGACGTGTTCCCCTACTCGCCAGCCCGTCTCTCCCCATAAGTAATCGCTGATCGTCTGCCACTGTTTCTCCGCCGATTACAGTACGCGCAATTACCCCAACCACACCCTTTTTACTCTCCTCCTCTACGCCCTCCCTCGCTGCTCGCTGGTCGACGCTCACATCGCTATCGTCGCCCTTCACACTGCCGCTGCATGCAACAATCCGTCTGCATCCGTCCCTGCCATCATCGCCCCTACCACTTAACGCCGGAACTCCGGTCCTCACCAACCGACACGCCCACCATGTCGGACATTGAGAAGTCGTTCACGTATCTCCAGGACAACCTACCGCAATGGCTGCAGGATATTGCCAATGTCGAAGAGAAGGTCACAGCCATGCAAGATGAAAACACAAAAGTACCCATATCACAGTCGCCGTTCGGGAAGCGCAGGACAGACTCAACCGCATCCATACGCCCAGCACTGGACGCCATCGCAGAGGACGCAGCACCGTCGAATGCAACCCCTACAGACGCCGTTGGAAGCCGCAAGCGCAAGTCTCTGTCCGTCTCGTCCGGTCGCGTGTCTGGCCCCTCCCGCCATCGCCCACGAACAATGGTCGTTGTGAGCTACGATGGTGATATGCAAAAGTCTTTCGAGTTGTTGGTGCGAGCAATAGGAACAGGACGCAACATGCTGCGAAAGGCCAAGATGGAGGCTAGGATGAATGAAATGGCCACGCAGGCAGAGTCGAGTGAAGAGGACGACGACGACGTGGGCGACGATGACGAAGAGGTCGACCTATCCAAGGTCAACTACCGAGCGCGCATGTCATCACTACGCGCAAGGTCAGCAGCCAGGAGAAGCGGGCGACTCGGGGTCAGCAGCGGAGTAGAGACACCTGCGGTGCTGTTTGATACCTCCGACAAGACATTGGAACAAGCCCAAGAGCTGTGCGAAAAGGCAGCGCACCTCACACTACGCGACGGCGACTGCCGAAAAGAGCTGGAAGGAGTACGGAAGAACTTTGAGACTATGTTAGAGACGGCCAAGGCTGAAGTCGAGAAATGTAACGCACGCAAGGCACAACATCCACCTGAGCTACAACCGCACGAGACCTCCGACACATCCATGTCTTCCTTGGAACCCGAGATGCTGTATAGAAAAGACACGCCACAAGACGCACTACCACTATCTGAACTGGATACCCGACCGAAGACTACACTACCCCAAGAGCCCACTGCTGCGCCTCAACCCCTCAAGATTGTCGACATCGAGGTTGATCAAGACGACGACGACGATTTCGTACTGCCGCCCGTCCGGCTAACATCGCGACTCAACCGGCGAGACTAATTCTTCACCGGCCCATTCATTTGTTTACTTCCCATGCGTTCAAGCGATTCTCATCTCGGTCACTGCTTTTGGTACGGCGTTCTCGGGGCATCGGCTGGGCAAGCGAGCCACTGTTTCTCACATCATGCTTGGGGATGAAAACGGGGGCGGAGGCTTATATCCACATACATCACTAAACACCTCTTATGTGTCGGCGTCTTACAGCGAGGTATCTTTCCTGCTGTTTTTTTGGCGGAGTCAATGTATCCTGAAGCTGTTCATGCTTACAGTTAGGAGAGCAATCTACATTCGTTAGTGTATCTTGTGGTTTGTTATAGTATATTAATCACCATTATCGCTCAATCGATATGCCAAAATCAAATACTTCCTGTCAGGTTGGCTTCTACTGCCTATGTCTTGTCTCTTGTCTCTCATTGATCGCGTCTTTTCAAGTTGTGGTGAGTGAGACCAGCAATTTCTGATGTTGTAGTTTGCTCCTTCCTTTCCAACAACACGCATGCAGCTGAGGAAGGAGCGATGAAGAAACGCGATATGCTTCCTCCAGCGCACTTGCCTTTCGACGCTTAGTCCCCTCACACGCGTCTCAATGTTTTCCATAGCTTTACTCACGTAAACTCCCTCACCCTCCTTGACACATTACTACTGTCGGCGGTCTGAATGGCTTCGATGCAAGGGAGTACGATCGATTCGTTTGGATTTTCCGACTACATAGAAGAGGAGTCTCAAGTAGTGAGCGAGTCTAAGGAGAGAAGTAGCACTGTAAGTGAGTCTCGCACTTGCTGTGCAGATAGCCCTAATGCAACGCAGGTGAACGTCCCCGCAAACGGAAGCATAAATCAAGATCCAGCTGGTACACAGTCGCACCAGACCAGCGGCGAGCTCGATGACAACGGAAGATCCCCAACCGCGCCCCGGGAAGCTCTCGATCAACGCGAGTCTAGGGAGTCGGAGGGCATGGTCAGCAATGACAAGACTGTTTTCCAGACCCCAGATGAGAGCAGCGAGTGCATTCACGAGCCTGTCAAGAGACCAGTAAGTCTACCCTAATTTACTCCGCGGTGTGAACTGACTGGCCTTCACGGCAGCCTACTCAGTCACCCCAGGGAAAGGTTCGCGGTGCCAGCCTCCCTATTGGCATTAATCTTGAGAATCCCATCGGCTCGAAAAAGTCACAATTGACACCAGCCACTTCCACTAATCCTACCTCCTCCTATAGCTTGCGTGACCGAACACAGAGCAAGCTCGTCTACGATGTAAGGTACCATCCCATGGACGATGCCATTCGACCTGCTCGAGCTGCCAAACGTCGTTCAGCACATGGGGAGACGATAGTGGTCGGTTCCGACGATCCGAGTGACGCTTCTGCGGTCATTGATACCGAAGCTAGTGCTGGAGACTCGAGCGATGTACAAAACGAGGACAAGGAAGAGATACCAAAGCAGGGCAGAAAAGTCACAGGACGCAAGCAAACCAGATCACGGCCATTACCTACTGAGGGTACGAGACGCTCCACACGTAAGGTCTCAAACCAAAAGACATCGTACAACATAAACATCCACCCCCAAGACAAGTATCTCGTCATATCTAGCGACGATGAGGACATGCAGCCATCAATCAACAAACGCAGGAATCTCACTCATAAACGTCCAAACGAAAGTGATGAGTCAGGGTCCGACAACAAAGTAGCGAAGAAGTCTAAGACATCTTGTCAAAAACGATCGCGCCGCACCGACCTCGGGACTTCTGATAGCTTAGACTCCAGTGGCGCGCCTGTGTTCCCTAGTGTGGAGACCGGTAACGACAGTAAGCATAGTACGTGTATATGGTCACTTCCTCGTCAACAGTGAGAGTTTTTACTGACAGTATACAGCCATTGCCACCACGGCTTTCTCACATCCACCGTTTGTCAATAGCCCTCTTGACCATGGTGTTCGGCGCCGGGAAGGTATAGATGTCTGGCATTACCCTCCCGGAAAGAGGTACCTCAACCATGATAGAGATTATTGGCCCACTCTTCCTGGTCAGTCATTTGAGATCTTTGACGAGAAGCTCGAAGACCAACTAGCGCGCGAAGCCATGGAAGCATCACCACTCAATTACGAGCATGACAATAAGGAAAACATGAACAACGCAGACGTTGAGCTGCGATCTGATGACTACGATGGCATATATGTCATGCCGTCTGCGCAATATCGGCAGTCTAGCGACGAACGGCAGCTGGCGCAACACCGCGCTCTTGTCTCTGACGCCCTTTACTCTGATGAGGCTCCGCAGTCTTATGGTCTAGATGAAACTTATGGCACCCATGAATTACAAACAAATTCTCTTACAGAATACATGGATATACTCGCATCTGGTGGACATTTGCCTCCAGGTCAGCCGCAAGTTGAAACGCAAACTGGGACACAGGACTCAGTCCTCGATACCGACTTGATCGATGAGATCACAGGAGTGGAGTCGCAAGCTCCTTGACTTTTCACGCCATAATCTTCCGTTGGTAGTCCTCAAAGATGTCTTTGTTAACTCTGCTAACTTCCTTCCATAGCCGTCGATTCTCGGAGAAGGGAAGATGCAAATACCGCATTCCCGATGCAAGGAAGACAAGCAGGGCATGTTTTTAAATGATCACACCATCACACTCGTCCACAGCTGCATCGCTACTATTGCCATACACTCACCTATCATGTCTCTGAGTGTAGGCTCTTTTTCTCATCGTACGTACTGTTGTTTTCCCTGGCTAATTCCTTCGGATGCCATATACGTGCAACTCCGAGGTGGAAACAGCTCAACCAATCTCTTGCTCACGATCTGCAACAATATGAGGGGTATGTAATTACGGAGTACGATGTTGCACGTCCAGCGGAGTACTGCACAAAGCCGACCGATTTCTCAACGTCTCGCTATAAAGAAATGTTCATCGTAAATGTATTATGTGTTTGGTAAAGTAGTGTATGTAGAGTAGAGAAGACGTCTTCTAGATAGATTTCAGTACACGCTTTACCGGGCATGGTTCATCGACCATAATGAAATCGCTGATACACTCCATCAGCCAAGACAGAAAACACTCTCGTCATACCTGCTATGGCCTCGTATAGCAAAACAGATCGCCAGCTAAGAAGTTCCATTTGTATGTCTCCGTGTACGTCGTAAAAGATACACTACAAGTCAAACCTTGTGATGGCGCCTGTGAAACATTTACGCTTCATGTCCCGCGCCGATGTCGTATACAAAGCTACCGGATCCCCCTGTGCCGTCATAGAAGGGTCACAGCGCCCTGTAGATGCCATGTTGTCCGGTGATGGTGTTGGAGGACAATCTATGACGTCGGATTGGAGGTGATGGAATTGAAATGTTTCAGCCTACGTTGATCACTCATCACTGACATGCTTTTGGCAGGTAAATGAAACCTCAACGAAAAGGACACATGATGATATTTCTGTGGTTGAACCATGCTTATGAAGAATGCAAGATATGATGGATGCCTCGGATGCGCAGTTGTGGCGCAGTTGTGTAAAGGACTTGGAGATCTGCACGGAAAGACGACATTGTAAGCTCAAAGGGTCAGACCATGGGTTGCCTTGCAGTTGGTAAACCCCGCGACATGGCGTGACTATGCATGGAGTGCTGATCGCATGTAGGAGAAATGTTATCTAGAAAAACTATTTCCGGTCATTCGTAGGTTTTGGTGGAGCCGATCTCATTGCTTCTGAAAGCTCACATGGGGTTCTGTTCACCCAAACTCCAAATATCCCATGACGTCTTTCCCGCGATAAATGGTCTTCGATTCGCGATTCGACAATGGATCCGGTCGGATATGTCCCAACAGCGTATACTTGATGCATATGTAGGCCTATCGAGCTTGGTACCAGTTCATCATTGTAGTCCTCTAGACGCGTGATATAGTTCCTGCACAGTATACCTGCTCACGAGACTCGTATAAGTGACCTCGAAACTGCAGTATGCCAATATAGAACCAAAGTTTTGTGTACCATACGACCGCGTAGCGCGTCTTCTACATTTAATCGTCCAAGCGAGCCCAGACACCAGGTCGACAGAAATAAGCGATAACGCGCTATCGTCAGCGGACCGGCCGTCTAGTGTCGTCCTGGGTGCGATCCGCGCCTCGGTCCGAGCGCAAGGCCAGCTGAGGACGATCTTGGTGTTGGTGTTTTTTGAACGGAGGAGGGCGAAGCTCGGATAGCTGGAAGACGGCTGATTACCGCCAGTTCGTGACATCGTTGTCGGGAGCACTTGCGCAACCACGCCATGATGCGTGCGGACAGCCGGATAACAGTGCTATCGTCTGTCCAACAGCGATAATGCGAACTTTGCCCCTCCTGCGTGTAAATGCAGGTTGTAACACCTAGGGACGCTTTGCTTCCTTTTCGGGCATAGAGGATGTGTTGCATTTGTGTTTAGCGAACTAGCTTAAGCCACAGAGGTTGATCTTGTTCCGTCAGGGCACCTCACCTCATCATCTTTGGCCAAAGGTCGATCAACACCACGATGCCGTACGCCGCCGGTGAAGCTGACCGGATATCGTCATACCGTATCGCATTTCGCGGAGTTATCTGCGGCTTGGCTCTCGACTTCATTTCCTGGTACGGGCCGTCTCGTGAGACACTCTGTACTGCACCGCGACGTCGAGCGCGCGAATAGCTTGCTTGGATACGATGGCGCTTGGATAATTTGGCCTTGAAAATGGGGTCTCGGAGGAATCTAGTCTGTCATCTGCTGTCATTGTAGGTTTCCATCCCCGCCATTGCATCGCGGAGCGGCCGTTCTGTCAAGCAGAGTGTCATGCACGTTTCCTATCGACCGCAGATGTGTTTCCAGTCCATCCTTGCTTCTCCCCCTCTCGGTAGAGTGGTAGCGGCGCAACGTCGCAAAGGCCAATGAGATGTCCTACTCTTACCATACCCTTTGAGCACATCTTTGCTTGGTCTTGCGCTTGCCATCAGCCTTTTTGCGCGCTTGTGCGCTCTGGAGCCATGCTAGGCTCATCTGCCGACACCCAAGCGTCCTAATTTGGTTAGATTGTCAGGAAGCACCATGTTTGCAAGGGCATTCTATGACGGGAGGCTAGACTTATGAGACCCTGTAGGCTCAATTTGGAAGACCTCGCGAAAGAATGTGGAATTGGGACTTGTGACTGGGCATGAAGTTGATGGTTGCAACGTGTTGTCTTTGTTGTTGTTCATGTCAGATCTCACGCCCATTGTTGCTGAACGTATAGCACGAAGGGATGCACACCGTTTATCGCATCAACAGCAGCTCTTACTGTACCGCAAGCGGCCCGGTGTATTCTGGGCATACATTCTAGTCTCTCGTATCCCAGTTCGAGCAAGCGTTCCAAACTACTCTATTCCTAATGAGGTCTTGACAGGGGTCACACAGCCAGCCCTGCTCGAGCCAGGCACAGCCGCTTCTCCCTTTCACGGCGACTAAGACATCGTACGCCGCACACCGTCACTGTTTCTTCGCTCTAGCCCACCATAGTGATGGATGACGGCAGGGCTGAAGTGAGCGGGCTTGGGCCTAGAAACAATCGCCAGTCTTTGCCTGGCTTCTCCGCTGTCAGTCGTCTGATCACTTCTAGCGTGCACCGTACTGTGTCTGGGAATTGGATATAAGGTGTCGGTACAGTTCCCCAGGGTGTTGATATTATAAGCAAGCATCGACCACGGTTCTACAGCAACTACTGCTACTACTACTGCGAACCCCTCATAAATTATATTGATTGGTCTCCTGACTCACTTCCTTTTTCAGTATATTTATACACTCGTCTACGGGAACACCCACACGGACCTCTCGAATCCGGTGATTATCATATACATCTACCTCACTTCCGGTGTCGAGCCAAGCTCCCGCCGCATTCCAGTTCATACCCGACCTGATATTGCGATAACAAACGGGAAAACGCACGAATATTCACAACCGAGAACCCGATTGCACGCTGCTATTAATATATAATACTGCGAACTTGCGCTTCTTGGGTTTCTTTTCTTGATTACCGGATTGCTCATCGAACGACTACAATACAATTACTCCACCACTTCACTACTTGGAGATATCGCCTATACGCAAGATGGTCAAGTTCTCCACTCTCGCCCTCGGGCTCCTCGCGATCGCCAGCGAAGTCTGCGCACAAAAGACTGTGAAAGTCATGCCCTTTGGTGCTTCCATTGTCTCGGTATGTTCCCCCACCTTCCTCACTTGATAGTTACACCTGCTAACCCTCGCTCAAGCGATGCTGGCGCGCCAACCTTCAAACCAGCCTCAAAGCTGCTGGCATTACGAACTGGGACTTTGTCGGCTCGAAGACGAGCACGTGCACTGACGGCACTAACATTGACCAAAACCACGAAGGTCATCCCGGATCCCAGGCCGCCGAATTTGTGGCAAAGGGTAACCTCACTGGCTGGCTCAATGCGAACCCTCCAGATGTCATTCTTATGCTTCTCGGCACCAACGATGTCCTCATCGGCAAGAGATCTGTCGACGATATCCTTGCCTCGTACGACATCCTAGTCTCACAAATGCGGAAAAAGAACGCCAATATGCAGATCGTCTTCTCCAACCTGCTTCCTTTGGACCCAGCCAAGTGGCCTGCTACGGCTGTAAAAGGAATCAAGGATCTCAACGCTGCTATAGCTACCTATGCGCCCAAGAAGAGCACCCTGAAGAGCCCGGTGTACTTTGTAAACAACTTTGCTGGCTTCGATGTGGTCAAGGACACTGATTCTGATGGCGAGCATCCTAACCTGACTACGGGTGTGCAGAAGATGGCAGCAAAGTTCCTTGAGCCTACCAAGACGGCGATAAGGGCAGCAGCTGCGGTGAAGGCAAGGAGGGTCAAGAGGGCTGAGAGGTTGATCTCAGAGTAGAGTGAGGATGTAATTAGTAACGAATTCATGATCTTTCATTTCTCTCAAAACTGAGCCTGGGTATCTTCAAGAACTTTCAGAAAAAATTACCATCCCCATCGTGATTGCACCGCCAGACGGATACTGCGAGCCGAGGGACGACCGTCCGCAGGTGTCGTGAGGGTACGCGGAGGTCATCAAGGCTTCTCGGTCATGTCCGAGTCGCCCTCAGACTCGTATGTATCCGTCTGCGCGGCGGCTTGCTCTTTAGCGGTCTTTCGCGCGGCTAGGATACCCCGGGATTTCTTGCTCCTTATGAGCTTGGCTTCGGCAGACTCAGCAGCCTCAACGGCTGCGATCTTCTGCTGTTCGTTAGTATCATAGTAGATACAGGAGTTAGTTGAGTGAGTACTTACGGCTGCCTCCGCCGCCTTGGCAGAGTGCATCGCGATGGCGACGGCCGCCGCCGAGTCCTTGTCGTTGCAGACGTACGTGGTGTCGTACGCTCCGCGGCCCATTCTCCGCGGCGAGGTCGTGTTGTTGATGAGTGCTTTGGTGACTACGTAGTAGTCGATTGTGGCTGTTCCCCATTAGTACAAAGATATCCTGAAGTCACACAATATACTTACAGTAATTGTGAGTGTGGTGATTCTTCAACCACCACACTCACGCCAACAAGTTTGTATATAGCTCTGGTTTGTGTCAACGCCATGGTGAAGGGCAGTTTCGACAGACTGCCCTTCACCACCGGTGAAAGAGGGGGCATAGCGGCGAGGTTCGATTCAGTGGGAGTGAGGAGGTTGAAGAAGGAGGAAAGGAGACGGCGGGGGAGGGCAGATTTATATACCTCTAGCAGCTCTGGCCGTTTGCGTCGATAATACGCCGTGAATGAGGATGATGATGGCCGCAAATGGGTGTTGGGGGTATACCGAAAGTGCAACCGCTCCAAGAGAGGCGGTATTGGGACAGCCGGGTAGTAGGCAGGGGCGCTAGAACATCAAAGTCACAACGAAGAACACAGGAGGAAAGGTGTTGAAAATGTAAATCAATGCAGTATGTACACATGCTATTTCCTGTCTCCCGAAGCCAACTCTTATTTGGTGGTAATGATCTTGAGCTTCTTGGGGCTGTGAGTAAACAGGTTGGCGTATGCCTTGGGGGCAGTCTTCCGTTTGTTGGGCTCCTGGACAAAGTACTCGTAGCCTTGCTTGTTGGCAAAGTTGATAGCGTCCTCTTTGGACTTGAACTGTATCCGGTGGCCGTTCATGAAATCGGCAGACGACTGCCAGCCCATAAGCGGGTTCTCCCATCGGTGGCCCTTGGAGAGGACGTCCCAGTCCATCAGCCAGTGTGAGGCGTTCCAGTCGCCGGATTGTGTGGCTGTCTTGGTTGGCTTGTAGATGCTGGGAGTAGTTAGTATAAGGGCCAAGGTCGAATGAGGGGGTTGGCGTACCGGACAGTACGCGCCTGGAGGTCGGTGGGAGCGCCAGAGAGGACGGCTGCGGCTACACTCTCACCGGGCTCGCTTCCATCCATGACACGCTTAGGAACCGGGGAGAAGTTGCTGGAGACATGTTAGCCATATGTACGCTCCATGTCCCAGTCCAAGATTGACGCACGAAGTCCGGTAGTCGATGGCGACGTTGTAGTCTGGCTTGTGCCTTATTCCCTCGGCGGCAGATTCCTCGCGGATCTGGGTCGAGTCGCTGGTGAGCTTGACAGCGGGCGCATCTTCGGAGCTCGTCTTGTGGCCGTGGGGAGTGGGCTCGTTGGTCGCATACGTGCGGAATGACGGGGCGATGGCCCTGGAAGCGGAGGGCCGCAGGGCAGGGGCGAGAAGTCGCGATCCAATTGTCCTCGGTAGGGCAGACATGGTGGTGAGTCGTCGATGTGGGTGTGCGGCAATGGTCAATGTTGGTGATGTCGATGGGATGAAGCTGGGGTGGTTGCTTGGCGAAGGCGCCGGCATAATCCGTCGTGCAGCTTTCTTCCTCGAGCCTCACCACCGACCGCACGACCTCCATCTCCACTCCATCGTCTTGCCCGCCCTGGTACGTCGCCCGAACCGACCCACTACGCAGAGAGAAACCAATTGATGCTGACTGAGCGGTAGCCGTCAAGATGAGCTTCATGCAAAAGCGCGGTCTCTCGACCCTCATCCCCCCCAAGGTACGCCTTTCTACCCACCCCTCCAACCGCGCAAGATACTGACAATGCTCTCTAGATTGCTTCTCCTAATGTAAGAGCCCCCGAAACCCGTTCTAGGACGCCTTGGAACCCCCACAACCGCATGCGCGCAACTCTCGGCCCACCGCAAACGCCTCAACGACTGCTATACCCGACTGCGGCCTCCATCGCAACCCCGGAGCTCTCATCATGGCGACCTCAGATCAGGGCTGATTTACGGAATAGGCTATCGGCTCCTCCCCCAATGCTGTCCGCATGCAGAAGGTCGTGAGCTTCTACGAGAAGCTGCCCCGTGGCCCAGCTCCCGAGCCCGAGGCCAAGGGTCTTCTCGGACGCTACCAGAAGAAGTACATGGGCAAGAACCCATCAGGAAGGCGTGAGTGCACCCGGCCGGATATAATGAGACACAAGCACCGTCTTTGAACATGCGCGGTGCGCGGAGGAACATCAAACTGACCCTGTACAGCCCTCGTTCACGTCATTGGCTTCCTGATTGCGCTTGGCTACGCACAGAACTACTACTTCCATCTCCGTAAGTCGAGTAAGATGCGCTGATGAGATGATGTGACTCACCACCTGCAGGCCACCACAAGAACAACGAGCACTAAGCGGGTCCCTTTGGACGCGCTGCATCGTCACGAGCGAATAGACAAGATGTGTATATGTAAAGTGTAGTTGGTGAATCAAGCCTCTAGCCAAGAACGTCTCTTCTCCTATCATGCAAATGACTGTTTCCTGTCTGTTTCAACATTTACACGTATGCGGCGGCGGAGCCTCTTAGACCTCCCATCACGCAGACATGGTCAGTTTGAACGAGGAAAAGGCGGTATGGTGTTTGCGGCACTGTGGACGGTGTAACAAGTCTTATCATATGATGTCTGATTTGATGGATGTTGAAGTACCTCACGTGGATTTCCTGAGCATGTGCCGGCAGCTTCCCATACCTAGACGAGTGCCCACGCCAGGCTTCGTTCGACTCGTATCTCCACACCATATGCGTGATCTAGAAGTGTCGTAGCAGCTGTGTGACGTACAGGCTCTGAGGCACTCCGACTTGATATAAAGAAGGCCCCAGCCCGTGCCAAGACTTGCGCCTCTCACCATCGTGGCTACTCAAGCTACCCGCCTCAACCTCCTATACACGCATCCACACCCGCAATCCGCCCCACCACAAAAGGGCCCCTTCTACCCAGTCACCCCCTCCCGAGCGCGACTCCACGCCGTTCGGTGAATCAGCGCGACTCAGCACGTGTTCGCGACTGCCTTCAGCCCGCGCATCCATCCAGCGAAGCACTCCGAAACCTCCGCACTCGCCGCGTCACCTCAGCAACTTGCAGAAAGCAACTCTGCGGAAGCGCCGACTTGACATCCGTGGCGACTTGTAGCATCTGACATTAGGTGATTATCCCCAACTTTTCTTAGCTCCCATGTCGCATGTGGACGACGTCGGGCGTCCGGCCGGGCTCGACTCGCTGCAGTCGACGCCGCTTACGCCAACGTCTTTCTTTGGATCAGAACAAGGACAACTTTCTGACATTGAGTCTTGCGCCACTTCAGTCCCGGAAACTGTTATGGCAGAGCAGGTTGCCAACGATGTGGTAAAGGAAGCACAGTCGGTGGGTCGTTCTGCGCCCATCGACGACTCTGCGTCAACTACCAACACCCCCGCCGTCAACGGCGAACCGCCCTCGGGCACAGCGACTGCGAAAGCGACCCCACAAGAAGCGTCTTCTACCAAACCTACCGTGAATGGCACAGATGCACCCTCGGTTGGTAGTGCACACGTGTCTGACACGGCCGAGGGACATGCGGCAGCTGTAAGTAGAGGCGACGGGCAACCTCGACGTGGTTCTAATAGTAACAGGGCGAGAGCAAGCAGCCTGATGCATCCCGGCAAGAATCTAGACAGCCCCACCTCAATGGCCTCTCCAGCGAACATCTGGCAGCCGAGTCGCAAGCTGTGGCAGACGCGAGCGGTGGCTCAGATACCGACATTAGCCGTCCGGGAAGCGTCGATCAGTCAAAACGGGATGGAGTTCACGTGCGGACCAATTCAACAGCGAAGAAACAGCCGTTCAAATCGGTGTCTGTGACGAAGAGCTTTCTAGCTAAGACGGTCCCCTCAACACCTGCTGCGCGACCAGGTGAAAAGGCAGCTCCGACAGCCCCGCCCAAGGCATCAATCCTCACCGCGAAGCCCCGCCTCGTAGCTAAATCCGGTACTGGCAACACCCCGCGTGCGCTAGGACAGACCAACGGTGCAGGTGCAGGCCCAGATGCGAGCAAAGTCTGGAATAAGAACCAGCCAGTCCCAATCCCCCCACCGAAGACGTACACAGACGACGAGCTGAAGCAGCAGTACGGTATTCACCTTGCAACACGCCTACAGGCAGATGAAGGGGGCAAAGAGGCCAAGTGGGCAGACATCGACGACGACGAGGAAGATTGGACCCCAGAAGCAGTGCAATGGATGGACGGAACCAAGTCCTCAGTCGCAGTACCACCAGAGACGCAGCCACCGCCCGCCGAAGAGCCAAAGGCTATACTGAAGCCAGAGACGCCTGCCGAGACACCTAAGCCCGCTGCATCACCAGCCCCCGCTACGAACACGCCCAAACTGAGCGTCACCGGTGGTACCAAGACTATCTTGAAGCCTGGCGCACATACACAGCCGACTACTGGGAAATCAAGTCTCGTTCTAAAAGGCCAGCCAGAAAGGCCGACATTGGTAGCCAAGCCATCAGCGACAGAGAAGAAGTCACCATGGGCGCCCCTGCCTCCAGTCGAGAAGGTATCACCGATACAGGTCAATCCCCCCGTACAGCAACCACCTCCGCAGCGCTACTCACAGCGAGACCCCTACGGCTACGATTCTATGGCCCCACCTCCCGCGAAGGAAATCGCCCCTGATGACTTCAATCGCAACTGGCGCAACGACAGCGGTGGTCGAGACAATCGAGACGGTCGGGAACTGTACAATTCGCAGAGTGGTCGCTATGAGCCCGTACATAATGACATGCGGCGGAGTTCGGGGCGCGATGGTGGTGGCTACCGACAGCAGCCGTCTGCAGTGTTACAGAGGCCTTCTCACGATGGCGGCCCAGCGGAGCCGTCAGCGGCCTTCCAGACATCAAGAGCAAGTGCGGACGGACAGACTTGGGGCAGGAGGAGGAACTCGTCCAACGTCAGTGGAACGATGCCCAGGCGCATGTCAATGGACCCACGAGGAACAGACATGCCTACTGGTCCTGTGAACACGGAGCGACGCGAATCGCACTCGATCAACGGCTTCGAACCTTCCTCTTCGGACGCTGCAGCTTCCAGACAATCGCCGTTCCAGCAGATGAGATCTCCTAATGTTGCCCAAGCCCACCCGGCTTCTCCCTATGGCTCAGTGACTTCACCAGCTGTCCAGGATGCACCGGCACTTGTTCCAGCACCACCAGCAGAGGACCCCGTCGAAGTACAGAAACGTCTCATGGCCGAGAAGATCGAGCGTGCTCGTCTCAAGAAGCAGCAAGATCGGGAGGCTGAGCAACGTGCAGAGGCAGAGAGGAAAGAACGACTCGCCAAGAAGCTGGCCGCTATGGGACCGCCTGAGTCGAAGTCTAAGAACAAGGACCAGTCACCTACACGACCAGAGCAGTCCCCACAGAAAGACAAGGCTATTCCTGCCTCCGTGCAATCACCGCCAAAGCCACCTGTCCCGACTGCCGATGGTGAGGTTGCACAATATGGTATGATGAAGGTCCACCAGCCTCACCCGGTGAAGAAGTCGCCCCTGACGGAGCATGCTCAAATCTCTGGATCTTCACCGTCATCATTGGACCAACAACTGGTGCAGCCGTTTGACGCCTTTACCCGTGACAACGAAAAGTCCAAGCTGTCAAGTGAACAATCTCAGACGATCGCTCACCAATCAGACGGCGCTAACCCCTCTGGGCCTAGGCCACAGGCACCTCCAACTTGGTCACAGCCGTCTTCTACAGCACCTCAGCCTAGACCTTGGACTTCGCAAGTTTGGGGTCCGCCAAAAACGCAAGATCGAGCTCTTGGTAACGGCACCTTTGACGCTGATTACCGAGGCCAGTCTCGTCCTGGTGCTCAGCAGCAACTTCCTGCCCAGGCACCTGCTTCGACAGTTCCCATTGGCACAAGCTTAGCCCCTCAGGCCCTAACATCGCAACCGGGAAGGCAGATGCCTCCATCACAACCCATGTACTCCCAGCGACCTTCGCGTGCACAACAGCAGCAACAGACTGCGGCAGCTAGAGCAGCTAGACCCCCCAAGACCATCGCTGGTGGTGGTTGGGATACATTTGGAGACCTTATCAAACAGGATGATGCCGAACTTGCGGCGAAGAACCAGCAGGATCGAGAGCGCCATGGCGACTTCCGCCCGGAGCTTCGAGAGACTTACAAAGATCAGCGGGGTCAAGCACAAGTAACCCTGCATGACAAAGTCGCTGCCGATATGGTTCTTGCTGAGGCTGTTAAAAAGGACGACACTACGAAGCCTTTGGTTGACGGCCCATCGCCTCAGCAAGGCTTGAGTCAAGGTCCTCTCCAACAGGCTACTGGCCCTCGTGCATCTCGCTTTTTCCCTCGCCCGACTGAGATCTCAACAGAGGCGACGCCGTCTGCATCAACTTTTGCGTCAAGTAAAGCTGACTCTCCTCCTCCGCCTCCGGAGACAGAGACACACCCTGCCTTCAGCAGCGAAGCCGGCCACCCGTTGGTGAGGCTTCCAAAGCCTTCGCCTGTTGTACGACTCCCTCCGTCCGCATCAGGTAGCGGACCGACCGCTGCTTCCCCTGTGAACATGCCCTCGCGTGGTCAGGCCCTAGGTGCTAGACCTCTTGCAATGAACCCGGAATGGCAGGCTCGGTTTAACAAACTCCTCGACAAGCCAGGTTCCAACCGTCCATCAACCCTTCCAGGCACATCTCCAACGCTGCCTGTCGCTACTCCACAGCAAGGTGCGGTTGCCCCGGCTGCCTTGTCGAAGGCCTCGCTTGACGTTCGGGGAAGTACCGGTCCTGCGACTGTGTCCTTGCCTAGCGCGTTCCAGACGAAGACTTTCGCAGATGATCGTGGTAAGGACGTAGTCACCCGCAACGGCGCTGAGGCACTATTCGAAGATAGGGAGTTCGGTTCGTTGCCCACAGTCAAATTGTCCAAGGTCCCCCACCTCGCCGCCAATCAACCACCCAAGGCTGCGCCCAGGGATGAGCAGCATCCAAGGCACAAGAAATTCGAGAACCCGTTCACGATTCGCCGACTCGAGGCTTTTGACATTGAGAAGACTGCACAAAACAAGACGAAGTTCGATGTCGTTGTGCGCCTTGCCAACATGCACGAGCCGGTGACCAAGTCGGTACAAAGGAAACACTATGGTCCTAAACTTACCCGACAGCCTAAGCCTAAAACAACTGGCCCCCCAAGCACCACTTCTACCAACGCTCCAAAGGATCGCCCACGCAAACCCTCGCATCAGAGTCAGACAGATCGTTCTTACAGCAACAACAACACTTCCCGCCCGTCTGCACCCAAGAATTGGTCCACAAGCAATAACAACAACGCTTCTCGCTCGTCTCCAGCCCACACAGCTACGACCTGGGCTAAGGTTGCGACAGCCTAAATGTATTTGATAGTCAGTTCGGCTAGCTCCACCCTACTACTACATGGTTTGTACCTTACGCGATGTTGAACGATCGGCGTTAAGAGCAGCTTAAGCTGTGGAATCTGCTCCACGACGATCAAGAGTTGGTGTTAGAGCAATGTTTGTCATACATGTACATGACTTTTTGATAGCTCTTCGAGTGCTTCACTTAGTCACTACATATACTGTTCTCATCACAGCACACCATTTCACTCCTCTTTCCCCTCAACAGCAGTATATATCGCGGCATCTTGTACCACAACGGTTTGAGTGGATCACAGGGTCGCTTTTTTGGGAGGCAGTGTACTCCCGACCTCTTCTTTCACTGGGCTCCAAGTCCTTTCTTCTTGTTTTGGGTGCGACATCACTTTTGGGTCTGCATGTTTTTTTCCTTAGACCTTCGTTCATCTCCTCTTGCCATGATCAGCGTCAGGACGCGGATATGGGTATTGACAGCTACGAAGGGACATGACCTCGTGAATGCGGAACTGGAACGGTGATAGAGGGTTCGCGTACTGCTAATAATACTTTGAAAACTTCATATTGTTTTCTCATGCTGTTTTCATGACAATGATCTGTGCTCCTATTGTTCCGGGACATGTAGCTAAGAATCCAGTTGTCTTACAGGGAAGTTGATCGCCTCCAAGTTGGTTCCTTTAACCTTGTTGCCATTTGCCGCCGTGATTAGCCCGTCCAACCAATCCTGATGTCCCAAGAGCATCTTGTTCGGCTTCTGTTCCTCCCACTCCTTGAACACCTGCCCGATCTGACTCTCCTGCGTCAAAATCCTCACCCTCTGACCCTCCAAATCCTCCACAACCCACGCGTGATAAATCTCTAACCCATCCGGCGTCTTGGAACTCCATGCCAACCTTCCAGCGCGCCCGTTACTCTCCGGCGGCTCCGATTCCTCAACCGTGCAGGTCAGCGGTGGGAAGCCAAAAGTGCTGAACTTGAAAACGTCGCCTTTGTGGAGGAAGGTGCTGTCTGATGACGGGGGCGTGATTTGAGCGCAGTTCTTGTAGTAAGATTCCCATTTTGAGATGTTGGCTAGCAAGGCCCAGATTTGCGTGCTGGTCAGGTCTTTAGCGATGCGTTCATTTGAGACGAAGTTGTCTGTTGTGCCGGGGAGGAAGTGCTGCGGCCAGTTGATTGCGGATTGGGCTGCCATGTTGATGAATGAAATTACGACTGTGGATGGGGTGATTGTTTGGAGTATATGCTTTGTCGTTTTTTTTTCTTGCTAGGAATGAGAGTAAGACGAAAGCCGCTGGTATTTGGCTGTTCAAGTATTAATGAATATCGTTGACGCTAAGATGTGGTGCTTACACACCATCACGCCTGGGAAAGACTACATCCGGGTGGATCTACAAGATACAATATCTCGCACCATTTCAGCGTAACGCAGAGTATGATTTGTAATCCTGTGCACCTTGCTCAAATGCTCGGGAAAGCGATGATAGCTGAATGTCTCTTGTGGCGATCGGCCTATCGACGTCATCATGAAAGCTCGATTCTGATGCAAGTAACCACACTTTTGGTGGACTAACTAGGCAGTATAGAAGTAAGGAACGTCAGATCCTGACACAACCAGAAGACCCGAAATATTTCCGAAACAAAAATGAACGCCAGTGTATGCTCTTTCGAGTAAATTATCTCCCCGTCCGAAGCTTAGTGGTAGCTCAGAGAACCTTGCTGACCAGAATCGTGTTGTTGACATGAAACTCTGTAACAGCCACAAGAAGCTCGTCTTGTGGACCGCTCATCTTCAATCCGTTGGCTTTCATTGCTTTTACGCATCTCTCATCGTAGTCGCAATCGTTGTTGGTGGACGGGCTAGCGTGCTCCCCTAAGGGACAAAGAACGACACCAGCCTTCATGACGACCTATTTTTCGACAAAATCACCATTTAGTCGTCGATAATTTCCTGCCCTTTGTGTGCGCAAAACTGTCATTACTGCCTTGAGGTACTTATTTTGTCTGATCCAATCCCACAGTCCCCCCGATATGAAGTAATTCGCTTTCGCTTCTACCCGGCAGTAGAGCGAACATCTTCAAGACCAACGCATGAAGTTGGGTATGTGCTCGAAGATATCCGTGTTCGCGTCGATGTAGTAGGACCCGTCAGCCTGGAGGTCTGCGGAATCTTCTCAGCGTTTCAGTAAACTCTCGAAGTAAGGCGAGACTGAGAGAACTGGTTTTGACGTGTGGAATTTGCGTCCGGATACGTCGAGGGTGATGTGATTGTGTGTCATGACGCGAAGAGGTGAATGTAGCTTGTGTATTGAGAGAGCATGTGATGGGGGCGATGTCAGCTTTGTGCTACAAGAAGTGTATAATACCCTGCCTTCACGGTGAGGCCTCGCGTAACATCTTCTTTTGGATGGCAAGCGCATGAGCGGAGCCAAAAGTCACATTTGGTATCTTTTGGACATTTGCGACTCACAGCCAAATAAGATTGGCTACTTTTGGAAGACGGCATGCTTCATCATAGCATCTAAAGGATACAAGGCACGATTCACATTGCAAAAAAGCAATTTGGTACGAACATCCGTTATGGGCTGTACGCGACCCTCCTGTACCAAAATCGGCTTTACCTCTTGATTCATATACAGACACTAGATACGGCTCATATCAGGTTGCCCCCTAGCGCTCGTCCACAGCCATTCGTCGTCTTCTTTCGATATGTTCCTATCAAAACAGATGTATGCGGTTCCCAGAGATATCTTGCAAATACTGTGCGTAGTCATTGCTTACAGCTTGATGCGGCGGAGGGTATTGGCAATAATGTGCTGCGTTCATACACTGTGATGGCTGTGTTGACATTTCCTCCACTGGTAGCACAAACTGTGTTTCCAAGAACCGCATATTGTGGTTCGGTGAGTGAGATTGGGGCTGAACATGGATCCACCATACTGGCTCTGCTGGTAGCAAATAGTTCATCTCGTAGCTTGGATCCCAGTGAGCGAGCCGTTCACAGTCGCAAGCAAGGTAGCTCATATCGTCGTTGGTCGCGTAAGGAAGACCGAGGCCGGGACGCTGATGCAGGAACTGGCCGAAAGATTGACTCATTTGAGGGTCTGCGGGAACCGCGAAGGATCCTTCGTATGGGCCATAATATTGAGTGTTCGAGGTAGGATAATTGACCACATGGGCTGGGAAGGTCTGCTGCGATAGGGATGGCGCCATGCTGGACTGGAGTTGAATTGTATTTACCGATCGCTTTCCGTTGATAGGAGAGAATCCTTCTGAGGAAGTAACACACTTCTCTGACGCCGAAGCTGCTTTTCTGCGCGCAACTCCGACGTCCTGATCGATGTCATTTCCATCATTGCCTGGTCTTGAAGCTTTCGATGTGCTCATAAGAGCTGTGAAATCGACTAGAAAGTCAAGGGCGTTCATCGTGCCGAATAAACGAGAAGAAGTTTGCGGGTGATTAGGGGAGACGAAATGTGAGTTCTCGATGAGACCTCTCCAGTGCACCCTGATCGTGACTGTCTACTTGAATATCTCAGAATCAATGTCACACGAACGGTACGCGCACCAAGCGGGTGTAGCAGAACGTCGCCTCGTTGCACCCGTGGAGATACAGCCTACCAAAAGTGAGCTCATCATCTAAATAGCTCTGGTGGTGCGATGTAATGGACCGAAAATGGTCTGATGCAGGAGGAGATATGATTTCCGAACGAATGTACGTAAGCTGTCTTCTTTCTTTGAGTGCATTGGCCTCTAATTTCGTCGACACGCTTGAGACAAGAATGCTACCAGTTTACAACAGCTTCATGGATCTACAGTTGAAACTATAGCATAGCCATGGTTACGATCAGAAAGGCGAGGTCCCCCTTTACCTAGCGCTCATTGTGGGAGGCTGGAGGTATTTTATTAGTGAGAAAACCGTACTTCTTCACAGAGACAACAGATCGCGTCGCATGCAGCAAAAGGCATATGGCTTCGTGTGGCGAGATGATCTAGCCTATGCCTCAGGAGCTGAGTCCGAGGTGCGACGCGATCCGACCCGGACAGTTGCATGCATTGGAACCGATAAGCGGCTGGAAAGTTGCCCGGCTGGGATTCGTCAACCTGCCGTCCATGAGTTGTGTGCTGGGAATATGGCGTCGAGCATTGGCGTTCAGTCAGTATGTAGACACAAGGCAGAGAGTTGTTTGTTGGAGGGTTGGGCCACCGTCCCGTGTGCGTTGTCGACGTTCCATGAGCTGGCCGGCTAGCGCGGGGATTTGTTGACGATCAACCTTGAAACCCACTCATTCATCCACATCAAGCAATGCGCGCAGCGCGACGCGTTCAATGTGTCGCTTCGAGCTCTTGAGCTTGCTTATTGTATTTTTCGAGCGACTGGCGGCACGGAAGAAGCAGTTCCGCGCACCCAGTGATCTGTCAGCGCCACGACCATGCTCCACGAAATCCTCCTCTCGCTCTCCGGGCACCCGTCTGCGCTCTTCGATGCCCCGGACCACGTGACAGCAACTGCGCATCGCCTACTGTCTCCGCCCGAGACAGAGCTGCTATCTTCTATCGGGCATCTGTCACGTCTGCATCGAAGTACACGCGATCATGTCGCCAGAATTGCTGTGTCTCATCCTTCGGTCATATGCAGGGCAGTCGCTACTTCAATTACTTCATACCACCTCGAACGGTTCCAATGCAAGGTGCTGGAAGTCGAGAGCCGTATCCTCAAACAAGATGCATCTATCGTGGGCGCGTACAATATCGTACCGTTAGCTGGGGTTGTGAGTGAATTCTCCGAATGGACAAGAGTCATGGAATGGCTACGGGACATCAGTAACTACATGTTGCCTTCGGACGTTCCTGCAAAGTTCGAAAAAATCATCGGACAGGCTGCATCTGGAGCTGCAGTCATTGATAAGCTGCGGAGCGAGGCTCAAACAGGATATCCGGACATTGAGGAGGCCGCTCGAGGCTTGAGCAAGGTTGCAGAGACATCGTGGCTGCGGCAGCTGTCGACTTGGTTGCTATACGGCCGGCTTCCGTCGTTTGGCCGCTCCGACTTCTTCATCCAGCAGGATGACGAGGACGCAGACGAGCAGACCTTTGTTCTACAGAACAAGTTGCTACCCAAGTTTGTGACAAGACAAACAGCCCTTTCCATCCTCTTCGTTGGGAAATCACTCAACCAAATCCGCTCGTTACCGTCAGCTGTGAAGGTATTAGATGCATCGAACTCGGTCTCAGAGCTTGATCTGCTGCCCAAGCATGTTCAACAACTCTCTCAAGTGAGCGCACCAATATCAACAGCCATGCTTTCCGAGGCAATCGCAAATATTCGCCTTTCGCTATCTCGCAACCTTCTGCAACATCTGTTACCGCGCGAGAGGATTGTCGAGACGTTGACAGTTTTACATCAGTTCTTCTTGATCGGAAGAGGAGAGTTCGCCTTGACACTAATTGCGGAAGCAGATGGCAAGATATTGTCTAGGCACAAAGGTTCACAGACCGGCAAGTCTGGCCAATCCGTCAAAAATGCCATGATCAAGGAAACGGAGATCAGTCAGGTCCTCGCACGTTCCTTCTCCGTTCTGTCGACCCTATCTAGCGAAGACGAACACACGGATGATATTCTGGATGTCGCAACTCAGCTCCTACATCTCAGCGTGAATAACACATCTAACAATCGTCCGGGAACACCAGGTCGCGCTAAGGACGCAGATTCGATGCTTCCACAGCTTGCCAACATGTCCTTCGATGACCTACTGCTGTCCGTGCCAACGTCTTTAACGATGGACATACGCTCTCCCCTTGACCTCTTCATAACAAAAGCAGACCTTGACGTCTACTCATCCATCAGTGCTTCTCTGCTTGCTGTTCGGAGAGCCCATCTACATTTGGCTGAGTTATGGCGATACAGCTCCATAAGAAGAGATCATCCTTGTCCGCCTGGGTATCGATACAGCAACTCTGCGCACGGTAAAGCAATGCTCAAGCGGCGACGACAACGCACTACGAAACGCGCGCAAGACATGCGGAAGATTTGGGCGACATGCGCAGCCGCTATCTTTTTCTTTGCCGAGAGCGAAGCTTACTTTCATGGAGCGGTTGTACAGCAATCCTTCGGCCATTTCATCGCATGGGTCACCGGTCCTCAAGTGCCTTCACCAGCGGAAGCACTACCAGCAACCTCCGATCGCTCAAGTGCAACTGGCTTCCGCAAGTCCACGACAGAAGGAGATATACAGCAGCAGCATGATCCAGAAGCGCTCGCCTCAGCACATCGCCGCTTTCTGTCTTCGATCGCATACTCACTTCTACTTACTGACCAGCCCTTCACAAAGGCGTTGCGTACACTATGTACTCACGTAGACGAGTTAGTGGCATATATCACACGTCTCACAAGGATCCAGCAAAATCTAGATCTCGAAGAAGATGAAGGCATAGAAGATTACGCGCAGAACTACAAGAAAGAAGAGCGTGAGGTCAGCCTAGAGATGGATCGTGCAAGGAGGAGGCTAGATAGCGACCTCAAGACACTTGTAGAGCGGTTGCGTGAGATCGATAGTGAGAGGATAGGAGCTTCTGCACCTGGCACAGCAAATGGGGCGTCGAGGGAGGAAGGAGCCTACGAGCCGTTACGAGTAGGAGGTATCGATCGTCTTCTGATGAAGTTGGACTGGAGCGGCGAGGACGAAGAAGAGGAGCATGAGGACTTGATATGATCTTTAATGCACAAAGCCTTCTCCACGTTGCAAGCTTCAAAGACCGACATTTTTGCGGTCTTGCTTCGCCCTTGGTGTTGTGTCTCTAGGTGCATCGTAATAGCGGAAGGTGCGATCCATGTCCCATCGCGATGCAGCAGTACAGAGGGGACCTTCTCGCAATGTCGACAAAAGTGGGCTTCTTCCAGACATCAACCAGCTCACCTCGTACCATTCCATCATCACGTTAACACACCACATCGCTTCATCATCTTATCAGCATTGCTCTTTTACATCAATACTGCGTTGACCCGAAACGCTCGCTCCGCCAACATGAGGGATTCGAACATATGCCCCCATGCTGAGGAATTGCCACGCGCCTTCAAGCCAAGTGCTGCCACTGATAACCACGTCCACGCATCACGTTGGAGCTCTAGAATACGGGCTATCACTGATAGCTACGCCTACCCACTACCTCCTTCGAACATGTCAATCAGAGCGCCACGTAGGCGACGTCACTACGTCTATCCACCAGAAGATTCTGGAGTATACATGCCCTCGGGCCCTAATTCCGATAGTCCCACGTCACATTATTGTCCTCAGGCACCATCCGGTTCTCAGGCATCATCCTCTTGTGGCGTATACATGCCGACAGGCAATACATCTAGTCGTCCTACGTCCGATCCTAGTCCTCAGGCACCATCAAACCCTTTCGAGGATCCCCAATACGAATACGGCGCAACCATGCCTGAAAGGCGGCCAATGCGCGAATGGCAAGATGTTCTAGAAGATCAGCGCTCTGATCCCTCTGCGAGTGCGGTGAACTGGAAGTTTGGGAAGGCATACCGCTGACGCCTACGAAGTCGCGTCCAAGCTATGTTCACAAGCGCTAAGAAAACCATTACGGAACAACAGCAACAAGCTGGATCAACTTTGCTAGAGGAGCCGGATACACATATCGAACGTGGGACTATGCGAGGTCTACAATGTACGGACTGTCAGCGGGAGATGGAGGCCAGGTCGCTTGTGCTGTGATCTTTGAGCTGACTTAGTTTCTAGTGTATTATGGCTGCAAAGCTTGCATTCTTTCGTACTCATCTAGTAATCAATGTTTCTCTCCTGGTATTCGGCAGCTTGTGTTATCTCAGCTCGTGATGGTCTGTTTACATAATCCCTTGGCCTGGAGTACTAATGTTCTAGTTACCAGCATTAAGGCTTGGGAGACTACAATGCTTGTCTGCAGTCATAATGAAGTGCTACATCACGCATACATACAACATTGATTGCTGTGTACGTCTTTCTTTCATATAACGGTTTATGTTGAGAATATATATTGAAAAGAGTAGAAGAGTGTGTGAAACATTTCATGGTTGCGGTAGAAAATGAAAGGTATCACTACTGGCCAAAATGAGAGGAACCACGTACCTCGACTGAGGATCGGAAGTGGAAGCCAAAACAAAAGCAAAAAAAGCAAAAAAGATGATTAGGTCGTGCCCGGGTTCGAACCGGGGTTACCAGAAGATTGATAGAAGTCAAAATCTGGAGTGATAACCACTACCTGTATTGGCGGTTAGACTGACTTCTTGAGAAGATGGTTGGGGAGATTCTTACACTACACAACCATGTTGTACTGTTTGATGTCGATTTGACCAAGCAAAAGCTTTATATTATCAACGATTCAGGTGTCTCCGAGTGTCCAGTATGATGCTTCGAAACCCCTTACGTCAGTTTGTGGCGGCTGGGGTCGCTAAGGTGCAGGAAGCGGGGTTTAGCGTTACATAAACATGAGGCAATAGTTCGGCCGTCGCGTGCCCCTTAGCTTGAACGTCGTCTGCACTCGATTTACTTCATGTGTACTCCTTACTATTACCGACTGCTGGCATGCCGCTAATTCGGGCTCGATGTGGTGTCGCCAGTCAAAGTATTACCGTTCTGTGGCGAGCCCTGAGGGTGTTTCACGTTCGTTGCGACGCGTCCTTGCCTGTCATGCCCACAAACTTGCGCTCCTAGACCGAGGGAACGTCGCAAACAGGCTTTTCGAGCGTTTGTGCAAACATGGAATTACCAAGGGGTGTCCGCGGGCTGTAAATTATCATTTCCGATCATGCAGGCCGCGGATGACGGCAAAACAAGATTCAGCCTCAAACGAGAGCAGGGGCTACCCAAACGGGAAGAATGGGTGGGTATCGCATCCCAAACCGAGCGCCAAGACATACGTCAGATGATGGTAATTCGTCGGGGGCACGGTGCTTGCGACATGGTACCAAGAGTAACAAGCAAGAGCTGCGTACTCCCGGGTTACTTTTGCTTGCGCGACACTCGGTCTCAAACCGACACGTCGACTACACAATGACCGTTCATATCAGCATCCTCTCTGCCAAGGCCACCTTTAATTTCACAGGCAACAAGCCGGCCATCAGCGGTCTAAAGTCTGCGGAGGTTGTCGATATAGAGGATGGTGACGAAAAGTTCCGCGCTCAGTCAACATCAGGTTCCAACAAGACTTTGGTAGATGAACACGGTGATGTTGACACGTTCAAGACGGTCAATTGGCTAGCGGGGGTCGGAGACATATGTAATGACACGTCGAGGGAAGGTATCAAGGGCAATACTATCTTGCAAACATATGACCGCGAGTGCGGCCTTTCCCCGTGGCTATCCTCCAACATAGGGACGAGAGGAACCACAGACCTGGTCAAGCATCGTCGCCCTGATGTCAAGACCAACACTCGACGTAGCGCCCTCCGCCGCCACTGCGATTTCTGGGACGCCGATCAGGATGGAGTGATCTACCCTTGGGACATCTTCATAGGCTTCCGTAAACTCGGCTTCAACATCGCTCTGTGCCTATGGGCAGCGGTCACCATGGCTGTATGTTCATCCTATAGCACCCAGTCATCTTTCCTCCCGCATCCTTTCTTCGCCATCTATCTCGACAACGTCAATCGCAATCGACACGGAAGCACCACTGGCGCGTACGACTTGGATGCTGAACTGGACACACGACGATTTGATGCGATCTTCGAAAAGTACGCCGGTGGCAAGGACTACCTAACATGGCGGACTATGTATGATGTTTGGGCAGGTCAATGTTGCGCAAACGATTTCTTTGGGTGGTTTGCGGGGGGCCTAGAATGTAAGTATTAGCTCGTCACCCCAAACTGAGTATGCAGTCATTGACACCTGACAGGGATAGCGATGTATATCCTACTTTGGCCAAAGGACGGTCGAATGTATAAAGATGATATCCGAGGGGTATACGATGGTACTATCTTCTGGAGAATTGCTGAAGCCCGCGCGCGAAAGTCGCGAACATGAGGACCGGCGTAGTGAGCAAGTCATCATTGGGCCAATAGAAGCACACTTACTACCAATCGTAGATCGTATTACGCTCGCAACTGGATATGTCAGAATTACCACTATGGCGTGACGTACGGTGTATTTAATATTGGGAAATCCATGATTGGCCTCATCACGGCCATACACAGCCCACAGAATTTCATTCTACCGAGCACTGTATAAAGTAACCACAGCAGACTTCTGTTCAAATAGAGATCTAAACAACTTCGGATGCGACGAATGTAGACCGTCAGACGACACGCACGTTGCCACAACCCAAATATTTTACATCTGACCTGTTCGATTATCATCTTCGAGCAATTAAATACACGAGACAGCGAGGAGCTCGCGTTATCGAATAGAAACTTCATACCCCTGAGCTCAGACCAAAAATTCCTCTTGAGATTACGCATACTATCACAGATCAAATGTATGCATCAATAGACAAACAGCAGAAGAAGCAAGAATAAAGATGGGCACATCCTAGTGTAATGGATAGGGTAGATGCAGGACACAAGTCAGTTATCGGGCACGCAACTCCCAGTCACAAGGATGCACCGACATCAGAGTCACTCGTCACAACCCCCATGCTCAGAAGAACGACTTCCTGGACACAAACACGTACATTGCAACCCAAAACCGCTCATCAAGAACCTCGCGCGCGTCGAACCACGGATAGATCAACCAAGAGCACATGGTACGAAATACTACCAAGACATTAATTACCTCCAACAGAGGATTCGCTTCTAGTGAATGCAGCTACCACGGCGGCGAATAAAGCCCAGGTTCTAGCGCTCAGTGTTGACGAGGCGAGGCAGTTGAATCGTCGTGAGCGGAGCGTTGAATGGAAGAAGGGGAATGTCTTCTTCAGGGTTTTTGAGAGATTGGGTGGGAAGAAAGGGTAGTCTGCGTACCTCTGAGGATGGAGGCAGAGTGATGTGCGATACAGTACCGTGCCCTCGTTGTCATATTTACTAGTCCAGAGATGGTGGAGAAAGAAGTATCATGAATCTTGGGAAGAGGTCATACGATGTTTGTTCATTAACTTCATGTCGCATTTCAACTCTAGCTCTTGCTATTTTCTACGTTTCTTAATCTGGACGTTTAGACCTCGTGTCCACAAGTCGCCAGATGCATTTCTCCTTCCTCAGGTAGCGTCCATCTTGGCTCAACACCGATGATACCGCGCTCAGTGATCATGCTAGCGTTGACCGGGCTCTTGGGGATGATCTCCTCACCCCTGGTAGCCAAAATCGAGAGTACGTGCGCGGCAGCCTTGGCGTTGATGAATAGTGTCTCTGGGTTAGGGTTGTCAATGGTGTCGCAAGCTTGGTGGTAGCAGGGATCCTGCGCGACACCCGTTCCGGTGTGGAGACCGCCAACAGGTTTGCCGATGTTCATGAAGGACTGGTAGTCACTTCCACCGGTAAAGCGCGCTGCTGTGACGTTTACACCTTCCTTCTCGAAGTGCTCAACGAAAAGCTTCTCAATAGCTGCTGATCCTGGGGCACCAGTGAGGTTGAAAGTGCTGCCGTCGCCGTCGAAGACACCAAAGTAACCGCGGGAGACCATGTCGAAGTTGAGGTATGTGAGGATGTTGTTTGCTTCTGTAGCGTTCAGGTTCTGTGTGTAGTACTTGGATCCAAGCAGACCGTTCTCCTCAGCTCCCCACCATGCGAAGCGGACCTTGTTCTTGACACCGAATCTCCTCAGCGCCTTGGCAATCTCGAGGATTAGCGTGCTGCCTGAACCGTCGTCATTGATACCAGCGCCAGCTTGGACACTGTCAAGATGTGCGCCGAGCATGATGACGTTAGTTGGGTCGCCATCTTTGGTCTCGGTGAAAACGTTCTGTGTGATGCGTGTCTCCACAGTTTGGGTTTGTTGAAAGTACGCTTCGATGGTTTCGCCGGCCTTGAGGCGCGCGACAAGGGGTTCAGCATCGGCGAGGTTGATGTAGCCGGTTGAAACGTATTCGGGGTTGGGGTTGGACAATGTACCGCCAGTAACATTTGCCGTGTCGCTCGCGTAGATGATTACAGCAGAGGCACCGGCGGCAGCGGCAGGCTTCATGCGTCCAGCGAGGGTTGTGCCATCGGGGCATGCTCCTCTCTGTACCAAAACGATCTTGCCTTCAACATCCAAGTTATTGTAGGCTTCGTTTGTGCAACCTTCAGGTCCAGAAGGACCCAACACAAGCGGCAGCGTCAACCCTTCCGGAGTGGTGGATGGCGAGTACGAAAGTCCAATAACGCGGTAAGAACTGTTGCTCACGCTGAACTCGATAGATTCGATCCTATTAAAAAGAGCAGGGAAGTCCTGAGTCCACGTCTTGAAATGTGTGTTCTGGGTTTTGGCGAGCATGTAATCAACAGATGCAGCATAGCCTGGAAGACCGAAAGCACGGTTGCCTCCATTCGCTTTAGCGATTGAGTCGAAGGCCTTGAGGTTGCCCATCAACCTGGAAAAGTCAGTATCCTGTCCGACTTCTCAGTTAGACGTTCATACTTCTCAGTTTTGATCTCAGCCTGGATGGGTCCAGATGACACCATAGGTCGGGGTCGCACAGCAGCGAATGCTTGCGCAGCGCCCGCGAGAACGATAGCACTTGAAACCTTCATTTTGATGTTTCAATTGACCAGCTCCTCCAGTATCAAGTGTGACGAATGTGCAAGTAACGTCCTGAGGTGGCGGCCGAGTTCATATACACATGTTCCCCGCCACTTGCTGTTCCGGCTTCCTGGGCAAATGCAGCTCATTTGTGCGCGCGACACCGTTCCTGGCCCACTCTTATCATAACCTTGCAGGTACTGTGTCCGGAAAAGAAGGTCACAAGAGAGTAGATCGTTCTTTGCCAAGTTGCCAAGGGGCGGACATTGATACCTTCCCTAAGGGCGATAGACTGGCTTGGCGTGAAGGTTACCATCGCTACGGATGTGATGTCTTCTACCCGAAAATGACGAGAGATGTCGAAATATTCAACATCTCTCTGAAGGACCGATCGAAAGCGACGTAAACTTTACCAACGAGTATGGTCTGCTCCATCGCTTTTGCCTAGCGGTGGCATTCGAGTCCATTTAAGTGTCAAGCCGGGAAGGAATTGAATACGAGTTTGGAATCTAAGATATTAGAAAATGATGCAGGTGTAGTACTTCCGGTTGACCTCATGCGATTGTACTAGGCCTTGCTCTTGCGACGAATCTGCGGAATCCTGACCACGAGTGTAGCGAAGCCAATATATATAGCTCGCGAAGGGAGCGAGTACCTGAATGTCAGAGTCCGGCTCTGGGCGCGTTTGGGTCTTCCTGAATAAAGTGTGTAAGAGGAAGCATTCTTGGTACAAGATACGCATCGAAGAAGAATGTGTAAGCATTAAAAGTTATGAGGCGAAACTGTATATCAACGGGAAGAAGAATCCAGCTGTTACCTTTCGCCATGCAATAATGGCGCCCGCTCGCTATCTCCAGCAGTATCACGCCCATTAGCATCATCTAGTCGCTGCCCTTTCTGAGCCTTCCTGTCTCTCAGGACGAAGGACAAGCCCATGACTAGCAGGAAGCCTTGAAGGATACCTGTGAAGATGAACAAGCCCCAAGCGCTCCAGCCCCCCGGTCCTAGCCTCGCATAGAGACTGGCTGCAAAGACGAAACTGCCTGGTGTCTGTATGCACATCATAGGAATAGACAGGCTGCCCGTTTCCTGCAGTCTCCAGGTCATGAAGATCTGGGGGATGTATTGTATGGCGGCGAGAACTGTGGCAAGCAAGCCGAGGAAGTTTGCCCATCCGCGAACGTGTGAGGGAAGCGCGTACACGAAGACGACGGAACCGATGAACGCGATGACGAAGAAGGCGAGCGAGACAGCCAGGACGAGCACTGCTTCTTTCCATGTAGGCATATCCGTATCTTGTTCTTCTTCTACGTCTGGCGAGGTGCTTCGGGGAAAGAAAATGAGAAAGAGCAGCATACTGCTGATTGTTAGTATCTATAGTGCGCTCAACGGTTGGTCTAGGCCTACATGAAGAAGAAACAACTCCACTGTACACCAATTTGCACTATCCCAAGCATAGCTGCAGCACATGGGAAGCTGCCAATATCCTTACAGCATCCCATGTCTCTCGTGCTTTCCGGTAGGGTCAAGATGTTTGCGATGCTAGCAGTTCCGGACACAGTCCCCAGCAGGACGAACATGGGACTGAGACCACGCGATGAGCGGCGCGCTATGATCTTATAATGTTGCGGGAGGTAGGATACTAGGATTCCAACGACTATGAAGCTATGGGATGAGGCGATTAGTTGTGTTGACCATGCGGCGCACCAGGCAAGCTTACACGGAGACGCCAAAGTTGACCAGGTCGGGATACGCAAGTTCGGTACATCTTGGGTCGTCTGGATACATCATGGCTGAATAGATTATTATTGTGAATGATGAGCTGTTGTTGCCGCATCTGCTATGACTGAAATGCAAAGGTGACGGTCGTCGCCGCCTGGGGAAAGCATGTGACGTAGGAAGGAGCTCGCACGCGTCGAGTGAACGCGGAGGCGGCTAGCCCCGAGCGCTCCTGCCTCGGCTGCGCGTACCTTCCGCCTCAACTATCGCGATGCCGACTGATGCTACAACAACCATCAGCTCCATGATCCCCCAATCTTCTAGTCCTTCCCACAAGTCGATATGGAGTTCCTTCCAGCACTCCAGCATGGCATAGACGACCTCAAGCCCTCACTCTTCGAACTCCTCTCAGAACAACAACTCGCATCGCTCCTGCCCCCATCGTTGCGCTACCTCCTCGCCATCACAACACCCCGATATCCTCGGTACCTACTACCCATACTCAATTCCTTCGATGAGGTTTACGCGCTGCTTATGCTGCTCGTGGAGCGCCACTTCCTACGCACATATGGCGGATCATTCACCGAGAACTTCTACGGCCTGAAGCGCGCCCGGGTGCTGAAAGTGCGAGGGGGCGAGATACCGCGCGCACAACTAGGCGCATCGGATAGTGTACGAGAGGCTGTCAAGCTGGGCAATGGCGATATATGGAAAAACCTCGCTGTGCTGGTGGGCCTGCCGTGGTTGAAGAGGAAGTTCGATGAGGGCTACGATGTCCACGCTGCGCATGCGAATCTCCTAGGTCCTGGGTACAACCGGGATAGAGAAGGATTACGGGCCGGAGCGAGCGTGAAGGAGAGGCTGATGCACTACTACAAGTGGTTTCTACGGAACATTTACCCGAGTGTGAACGCAGCCTACTACTTCTCCTTGCTGGCATTCAACATGGCGTACCTCTTCGATGGGACCAAGTACCACTCGCCATTCATGTGGGTGATCGGTTCACGCATACGGAGATTGGGCGAGGCGGATCACAGGGCAATCGAGATTGCAACCGCACCAAGGAAGGTTGGGCCTGCGCGGCCTGGAGAGGGCGGATCTATCTTCTCACCAAGAAACATTGCAAGGAGCATAGAGCCGCGGTTGTTGAGCTCGCTAAAGATACTTCTCCCGACCAGTATCTTTGCGCTCAAGTTCCTAGAATGGTGGCATGCTTCAGACTTCGCTCGGCAGCTATCGAGGAAAGCCGCCGAGAACATCGACCTCCCACCGCCGATATTACCCTCCCTACCGCCATCTGCAAAGCAGCAACTGTCGAAACAGGCAGATTCCTCCGAGAAGGCACGTCCGACATCGTCCTTGTCAGACAAACCTCAACGCATCGACCCTCCGATATCTTCAACCACCCTCCTCCCTATTCTTACTGTATCCACGCCACCCTCATCAGCGTTATGCCCAATCTGTGTAACACCTATTATAACACCCACAGCCTCGCCCACAGGATTCGTCTACTGCTACACTTGCATACACCGGTGGGTTGGAGGCGAGCATGACCGCCAGGTTGCCTTCATGGAGGGTGCCGCAGGATTCCGAACGGGAGACGATGGAGAAGCAGAAGATGAGGGCTGGGGTAGGGAAGAAGGAAGCCGTGAAGGAAGATGGGAGAGTGGTAAAGGACGGGACGCTGTCACTGGAAGGAGGATTCTTGGAGGTACCGAAGGTTTGAGGAGAGTGGTTGTCTAAATTTCTTTCTGCAGCATGACCATACCCTTCTAGCGAACGATTTACAACACCCACATTAGAATTGAGAAACCACATGCTCAACTATCAGATCTTGCACCGATTGCATTAACCCATACGACAGATGATCACTCGCAAGTTGGCAATCGCAGTCTGGATCGGCTGCGCACACAATGTCGTTCTTCAAGCGGTAATCAGTTAGAGCAGCACAAATTACATGTTGCAGAGCACTCACCTCCAAACAGATATCCTGGACCTTCCCACTACGGTCGAAGATGTCGCTGTACGTAGGAATACTGCCATTCGACTGCAGCGACTGCGTAGCAAACAGGCCATACGCCGTACGATTATCAACGCGACCTTGGCTGTCTACGTTGGAAAGTCGTCCAGGTATGCGGTATGGATTGCCAACAAGAACGACGCTCTTTACCGCCACCACTGACGCATTTCCGAGTTCGTTCAAAGCCTCTTGAACGACAGTTGCGCCCTGTGAGTATCCAAATAGGAAATATCCCTGATCCGGGCAGTCTTTCAGGCCGTACTTTATGATGTCGACGACGTTTTGTACACCAGCAGTGACATTTTGGTCGAAACCAGCAGGATATACGACAGACTGGCTCACGGCATCGAGATTCTTCGCTAATACGTTTTGTATTGCGACCTGAAACATAAGGGATACGCCCTGTGGTTCCCCGGAGCCCCTGGCATCGATCAGTTCTGGTGTTCTATGTTAGCTTTTTCCTTACGACGAAGCGACACAGCCAGAAGATACTTACTATAAGGTGCACATGGTTTTATCTGTTCCGTAGCAGAGAGATTGACGCGGGGAATCGCAAGATAGGCTGCGTCACCACAGCGGCATCCGGATTGAGCAGTAATCAATGCTACAAGTGCGGAGAGTACATGTAGAAACAGAAGTTTTGAGGATCCCATTGTGCAGGCAGCCGAGGACAGATTTGGAGAGAGGTGTGGAAATAGGATCAAGCATTTACTGACATTTGGGTTCCTTATAAGCATCGACCATAGTTGAACTACATGGAAGTTGAGTAAGAAAATATAGGTAAACGGTCTCTACCTTGGTTCCGTGAAGAAGCCGTCTATACGGCGGCGCTCGTAGCTCGTACGGCTTTACGGGTTAGAGTCTACGCCTAATTGAGTTTGGGGCCGGCATTAAAGAATAATGGTCATCCGTGCTTCGTTGTGTCTGGGTCTACGAAAGACTCTAGATGTTATATTGGAGATTGAGCTTTAGATGTCAAGGTGCTCACTGACGTGATCGGAGTTGTACTTTAGGGCTGTACAACCCGATCCCAACCTCCTACGCTTGTGCATGCGCGCTAGGTGACAAGGTTAGCCTCAGCCGATGATATCCTGCTAACACCAATTGGCCCTGATTCTGCAGTAACCACCAAAGGGTGTAATTGTGCAGGTCGGAGTCACGACGTGCGCCTTTTACTGCGCTTGTCATGTGTCAATTTATCTCGGCAAGGCGAAAGGGCGGAAGCTAATGTGCAAGTCGCTATTTTCGCTTGTAGCTGCCGCATTAGACCATGACGAATTCTGTCAGCCAATGCGATAGCCACATATGAGCCATCATATCAGTCATTCCCCACTCTTTACTTTTTGGTATTCTTGTCTTCTACAATTCCTCCTCTTCTTTCTTCCCCCAGTATTTATATACTAGTGGGTTGCGCATCAACCTTGCACCCTAATTTGACAGCCGTCAGCCATGGCCCCACCAACGATACCAGCAGAACACTCAGTCAATGACTTTGCGAATGATGTCGCGTCACAGATGGAAGGCTTCACTCAGTCCCAAGATATAGCACAGGAAGCAATTGCACGGGATCGGGAAGAGGACAACTCGGTATCTGAGAACGACGACGATTCTTCCTCGGGTTCCGACACAGTCCGGCAATATTCCATGATAAACTCTTATCGCCGGCCTTCCTACGTCAACCCAGGATCACGCGGCACTGCGATAATATCTTCAAGCGTACCTGAAAGAAGCCACCTGCCGACGTCATGGAAAAAACATAGTCATCTGTCTAAGAAAGAGAGGGAGACTGTGCGAGACGAGGAGCGGAGCCTACTCCGCGACAACAACTTAATTCCACCCAAGCATCTAAGAGCTGGAAGTGAAGGACCCTTTGATAGAGTACGATCTAGGATGTCTATTTCGGGACTGCGAAAGGTCAGAAGCACGCCTGACGAGGAGAGCGCAGTGGAGTCATCCTCCGAACGTACAGCTCTATTGGGAGCCCCTGAAGACGATCCAGACCAACCATATGGGGGCTTAGACTCACCGAAGACAATCAACAAGAAATGGAATGAGGCAGTTGCAGCGGGAAAGATCAACACAAGCTGGCAGCGAGAAGCAAAGGTCCTGACGAAGAGCTCCGCACCGCTCATTTTGACATTTTTACTGCAATACAGCTTGCCAGTAGCGAGTATTTTCACCGTTGGACACATCGGTAAAACCGAACTAGGAGCCGTGAGTCTGGCGAGTATGACTGCGTCGATAACGGGTTATGCAGTATACCAGGGCCTGGCTACTTCACTCGACACGCTTTGCGCGCAAGCATATGGCTCCGGACGTCCGCATCTTGTTGGTCTGCAACTACAACGCATGTTGTACTTTCTCCTTCTAATAACCATCCCGATATCACTCATATGGGCTTTCGGCACACAGATTCTCTCGCTCATCGTTCCGGAGAAGGAGACCGCACGCTTGGCTGGACTCTACTTGAAGGTCCTCATTGCTGGCGCACCTGGCTATGCGGCGTTTGAAAGCGGAAAACGCTATGTACAGGCGCAAGGTATTTTCAGCGCGACCATGTACATTCTACTCATATGTGCTCCACTCAACGCTTTCCTGAATTGGTTCATGGTCTGGCATCTTGGCTGGGGCTTCATCGGAGCACCCATCGCAGTTTCGATCACGGAAAATGTCCTTCCTCTATTGCTATTCCTCTACGTAAGGTTCATCGACGGATACCAATGCTGGGGTGGTTTCGATAGAAGAGCTCTCAGAAACTGGATGCCCATGGTGAAGCTTGCGCTTCCCGGCCTGATCATGGTGCTTGCCGAGTTTCTAGCTTTCGAGATCCTGACACTGAGCTCATCCTGGCTTGGTCCAACCGAACTTGCAGCGCAATCTGTGCTTGGCTCGATCACCGGCATTACCTTCCAAATCCCGTTCCCGATGAGCGTAGCAGCATCCACTCGCATCGCCAACCTTATCGGTGCTACACTGGCGGTTCCAGCGAAAACAGCAGCCAAAGTCGCCGTCTTCGCCTCAGTCCTTGTCGGTATCTTTAACCTACTGCTGCTTTCGCTGCTTCGTGAAGCCATCCCTCGTCTTTTCACACCCGACGAGGAGGTCATAGACATGGTGGCAAAGCTCCTCCCACTATGCGCAACATTTCAGGTCTTTGATGCGCTGGCCGCCAACTGTAACGGCATCTTGCGTGGCTTAGGTAGACAGGAAATTGGCGGCTATGTTGGACTGTTTGCCTACTATATTGTTGGTATCCCAATCAGCTTCGGTACTGGGTTCGGATCGCCGCATTGGGGCTTGTACGGGCTCTGGAGCGTAAGTTTTGCCAGTGTAATCTGTACGATGAACAAGAATACTAATGACCCACAGGGACCGGCAATTGCACTTGGAATCGTTGCTGCAATTGAAGGTGTCTTCATCTGGCGGACCAGCTGGGACAAGGCAGTGGAAGATGCGAAGGTGCGGAATGCCGCAAACTAGGGCTGGATGATACCCACGATACTTGCATTGCTGCATACTACTTGTTTGAAGATGTTGACTAATACTAGACAAATGAATGATAAACGGTAATACAAATAGTACAAATGAGCGGTCAGGCTATGTCTGCTGGCTGCATCTGCGTTTAGTTCGGTAACGACTGCTTCCTCCGTGTTGCCTTAAGCTGTACCTGTAGAAGACCTCGTTTCATCCTTTTTTTTTCTCATTCAGTCAAGAAGCTTTTGAGCCCAGGCCGCACTCTCATACCAAGCGCGAATCTTTTTGCCGAACACATAGAGTGGAATTGCAGCCGCCGTAACAATAGCAGCTGCCGATGCCAGTGTTCCAAAAACTGCCATGGGTCCAGCGACGTCAAGCCAGCCAATCATAGGAGTGAGACCCACCGTCACAGCACCTGCTGAGATCATGTTGATGGAAGAAAAGGCCTGCGCAGAGTGCTCAGGATGACAGTCGATGACGTACGCAATGGCAATCTGCACTCCAGCGACACTGCCCATATTGGTGACTGTCATCCACACAAGAATCCAGACTAGAGGCAAACTGTTCTGAAACGATGCGCCCAAACCCATTAGACCAACCATAGTGATTAGCGTCGAGACTAAGAGAAGTACAAGACGGAATTCGGGTTCGACCATGCCTTTGCTTGTACCGTTGTGGCGCGCCATCAAATTGACCGAAGCGTCAGACATCCAGCCGAAGAATGGCCCAGACAGTAGGCCGGCTACGAAGAGAGGTAGGTTTGTCAGCCCGATCTGGCTGGGCGTCAGATCGTACGGAGGGGAGGATAAGAGGATTGACATGAAGGTGGATATGCCAGCAAGGAACAAGAAGACTGTGGTGTTCAAGAAGCAGCTGTAGAAGACGATGGGAGAAGTGATGAGGCCCAACGGCTTGATGATTCCTTTGAGGAACGACTTTTCTGAAAGTCTACCACGGGACAAAGCGAGCTTCTCATTGTATGTTTGCCTTGGAGGCCGCACGGAAGACTTGAGATCCTCCTCGTCCCATTCGACGCTTAGTTTATCAGGCTGCACATGGATCGTTGTGACATCGTCCATCTTGCGTGTAAAGTAGGCCGACTCAAAGATTGTGAAGTAGAACACAGGAACCAGAGCAGTGTAGATGAGGGCGGTGATGAGGAAGTTTGCCGACACACCGAACGCATCAGTGACGAAGCCGGCAATGATTTGACTGAGAAGGATATTATGTTAGTAGCTGGTATGATCGCAGGACGTTGTGACTTACCCAAGTTGCGCCCCAGAATTCAGCATGAGGTTCCACACAGCGATCGATCGGCCTCGCTGGTGAACGAAGAATATGTCGCTGATAGTTGCAGTAAGAAGTGTAAACAGGGGTGCCGAAAAAAGGCCACCAGCCGTTCGAGCAACGGCCAGCATGGGGAATGTTGACGACAGATGAGCAGCAAAGTTGATTAGAGCAAGCAGAACCACACTCCATACGTAGAATGGTCTCCGCCCCCAGACATCCGTTCCCGCTACCACAATGAAAGCTGCAGCTGAGGTCCAGAAAGTTGGTGCTGTAAGGATCCACGTGGAGATATCGCTCTCGTTGCTCTGGAACTGCTCGGTGAGAGGCTCCAATCCTGGAGTGAGCATGGTAGTGGTTCTGTGACAGATGAGCATAAGTCCCGATCAAGTTGAGGAACGCGGTAAAGTCTTACGCATTAGTGACTGCAGAACCAAAAGCAAGGATCAAGAGATGAAGGCATTTCCACTTCAAACTCCAGTTGAGAGGGTCGTTCGTGTCGTCACTCGGCTGCGGGGAGAGCACGATGCCGCCGCTCCTCTTAGAATTATCGAGGTCGGGTACTTTGTCGTCGCTCGTATCCTTTACCCCAAGTCTAGAGGTGCCCCGAGGATATGCTGACCGTCTGCTCTCCAATACACCCCACCCCATTGTTAGCAGCTTTGGTGTTGAAAAGAAGTCAATACGAAGGGGACGGCCTGCGTCTCTTGAACTCAGAACGTCGCAAGTCAATAAAAGGACGTGGTAATTAATAATGTAGAATCCGCCCAGCGGTGTACCAATACCAGCAGGCAAAGAAGCGAAACGATACAAGTGTAGTGTGGCGTGAAAGAAAAGGCGAGAACCAGTCTGCAGAGCAAGTGCACGTTGTCAACCACCATGATATACGTCCTGATCAACAACATTATCGTTCACTGCCCAGCCGGGCGTTTTTGTCAATCTGCAAACACGTTCCGCATCTGACAGGTTGGAGTAGGCATAACTCGGTCGTTCATGGTGCTGTGACATGTCGCAGACAAGTCTCGCAGACATTTCGAGAAGGATATGTGTGAGCCCTACTTCAGTTTGTTCCAAAACTGGCAATAATCTGGGGCCTTATACGTGCGCCTGGCGTATTGATTGACGCGTTTACGGTTAAAGGCGTTTCGAGTGAGCTTCAGTGAGGAGACGCTCTACGAAGTGCCGAAAGTCCGTAAGTGTCGTGCGCTAGAAGGCCGAAAGTGCGGGGAGACACACGCCACGACGTCAACGCCACAGTTCGCCCAACGCTTAACCTTGGCTGTCTTGATTCATCATCTTACCTAACTTCAAGCCGTTCAAGATAGAGAAGATCCATTCCCTGGATCGAGGTTTTGATATTACCGGTAGATGCATGCTACTGAGGTACTTTCTAGATGATGATGATGCTACTAGGCATTCTCGTTGCCGGAGCCAGTTGAATTTCCGAAACTACTTCGACAGAGCGAAATGGAATAGGTAATGAGTTATGATTTCAAAGCTAACGTTGAGTCAAGGCAGAGAATGCGGGGTCGCGCCACAATCCGTTCTCCCAATCTTCATTCAAGTCTAAATCTTACCATTGTCGTCGATACGGTGTTAGTCAACCTCTGCAAACACGTCAAATGTCTTGTCCTGCTCGCCTACATCCTTTGCGCAAGCCCCCAAACCATCGCGTCCCTATTCCCCGATGGAAGCTTAGCCTGCCAGATCATGTCGAGCACGTATTAACATCCTATGTTGGTGTTGAGCAGCACGACAATAGTGACACAGCTGCTCAGACGAAAGAAGAAGCCGTTGCGGGTGTTCAACGGTGGATCGAAGGAACCGACGCACCAGAGGCAGTAGAGTGCTTCACTACGATAGACAATTACAGTCGCATTGGTGCTACTGTGTGGGTCTGCTATTGGAGCGATCGAAGAAGACGTAACCCCGTCATTGCATCGTTGAACCTCAAAGGCATACATCAAAATCTTTCCACTGCTGGTCGCCCATTAATCGGCTTATGGCACGAAAGCTTCACAACACCAGTATCGCGCCTAGAGACCAACTACTCGGGTCTCGACTATCTTCCTGGACTGGCAAGGTTACCTGGAGCTGGCACCGAAGAACATAACCTATCCACGTACTGGGGAGCAGCTCGAGATCGTATCCCAGACTCGGCACACGATCTCTTCCCGCGAGCCGCTGATATGCCGCGTCCTAACCCAATACCAAATGGCCTCGGCCAGCACCTTAAGGGCACCAATCATGCGAACATGGTCCACATTCGTTCGGGACAGTATTGGGATAACTGCGGCAAAGAAGAATCAGATTCATATGAGCAGAAGCTAGAACCGACTCTGAAGCAAGGTCTCAGGTACTTGCACGAGAACTCCGCAGAGACCGGGGCCCTCAGTATCCAGTATCTTCAAAATGAGGATGTGCATTCCAATGATAACAGTAGCGACACGGAGAAGCGCAAAGAATCATGCGGCGCGGGTTTCTTTGCTAATCTTGAAGACTTGGAGCACTGGGCTAAAAGTCATGCCTCACATTTGAAAATATATGGCGGCGCACTTGCACATTATAAAGCTTTTGGAGATGAGAGGAAGTTCCGCACATGGCACGAGGTGTGTGTGATTGAGGAGGGGGACGCTGTGTTTGAATACGTGAATTGCTTGTCTGATACGGGAGTCATTGCATCCATACCTCTTACAAGCACAATTATATAAACTCGGACGGAGTATCCAAATTATCTAATCTTCTGTCACGCATATCGTGCAGTTTGATGTTTTGACAGTATACGCAAGCTTCACCGCGCCAATACCGAAATAATAACGCCGTAGGAATGCAAAACGTGATCTACACGCAAATTGGTATCATACACCTCTTACTTCTTGGCCCCAGACCTAGCCAGTTTCCGCATGAAGGCGTTTTGAACACCCTTGGTACCCTTGAGTTCCTTGTTTCTGCTCTTGTTGACTTCCATGTACGCCATGGTTTGACCACCAGACAACTCGGAAAGCGTGCCAGCTGCCCTTCTCACGCCGTTCTTTTTCTTGTTGCCCTTGTTGGACGCGTACCTGGTGCCAAAGGCATCGCCCTCAATCCTCTCTTCCTTCGCGTCTTCTTCGCGGGCAAGCAAGACATCCATTAGCAGCTCTCGTCGCTCCTGTGGTGTTGCGAACGCCAATTGTGAGAAATTCTCCAAACCTTCGAGACGAGTGATGACTTTGAAAGCATATCCCTGATCGACCAGGAAGGCCTGGCGCTTCGACGAATAGTACATCTCGTCTGTATCCTTTGAGACCAGCGAGTAGAAGAAGGCATTGAAACCTTCATCGTTCCTACGCTTCGCCCTCAGAATTCTGCCCAATCGTTGGGCCTCTTGACGACGGGATCCGTAGTGAGAAGAGATTTGAATGAGACATGTCGCCTCGGGTAGATCCAGACTGGTGTCACCGATCTTGGACAAGAAGATGGTGTTGACAAGCTCATTGTGTTGAAAGTTCTCCAGAATACGGAGTCGTTCTTGTTGAGGTGTTGCGCCGTAAATGTATGCCTTGCCAAGTTTACGTGAGTACTTCTCCAGTGCGTAGACATTGTCAGAGAAGACGATGATCTTGTCGCCTCGTGACTCGTGGTAGTTGATCAAGAATTGACAGGCTTGGAATTTCTTGGGGTTCATAATGGAGAGTAGTGCACGCTTTTGTAGAGATGAAGGCTTGAGCCACTCTGTGTAGAACTCAGGTGTCATCTGGCACCAGACTTCGGCGCACTGAACTTTGGCAATGTGACCTTGTTCCGATAGCTCTTGCCAGTTAGCTTCGTATAACTTGGGTCCGATTAGGAAATTGAGATCATCAATCTTGTCATCTTCTCGCAGTAGTGTAGCAGTGAGACCCAGTTTCGCGTGTGACGCGATCTCATAGGTGACTTTCTTGAAGATGTTGGCGGGTACGACGTGCACCTCGTCAGCAATCAGCAGACCCCATTCTCTCTCACGGATAAACTGCATGACCTTCTCGGCATCGTGCGAGCGCTTCCTAGCGTTACTGATCATAGAGTAGGTGCTGATGATGATACCGGCCTGGCGTGGGAATCTGGTCTTGTTATCTGCAGTGAAGACAGCGACATCCTCTGGGTTGATGTTGGACCACTTGATGAATTCGGCTCGCCATTGCACGACGGACATGGCGCTCGTGCACAGGACAATAACGGATTTTTTGACACCACAGGCAGCTGTGATACCAACCAAAGTCTTACCTGCGCCACAAGGCAACACAATGATACCTGAACGCGCTCGCGAGTTGGAAAACATCTTACTCAAAGCCTTTTCCTGGTAGTATCTAATCTGCGCATGGGGCTTGAGATCGATTTCAAGGTTCGGATTTGTATCGTCATTGTTGAAGTCATATTCTTCGGTGAGGGGCAGACCAATGCTTCGGCAGCGCTTGACGACCTTTTCGCGCTCTTCGCTTCTGATCTGGAACGAGTGAACTTGGGCGATTTCGTCATCGTCATCGTCCTCCCGGAGCGTAGCAATCATATCGCTTGGTGGCGGGTTCTGAGCAGCTTCCGGCTGTTGCTGCTGGGCCATGTTGTTCGCACCAGCCGCCAGCTTCGTACCTGGGATAGCCATCTGACCGATTTTAGGTGCAGCCTCCTTGATGAGCCCATCGGTGGAGTCTGCCCGACATTCGGCGACTACAGGGTCGCGGAGAAGTTTCTGGAGTATTGCAGGGTCCTCACTTTCGATGTATGACAATGTCTTCTTGAGCACGATCTTTGCCTTGCCGAAGGCGGAGGTGGACTTTTCGACGAACTGAATGATGGCGGCGGACAAAGCCGTCTTGGAGTAGCGGTCGAGCTTTTCGATAATCTCTTGTTTGGAATGGCCAACACTAACGGCGGCGAAGAGACTGTGGGTGGTAAGCTGGTACTCATGCATCTTGGAGACACGCGACTGCGGCTCGGCGATGTTGATCAAAAAGTCCTGGGCCTCGTCAAAGAGAGGATGGAAAGACTCGAGGATGATTCCACCCGCATCGTTGACCCAGAGCGGGCGGTTGTAGTGGTCAGGCTTCAGCGGCGCACTCCACTGGTCTGACTTCCTGAAGAGATCGGCAGCAGCGTCTCTGACGCGGCCAGCGCGCGCCCGCTTTGTCATGGCCTTGACGTCAAACTCTTCTTTGAGCTGATCGAACGTCTCTTGATCGCTCATGGGTCCCTCATCGTTGTCGTCCCAGCCATCCTCGGCCTCGGCGTCTGCTGCTGTCTGCGCGAGCTTGCGCTTGGGTGGCATCGTGGCGACTGCCTGCTGTATATTCTTATGAGATGCCGGTGCAGGAGGACAGGCGGGTGGTGAGAGCGGCGGGGATATTGATGCGTGTTATCGACGAGAGCGGTTGGAGTGATGTAGTCGGTGGCGGAGGCAGTAGGCAAAGGTGAAGGCGCGGCGGCGATTATGTAATGATCTATGGCACCTGCATTTCTGGCGTCGTCACTCAAACGACACAGTCAGGCAGGACGGGGTGAAAGATGACTGTGCGGGTACAAGACGACGACTAGTAGCAAGGCAGCTAAGTGGTGAACATTTAGGGTGCAACGCGCCCAGACGCGAAAGCATGTGAATAGCCGGCGTTTGCTCGGGGTGGCCCTGGCGACGTCACTCTCGGCGAGGCTGTCGTCCAGGGCTGGTGAGCACTACTACCTACCTACTGTGTCTATTCCCAGCACCTAGAATGCGCACATGAAGACGTGACATGCTTCCCAATGGGTGCATCCGACTCAAAACTCTCCTTCAAGCAAGGCGTCTTTCGCCTGTCTGAGCCCAAGCAAATCCCCGCCGACGATGCTTATTGGACCGGCGTATGCTCTGCTCTTTGCTCTCTATGCTGTTGCTGTGCTGACCATGGCGCCAGTTCTGGGAGCTGCCTGAGTCGACCGAGGATGTCTTCTCGCTCTTCTCGCCCGCAGACATTCGCCGCACCCGCGACAACAACCTCGCCAATCTCGAGACGCTCATCCTCGCCGTTACCTCGCGCTTGATCGTCCTACGCAATCACCCCTCTTTCCCCGACCCTGAGCTGGCCCCGGAGCGCGATGCCCTCAATTGCATACGGGTGCTGACGCGACTGCTGCCCTTTTTGTATGAGGCTGATCATCTAGAGACATGGGAGGACCAGTTCTTTTGGGCTGCGCGGCGGAAGCGCAGTCGGCGGGGCCAGCTGGTGCGAAGCGAGATCATCTTCGACGAGGCCGACCCTGAGCAGACGCCAACGGAGAAGGAGCCAGAGTTCGAGAAAGCCAAGCCGCTGGCCGAGGAGATCATCGACACGCTGATTGACCTGCTCTTCTTCTCCGAGTTCACTCTTCCCAAGGTCGCAGCAGGCAAGAACAAGGTCACGTATGCGATATGGCAGAGCGGTGTGGGCTGCAACACGCCTGTCGCCTCCACCAAGGAGTTCGAGAGCAACAGGACTGAGATTCTGCGCTTGCTGCTTACTCTAGCCAGCAAGTCCATGTACATGTCGGCGGGTGTGCTCCCAGTCAAGGGCGTCAAGGCCATCACGTACATTGCGACATGTCCCGATAAGCAGGTCGTTCTGTCTGTTCTCTGCTCCCTCTTGAACACAGTGAGTGCCGCCGTATGTTGCAGTATACACTGCTGACCCTTGCAGACCCTCAAATACAACCCCGCTACATGGCGTGTACCATACGATCACGTTGTCTTCAAGGACCAGAGACAGGTCCTGGTCACGTACTGCCTGCAATTGCTCCTCGTACTCATCCTGTACCCTATACCCGAGTCTGGCAACGGTCCAGCACCCAAGAACTTCTTCCGCCATTTTCTTGGCCGTCTGCATCGTCCCCAAGACTTCCAGTTCCTGGTGGATGGCATGACGAGGATACTGAACCAGCCGGTATGCGACACACATACTATACCACTTTCTTCCTGCTGACACAGACTAGCTCCAAGCCAACACCTCATACCTGCCTGGCAGTCACAAGTCACTAACCTGGGCACCCGAAATGATCATGCTCTTTTGGGAAGCCCTGCAGTGTAACAAGCGCTTCCGCTCCTTCATCATCGATACCGACAGAGCCCATGATTTCGTCGTGCTGGTGCTCTACTACGCCATCGATCAACGCAACGATCCGTCAAAGCAGGGCCTTGTGCGTATGTGTATCTTTGTACTCCAGACGTTGAGTGTCGAGCCACAATTCGGCAAGAGCCTTAATAAGACGTTTGAGGGACAGGAGTCACTCCCAGCTAGTATACGGATACCCAACTTTCATGGCACCTACGCCGACTATGTTATCACGGTATGTATCACGCTGAGAGATAAATACATTTGCTGATCGTGTCAGTCCATCTATACCCTACTCACCACTGGTAAAGGCAGGTTAGACGCCATCTACCCTGCGTTACTTGCAATCCTCAACAACATCGCGGCTTACGTCCAGAACATCGGACGCGCCTCGAGCTCTAAATTGCTCCAACTATTTGCGTCCATGTCATCACCTAGTTTCCTTTTCGCAAACGAGAACAATCATACTCTTCTAAACTCACTATTAGAGGTTCTTAACGCTATGATCGAGCACCAATACCAACACAACCCGAATCTGGTTTACGCTATTGTACGATCGCGGAAGAGGTTCCAGGCACTGAGAGACTTCACCCTAGAAAGCGGGCAGGAAGAGATTGAACGCCAAAATCAGCAACGCAAGGAGGGTGGCGAAGATCTTACACGCACTAGCTCTATCGACAGTCTCAGAAGTCCTACGGTAGCCAGAACACCTACTTTGGGGAACGTACCGGAAGAGGATAGTGCTTTCGCCATTGGCGACGATGACGATGACGACTCGGATGCAGAAGATGCACGACCTTCAGAGCCATCAAGGTCTCCAGTGCCGTCGCAATCGGGCGCTTCTAGAAGCGCGTCGATAGCGTCATCTGTAGAAGACTCTGTGCCGTCTCAGGTAAGAGGCATGTCAGAGAAAGCAAGAGGCAAGATGCCAGTAGGCCAACCTGCTTTCTCCCGGCAGAACAGCATGACCAGTCTCCATAGTGCAGCTGGTCCAGCCTTCGCCACCAATGAGTTCTTCACACCATCAGTCCCCTGGGTAAGACAGCTCTACCTCGATAACAAACTTGTCTAACCTCATTCGCAGTTGGAAGGATGGCTTTCGGAACTACCGCTACATACCATACTTATGCTAATATCAGAGCTCGGTCCAAAAATGCCTAGCTCAGGTAACTCGAATGACACGGCAGCAGCGTTGAAAACCATTCGTGAGACTGGGGTACGCGGAATCGAACCTTCGCCTATCAGGGTGCATCTCTTCGAATGGTCAGCCTTGTCTCTGGGCTGGTACGAGTCGCTACTCTGGGGGTTCGTTTTCGCGGCCGAGATGCTCGTAGCCAAGGGTACTGCTGGGGTTTGGAACAACACTAGCATACGATTGTTCAAGGTCCAAGAAGTTGGGGCCACGGCTCCTTCACTCCTGCAGCCAAGAGGCGCTGTAGATGCGGTAGGGAGTAATCTTGTGCAGCGAATTGGCTCCCTCAACTTGCGCGGAGTTACAACTCAGGCTGCGCAACGCTCTCCAGCGAGCAGCGGTAATGCCGGCGCCAACACAGTTAGAGATGTGTAACAACATGCCGCGACCATGCTATTCCAGCCACATGGCAAAAATTGGCCACAGCTTCTATCGTGTTGAGAAAGTTATTTGCGCCGTGAACGCTGATTGGTGTGCCTGAAATGCAGGTTAGGCCTTTTATCCTAATTGGGAGCCTGATGTTTGTCGATCATCTGTTGGCTGAACTGCACAGCCACAACACTCGCCACATGTCGGCAGATTAGGGATAGATAACCAACGAGAATGGATTGAATCTCTACAAGGCGCTTCTAGATCTTTTTCATGGCTTGACAGTGAAGCGAAACGCGCAAGCTCCAAGCCATCTCTGACGTGCCTCAGGACGATCTTACCTTGATATGCCATCGCGACAAATGATAGTGTTATGCGCAAGTACCCCATGATTATGTAGTGCTGCCGCAATCTAATGGTATACATTTTGCTACTTCGCACTGATGTATGCTTTGATCAATCTCTGGTACCGAGTCTTAGCGAAAGATACCACGCCCCATGTGTGGGAACAGGGCGTTCAACAACCCAATCAGGACATGCATGACACTCCACAAAGGCATGTATACCGTACTCTTACCAAGATATTACATGAACTTACAATGGCAACAGGGAGAAAAGAAGGGCACCCCAAGATCAAACTTTAGAACCATACCATGGCGGCATCTGCACCCCACGATGATGAAGCCATCACGACGTATAGCATGCATGTGCGTGTCTCGTCACCATGTACCTATAAAGTAGCCAACTGACACAACAGCACAACAGGTATCCGCCAAGTACCTTGAGCTTACGAAGAAGAAACTCAAGTTGACGCGTTTACCGCGCGAGCTTGAGTTACCGGATGAGAGGAGATGGGAGCAGGGTACACCAAAGAGTGTGCTTGAACCGCTCCTAGACTTCTGGTATGTTGGCTTTTACTACTGTTTTCGGGATTGTATATACGTGAATAGGACAAGAGGAAGGTTGACTAAGAGATACATTGCTCGATGGCAAACATGACTTACCGCTACGCCGTTTTACAAGCAGTGAAATGGGTTCACTCCAACTAGAGACTAACTGGCTGTTTTTTTTCTTCTGCCTTTACTTTCCATCAGAGTTTCACACACACTGACATCTGCATAGGCTAGAAGGCTACGACTGGCGTGCGGCCGAATCCCGCTTCAACTCCACCCTCCCTCAATACCGCACCACCATCACCATACCCTCGCTCACCTCTCCTAACACCACAAAACCCCTACGCATACATTTCGTGCACAAGCGATCCAAACACCCTAATGCCATACCTTTACTTCTCTGCCACACATGGCCCTCTTCGTTCATCGAGGTCCAACGTGTTATAGACGGATTAACGGACCCTCACTCACTGCTGGGTTATGATGAGAGTGCACAGCAAGCTTTCCATGTCGTAGCGCCGAGTATACCCGGTTTTGGGTTTAGCGATGCGAGTATGGAAGAGGGTTTTGGGTTGCATGGAACGGCCGAGGTGTTTCAGAGGTTGATGGGGAGGTTAGGATATACGCAGTTTGTTGCTCATGGAACGGGATGGTAAGCGGAATCTTTGTTAGCATTGGATGCGATGGTGTTTTGCTGACGAAGTTTACTAGGGGGTTTAGTGTATGTCGCGCGTTGGCACTGGGACATCCAAAGAGTTGTCTGGCGGTGCATACTACGAATCCTTCGTTTGAGGAGCCGAAGCTGAAGAGCGGACCCATGCGCTATCTGAAGTATCGTGTTGCCAAGTTTACACGGGCAAAGGTGCCGTTGTTGAGCTTTGGTTACGTACCTGGCGAAGTACAGACATCGTCGAAGAGTATGGTAAGAAAAGACCTGACAACACAGGATGGGATGCTAGGTGGAGAACCGCTAGGACCTACACTGCATCGCCTCTACTCGCTGCGGCCGCAGACACTGGCTTTCTCTTTGTGCGACTCACCTGTTGGGTTGCTCGCTGCTCTGCTCGATGTCATCCATACTAGGGATCTTCCACAACGTCCGCTTTCATCGTCGCGGTCGAGGAGTCCGTTTCTTTCACCTGTTGAGCTGGAGATGCAGCTTGGTGATGAAGAGCAGGAGGAGCAGGACGAGTTGCGTTCAACATCCACGGCACGACCTGAGGATACGACGAGCCCAGGAAGAGTGAAGGGCGATGGGAGAAGCTACACCTGGAGTCCGACGGAGGTACTAAACTTTACGATGTTGCAGTGGTTACCTGGGCCTGAAGCGGTATGTTACCTTCTCATTTGTTTGACGCATGGGTGTTGAAATGGCTGGGAGGTACTCGCGCTGTTTGTGACGCACTTCTGTCGGATATTCGCTGAAGGCTATCACGGTCCATCTTTGAGTCTTTCATCCATCGTCCTTTCCGCTGACGTCTTCCCGCAATTAGGCCCTCCGCTGGCTCCGCCGCGCACACATTGACGTGCAATCCCCCTCATATCAAACCCACACATCCACTCCACTCGGAATCTCCACCTTCCTCCCTCCTAACAGCAGTACCGCAACGCCACTCATGTGGGGCGCGAGTTCCTGGGACATATCCTGGGTGAAGCGCCATGCCGGTCGCCCTGCGACGTTACCAGGCTTCGAAGCCCCGGATGCGCTGGTGCTAGATCTGAGGGAGTGTTTCGCGATGATGATCGATAGAGGGAAGGTCAAGTTGGAGATGCCTGTTAGGGAAGGTTAAGTTGTAATGAGTGTTGATTGAGGATATAGGTATATCAGGCTTCTTGTATGCGTTTGGAGCTGAAAGTCAGATGGTGTGCATGGCGTTTCGGCCCGTGGTTATGGGTTACTGGGAGGATGCTTGCTGGTTGCAGGGGCTGTGCTGATGCAATAGGGTCTGGCATCCTTATGGAAATGTGATATACATGTATATGCAGCTTTGTACAATTGCTTTTCCGGACGATATAATCAAGTCAGCTATATCAGATCACGCATGTTTTCGCGTTAGTCATGGTAGGTGACTTGTTGTAATAATGCAGAGCCGCGACAATATTGCTGGGATACCTTGGTGTACGAAATTGTATAGAAGGATGCACCATATGCCCGTCGGGTACTGAGTGACAGCGTAAGGCTGTGCTGGTGATATTAGGTACCGAAGGTACTTGCGTGTAATGCCGTGGAGATGTTCTGCTAGACCCCGCAAGGTCTAGTCTAAAAGGACAGAGGTAGCATATTCCCTGATGCATATAGCGGCAGCCGATCATGGCAGCAACCCAAGTCGGACCTACTCATGTCGTGTGTCAGGCACAGGGTGGCGGATGGGATACCCGCACACGACTTGGCCAAGTCGGGTGCAGTGGCAGACGGCGGGGCGCTCCAGCCACTTGGGACAGGCCAAAGGCGGTGACGTCTCATGCGAAAACACCGCACTCGTTAAAAATCGTGTCGCGTGAAGGCCCGAAGCTTCCACGACGTCGCCCCAGCAGCACACCCGTTAAATTGCCCTAGTGAAGTTTGCATTCACTGCGCACAGTACGTCGCTCTCCTGACACTCTCAACACGCCCATATCCATCTCGCCTACAGCTCGGGAGTAACTTGACAAGTTGGCCGACTCACTCACAGGCAGATTCTATCAGCGCCCAACGCCATTGCATTGACCTTTTTGCTCTACGCTCCCCACCAGACTTATATCGTCACGCTGGCAGACCTACTCTTCTCCCTCTACACCACTGCCTAGGCTACTGTAGCCCGCAGATTGTTCATCGCCGCCCACTTCGGCTCTTCTATGCGTCGAGAGGACCTGGTACGCTTTCTGTCCAAGCCTGCGAAGTGAGTCGTTGTCCTCCGCGTGAAGCAGTGTGCAAGACATCCAAACGGCCAGCGCTGACCTTTACAGGCCCCGATAATACCCGCTACGCCCCTTCACCCACCACCCAATACCATACCCTTTTAAGCAGATCTCCTCGTCTGCTGGACCCGATACTTGCCCAGGGTATCGGAATCTGGTATCGCGAGGACCCTCACGACTGCCACCATTTCCCGGCGAAAGGCTTCGTTTATTCCCCTCAACGCCCGACCTCCCTAACATCGACTACGGTCGGTTACCCTCTTCTCCATAACCTGCTGCTGGCACACGCCAGCCTCGCCTACTCTTTGCGACCCGTGGGCCAATTCTTCTCAGGCGAGCACCGCATTGCTTGTCTGAGCGAGATTGTGCTGCACATAGCTTCATAGCTAGCCACCTCTTCCACCCTCCGTACAAACGCGGCCAGCAAACACACCTACCATATCCGTCCCGTGCGCGCGACAGCCACATAACCTAGAGATGGTTGCTACCGAGATTCCTCAGCACTACACTGCCTCTCCCTCGTCGCATATTGGCACCCCTCATTTGACCATCAACAAGGAGGCTACTATCGATCTCGACTCTACCAACTCTTTCGAGGGTCCCGAGAAGCTCCTCGAAGTATGGTTCAGCGCTTCCGCTACTGAACTGCCTGGACAGGCCGGTCCAACTGGACTGAAGAAGGTGTCGGCGGATACCTGGAAGGACATGCTCGATCTGGTCAACTGCAAGGTTCTCTCCGTTATCGAGTCTGAACATGTCGATGCCTACCTTTTGTCCGAATCGAGCATGTTCGTCTTCCCCCACAAGGTCGTGCTCAAGACCTGCGGAACTACAACCCTGCTCTGGGGCCTCAGTCGCATGCTGGAGATTGCTGCAGACGCCGGCTTCCCTTACGTTGCCCCCAAGGCATCCGGCATCGCGCCAGCCGCCACACCATACCGCGTCTTCTACAGCAGGAAGAATTACCTCTACCCTGATCAGCAGCGTGGACCCCACCGCAGTTGGCGTGATGAGGTTCGCTACCTCGACGACCGCTTCCAGGGTGGCAGTGCCTACATGATTGGCAAGATGAACGGCGAACATTGGTACCTCTACATCACCGGTCCAGACACCAGCCTTACTCCCCCTCCCAGCCCTGGTGAGGAGAAAGCTGCGCCTGACACCGAGACCAAATTTGTGAGCCACCCCCAGCGCATGTTGCGCGAGCAGGCCACCGACGAGGAAGAGGACGAGACTCTGGAAATCCTGATGACCGACCTCGACGAGAAGAACGCTCGTCAGTTCTATCTTGAGGACGCAAGTGCGGTTGCGGAAGGTCGCTACATTCAGAGGGCTCGTGAAGCTCGCAAGAACGCCATCCAATCTCTCGGCACCATTGCGGAAGAAAATGGTCACAGCGAGAGTCTCGGCGGCTCTACCGTTCTCAATTCCGCTGCCAACACTCACACCTCTGATGACAGCTTCGACGTGTTTGAGCAGACGTCTTCCGACCACTCTGGTTTCAACTCTGAAGAGGAGCTCACGTTCCCTGAGGAGCTGACTACCGAGGGTCATGCGCTCGGCACTGTCGTCTCTGAGCATTGCGGATTGGCTGATGTTTACCCCACCTCCAAGTACCCTGACGCTCGCATCGATGCCTATCTCTTCACGCCCTGTGGCTTCTCTGCCAACGGTGTTATTCCTGCTCCGGGCGGTGCTCCCAACGGCTCCAAGAAAGGCTCTGATGCTACACACTACTTCACCGTACACGTTACACCAGAGCCTCAGTGCTCCTACGCCTCCTTCGAGACTAACGTGCCTGCCCACCAGACCGGCAGAGAGACTGCTGACGTGGTCGAGCATGTAGTCGGTATCTTCAAGCCTGGCAGGTTCAGTGTCACCCTCTTCGAGGCCAAGCCTACTGCCGATGAGATGCCTGGCAAGAATGTCGAGAAGGCGAAGAGGATGGAGACAATTGCGGGATACCGTCGTGTTGACCGCATTGTGCATGACCTGGATGGCTACGACCTGGTCTTCAGGTACTACGAGCGTGACGATTGGAAGGGCGGAAAGCCCCGGCTCGGTGAGATCTTCTAGGTGGGCCGGCGATGAAGTTTTATTGTAGGGCAGCTGTATGTTTCTAGGTTTTGCGGGTATACTTGTTGCGTCTTTTGTGTAGCGTAGCGGCACAGTCACTACAATGTCTAGCCGGCGTCTTATAGTTTGTTCGATCAAGTTTCTAATCAGAGTCCGCTTTCGAATTATATATTTCATCTTACACACCTTATCTCCACCTCCTGTCTTGAGTGTTTATTCCTTCCCTGTTGAGGAGATGCAACTGGGAAATTCCCAACTCCGCACATTGTCTATCTTCCCTTGGATTTCCCCTACTGCCACCGTCACAGCGGTACCAGTACTTGTGTCTGTTTGCCTAATCATCTCCGCCCGTTGCAAACGCAGGAGAAGCACAGCGCCAGCCACTCGCTGTCGTTCCTCTAGACACCGTTACCTAGCTCTTATCGCTCCTAGCATACCGCCCTTTGCCTTTACCTATACTCGTCATCCTCTTGTTGTAAAGGCGGGGTAGGTAACGCATCTACCATATTAGGGGTAAGAGACGGATTCCCATTTATCTGACCGCCTGCAGGAGTGGTAGTAGGCACTATATAGGTTTGTATTTCGTGAGTTAGAGATTTAGTTCCTTACACCCTACTCATCAACTCTACCACAATACCACTACAGCAACAACAAACTATTCTCTTCTCCTCCCTTCTTATCTCCATCCGCGCAAACTATCAACATCAGAATGTCCTCTACACGTCCAAAGCGTTCGGCGAGGCTTTCGAACGGTGACATGAGGTATACCCCATTTGTTGACGAGAGAGGTCGGCAACACGAGCCTGTAGATAAGAGCCGGGATTATATACCGTCAGACGGTGAAGACGAAATTCCCACCCTGTCACCTCCGTCTCCAAAGCGCAGGAAGATACAGGCGAGTGTGACTGTTCGGGGAGCACGAGTGAGTAACTAAGAAGACATCATCTACTGCATAGAAGTACTAACTATACACAATCAGGGCGATAGTGTGGAGGTCCGGATACCCCCACGCGTTGCACCAGATGTCGCACCTACCATTCCGACGAATCGCGCATCACAAGACGCAAACATCAGCCGTGAACAGTCCAGGATCATGTCCTCATCTGAGCTAAAGGAAGCAGCTCTTGCCAAAGAGAAGCAAGAAAAGGTCGAACTTGAAGTACGCATTGCACCTCTATTTACATTTTGGTCTTCATCGCTAACAAGCAACAGGCTAGATACGATTACGATTTCGACATCGTCGATTCTACAGGAAAGAAGCGCTGGTTTATCACGTGGGAGTCGAAGAAGACCCCACCAGAAAAGGTTTACATGCTCAAGGACTCAATTCCTTATGATCGTCGCCTGTTCGTTGAGTGGGACAAGTTGTCCATGGAAAACAGGAGAGCTTATGATGATAGCTTCAAAAGCTATCTTGACGCCAAGATGCCGGGCTTCACTTTGAAGCTGAAGAAGAAGTAGGGCAGTGTTTTTCTTCAAATTCCGAGTTGGTCATCCGGTCAGACAACCTTGTTTATTCCCTCCCCTCTATCTATGTTATGAGTTGCATGTTAGCCAGCGAGAAAAAAAGTCTCTTCATCAAGCCGCCCTTCCTGAGCGGCAAACTGTCTCCTGCATCAAGACCACCTCTCTACTTCAGTTTCTGCGAGGGTCTATCTAGTTCTACTTTATATATTAGTCGATCAAAAGTGCCTTTACCTATTCTGCATCTGCAGCATAACTTGTCCAATTTTTATAAGACATGTGTGTATCTCCTTCTTCCTTTACATAGAGGAGGTGATGTTAGCGAATAGGCCTAAGCTGCGGTGTCTGAGCAAGGACTGTCCTTTGTTATCTGCCGTGGAGCAAGGCGGTAAAGGACGGTTAGTAATGCTGTAGGCAACAATGCAATATACTGCTTTATACTGTGAATAAGAGTACGTCGTTATATATTACAGTGAATCACGCTGAATTACGTCGACTCGAATTAAATGACACATAATCAGGATGATGTCCGTTCTAGGGATTGGAAGGAGATATCACGATTCAAGATGAACATGCGACTTGCCGTAAATATGCGTTACTCTGCTTCACTAGGACATGGGAACGCGGGTGACCGTCATATTCACGAAAAGGTTGAAAGAAAATAATAGCTTAAACCCTCACTCATACCAACGAAATTATGACGAAATCAATCATTCCGTGACATATCCGATCGACTTCATACATATCTATCATACATTCTCCTTTCCATCACCACCGTTCATGCGCGCAAGTGCCTCCCTAACCTTTGCTACAGCTTCCCTCGCTGCCTTCCTCTCAGCTACACTTTCATCCTCAACATACTCCTTTCCTCCGTTTTTGATGATGAACCTAACCCTCTCCTCAGTACCCTTCAGCGTGCGTCTCCCTTCTTCTCTCAGGGTACTCTCCCATGCTTCTCTGGCACCTTCCCATAGCTTCTGCATACGGCGAAGAGAGAATGTAAAACCTAGTGCTGCGACAGCCGAAGCTTCGAAGACGGAGAACGAAGACACGGACACCCAGAGGAGTGTTGATGCAGCGGAAGAGAGCGAAGTTGTGCTGAAGGTTTGTAGGATGAGTCGTTGAGCGAGAGCCTGTAGGGGTGGGACGGTATCATTGATGAGTTCTGTGCGAGCAGCGGCAATGTGATCGGGCCATGGCATCGGCTTCCGGACGTTGGTAGAGAGGTCCGTTCGCGGATTCTCTGCTGTCGGTGCTGTTTCCTGCGTTGTCACCTCGGGAATGTCGGCCACGGCAAGGTGTTGGACGTCATCTGGAAACCCGGCTTGGTTCATGCGGCCGGCGAGGTAGATGCTGTTCTTCTCCGCTGAGACGAGCCATCGCCGTTCGAGGATCTCAGAGCTAATCATTGTGACGTCGTCGACACGCCAGAGGAGCTTCCACCAAGCTAGCTTATGCCAGTTCTTCGCCATGAAGGCTTCATCGAGCTGGTCGCGGAGCTCCGCATGAGACTTTTCGGCCCAGGTCTCAAGATGGCCAACGATAGACGTTGTAACATCCTGTTCTGTTGGAACGGAAGCCAATTGTTGTAATCTTGCAGCGTCTTGTTTCGTGATGCTTGCTTCTACATCATCCACTATAGAAGCAACAAGCGTCTTCATCGGTGGCTTGATGGTGTCTGTAGCCTGGAGATCTTGAACCAACCACTCGGACAGTGTGGGCAAGCCGCTTTTGAACCATCCTCGCTCGTAGATGATGGAGTTCTGGATCGATTCACGGAAGCTGTTGAGTGCCTTTGCGCCGACTTGGATATTGATAGGGGCGCTTGCGGCATGGGTGTCTGACTTTGGCTCTTCCGATGGCGCAGGGAGGTCAACAGCCATCTTGACCATCTCCTCCACATTTTCCAGACCATTCGCCGAGAATCTTCCAAATGCAATTGCGCTGTCTAACCCTTCCCCCAGTACCAATGTCTTATGCACCGGGTATGGGACGGGTAATCCTCGTGCAGAAGTAGCCTGGAGCTTAGGAACAAGCAACGATTCAGTGGAGCTCTCTGTTATCATATGAGGTACCGACTTTGCAACATTGACGTTGATGGTAGAGACGAGGACTTCTAGATTGTGCGACTGGAGCGTTCGTGAGGGTATCGAGAGGACCTTGTAGAGCGGCGAAGGCGCATGTGCATCGGGGTCGTCGCCATATCTGTGCAACAAGAACGTTAGCTAATGTCGTACATGCTACGGTAGTTGGAGAGCACATACTTTAATAGTACCGCTCTCTCGTTGCCATCACTTGTCTTCACGAGCTCCTTCTCCCACTGCTCCTCAGCACTTAGCGGGTCTGCAAGCAGTAACCGCGCAAGCTGCTGTGCACTCAATTGGCTGTTCAAACCGAGAACTGTCTCTTGTCAGTTCCCAGTTTCTTGAATCGTACTGCGCATATACCGTACCAGCAACTCTCGTCACAGCATCCTGCGCCGCCAGACCCCGCAATGCCAATTGCAGTCTACTTATGTTGACATGTGTTTCAGCGACTCCACTGAGCGCTGATAGCGCATCATATAGTCCCTTGTTCCGGGGTGGGATGTGCGGGCGCAGATTTATCGCGGTCGGCGAGACATGTGTCGATGCGGAGCGCACGCGGAGGTTCGTCGAGCGTGGAGTAAGGACACTGCGACAGCGACGCGCAAGCGGGAGCCGATCAATCGTCCCTGTCTTGCGGATGATCGTCAGTCGCGGCACTGAGGCCACCCATGGAGGCATCGGGCTTGAAGTTGAGCATTGCTGTTGAATTGTCCATGTTGACGTATGTCGGCAAAGCTAGCTTCGGCCCGGGTCCGTGCGCAGTCTGCTCACATCACGCTTGCAATTTAGGAAGTTGATGTGCCTCGATTTGATAGGAATGTGATTTTATTTGATTCAATGAGAAGTCAACCCCCTTATGATTGAGCAGTCGACCGACAAATTACTACCGTGCTTCGTAAGGTGATGCCTCTAGGTTACGCTGGTCCACATACGCCTACGTGGTATACTGATGACATTTGGTGGCCCGCCAATACAGAAATCAAGAACCTAAACATCCTGCTGTGTCATAGCTCGTCTATCAGCTTCACTCTCGGATCGCGAGCGCTTGAATCGCGCCTAGCTTTTCCGGCTGCGTCCCGACCCAGATGACCTATATCTGTTAGCAACTACACGACATGTCAAGTTGTGAGTATACTTACATGCTGATACGCCTTGCGACGGTGGCGAGTCCTTGATCGTTGTCTGCCTCTTTGGTGGCCTTCTCGAGAGCCTGCTCTCGGCTAACCTCCTGAGACTTTCGTACCTCTTCGTGGCTTGGCGGGAGCCTCTCGTTCTGTAGATCGACCTTACGCGCGTCCTCGAAGCTGTGAATCGCCTGTTTGATACCTTCCGCACCAAGCATGAGTGTACCCGCAGGAAGTCGACCGCCCGACGCTGTCTTCAGCTCAGTAACGCGCTCAGACTCTTCACGCAGCACTTGGAACACGCGGGAGAGTCGACCAATAGCCAAAATCTTGTTCTTGATCGCACGTCGCTTGAACTCGGTCGAATCCGGATCGAGACTGGAGAGAGGAGGCGATGATGGTCCTGATGCCAAAGAGCTGGGTGTCTCTTCCTCGAGTTCCTCCTTAGAGCAGGTGTTCAAAATGGCGATGAGCATGTCCGTAACTAGAGCTTGTTAGTCTAAATCCTCAGCGTAGATGATCGCTCCTGCTTACTCTTTTCACCAACGAATGGCAATGACCATGTGAAGACGTCCATGAAGTTAGGCAGCCAGTAGGGATGCGGTGTGCAGTTGAACTGTCGGATGTTCATGACATTGTTCTCGTACTTGAGAACCGCAGCCTTGTTGTTGTACACGTCGAGGTAGTTTGGCGCACTGAAGATTGTCATGACACTAGGGAAACCAGTTGTCCGTGTTTTCCTGTACATTCGGTATCCGGCATCTTGGGCCTCGTGCGCGCGGATGATCGACAAGAGGTTGTTCTTCTCGAGGAAAGCGCACGCGGCGGGGTATGAAAAGAAGTATGAGCATCCACGAACGTGGTTGTGAACGAAGAAATCGTTGGTCTTCTCCTGACCAAACTCCTCAAGTGGGTCGGCCCAGAGAATGTCGCACATGAGGCCGTGGGTGGGTGGCTCGCGGAAACGGTCAATCTACAAAAAAGTTAGAAATGACGCTTGACGGAGAGCAGTTCCACATACGCTCTTCAAATCATCCAGAGTGTGTAACTCAGGGCTCAATCCACCGTGTATGCACAAGAACTGCTTGTTCATGACGGCGGCCAGCGGCAATGCGCAGAACGAGTCCATACATGCTTCGTATACGGCCTCGGAGTACTTGTGCTTGCACTCGAGCTTGAAAGTGAAGTAGTCGGTCAAATGGCGGCACTCGTGGTTTCCTCGAAGTAGCCAGAGCGTGTTGGGGTACCAGATCTTGAGAGACCAAAGGTATAGAACGCACTGCGAATGTCAGCCAATACATAGCGGCCGTCTATCTCCCATCCTACCTCTATACTGAAATAGCCGCGGTCGACGTAGTCGCCCAAGAAGAGGTAGCGCGTCTCTGCTGGGTCGCCACCAACTTCGAACAGCTTCATGAGATCGTAATATTGTCCGTGAACGTCACCGCACACAGTAATGGGTGCGTCCATCTCCAACATGTTGGGCTCCGACTTTAGAATCTCTGTGCCCTTCTTTATGATCCATAGCGCCTGTTGCTCGGTCAAACGACCTTCACGGTAGAAGTGCTGCTTGAGGAATTGGATATTGGGCTTCGTGCGATCCTGGGGGGAGAAGAATTGCTCATCGGTGGGTGGGTGGAAGGCGGGTGCTTGTACGTCTGGCGAACACGGCACAGTTAGCTGACTGTATTCCTCTGCAACGTCGCAAAAGCGCATATCATGGCTAGAAACCAGGCCAGGGTGCATAGACTGAGCATACCTTTGCATACACGTTCCTGTGTGCTCACTTGGTTCCCATCTTCCATAGTATGCAGGGTGAAGTCGATCTCAGGGAGCGGCTTCTTCTCACGGACAGCGCGAATAGCATTGTCAATGTACTGGGACTGGTCGACGTCCTTCTGCTGGTTCTCCATGTTGGGCAGTCTATGCAACAAGCCGTAGGGTGTGAGCACAAGAAGACGGTGGAGGTGAAGGCAGCAAAGTAGTGGGGCGAGCGCAATGACCGCTTAAGCTTGAGTGGCGGCGGCGTGCGAAACGAAGGCCTCGGCGCGTTCTAATTTCTGGGGCCTGACAGCACGAAAGAATAGTAGTCGAATGGCCGTAGGGAGAATTGTCGTTTGGCTCGTCGCGTGCTCGGGTGTGCGCTGGCGACAGGAGCTTAGGGCTGAAAGTGGGAATCAGAGGGGAGGTCGCCGCCGGTCCCCTTGGCTGTTCCCCGTGTGGCTGCTACCCAATCAGAACCCCGTTATCCCAGGGACGTCATAAACCGGTGAATAGCCTCGTGCTTCGTCTTGGCTACCAACTTCGTTGTCGCAGTTGGTAAGGTTAATCGGCCTTGACATGGAACAGTTGAACTCGAGATCATGCACAAGACGATTGCAAGAAAAAAAAAAGCTCACCGTTGACATCCACGTTGGTGCTTGCTGGAGTATTGGGATATTCAGAGCATATTCAGGACATCAAGCAAGCCACGAAGATCAGACAAGAAGATAGTTTCGTAGAACGAAAGAGTGTTATATTTGGTCTTGTACAGTAGGTACAGGGTATATTGCACTCGTAGACACGAGGCTGATCACAGGGCTTCTCTTTAGGCAAGATAATAGGGCATGCCGACCCGATCTAGGGTCGGACATGAAAGAATGTATGTAACAACAGTAAATCGCAAGGAAAGAAGTCACGGGCCGGACCCAAATGGTATCTGACAACGTGAAGAGGTATATGAAGAAAAGACCCAAAGCGCAACCCATCCCATGTGACGACCCAATCGGCAGGTGTCCCGATCCGTGTCCCAAACTCCAAGTATTGCATTTCGTAGCCGACGGCTGAAGGTATGAGAGACTGTCTACGACGTCCCAGTAACCATGCAGAGCACGACTCTTAGACGAAGAGAGACGAGCCGTGGCGGCGGTGGAGGTGGGCGCGAGGAAACTTGGCTGATCGCTTGAGGGAAGCGGAAGCAACAACAGCACCGGCAGAGCAAGACATGCCGTTGGCGAGAGCTTGGGGAACAGCACATCCGCGATTGCAAAGGCCGAACTGGTTCTCGCCAATGCAGACAACAGCGCCATCATTGTCACAAGGGGTGCAGTCACTGCCGCTGGCAGGTGCACTGGGAGTGCTGTTGTCTGGTACCTGAGGAGCTGCGCTGTAGGCCGGTTGCTCAGGAACGCTGCTAGGCTGCTCAGCACCATAGGTAGGAGTAGGTGCAGCAACAGGGGCCGTAGGCTCAGCAGCAGGGGCGGAAGAAGCACCAGGAGCGAAGACACCACCACCGTTGGAGGGCAGAACAGCGTATCCAGAGGTGGCAGCAGGAGCCTCGCTTGATGCGGGTGGTGCAGCGTAACCAGAAGTGGCGGCAGGTGATTCACTCGCTGCGGGTTGCGAAGCTTCGGGTTGGGTAGGTGATCCCATCTGTCCGTTGCCAGCGCCCATCTTGGTCATCTGGTCGCATCCTGCACCGGTAAGAGTGTCACCCAGAGCTGAACCGTTACCCTCAACAACGCTTTGGCCTGGGTTGGGATAGTTGAAGTCCTCGTTCTCGGCAGTGCTGCAGGAAGTATCGGGTAGGTTAGCGACGAACATGTCTGGGAGACTGGAGAAGGCGGCGGAAACGCTAGCAGTTGAAGCCTTGCTTGATCCATCGCCGACTTGAACTGGAGCACAGTTCATGTAGAATTCGCGGTTGCCGACCTTATTGAGCCAAGTCCATGCAAAAGTGTAGCGACCATCTGGGATGTTCTCTGGCATAGTGACAGGGAAAGTGGCTGCTCCACGGCCCTCAGGTGCCTCAGGCAGGTTGCCCGATACATTCGATGGGCATCCGCCAATAACACTGTGGATGACCTTCCACTGAGATTGCTCGGTAGGTTCAGGGTCAGTGGTAAGGGAGAATTGGCATGAACCACCGCCGTGTACAGCAGAGCCCTGGAAGCTGATGGTCTGGGTTTCGCCAGCATTCCACTGGTTCATCTCAGTGATGTCGTACACACCAGAACGTTGCTTGCAAGGGAAATCGCCAGGGGCCAACGGAGAGCTGGTGAGTGTATCTTTGCCGAAAGGGACCGGGTTCAAGATGGTCATATGTGCAGTAGCACTGGCAGCGAGCGCCAGGAGGATGGTGGCCGAGGAAAACATGTTGATGTAGAAAGAGTGACGTGAGAAGTAGATATTCTCGTTTGGATATCGCTAGACCTGCTGAGCGATGGAAGGAATGTGGTGGCTGTAGTTGTCTTGAGTTTGCGGATCAAGTAGTACTTGATATAGACGAGAAGAGTGTGGAGTCTAGCTCTTCGATAACGCACAGCGATTGTAAAGAATGTGATCTGCCACTGGCAAGATGTGCAAAGGCAAAAGAAACAGAGAAGAAGTTTGGTACTGCTGTGAAAAGCCTGTGATGAGAAGAAAAGCAGACGGAACCGTGTTAGGTTATATAATGATGGTCGTTTCTACCCACATGGCTAGCCTGTGGCGGTCGGGAGGGACTCGAACAGCAGTGCAAGGACTCAGGAGCCTATGCCCGGCGGATCATCGTCAAGATGCATAGGCTATTCGACGAAGCAAGGCTTCTCTTGCAACGGTTGACGAGCTTCTTTCGGCTGGCGTCCCCCTCCCGGTTTAGCGGCAGGGGGACGAGCACAGGATAAGTGGTGTAACGTCAAAGTCTTGAGCTCTCGGCAGGCACAATACCGATGCCATTGGCCATGTGGTCATGACAAGAGCATTGTCCATGAAACAAAAAAGCGGAGAGCGACTTAGTTAGGAAAGCATTGGTGCGAGGCTATGGCCAGGGGCCCGACGTCAGGTTTGAAGTTTGTGCCGGCGGTCTGTGTGTTATGCAGGGGAATGCCGCATCCTGGCCTATCGATAACTCCATAGCTGGAAGAGCTAGCTATGGTGTGGAGTGGCGATCGCTTGCTAAAGCTGAAACGATCAGCATCCTTCGCGAAAGTTGCTGCGGAGCCTCCCATTGGCAAGCGTACTCATCTAGAGGCACACCAGGCGTACGCCCATGGCTTGTCTGATAACAAACCACGTCGCACAATCGCGGCTCTTCGCAGGTTACGCAGAGGTTAGTTACCGCCGTGTTTGCGACACGGGCGCCGGACTGGATGCTAGAGACTGAAATGCTTTGGGCCGTCCATCATGACAAAAAACGTTTTTAATTGCAGGTCTTACGGGCGACAGGCCGCGTCGATGTCATCGAACTTCATGCGTCCCGACCTGGGTATCCCTCATGCGCAAGGTCTTTTCTGGGCCTCCACCTTTTAGCCGTCACTTCTGTTACTCTCAATAATATTAGACCCTGATTATCGACAGTCTTCGGTCTATGCATGGTTCATAGCGGCGAACGCTGCTAATCTGGGAGATCGACACAATGCAATGGTCGTGGCCTCGTGTCTTGCTGGCTGCGCCACATCATGAGTGACATGCTTTCGGAGTCAGCGTCGGTGAAGACGAAAAACGTAAGTGTGGCGGATCCAGGAATAAAAGGAGTGTGGCTGTGGCGTCTGGTTACGTGCATATCGTGACCCGGCGGCCGCGACCCGTGGGTCTCGCTCGTTACCGACCCGCCGTCAACATCAGCTCGCGATGGAAAAGCGCCGTCGCCTTTAGGCCTCATCGCTCCAGTGATTGATTGGCTGTACAACAAGTGCAGCTTGTTTCACCAAATTGCTCACGCGCAAACAACCCACAGATGATGGACTGGCGGGGAGCCAACGTTGCCGGGCATCCCTTTCCTCCTAAAAGCTGATCAGTGGGGACCGAAAAGGCTTGAAAGGCTTCGTTTCGGATGCCCCATAAACTACGGGCATTGGACCATCCAACATCAACTGTGAGTTTAAGAACGCCAACAGCGCGAAACAAAACAATAGCAAACCTTTCTCGCTACTATGCCTTACTGACCATGTTGTTGCTGCCGCCCAAAGGGTGCCAACTAGCGCAGTTGGTGCTGGATTTTTGAAGGCTACTGAAACCTATCAGGCGAATGTAAAAATTTGTGAATGAGACATGCAGAAGCCAGCGATGACAGCCGTTCCCCTCTCATCTTGACTGTCGGACATGGTAATCACGGGGAAAGGGTTCAGGCAAGAGGCTCCTATGCCTCACATGCTAGCATGTGATGGATGGTCACCCACTCTTTCCACGAAACACGACTCAAACCACATTTCTTTTCACACCTGCCTTTTCTCCAAAGACTAAATTATTCTTTCATGTTCCATAAAGATGTACCTCCGGCAGTTCCAGTAGTCTTCCCCGAACGCACGAGCTTTACTACGCGTCACCATTCTCCACAACTAGTCGATCCCAAATCTCTTTTCTACGGCTCGGTCGACCATGAACTGCAAGAGCGGGCTAACAGTCAAGTCGCAAGCCTCGACGCTTCTAGTCTTTGCACATGCCAAGTCGAAAGGTAGTCGTCATTTCCGACACGACCATTCACAAGAGGGCGAAATGGTATTCCCGCAGAACGTCGTTTTAGTTAACCATGTCATGGAACTTTCAACCACTGAACGAGCTCACTAACACATTCTAGACTATATGTGATCCGACACGTTCGTCGCGCTCTTTCAGTGCCAACACTTTCTTAAGCAGTAACTCTCTTTCAGCGCCCATCCCACGTGAACCTCAAAATTTCCAGCAAAGCTAGCATTCAATCTTCTCAACACGTCCAGGACTGGTACGCCATTTCCAAGCTGCAGTCTCCATACCCTGATGCAATTTCCTTTATGTGCAGACGGAACGTTGACAGCCGCATATCCCATGTGTCTCCTTCCAGTTGGAGCACTAGGCGCCCGCATGTTGAGCATAGCTTGGTCTGCTACCAGCAACGCTATCCCAGCACCTCGAAACCTGAGCGTACATAGTCAGAGATTGCCTAACCACCAGATAAAGCGGCCTGTAGCGAAGGCCCGTAGGCTCTCAGAACGGAACGGTCGGTATCTGCGATCACTGGCACGACAGAGCCGGACTTTCTGTCTTGTCGCCAGACTTTTTACCAAACACGTAGAGTATGTACTACACTTAACTAGGAGGTCGCTTTCGATAACCCCCTTCCATGTGGCAAACCCTATCTACTTCTGGCGGCTCGTCCGACACACAAACAGTGCAATATCAGTTTTACTCTGTTCAGTCATCTTCTTCGGTGCCTTTGAAGTTGCTTCAACATGAGCGATCCCAAAACCGTAGTGCCCTTCAGCCGCAAACGAAACTAGAGGACAAGCCCATCACATCCATCTTCACATAGAAGAATATCATTGGTAGTATAATCTTACTGTGCACAGGGTTCGAATTCCTCATCTTTTGGGCGGTGAGGTAAGGTTGCAGTTTCGGAAATTGGACGGGTCTTCTTACTTGACGTTCTTCGGTACTTACGTTACTTTTTCATAGGCGGCATCCACAACCTACTGCGCCACGTGCAGAAGGTTGTGGTAGTTCCAGCATGTGAACAGCTCCGGCTCCCAGTCGCGCTCTGGTAGTATTGATGATCTCCATCATCATAGCTAACGCTGTAATCACCAATGTGATTGGTTGTAGATTAGTGAGTGGTTTATGTTGCATGACCTCAGGCTCCACTCTACACTACCCGAATTATTTGGCTTTATCCATCGTCTTACTGAACCACCTCCAGATGAGCTTCGTGACTGAGCATGGCGAACAAAACAAGCTTGGCTTCAGTCCTCTAGGTCACCGTAGTAGAGCGGGTAATTACATCTATCCAATACAACCACAGCGACGATGGTAATCGCCAATGTATGTGATCTGGTTGTTCATTCGCTCGCCATTAAATTAAAGCCGAGGAGCCTCATCACGAAGCAGTCCCTAGCGTTCTCTCTCGACTACTCTCAACTATTGTCAACTAGCCGATCCCTACCGCCAAGACCCACCCTTTTCCCCAACCATGTCGTTTTGGACCTGACTCGCACAAAGGGAGTCTTTTCAATGCCAATATGCACGCGGCCATCGCCCGCGCCAACAAAACTTCCATATCCGTACTTCGAATCAATAGCCTCAAGATGCTGAGCACGGCCCTTCTTGTCGAGATGTGATGTACCTTGTAAGTCCTGCACAGCAGAGCTAGCAGCGAACAAGGCTATCATAGAAGCTATCGAAATGGGGAGCCGCGCAAGATACTGGCCTGGCCGGTATAGATAGACGAAGACGGCAGCGACAGTGTAAATGCAGAGAATAGCCTCTGCGATGATGAACATAGGCATGGATACGAAAATGTGCTGCGTCTGTTCGAGTTTCCATGCTTGTAAGGTGGGTGCTGGCGTGTCGGATTTCACAAGCAGCAGATCTTTGTTTGTACCGAGCCAAATAGCGAAAAGCTTTGAGTAGGCATCGCTTAGCGGCTTCGCGACGTCTTCGAAGGTTGGTGGTGGTAGAGATGGGTCTATCAGACGACTGCTGTTGCTGCCTCTCCTAACAAAGTAGTTCATGAAGTCGTCGGCGAAGCTGTCGTTATGCCAACCGTTCGCGTCGTACTTGAAGAGATATTTGTTCGATTGCCCTATCAGATTGATGGGTTCGTTGGTGAAGACCTCCTTTAATGTCTCGTTCGATGTACCAATCTCTGTGACGAAGTCAGTGTGGGTAGCTTTTTGGTGGAGTTTGCCGTTTGCTCACCTGCGAGAGTGAAGTTGTTCGCCTTTCGCACCAAGCGACCAGCTCCATCAACTTGAATCGTTGCAGTACCCATTTGGAATTTTGGACGGCACCGAACAAACATCGAATTGCTCTCGGTGATGGTCAGGTTCTTACCAAGAGGGCACAACCCTTGCGGTTCGCGCAACCAGCCCATAACAACTGTACCCATACACACATCTTTCTCACGTTGTGTCGAATTGATACGGGGCTGCAGAACTGAAACAAGCTCTGCAGCACTAGAGCCCGTAACACATGTAAGTGTTGCGCTTATAGGTCCTGGCCTCAACGTGAGGCTTTGACTGCTACACCGAACATTGCCATCCTCAGTAGGTACCGTAACGTTAATGGATACACGTATGGAACTATCGACATCAATTCTGGCATTGACGTCTTTGCTGAGCTCCAGCTCTTCACAGTCGAGCTCGGCACCGAAGGCTTGGGTAGTTGCTTCCATGCGCGAGTTATCTGAGCCGTTGATGCTATTTCCACTCTCGTTGGTCCACGAGAAAGGACGATAGAAAAGACGGTCGTCTGTCCATGCTGGTAACGGTGTATCTCTCGTGTAATTCGACTCTGCGATCAGAAACTGGTCTTCCCCGTTCCCTCCTTCGTAGGCACCAGAAGATTCGTGAGAGCCAAACTGCTGGTGGCTCTCGGGACCCACACTACCATTAATGGTTACGAATTTGAGATCAAACGTCGACACCATAGTCTGGGACTGTCGTACTTCAGTTGAACTTTGATTGAAGATGCCTGAAAAGGCGACCGCGAGCACGTTGGACAGTAGTGCCATGCCACATACAGCAGCGAGAACGTAGTGCTTGGACTTGAGAGCCTTGAATATGACAAGCTGTGGGGGTAGAGAACTGTAGTCTAGGTCGATAGACTTCTTCGCTTTTGCGTTGCAACCCTGCAACTCTTCTAAAGGTCTCAACATGCAAAGAAGTCTGTTAATTAGAACCCACATGGGCTCAATCAGAGTAGCAAAGGCTGTCGGTACATAGTTTTCAAGTATGTTTTGCACTATTGTGTTGGAAGAGGGCAATGGAAGACCTGTGATGGGTTAGCATGTTATGCCTCGTCGAGTCAGGTCTCATGTACGTACCGTTGGCTCGCGCCTTCGCAAAGATCACACCAAGTACCACTGCGAGGACGATGAAAAGGTTGATGAAGGGGGCTGCAACCCATAGACTGAACTCCTTCGGTCGAACTGGTTTTGCGATGTTTGTCGGTGTGTCGCGGCGCTGTCCAGAAGTCAGAAGTTGAGGTCCAGCACTAAAGTCGATGGCATCGTCGATCTCTATGATACTATCACTCTGGTCAGCATATCATGGCGTCTGGTAAATATTATTAGCGTGACCTACGAAGTCCGTGAATCCTCATTGATTAACTTGTACCTCTTCTCTCCGATTATGTGTTGCATATCTTCAACAGGGCAGCAGTCCAAGTCTGCAAAATCTAAGAGTAGCGGCTCATTGTCTGCAACAATAGACATGACACTGGCGATAGTGCCCATGTTCGTCCGAAGGGATCTCTTTTGCATAAGCGATAGCACGAGTAGAGCAATCGTGGCGATCGATATTAGTCCTAATAGACCCTCCACGATGTAGACGAACACTGGTTCCAGTACGACTGCCTCACTGGTGACTCTCTGTTGACCAGAAGTTGTATCGAAGGTTGAGAAGCTGTTTCCGAGAACGTCGACCATTGCGCGAGCGAACAAGACCCGATAAGCTTCCGCGTAAGCTTTGCTCAGACCCTTCCATTCCAGGTAGCTTTCCAGCGTATCGGTACCAGCACCGATCGCGAGACCGACCATAGGTTGAACAATACTCCCAGCACCAACGCTGAGGCTCAACTGTCCATTTCTAGCCCGGGCAATAGTCTCTATATACCTGGGCGGTGATTTTGCGGGAAGTATGTCGCCACGGACTTCGCCACTCAATGAACCGGCGTTCAATAGAGTCTCGAACATAGTCGTATTAAAAACGTGCCATGGTAACGGTTCCTTGTCAGTCAAAGGTTCGACCTTCAGCGGCATTCTCGTGGTCATGTCCACTGTCGCCATGACTGCTTGTTGGTAATAGAGCGGTTTGCAAAATACTGCAGTGACGTCCTCTGGAGGATCTTCCGAACGGGCCTGTGGGGGAAGTCAGTCCGGTGTCTGCAAAAATCATTGGGCAGCTTGTGTAGGCCGACTTGAATGTACATGTCGAAAAAGCAGCGGTGACTCGATTGCGTATACGGTACGTACCTTGTTCTTTGAGAACGCAGCATAAAAGGTGGTGTTGGAGGACTCATCGCAAACAGAGTCCAACGAGAAATCGGCAAATCCACCATTGTGATAACTTTATGATGATGCGGTGTCAGTCACAAGCCACTTTAGAGATGCAAATCTGACTTACCCAACAAACATGCTTACATAATCTTTGTTGGCGTAGGCTTCCCCTTCGTATCCAGGGATATTGCCCTTCGTCACGTTACCAGTCAACCCAGTTGTGAAGTTACAGCCGCTGTTACTGGTATAAACGACTCTCGTGCTGTTGTCGGCCTTGTGTGACACGTCCTCACAATAAAGGTCGAGAGAGTATTTGGTAGTACGAGTGGTCCATATCCCACTCGCCTGACCAGTAGTGTGCAAGTCGGTAGATGGTCGGAATGGTGCTAATGTGTAGTTGCGGCCCATGTATTGCGGAAGTGTTTCATTCAACGAGACAATACCGTAGGTTGACTGCATATAGCCAAGGTTCAGTGTGCTCGATTGTTGTTCAATTGGGATGGAGGATGTTGATACGGCGAAAGTCGTGCTCGTAGTTCGCGTGACTGTTCGCACCGAAAATATACCAGCTTGTAGAGGGACTACACCCCATGTTACGAGAACGACAGCGAGTGAAGCCCAGAAGACTGGCCAATGCCTGCCATCAATTAGCACTGCATAAGAGATTAGTGAACATGGACCATGTCCATTATTAACGATCTAGGCTTAGGTGTACGCATAAACCTTACGAGTAGAGGCTGAAGAGAGACATGCTACTTACCGGTCCTTCGCAGCCTTGAATGGTACCAACGGTACGAAGTCAAAAGGGTAATGCAGAAGCAAAGAATCTTTTCCCAAAGCGCCATCTTTCTTGCTCAGTTGGTAGTATGGCTCCAGTCGTTTCGTCTCTAAGTCGATCCATGCCCAGTAGATACTAAAGATTACGGCGACAATCGTCGGAAAGTAAAGATACAGAAAGGTCCGGCTCAAAGGAAGGTCGTTAATTTTAGGAGCAAAAACTATTCCTTTATCTCGCTGACTGCATATGAGCAGATATTGGAGAACGGCAATAATGGCCCAGCAAATTAAGATCGTGAAGATGAGAACGGGTGCGCGCAGCGCTGTAGATTTCCAAAGCTTGGCTGTTACCAATTCGTCAACATGACTCCTGTTCACATTATTTCAAGCATAACGTACTTTGATGTTCGTCACCACGCTTGAAGACTGAAGTGATGGTATGCGACTTCTTAGGTCCAGCAGAATCTGGGAAGCTTGATCGCGCCACAGGCGCCAGGCTGGCATCCATCGCGAAGAAAAGAATACGCGACAACGAACAAACGGAAAGGAACCGCAACGCAAAGGGTGCAGCGTAACGGAAGTGGATTCAGGCATTCTACATGTTGACAGGATAGATACTTAACAGCATTATCGTGGAGCATAAGCGCCCCCAAAACTCAAGGCGCGAGACTGCGCCGCATTGGTGGACGCTACCCAATCATTTAGCGACCGCAGTCCCGATTTGGAAACGAACCACAACCTCGGAACGCGACAACTGTCGGTAGTCGCCAAGTGTCCAATACGATGCTCGAGATGTGCGGTAAGTGGATACATACTTCCTGTACGAGTGAAATGCAGGTACGGTGGCTTTATTTGCGACATATCTTGTAGATCTGCTGGCATCGCGGCCTTGGCTTCGCCGCTCACGACATTGTGATATCCGACAACTGTGCAGCAGACGCTCGAAGTCCTCGCTGTCTGCAGGCTCTGATGGCAATTTACTACAACCGGTTTACCTGGTAATGAATTCAGTCATTGTATGTTAGCGGAAGGCCCCTACTTCGCGCCTCCTGCAATATTGTAAGTGTTGAACAGTGCCTGCATGTATCGGTACTCACCACCATGTGCGGAAGTCAACAGTTGATACATCAATACCCAGATCTCGGAGTGCGCTAGTATCCAGATGGCAATCGTAAGGCCTGATGGTGCCGTCTTTTGGTTCTTCGTCAGGTTTGAAGGGTTCCATATTGTCAAGTGGCAACCCCATGATGTCGGCAAACGTCTGGCAGATTTGCCATTTGGTCATCCGGTCCTCAGAGCTGAATTGGAGAACACTTGGTAGTTCACGGTCCCTATATTTATTGTCAGTACTGGATGACTGTATGCGCACATCTGTCTGCAATTTGAGCGTAGCTTACGCGGTTGCTGGATCGAGATACAGCTTTGCTATATCACGACACACTCGGCCAACATCCTGTGTGTTTGTAGGATATCGAAGCGCATAGTCGTCTACCCCGATTTTGGGCTGGCCTTGTTCTATCTGTTGAGCGTTCCACAATTGCGACATCAGCACATTAACTGCACTGTCTTTTGGCTCATCGCAAGATCCGTAGAGAACTGGGACTCGAAGAACGACGACTTTGTTCTTCGTACCCGTAGTGCGGGCAACCTCAAGGACAGCCTGTTCGCCTTCCAGCTTAGTTTGACCATACCTGATAAATCTCGTCAGCCTGACTTTGACACAACATACAGAATGGCTCCGAATTAACCTTGCGCTGTTGAGCAGGCTTTCATCACAGAACCCAGTATCGTAAGATGTACCACCCATGCCCAGGTGTCATGTATTAGATTAAGACTTACGCATTTGGTGGGCTCGGCGACGAATTCGTCTTGTAAGGAGCTTCTCCAGGTCTTCCAGCAAAAACGTAGTCTGTCGAAATATAGATAAGAAGGATTCCCCGAGAGATGGTAGCCTCAGCCAGGGCTCGACTCGCGTCTACGTTCAGTCTTCTCGCTGCTTCTGGGTCTTTGGTACATGAGTCTGGGAAGCGGTTTGCAGCACAGTGTACGACGACTTCCGGTTTGATTTCATCGAGCACCCTCACAATCTCATCCTGATTCAAAACATCCAGCTTCACCACATCCGGAGAAGTGATGCGACTTACACCGGTTCCGATTGACCTCCAACCGTCTAGAAGAAACTCTCGCTGCACTTGACGGCCAAGCAGACCACTAGCTTCGCTCTGGCGTCAGCTAGCAGTATAGCACTGGTGGAATCTGCTTTACCTCCAGTGATCAATGCTCTCTGCGCCATCCTGATACTATGCGGGTCGAAGAGGCCTTGAGGTAAAAGCTTCGGTCAAGTAGGCAAATTGATGAGGATGACGGAGTGGTGGAGCTGTCACGGCTCCAGCCAGGGCGAAGTTGCGCGCATTATCACGTGTTAGCGAGACCCTGAATCCCTGCAAGCTCGCCGCGACCGCTCGATTGTCGCGACGCAACAAGCAACTCAGGGCTTACACGACACATTACAGCCACCATGTCGACGATAGTAAAGGAAGCTTCCCAGAGCTCATACCCGTATGTTTAAGAAGTCGTGTTCGCAACTCTGGCTAATTCAACTAGTCCCGTCATTCCCAAAGACTTCAACGGCAACCAGCCCAAGACCATTCGCTTGTTCCCTCTCAGCAACTACACCTTTGGAACCAAAGATGGCCAGCCCGAAGAGGACCCCTCGGTACTCGCCCGGCTCAAGCGATTAGAAGAGCACTACTCGGAGCATGGCATGCGACGAACTTGCGAAGGCATCCTGGTTTGCCATGAACACAACCACCCGCACATCCTCATGTTGCAGATCGCAAACGCCTTCTTCAAGCTGTACGTCTTCTCGTCGCCTATAGCTGTTCTTACTAACGTCATATAGACCTGGCGACTACCTTCGTGCTGAGGATGACGAGATTGAGGGCTTCAAGGCGAGGCTGAACGAGCGCCTTGCACCAGTTGGAACGCAGTTTACTGGCGAGGGCGTCAATGACGAGTGGGTGGTTGGCGATACACTGGCACAGTGGTGGCGGCCCAACTTCGAGACCTTCATGTACCCCTTTATTCCTGCGCATGTCACCAGGCCTAAAGAGTGCAAGAAGCTATACTTCATTCAGCTTCCTCGCAGCAGTAAGTTGACTCGCGTATCTTCTATGTTTTTTCCAGTCGCTAATGTTTCGCAGAGGTCCTAAGCGTTCCGAAGAACATGAAGCTCCTCGCGGTTCCGCTGTTCGAACTCTATGACAATACCGCACGATACGGACCACAACTCTCGGCAATCCCTCATTTGCTCTCCCGGTACAACTTCGAGTTTGTCGATGAAGAAGGAAATGTCGCAGCGTGCACGCCTGGTGTAGGTCCACCAGAAGGATACCGGCCTCAGACCAAGGTCCTAGCAGGTGGAGATGGGGACGATACCAGGATGGAACAGAACGGAGACGGAACCGGTAGCGATATCACTCTCTCGTAGAGCGCTCTCTGTTATCACTCCGCTCTCTGTGTTTTGTCTTGCTAATTCATACCCGGTGTCAGGCGTTCCGAGAGCGAAGGCATCGTGACTAGGCTGGTTTGGCCACGATGCCTGTGTTTTGACAGGAGGCTCGATGTCTCCATTATGTCAGGTTCGGTACATAAATCTAAGGACGATGCATAGCAACGGGTTCCGTGTTCACGATCTACACACCTTCAGTCGCTACCGATGTGCGACCGTGATGCTGGACTGGTGCACAGCTAGAAGCAGAGTTTTTTTCCTCAAATGAGGACCCCATATATGTCCCGTATACTGCAAGCTACTATAGGCTACGAAGTGCATCCATCAGAACACGGTGTAGGAAGATTGGCTACAATAAACTGCAAGTTCTTCCAAGGCTTTGTTCACTCATGACTGGAAGTCGCTTAGGTCGACCACCAAGGCCGTTTCGTGGAGAACTCTGGGTCGACTACCAACCTTTGCAACACCATGCGTCCCATTGGCTGGTGGTCCACACAATCTCAGGTCTTCTTATACTTTCTTCCTGTAGTCCATACAACCCATGGTGATGCTAATGGTCAACCTCATAGGAAAATGGCTCGGCTGCCTTCCGATGGCGACCTGTTGCTAGTTTACCAGATATTTAGGAGTTTTCGTCGAGCCGGCTTACTACAAGAGCACTCGATCATTCCTTCTTCTTTTTCTTTCTACTTCAGATTATCACGATAACTTCTAGGCTCAGTACGAATCAATCTGATCAGACAAATCCTCACACGAAAGTACTAGCTCTGTTTGCCTACCTTTCGCTATAGCCAATTAACACCTTGAAGTCTCAAAAAACTACCACTCTCGTAATACCCACTCACGCCTCTCTTCTGCTCAGTACAACTGATACCCTCAGCTCTCCCTGGAAAATGCGTCTCTTCGTCTCCATCTCTGCCGCCGTGGCCCTCTTCGCCGCCTTTACAATCGCCGGCGACCATAGTAACCGTATCGTTTGGCATGAACGCCCAGTCAAAGAGCAGTGGGGTTGCGTCACCACCTGCAGGGCTGCCTTCGTCAACAACAATGAGTTCTACAGGACACAGTGCGCCGTCTGTATGGACAGGATCAGGAACACCGTCTGCCTTGGCTGCGCACGCGCCTACAGAGAAGGAAGAAATAAGCACGATACGGACCTGATTTGCAACAAGTGCCGTCATATCTGTAGGTGTCCATCTATGAACTACAAGTGAAGCATACACTAACTTCGTACACGCACATCTAGCCGACTACGATTCCACGTCCGACTTCACGGATGACTCAATGTCGGATGCGAAGGAGTGGCTGGGTCCATTAGATCCTTAGAAAAGTTGACAGAAGGGTCGGCGAGTACTCTAGGGTGTGTTTAGTTGTTGTGGGTTGGTGTTCTTTCTGATCCATGGTTGTGGGAGGGGGAGCTGGATCCATAGCGAGGTAGAAATATGGATCGATTCTTTGCACTTTGTGGGTAGGGTGACTGACATATAAATGTGCACCGCGTGAAATGTTGTATGTAATCGTGATTCAGGTACTTCTCCCTAGGGCTTGGGGAACTTTCTGGTATCTCTCTCTCCAGTGGTGGCTAATTCGACCAGTATCTCTACAACTTTGGGCACGAAACCTTGACCGACGCGAACAACCCACGAGTGCATTGTTTGTTCCACGGCTGCTATGCTGTGCCTCTGCAGTCACTCCCACTATGAGTCGAAACCTCGCACTTACTACAGCGACGAAAACACCCGTCAGTCCATCTCTTTGGAGCAAAATAGTGGACTTACCCGATAGAAGACTTGTACCACGCGAACACTGATCCGACATTCTGATATGATATGCAACGATCCTTACCAGGGAGCACGTTGATATTGTAGGAAGGGCTGTCATTGATCCTGCACTCGAGGCCGGTGAAGACCCAAATTTTGGCAAGGTTTTTTGGCAAGGAACCTGCCAATGGGCCATCGACTTGGTATGTTATTTCGGAGGCGTCTGCCACTGCTACTGGTACTGACTGTTGTTCTAAAATTGGTTCGGGTGCAGAAATGGCCATAGAGGTAGCTGCCAGAGAGCTGAGACTGATTAGAGGGGTGGAGACGTGCATCGTGGCTTTCTTGTGGGGTGAGGTTCTGAGCTAGAACGTGCTGAAGTCGCTCCAGTGGAGATCTCCAATAACGGTTCAAGCTGCGAATTATATATGCTTAGCTTGCGATGTTTTTACTATAGAGATATTCCTATATGGTTGAGGCCAAAGTGACTGCCTTTACAGCAAAATTCCTCCAAGCCATGTGTGAATGTTGGCTACGAAAATCTCCCTACCACAGATCTCAAATATGTTCCATAGTCTATAGGGTCGCGGCCATCATCGCCACGTTGGTGTGAAACGATTTTGTGGTGAACGAAGGCTTTTCCGCATGTATGTAGTGTGTACGGCCATCTTGCATACATATCGTATGGTCCTGTGTTCGCACGTAATGGCAACAATATATGCGCAACTGATCAGAGGTACAGTATTGCTGTTTGAGAAATGCCTCTTTCGTGTACTTGTTCCACAGTGTCGTGTGTGGTGGTAGATGTGGAATGTTGCTAGTAGGTCTGGAGGCCAGTGACACCAGGTGCGGCTAGAGTGTCTGGCAATAGTTGCATTCCCAACTTAGCTGTGTGTGTACGAAAGAGGTAGTAGTATTTCCTTGACTAGCTCCAAGTAACCAACAGCGGAGATGTTAGCACTCACCTCTAAAGTAACCCTACTACAGCCCATGCATCCAGCTCAACAACAATCATGTCATTCTCCACTGATGAGGTTGTAAGCCCCATTTATTTTAATTAATATGTAGGGTGAGGCCCTGTTCGCATGTTTCTGGAGAAAACGAGTGTGAACACTACCACTAGGTCGTACCGAGCTCAGGAGCAGATAAAATTATCAGTACCACGGGATTGCTTGTAAGCTGTAAATACTATGGGTTTCCATTTTCTGGGTACACGTAATATACATTATGCTAGAATAGACATTATATACTAACTAGGTAGTGAAAAGAGAGACTTGCGGGTAAGCTCAACATAAGGAAATATTTGGGAGAGAATGGTGCATAACGAGCGTTGCGACATCCAGTATGCGGGTCTACCAATGCGACAGTAGACTTATGACAGTACGACCTGCACAGTCCTAGCAATGCTAGGAACCCCCTCCTTCGACATGACAAAGACGTAATAAGAACCCGGAATAAGAATTCCGCTATCATCGGGCAATGTGGCAGTGTATTTGCATCCGTCCCCCTTGACTTGAGTAAGCGGAACACGTCGCTGATCGGTGTTGACTGAATGTGTGACGCTGCCGATGCGAACCAGGCTGAACTTGAGGCCTGGTGCTGAGGTCTCGACTTCAATAGTCAACTCACTACCAACTTTGACGCTTTCTGCGCTCAGAGAGCGGATCATAGGACGTGTCGCAGGAGTACCGTCGGTGTTGAAGAGATATGGTGGTGAGAAGATCTGGCCATCGGCGTGGTCGACGAGTTTGTTGCAGTTGGCAGAACTACGGCCGACTCCCTGGGCGACGTAGCAGAGACCGCCACCGCCACTGAAGACACGTCCATCGGCTAGTAAGATACTGACCGAGTGGTAGTTGCGAGGTACGGCCTGTGGCGCAAGAACCTTCCAGGACTTTGTGGCTGGGTCAAAAAGCTCCGGGTAGAGAGCTCCATCGTCGTCTGTGAACACTTTTGATCGTTTTTGGCCACCACTTACGAGGACCGTTCCGTCAGGCAGAACGACCGCATTGGAAAATCCGCGAGGGTAAGTCATATCCGCGACACGCTCGACCTTTGCGGGGGTGTTTGGCTCGTTGATGGTAGTGATGTGGGCCCGGGCATTGGCATCTGAGTCGGTGTAGTCGGGAGCACCGCCAGCACTGAAGATCTTGCCGGCAACCGCATCGTACATGACAAAGATACCACACATCGCATCATCAATAGGGTCACGTATACCAGCAGCGACTTGCGATCCGGTTCCCTTGGTGCCGTACCAGTTCATAGCTTTGCTTGGACCGGCTTGGAAAACAGAGGCGTTCTTCCAACCGAACAACCACGCATGGTTGTCCTCGCGCCAAATTCCTTCATGGTCGGTCGTGAGCATAGCCTTCATCCTCGCATTTGGCAGTGCTGTCCAGGTGTTGGTAGAGGGATCGTATACCTCACCGTCCTTTCCCTTGCGGGGACCAGAGTATGCACCTCCGATGGTGAAGACGCGATTGTCGGACGTCGTTGCGGACGATTGGTAACCGCGGGCCATTTTCCTGAGTAATGTCAGTATCGTCATTGAATAATCTTCGAGATGACGTACATGTCAGGAGCGCGAGTGAAAGCATTCGACGCTGGATCGTAGATACTGGCGGCAGAAGCATCAGACCCTCCTTGAATCAAGAGCTGCCCGTTCTGGAGACTGCTCATTGCGGGACAGAACATGTCGTGATGGGTGTTGCTCACCGTACGAGCTGACACAGCGCCACTACAAAGCCTGTTAGTATCGGTCAGTACCACAGTATCAGTACGGCTTACGTGTTGAAGTTATAGTCCGCAAACTGTGTGCGTCCACCAGCACCACCGAAAGCATCGGCACCCCAACTCGAGAAGACGAGAAGACGTTGTGAGACAGGGTACTCAGGAACGACATATGCGGCGACAGGAATGACAGGAAGGCGGATGAGGTCTGACCACTCGCCGTCCTTTGCAGGCGCGGGCGCGACGTTGAGACGCATCACATCGTAACGTTTGTCGGTTGACCAGATCAAGGTATTGGTGCGCGAATCAGCTTTGATGTGGCAGGCCATCTTGGCAGAGTCGTAAACGGCTGCGGTGCACGTAGCCCAATTGGCACAGAGGTAGGCGCAGTTGTCGAAAGTCTTTACGCCTTGCCATATTTTCTCGCTTGGTCCACGGATATCGGTGCCTGGGCAGATGCTGTATTGTTTCTAGTGGTACGGTATCAGTATACGAAGCCTTCTCTGAACATAGCGAAAGCAGACCTACCCGGTTCCTATGATAAGTCCATTCGTTGTGGGGGCACCGAGCGATGTTGACCTGCTCCGCTTGAATGACTTGGAAACGGTCATTGGCAACCCAAGTCAGGCCAGTAAGATCCTTGAAGTGGCAGGCTTTCGTCCGGGTATCATACACCGCCTTGAAGCAGTCCATACTCTGGTCGCAGAGTTTTGCACATGCTGTGACCGAGGCAACCCGCTTTATGGATGTCGAAGGTCCAGTGAGATCGGTACCAGGGCATACTCGATATCTGATGCCTTCTGCTCCAGTAAAAACATCATCGGTACCAGGGCAAGCATTAAGGGCGTGTGTGAAATGTAAAAGAATGGCTGCCGAAAGCACGGCGAAGAGATTGCGGACCTGCATCTTAGATGTGAGTTCAGACAACTGGCCTGAGGCAAGAATTGGAGACCTGGCGTCAACTTGCTATATACTCGTTCCAGCCACGATCCTGTATTTGTGACCCACACATAGGAGTCTGCAAAAGTGGATACCTGTGAAACAAGCGGGAGGATTGTAAACTTAACATCTTACGGGATAGCGTACTACTGAGATAGGAACTGTTCGTGAGTAGCTACCCTGTACATGTTCACTTATATGTCGTATTTTAGTATGTTCGATAGCGCTAGAGGTTCCAAGTCCGGAAATGCCAGGGGTTGATAGTAACGGTAGCGGGCCGAGACACCCAGCTAGGTTAGTCTTGATGCCACTATCGGTATGCTCGGCCTTCTTGGAGTCATGCCATCGACTGCGCCCCAAGCAGATGCTCGAAAGGATCGTGGCTGTTTTGTCGTGATGTGGGGTGCTGCAATGCCGTAATAAGCTGCTGGAGAACGCAGATACGTACACCCAAGACTTCTACAATGTCCGGAACAGTATGAGTCTCCTCTCCGGTCAAGATTCCATAGCCAACAGCGAGATACACACCTTGAATGAACTACTAAAGTATTACAGCGATGGTTTTACACGAGCCAGCTGGGTGATGGTTGGCTCCTTGTCAGGCTGCTTGAAACGCCAAGGCCACCGCTCCACCCACCCCTGCGCCCATCAGGGAGACGTTATCTACAAAAAGGAACTCCAGTTGAATAACCACCGTCAAAACTCCGCTCCTGTTCCCAGCGCATGAGAAACGTAGAAACAAGTCTATTGGAGATACAATCGCAGACCCACACGACTTTAGGCCGGTTCATGAAAACGCGCTGAATCGCAATGGAATGGGATCACGGCTGCGACAACAGAACTAGAGGTGTTAAAAAAAATAACAGACGTCAGTACGTGACCTGGAGTACATGAGACGGTTGAGACACCCTGGCGTAGATGCGGCTAGGTGAGCCGAGACGTTGTTCGGGTGTTGCACCGGATCGCTGACTCGGAACTGAAAGGAGCTCGGTGAATCTGTCATAGTGGCCTGGACACCCTGGCTGTCGATACTCGAGTCAGTATATGGATACAATGAGATCTTGTCATGGTCATGGCCTTCATGGGGCGCATTCAGATATCATCTGAGTATTCGAGGAATAAAAGTCTCTATCGTGAATACATCAGCTTTACCAGCCTTGACCAGGCATTGCGCTCCAACTAGGGATCGGCCAAGTCCATGGACTGCCATTGAAGTTGATCGGAGCTTGTGTGAGGTCCATAGGGAAAGCCCCACCGTCCATATTCATGCTGCCGGTAACTCCTAAATGGGAGCCGAGACTCTCCAAGTCCATGAGCTCGGATGTCTGTGGGTTGGCGCTATCGGAACCTGGTGTGTGGAATTGCACTTCCGCCGCTCTTTCGTTCACGAGTGCCATCTTCCTTCTGATATCCGTCACAATCTTAGGTGGCTCTGACTGTGCAGAAACTGCCTCACGCGCAGCCCAAGCTTGAAGTACAAGCCCCGCAAATATGGTGAAGAAGGGGTTGTTGGGCTTGGTCTCCACCGGACTGTCCTTTTTCTCGAGATCCATCAAACGAGCGGCACAATTATCGCTCATTGCCTGCCACGATCGGTCTGCATATTCGCCCAGTGGCTGCCTTTTCAATGCTTGAACAAGATGAACATAGACGGGGAAGGGGAAGTTCAGGTAGACGACCCAACGGAAGCTTTTGATGAGGGGTGATGTCATAAGCATCGTATCGCACTCAAGCAGCCGAAGCGCAAAAGCAAGACCAAGGTTGCGTTGCTCGTCACTCTCCTGTCCAAACTTCTGCGAGTTGGTCGATAAGTAGTGCGCAAATCCGATTTTTGCAAGCGACGCGCGTGCCGTCCATATAGTCAGGAAGTGCAGCGGGTTCTGGGCATCACAATGCGCGAGATACTTTTGCTCCATCATCGAATCGAACGCGGTAAGTTCATCGAGTTCCGAATAGGGAGAGACAGATGCCTTCTTGGAAAAGGTTTTCAGGGCCGGGTTGATGAAATCCAGGTGAGAGGAGCTTTGGCGCACGAAGTTGCCAATCTGGCTCCGCACAACTGCAAACAGTGCTTCGGATATTTCTACAAACTCGACAGGCGGAGTCTTCATCTCAGCTCGTAAACTGAAATCGTTGACGTTAAGCGGAGGTTTGCAGTCCCACGTGGGAAGCAAACTAGTGGTCTTGCACTCAGTCATCTCGGCCATACGATTATCGAATAGTGTGAGAGACCACCATAGTCGCCTGCGGAGCTCGGCCTCTAGCACGGAATGCCTGGTGTTGGTAGATTCTGTGTCGATACCCATCCGTTGGGCAATGCGAACAGCAGCTCCTAGCATGGACGACAATGACCGCGGATCAGTGTCCGGCTTTAGCGAGATCAGGTATAGATGAAGGGCTGTCAAACACTCTCGATCGCTGGACTTTAGGAAATCACAGTTTACCAGCGCCTCTCTTGCGCCTAGCTGGTAGCCTCTAATGATGTCTGGCCTAGGCCTTCCAAACATCGATTGACACTGCTCTTGATTGAGACTGAAGATAGCCATGCAGTAGATGGAAAACATCAAAGCCTCCAAATTACGATCGATGTTGGTGATATTGCTAGCAGCATCGATGATACGTGCTTGGAGAGTGGGCGTATGGGTGAGCTTCAATAGTGGATCGACATTTTCCAGGTACAGTTGCCAGAGTTTGAAGATCTGGGTTTGTGGTGGATGCAGGGTTGAGAGGTTAATATCTGCACTACGCGAGCAAAATAGTAGGTCTTCGCTGCGGTGTAGTTCGTGTGCATAGAGATGATCCCATGCTTTCACAATCTGTGCTTGTCGTAACATGTGTCGCGAAGAGCCACTGTGATCAGAATCATCGTCGCTAACGTTATCATCAGCATCGTGTGCTCTTCGATTCATGGCATGCCAAAAACTCCTAGCGCAGTTAGAAGTGTTTGTTCCCAGTGCTACAGCTTCTGCATACTTGGCTTGAGCATTTTCAGTATCTGCGGTGAAGGATGACTGAGCTTTTGTTCCCTCCAGATAGCGACTGTCGCCTCTTTCGTCGGATCGGGTTGACGGACTCGCAGACGCATGCAAGGGCTGGAAGGAAATGCCGTTCTTCTTTAGGAGATCCTCATAGTGGCGCAGGCGATCGAGCAACTCCCGCTCAGGAAACCTGCGGCGTCGCTGCCGGGGTATCGTCGCAGCGGATATGCATTGTGCGCCAGCTTTAATGCAGTTGGAACAGGGAGATTTCCGATCGCACTTGACTTTTCTTTGCGCACATAGCAAGCACGAGAGTACGCGTTGCGGCTTGCTTGTAGCAGCCAGCGGAGACAGGGCATCAGCACTGAGTTCAGGCGTAGGTATGTCCGACGACATTTTAAGGGATTACTTTGTCCGCTGGGACCGAAATGGTGATCGTGTATGTCAGCTGAGAGTGAAAGGGACACCCACAAGAGCTCCGGGTGAGGAGTAGACGAATATCAGGCAACCACGTGCGAGCCGCTAGGCAGGACCCTGCTTATTTCTGGGCTACGCAGTCCTGGGCTGAACACACTGAGTAGGAGCATTGTCGATTGATGCGGGTAATACGACCCTTCCGACATAGAAGGCGTTCTCATGATATCAGAGGGGCGCAAGAGGGTGCCCAAAGAACGCGTGAGGCTTACGTAACGCGCACTCGCGATCACTTTAGTTGCGTTTTTCTATACCACGTTTACACCCTCTTCGATGTTTGCAGTAGCATCGTAACGTCCACCAGAGTGATCCTGATGAGGCTCTAGACTATTCATACGTGGTAACGCGTGCCTGACATGTGAATATACAGCGACGCGCACTATATGTCTAAAAGATTCCTCGTTGCATGGAGCAATGCGGCTTGAGCCGACGCGCACACGTCACTTCTGGCCTGCTTCTGGAGAAGAGTGGGCGAACACTGATATTGAGTCCACGATTGCCTGACGGAGTTTGAGTCTGACATAGTGTCTATGATGTCTATTGTGTGTGGATGTAAGCCGCTCGGCCAGATCCAACACCCGAAACCATCACGTGCTCTCCGACATTAGCTCCGGCTTCTAGGACGACAAGACACACAACATATCATAGCATTAGTATAGATACGAGAGAAAATATAGCCATCTCGACTCTTCCACTTGGTTCGGAGATCTGTAGAAGCTGTAAGCTCCTCTTTCGTAGCTAGGTTGGTCGTATACCATGTCTCGGACATTTCTATTTCCCGAACGCAGTCGCATGGAAGACATACTTCTCCGAATCTTGCACATGTCGAATTTATATATGTAATAGCCAAGGCTTCCGTTCCAGTCTCATATCATATCAGAGTTCAAGCCTCTCTTCCATTCTTGGCTCGACTCTACCAAAATCTACGCAATGGCTACACAATCTCCACCTGGCACCGTTGTGGGGACGCAACCGCCCACATTCACCCAAGATACCGAGAAGGATGTCTTGCCCGCAGCCTCTAAGACGAGCGAATACGCAGATGCGGAGAAGAACTACAACCCCAAGTCGATCAAGTTCTGGCTTATCATCATCTCGGTCTATCTCTCGTTCTTCCTAGTTGCTCTCGATCGCATGATCATTGGTGAGTGAAGCTTTTTCATGCTGAATGCGTACTAACAAGTCTCAGCTACTGCTATACCAGCGATCACAAACACGTATGGCTCTATTACGGATATCGGCTGGTACGGCAGCGGCTACATGCTTACGTGCGCCATTTTCAATCCACTCTTTGGAAAGATATATCAGCTGTACGACACGAAATGGACGTTTCTGGTATCCATCTTTATCTTTGAAGCGGGAAGTGCTTTGTGTGGGGCTGCACCTACTTCTGCCGTTTGTAAGTAATGCGCCAATCTTTGAGATGGTACGCATACTGACCCTCATCATAGTCGTCGTTGGTCGCGCAATTGCCGGTATTGGAGCAGCAGGTATCCAATGCGGTGCGATTATGGTTATCGTGCCCCTCGTTCCGCTGCGCAAGCGACCCGTCTTTACTTCTTTTCTTGGCCTGGCATTCGGAGTATCATCTGTGTTGGGGCCCTTCATTGGAGGTACTTTCACAGACAGCGCGTAAGCTATTCGATCTTCTTTCGTGAACTTGAGTTGATCATATGCTAGGACCTTGACATGGAGATTTTGTTTCTACATCAATCTTCCTGTTGGCGCTTTGACCTTTGCTGTCGTCTTCTTCTTCCTGAATCTTCCTTCTACGCCAAAAGAGAAGCTATCCATTTTCGCCCAGCTCAAGCGCCTCGATCCAATAGGCCTCCTATTTTTCGTACCTTCAATGGTGTGCCTCATTTTGGCTCTCCAGTGGGGAGGTACGACCGATCCCTGGTCGGCGCCGAAGATCATCGGCCTGCTCGTTACTTTTGTCGTTACGTTCGTCGCATTCCTGATCGTGGAGTTTGTGATGCCAGATACGGCCATGGCCCCACCTCGAGTCGTCTTGAACCGCTCCATGGGTGGTGCCATGCTTTTCATCTTTGTCCTAGCTGGTGGCATGATGAACGCTGTATACTACCTCGCGATCTGGTTTCAGGCAGCTGAGGGCCAGTCTGCCATGCAAGCCGGCGTACGCACGATACCGATGGTTCTATCTCTTGTCCTCTTCGGTATCATTACAGCGGTGGTCACCCAGAAGATCGGATACTATGTTCCTGCTATGCTCCTTTCGCCCATCCTCGCATCAATCGCCAGCGGCCTCCTTTCTACACTTACGCCGCACTCCAACGCAAGTAAATGGATCGGCTACCAGGTCTTCTACGGTTGCGGACTAGGCGTTGGAGCACAAACGGCGAACCTAGTAGCACAGACTGTGTTGCCGCGTTCGGACGTCTCGATAGGCATGGCAATGATGTTCTTCATGAACCAACAAGGTGGTGCTATCTTTCTTGCTGTTGGGCAAAACCTGTTTTCAACTCAGCTTGTAAAGCAGTTGTCCGGCATCGCCGGTCTCGATACCAAAGCCATCATCAACACGGGTGCCACCGAGCTTCGCAAAGTGGTACCAGCGAACGAGATTGACACAGTGATCTCGGCGTACAGTTACTCTTTAACTCGGGTGTTCGTCCTATCAGCAGCACTCAGCGCTTGCAAGATAATCGGAGCATTGATGGTGAAGTGGGTGAGCATCAAGAAAGACGCTCCGAAGCCAGAAAGAAAGGTGTCGCAAGATGTAGAGACAGATATTGAGACAAAAGAGTGACCTTTGAGAAGACAAGCGTTGTTTGCGCTGGAGCAGTTGAGACAGTTAAGGCATTTGGTGTTTACGTAGAGCAATCGAGCACAGTGCAAACTTCTAATTACTAGAATGATATCACTATATCTCTATACGGTATCGTTGGCGACACTGACCCTTCAGTGAAAACATTGTGTAACTACCCCCTCGAGCAACCTGCCCATTTATACACAATCAAATAAGCAACAAAGCAGACTTTGTGTTGAGACTCGAATAATGTGTGTAACATCAAGTGCATCAAATGGAATACGGCAAGTAAAATAAGTTACCTTTGATAGGTTTGAGGGGCATGATGGACCAAGCCACGGACTCTTCACGATTTTCAGCGGGTATACCCATTGCCCAAGCTGCAAAGATCCGACATCTTACGGTAGAGCGCAACATCTCTTGGATGATGCAGTGGATGTCATGATAGTGCGCTGGCCTCTCGATACAGACACGTTGACATGTCTCATACGCAATCACTAATTGTTAAGCAGTAACTTAACCAGTATCCAGATTCCAGCGGATGCGACGCAGCATTTCCGTGGATCGCACATGCAGCGAGTTATCCTGATCCTCACGAGCATATCCAAGGCATCTCAACGGCTCCGTGCTTTCTCGTTGTTGCGGTGTCCACATCGTTGTTTGCGGCGAGTGTCGGTGTTCTCGCAAGTGCGAAACGACAGGAGGCCTTCGCAAGCAGGGGTTTGACAAGGCAGCATAGAATAGCTCGCGGGCGATTACAGACGCATGCTGGATAATAGTTTGGGCTTGGAGGCGTAGACGATGTTGTGCGCTTGCTGAACGCTTGTGGAGGGACGTTTACGCGTAGACGACGGGCCATGACCTTGCGACACGAACGGCGTCATGGTAAGCCAAACTCCGTCAGGTCGATGTGGGTCTGTTCGGCAATACCTTCGGCCCCTTCGTTTACTGCAATTGAACCCGTTTATTTGAAAGCCCTACGACAATGATCAAAGATGGTACGAAGAGGGAAAAAACGCAACGAGAAGGAGCTGTTGACACATTATGTGATGATGGTCCAAATTTAGCAGGGGCACAACGGAAGGCTCAAACGGCCGTTCCTGAACCATTCGCGCAAATACGGATCAGAACACATGAGAGAAACATGTTCGTAATGCAATGAAGCATGCTGAGTGTGCATGATGGAAAGAATTAACTGCAGTAAAGAAGAATGGAACATCTCGATCGTATTATCGCGTATTTGACATTACCACCACACCACGGCGAACCACCCGCACAGTTCTTCTAAAGCTACAAAGCCCTGTAGATCGCCAATTGTCAACCCTAATAATCGTTGCTCTCGTTTTGATCGTAACGGTTTCCAAGCCTGAATGCCAGATCGGCATCATTCAACCCCTCATGTGCTGCCTTATTATACGCCTTGAAAGCTGCAGACATGTGCACTACTTGACTCAAGTGCGCTTCTGTAAGTTGAGGCACGCAATCCGCCTCTGGGCGGCCCTTTTGCTTTGCTGTCTTGGATTCAGCGATTGCAAGAGCAACAGCTGTTTGGAAGGCTAACCAAAATCAGTGTGGGTTGACAAACATCGGCCGAAGCTGGTATTTACCGTTCCGAATTTCTCGTCCGTTCCACTCCAGGTTTTTGACTTCTTCGCTTTTTCGTACGTATTGCTTAGCGTCGTAGTCGTAGTCAATCTTTGGCCCTCCATTCCTATGGTTCTCTTTGAGTTTTCTGAAAAAGGACTCCCAGATCTGTTCCCGAGCCTGATCGTCTAGCGCGTCGTAACCTACAGCCACATGTATCCGGGACATGAAAGCTTCATCGAAGTGTCCAACTCGATTGGTTGTGAAGAATATAATTCCCTCAAAATAATCGAGCGCACGCAAGAAGACTGTATCTGCGTTAACGATATTGGAGATCACTGAGATCTTACTGGCTCTTACTTGAGACAATGCTGTTTCGCCTTAGATCCTTGGATGAGCGTCGCGCAAGATATATATCCGCTTCATCCAGTAGCACTATGGCATCCCAGGCTGCCGCATTCTTAAAGAATCGGAGAAGGTTTCGCTCTAGCTCAATAGGTTCGTGCCCTAAGTCAGCAGCCGTTATACTAAGCAATGGCCGTTTCGTGTACTCTGCGACTGATTCTAGATCAGACGTTAGGATGGCTCCGAAAAAGAGAATGATTGACTTACCTGCTGTAAGTGTTTTCCCAGTGCCTGGCGGTCCATGCAAGAGAAATATTTGACCTTCACCCTTTCCACGTATAAAATCAACACCCGTGAGGTCTGCTTGTGCATCACTGTCAGTGTATGTTTTGACAATGGCCTTGATCATTTCTTTGTTCCTCTCTGGGCGCATGACGAGTTCGTCAATTGCATTCTCCGCGAGAGTTGGCTCGTTCAGACCGTTCACGTCGAGTATATCTAGAGCGGATGAGTGCCAAATTTCGCGCATCGTACACTGCGTAATCAGAAAACATACCATATGTGCGGTCTTTAAGAACAAATCCGAACATGTGTGACATACACACGAGCGCCTGATGCTCGGATAATGTTACTGCTTGGTTCGGATCGATGGAATCATAATTGCTGAAAGTAGGCGAGATGCTGGCTCCCTTCGTACTATCGACAAGCTTGCACCGAGAGCACTCACACCGAGGGACTCTGGCTCGTGATCCTGGGCCTCCTTCTTCTGGATACATGTACGGAGTACGACGTAAGTGTGGCGGTAGCGGCGGAAAGCCATGTTGTCTTCTGGGGACCTGCTCCTTATCATCATCGCTGGTTAGATCCCACACGTTTGTCTCAGCAAATTCCGGTAATGTCCAGGGTAGCGACTGATGTTCGATAACTACTCGAGCCCGATTGTACTTAGGTTCCAAGTCAGATACCGACTGCATTACAGATCCCATAACACGTACCTTCTTCGCACCCTGTCTCAAACTTGGCCCAGAGTACTCCAGAAAGTTGGGCCCTCTCGCATAACGAAACACTTTCTCTCCTCTCTCGATAAGCGAACGCCGCAGTCTGCCGCCATCTAGCTTGTCATGGAAAGATGTCGGAAATACAGATAAGGACACTATGTCGCGTTCTCCGTCGAACACAGGTACTTCGATGATCTTTGATTTTCTCTTGATGACCTTACCGTTGAAAATGAGATACCAAACATGGATCCTGTAGTTCTCTGCTCTGACAGACTGTAAATCGTACTTCATTCCACCGTATACCAGATCTACCACATAGGCATTCAACCGTCCATATTCTCTGACATAAACATCAGCTCCAGGCTTCATAAGCAACCAGTATCCTGCGAACGTCGTAGCGGGCACTTTCTGTGCCCATTGCTTTTTGACTGATTCTAGTTGCACAGTAGGCTCGTTGTCTAGATAGTCGATCAATATGTCGATATGCCGGTCACAATCAGCGTTGTCTTCCGGAGTGTGGTTAGCCCTTGCACCGTTCGATCCCTTTTGGAACTCTAGTAACTCCTCTCGATGATGATAAAGCTCCTTGAACGGGAATAAAAACATCCCATCTACAAACGGTTCCGTATCTTCATCGGAAGGTGAAGTGGATGAATATTTGACGACTGATCGAAGAGCGTTGAGTAGGAGCGGGGACCGGACGTGCAGTCGCTTTGGTTTGACTTTATCGTCAGGACCCAGAATAAGGCCCAACTCGGAGATGTTCTCCTGTCTTGCACCCTTCTCCTTTCCGAACGTGATATGATGAATTTCCTCAAGTGCGTGGTCAGAATCGCCGTTTGGGTTCGTACTCCGAATCACTACGGGTGTGTCCCAGCTTTTGCTATGAAGGAAGGTCGCGTTTGGTTGGTATTCCGATTTAAAATAGAAATCAATCCGGTATTTCGTCGGTACTGCTGTAGGCTCAGCACCAGCCGTCAATTGGTCAGACGCAGCTACTATCCCAGGACGATCTGCTAGACCAAAATGGCCACGCTCAATGAAGGAATCGTAGTCTTCGCCTTCCTGTGAGTCTAGTCTAATTTCCACATTTTGCCACGGTCTAACGATCAAGTTCCAATGCTCAGGCAGGAACGTCAATCCTCTCACCTGCGCTTGGTGAAGTGTGAATGCGCCTTCATCTACACTTTTCTTTGCATCTTCGTCAAACCTGTACGTTAGCTTGATGATCTCTTTCATCCACTAGAAATTTCTATGAGTCAGCTTGTCTCATATACATTGGTATACACTCCACGTACAGCCCACTTAGAACACAATGTCCAGGGTATCTCAAAGGAATCGCCGAGGTAGTGAGACAGCGTGAGAACTCTGGGGTCTCGCAGACCTAGAGAGCTGGTATCCAAGAGATCGGACTCAAGAGGGCTCAGCCCGTTTCCTGTGGCCGCTTCATCTATGGGCATGTCTTGGTCTTCGTTGATGCTGCAGACTGCGATGATCAGATCATCGCCTTCTCTTCTGATGTAGTATTTCTGATCCTTCGACGATACATCTTATTGTGTGTAAGTGAAAGATGAATATAGCTTTAGGGCATTAGTGGGACATACTCGGCTTCTGTAGCTTCTCATTATCGGAGACTACGTCTGCATCTGCAGACGGTTGTGATTCGCCCACCTCGTCCAATGATGCCTCGGCTATGTCGCTTGTATCGACCCCAGCCTTGTCATCCTCCCCTCCAGAGGTTGGGTGAGGCGACACGTTAGTAGACATCGCAATGAGATGAGATACGCGCGCGAGAGAGCAAGAGATGGAAGTAGTAGGTAAAAACGAGGAACAGATGGAAGTCAGGCTGGAGAAGGCATCAGAACGAGAGAATGCAGGCATGAACGAGATAAGTCGTAGCACCTGTGCAGCCGCAGTAACTTCACCGGAATCTTGGCATGCATGGACTGAGGGAGGTGGTTGGTGGGCAGAGACTCTTGTTGCGTCACGATGCATACCACGTGAACAGGTGCGCAAAAGTGATCAAAAGGTCATACGTAGCCCTTTTGTTATATCCGTATTTAAAAACTCGACTAGCTGTACAGAGACAACGGACTCTTGGGTGTTTTATTTTGTTTCGGGGGACTTGCAATAACATATAGGCTTGTTAGAGTGACCTGCTCGCGTAAGTGAGTATAGCCCCGGTGATTTACAGTACAACTGCCTGCATAGCCTCGTTCAATCTCGTATCTCTGAAGCTGGATATGCTTGACACAGCCGCTAGGATGCTCTGCATGGACAAACAGAAGACAGAGTACGCGGTGGTAAAACGCCGATGGACAGACGAGCTCACACGGGCCGAATCTACAGCTCGGGAGTTGAAGTTCACTCGTGGCGAAAACAATACCAAGTACACGGAGGAAGAGGGATTGAAGCAGCTCCTTGAGGACTCGGATGAGAATGACAAGATGTCAGTCACCCATATACATTAGAGATGTCTGAGACTTACCCGAGTAGTTTCGAGGTGGTCGACATCGTAAAAGAAGAACTCCGCAAGATGATCGCAAGGTTTGAAGCGGACGAAAAACCTTCTTTTTGGCCAACTTTGGGGTCGCCGAGGAAGCCAACAAAGCTTAAAGTGGCCGAAGTGCTTCACAAATCAGCGGAAGGCGAAATCGATGATCTCAAAAGCGCTGTTGAGAACCTGGAAGTAGGATGGAAGCAGAAGCATGGCCCAGTATGCCTCTATTTCAGAACGAAGCATCTTTCTCTGCATATTATTGACTATTGGCCAGGTATTTGCCGCGTTCAAGAAGATCTGTAATACCCTCGATGACCATAGGAGCATTCTGAAGGTCTTTCCGTCACAGAACAATTATGCCTCACCTCTCGTTGGCAGCGTAACAATTCTTATGAAGGTCAGAGTGCTACTTCCAGATGCTACGGCGTGGTACATGCAACTAAAGTATACAGGCCGCGAAATCACATAGCGAGATCTCACTCAAACTCTCGACGTCAATCGCAGAGATATCAGAGAAGGTTGCGACTTGTTCTAACGTGCTAACGATAGTGAAGACGACCCGAGCCAGGAAAAGATTGGCAGGGATCTATGCACGAATGTTTGAATTCTACCGAGCCGCTTTGGATTGGTATATGCAGTCGAAGTTTGGTCGGTTGATGCGCAGCTTCAACGAGAACCTCGTGAAAGAGTTTGAAGATGCGAAGAAAGATCTCGAAGTTGACGTTAACGAGCTGTACCGAGAAGTTGCAATCGCCAACACAGCGATTGTCGCCATGGTCAATGGGCGAGTCAAGAGCCTAGAAGCTGAGCTGCACCGCCAACGCCAAAATTATGAGACCCGGGATATGTTGGCTGGTCAGAGGATGGAGAGGATGATGCAAGCGACTTGGACGAACGTCGAGCAACTCCAGAGCATGATAATGTCCGCAACTCTCCACAAACCAGTGGAGAATGTGCAAGATCGCATCGCAAGCTCTCCAGCCAGTGATTTGATACAAGATCCCCAGCACAACCTCGATGCTTTCGTCATCGAACATGAGCAACCGACTTTCTCCGGCAAAGCACATCTCTGGGTTTCCGAAAAAGACGTAATACATAAACTTCGAGTCTGGATGACAGACAATACACGATCGCGAACATTGTGGATATCCAGCCCTTTCAAACCTGGGGTAGCGATCCCGAGCTGCCGAGCTGCAGTCATGGCGGCGATAGCTGCGGCCTGGCAGGCCGAAACTCCGATTATCTCGTACTCTTGTAATCGGCCCTCCAGGAATCAATTGCGTCCCGGTATGAACATTGAGCAGGTAGGGATGATCAGCCTGGTCTACAGCTTCATCCGTCAGCTTTTGCAGTTCAGCAGAGTCGACGACGAGTTCGATACCAGCGGCAATGACTTTACTGCCCTTAATGGAGAAGTCTCGTCCTGGGATACTAGTTTGAGATTTCTCAGGATACTGCTGAGCAAAACACCTGTTGTCACATTCTGTGTGATAGAGAATTTGAACGATCTTGAGTGGAACAACGGTGGAGCCTGGTGTAAACAGCTACTTGGTGTATTGAGAGAACGGCAGCAACAGGTGGGAGTTTCCTTCAATATCCTTTACTCGACCGCTGGACAGTCACGGGTGCTGCCTATGTATGTCAGCTTTAGGGATCGGCAAATGACGTCAAATTGAACGTAGTAGTGGACGATAACGCAGTGTCATCTGGTGCTTTGAGCAATCCCCATGGCGGTTCATCTTGTAGGCGAGTGCATTGTAGATAGATACTTCACTTCTGCAAGCAGTCCGAACCATGTTGTCGTGACGGACGGCCAGTTCAACACGAGTGAGTTCGATCTTCCCACAGCTCATAAGTATACTATATGCGAAGGTCGATCATATACGGCGATAGAGTCGAGATCATAGCGTTTCCCGTTCGCTCAGCGGTACACAAGCTTGTGGCCGGCAGATCGTGTGACTAAGTAGCCAAATTACTGATATCAGCACTGCGTATTCTCTCATGTGACACCAAGAGTTCTTTTGGAAACCAGTCCGTCAATTTTCCACCTGGACTTCCCGGAACCTTGGGTAACACCTCATCTTCACTTCCGGCAATCATGATACCAAGAGCAGCTCCTGAGAGCCAGGCCCACACCATACCTTCTCCGGAGAAACCTGCCACAATCCACTCTCCACACTGGTCATCGTCACCTGACATCCGCTTTTGTTCTTTAGTGTCTCGCCCTGTCAATTTGGTATCCAAGCAGCCCACTAGTGGAATAAAATCTCCAGTCAGACCGATGATACCAGTCCAGGTTTGCTTTAACTCGGCACCAGCGCCCCATTTTGGATGAAAAGTCGTTGGAAAGACACCTGCAACGTGTGCGATGGTCAAAGGGTCGAGCGAAGAGCCATCATCGTACAGACCGACTTGATCGATACCTTGCTTTAGCGATCGCAAGAAGCCGCCTCCGATCAGTAAATCTCCTTTAGAACCACTCGTTGAGGATGGCCTTTGTGTGGCGTAGTCAAACCCCTCCCCGTAAACTACACTCCAGGAGTGCATACCGTCAGCATATGGGAACCGTTGCCCTGGTTGCTGGGCAGACATGTGGGCTCGTGCGCCTACGATCTTGCTGCGTAGTCCTGGGACAAGATGACTTGCGAAGCCGTTGGTGGCGTGAACCACTTGGCGGGCGAATATAGTTCCTCGAGTAGTTTTCAGAGCGTATGGGAAGCCTTTTGGGGCCCCTTCTGGAACACTTATTGACTCTACAGGAGTGTTTGTCTCAACAGAGAGACTATGAGAGAACTCGCTCAGAAGGCCATTCCAGATGAATGCAACGAATCGATATGCCCAGATAGCACCTGCTTGGTAGGATAAGGCACCGACGACGCCTTTGTTGACTCCGAACCTCTGCTTTTGTGAGTTTTTTGGGTTCCCTTGGTTACCTGAGGAATCTTCAAACCTTTTGTGCCTGATCTCCGTTCCATACGGCGATCTCAACCTCTGGCAACCATCTCTTCAATTCGTCAATATCGCCGACGGCCTTGAAGAAACTTCGGCTATTCAGGAAAAAGTCGACAGTTTCGACCTTTCGAGCTTCGGCAGATTCGATGCCTTCACATTGACACAACTCAATTAAACACTCAATGTGCAGAGATTGAAAACGCGCCAACGCAGCAGCACGGTCCTTTGGAAAATGCTTGCTGAATCGAGAAAAGCACTCGTACACTGAAGGTTTGATGTGACCGCTACACAACTGTCGAGCATCGAGAACAACCACCTTTTCATTCGGACGGGTGTTGCGGCGGCGTCGTTCGTGTAATAATGACCGTGCGACAGCAGCGCCGGCAATCCCGGAACCGATGATAGCCACATCCGCGGTTTGTGGCAGCTTGGACGAACTTACGTCGACGAGTTCAGGGTATGGAGGATCGCTAAGCTAGTACGTTTGCGATGGCTCGGGGTTAGGAAGACCTGGGGACTGTGATGCACGCTTCAAAGCCTGATTGAACTCCATAGACAAAGCTTTCAGAATGGAAGCTGTTGAAGCAAAGACTCTAAATGCGTTCTGCAAAATCGAAAGAACAACACCCATTTCAATTCAGATGATTCGCGTAGACTCTGAAAAGATTGCGGAGAGATCCTGTTGCAGTTACTGTCTTCGTAAGACCGACACCGGGTCCTGCAGCTTGGCAGGCTTTCCCGATCGTTGATTCGTGCAAACGGACTCCTCCGACTCCCGCAAATTCCCCTACCCCATGGCTCCATCTCCGCCGTTGGAACGCCACGTGTGGAGAATCTTCCTTCGCCCTTCCTTTTCCAGGAAACCGTCACCCATTTCAGACTACTTGGCCAGACGGTTCGTGACAAGGGACAAGGGACTCGCTGCAAGGGCAGTATGATGAGCCGTTCGTCTACACGGGCTCTTGCGCGGCAGTGAAAGACGGAAACAAGCTGGTGGTGAGTAGCTTTCACAACACCACAACAAGCTACTCAGAAAGGAATTTGAATGTTGCGTTCTACTCGCATTGACTTGCAGTATCTTTTCTTCTATTCAAACCTTTGCCTACTGCGTTGTAGGGAGCGATATGCAGAAGCGGCGTTGTTGATGCGTGCCTTTCTTCCGGCTTCCGCTGTCGCGCTAGAGACATGGCACACAAGATCTGCCCAGGCGCGAGATCCATATCCGCATCATGGGCTCGTGGGCCCTGCGTAGACGCATTGTGGTCTTCTCTATAAGACTCGGTGATTTCCCAACGATCAGCGAGGTTTATCTCTGCAACAGGTCATCTTCTATCCATCATGTCCTTCACCAAAGCCAGCCTCACGGCTCTTGCCTTGGGGCTACCTTCTTTCCTTACTCTGGCCCTCGCCGCTCCTTCACCGTCCTATAACCCGCCCAAACCTGTCAATGACCCCTACTCCAGGGACTACTGGCCCGCGCCTCGTAAGATCACGGGTCAGGACCTCAACGGTGCACTTGGTGGTGTCCACATCCACGACCCTAGTATTGTGCTCGGACCGGATGGCCACTACTACGCTTTCTCATCTCACGGTTTGGCCACAACCTCCCGTGCTTCGAAGAAGAACAGTTTAGAAGGGTACTGGGAGGTCGTCGGCCAAGTCTTGACGCCGCCTGGCAGCATTGATGACCCCGCTCGTGCAAACCGTCTTTGGTAAGAAGCAACAACCTAGCAAGCACCTCAAATAACCACATCCTAACACAACAATGCAGGGCACCTGACGTTCACAAGGTCGGCGACACCTACTACTGCTACTACACCGTTTCCGACTTCGGTGTCTCAGAGTCCTTCATCGGGCTCGCCACTTCGAAGACCCTGCAGAATGGGTCCTGGACCGACCATGGCATGGTTGTGTCTTCCAACAGCACCGACGCTCCCTTCCCGCTGAGCAAGACTAACACCATCGACGCGGCTTTCATCCAAGATGCCAAGACCGGCAAAAACTACCTCAGCTACGGCTCCTGGTGGGCCAACATCTGGCAGTTCGAGTTAACCAAAGACTTCAAGTCTGTTAAGATCCCCACTGCCCGCCAGCTGAGCTACACCTATGACCCCGTGCTGCCAACCAAGGAGCAGGCGTACGCTAACATGTCCCTTTCCTGGGGTGGTGCATCCGCCGAGGAGGCCCCGTATATCAACTACAACAAGAAGCAAGGCTTCTATTACCTCTGGTACTCGGCGGGACTGTGCTGCGGCTATAACCCCGCTGCGCTGCCCCCGGCTGGGGCTGAGTACACTATCTTCGTCGGTCGCTCCAAGTCGCCCCGTGGACCTTTCGTGGACCGCAATGGGAAGGATCTCGCCGAGGGTGGCGGAAGCATGGTCTACGGCAGCCACGGTAACACCTACGGACCTGGTGGACAGGCGGTGATTTCCAACTACCACGGAAGCGACGTGCTGTACTACCATTACATCAACACGACGTTCGACCCGCTGTACCGGGACAACTTGAAGTTTTTGGGATGGAATCCGATCAAGTATGTTAAGGGGTGGCCGGTGTTGGTGGAATAGCTGGAGAACGTATAGTACAGTGTAACAATATTAATGTTATTTAGCTAGGTCATACACAAAGCTGAAACCCTCCATAGCCTTGCAGTAACACTAGTGAGTGTGCTTTACAATAGTGCTGAACCCTTGTTTAATCTAGATATGTAAAATCAAGTGCGGATAAAGGGGTGTGATTGCGAGTCTTATAGACCGCCGCAAAATAAATGTTGTTGTGCTTGAGCTGTTATCCTACACTTCATGCCTTGTGACATGGCGTTTCTTCCAACGCCTAGCTCTGCTTGAGGGAGTACGAAGAGAAATTCTGGGACAGAGGTTCCTGGCGTCCGCTTGGGGAATAGTAGATAGTGCCACTCGACGACCCGTGATTCGAGAGTCTTGCAGCCTGCGAGGTAAACTCTTCTGCCCACGTCAGGGTAAGTGCCACCTTCTAGTTTGTCGTTGCGACGACTGCATTGAATGTTGCTGTCACAATAGCGTCGACGCTGCTGACAAAACTGTGGTCGATCCTGAATGTGCCCCAAGAAAACGAGCCATCGCCTTTAACTAGGTTTCCCGTCAGATGCCCAGAACTGCCTCCGTTGGTGCTGGTGTAACCGTAGCTGATCTCCCAAAGCCAAGTTGTTCCCGCAGCAAGACCGTGCACGGCCTGCTTCAGTACAAGTTCGATCGTCCGCTTCTGGTGGGGAGAGCCGATGAGGTAGCGTTTGGCCAGATTGACGTCAGTGGCTGCATCGCGCTCAGTGATTACGCGAGAAACCCCCGGTACGTCGCGAACAGAGAGGGCTGGAACAACAGCTGGCAAAGATTGAATATCCCGAACTGCGACCGCGTTGACGGTGTTGGAAGTGGGAGCGCATTGAGCCGAGTAGATTGAGCTACAAGCAAGGAGGATCGACATCCATGTCTTGGTGTTGGCAAATAGCATCTTGAATGAAGAAGATCTGTGCTGGGTATGTTGTACTCGTCAAAGGGAGTGGTCGTTGAAGTGAGTGACTGTCGAAGTGAGCGACTGTGAAAGTGATGCTGAGGATTGTCTGATGAACTTGAGTAACAGCGATGCTGTCCGCCTTTTATAATTGCTGAACTGTCGGGATAGTTCTCGAAAGAACTGCCGTCTTCTTGCCGCTAGAATAGTGTTTACATGGTGCATGATCACATCTAACTACTTCCAAAGTTACTTGCAAAGAGTGTGAGAAAACAGAATTATGTGGCGTAATGAGGCCCGATTCCATTGCTCATACCACGGCTACGTCCTTAGCGAGTACATTGGCGAGATATGTGCAAAGTTATTCAAGTAAAGCAGATCTGAACTGTTGTAAACTAGCGAGTACACCGACAATAGCCAATACCACCAAATCATAACTCAAGGAGCCATGATCCGAAGAAGTAATCATATGATATGTCTTCTCGCCGACCTCGTATTACAGTCGTTGCACCGACAGAATCGTGTCTGGAGCACCTAGATACGGTCCGAAACTTACCGTCAAGGTACTATCCGTGCCCGTTCGCGAAGCTCACTAAGATATGTAGCGTTGACCTAGAATCTGACTTCAGGGACAAGGTGCTGTGATTATCCTTGCACTTTGGTTCGCATTCTCAATGAAGTTCGGGGAATGAGGTTGCGTAAACAATGGTTGGCTTTGAGAGCTACCTCAGGACACTTGGACATTTCAGTACAATGAATGTAAAGGTGCAAGGTGCCGGGATGGTATCTAGCATCCGGATTCTCTAAGGCGCTCTCGAGGATCTCGCGTACTTCCAACAGCGGTATCGCCAGATCTGACTCGCCATTTCGGGCTTGATACAACTTCCAGGGTGCTGTGTTCATCAGAGCATCGGTGGTGAGGGTCACCATTTCCAGACTCTTCTCTCCTTGCGCAGAATACACGCGCCTCATCGCATCTGCATGAGCCTCTATAGAGGGTGCGAGATCCGCGGATACTTGGCGTGTAGAATATAGATAAGAGACGGCGTCGGCTAAAGCCTGCTCTAAAACGGTTGCATTATGGGCGTGCTGCTTGGCTCTCATAGACATGTCGTAGCACTTTTAGAATGTAGCCTTCACGTCTAGCTTGTCGATCGCCATCCAGGCTTTGTTGTAGTTGGGTCCTAATGCATAGCCGGCCCCTCAGTAACCGAATGTGCATCCCGGATCATGAGCGATGACTTGATTGAATCAAGCAGCTGTTTTACGATGTTTGAAGAAGCAAGACCAAATTAGACCTCGATTGAACCATTTCTGCGCGTCGAGATTCGTGGTGCTAATAGAAAACCCATGGTTGCCAAGGTCGAAATACTCGGTATCCGCAGGCACCCTGCCTGCTTTTTCTAGACGAATTGCCATGACGTTGCCGTGGCCACGATCTTGGTGGATTGGATTAGTGCTACGATCGGACCTAATGCGACCTTTAGAACTGCGAGGAGGTTTACGTGATGTATCACATTTAATTGTCAGCCTCTTCGCTGTGCGGGTAATTTTACTACAACTCTCGTCCTGTAGTTGCTAAGTTCAACTATAGTTTGCCAAAGCTGCAGGTGCAGCGGTCATTGCAACTACTTTGTCGAATGAGAAAGTGGGTCTCCTGAAAGAGCTGGGTGCAGACCACGTCATCAATTATCGCGAGGTTCCTAATTAGGGTGAACATGCCAAATTCCTGATCCCCAACCACAGCGGCATACAACATAGTATCAAAGTTGGTGGCCATGCCAATATTGCCCAGTCACCCGAGGATATCGTTATCGATGGTGTAATCTCGATCATCGGCTTCATGGGGAGCTCTAGCAAGGAGCAACCGACGTTCTTAGATTGTCTGAGCAACCTCTGCACCGTGAGAGGCTTGCTCATTGGATTCAGGGCACAGTTTGAGGAAATGAACAAGGCCATCGAGGCGAACAATATCCATCCGATCGTTAATCGGAAAGAGTTTAGTTTGAGCTATTCAAGGAGGCATATCAGCACATGTTCAATCAGAACAACGTGGGAAAGGTCACAATCAAGATGAAATAGTCTGGTGGAAGAATACCCAGATAGAAAGCGTTTCTGAAGATCTATCATTTTCGTATATCGTCAATACCAATGGTGAAACCGCCTGTAACGCCAACTCCCATGCATATCTAATCCCATCCATCATCAAACATCCACTTTAACCAACCCATCGCCTAGCACTCTTGAACATGCGCGACCACGGGCCGAGCTCACCCCATCCCTCTGTATCCCGTGGGATGTAGCTTCCCACCTCCTTCAGGATGGCTCGCTCGGGATGCGGCATGAGCGCCAACACCCTTCCGTCTGTACTCCTCACACCACCGATACCCATTGGGCTACCGTTGGGGTTGTATGGGTACGTTTCTGTCTGCTTTCCGTAGTTGTCGACGTAACGGAGGGAGACGAGGTTCTCGTTGTATAGTGTCTGCGGGCTAGAAACCGAAGAAGCCGAGTTGGAGAAGTGAGCGCGTCCCTCGCCGTGCGCGGTAACAATGGGGAGTTTGGATCCAGCCATACCGTGCAGGAACACAGATGGTGGTGTGTTGGGTCCTTTGGGATCGAGCACTTCGACCGTGCAGACGCGCGCCTCGTATTGCTCGGAGGCGTTGCGTTCGAAGCTTGGCCATAGCTCCGCACCAGGAATGAGCTCCTTCAGCTTGCTCATGAACTGACATCCGTTGCAAACACCAAGGGCGAAGGTATCTGGGCGGTTGAAGAACGTCTCGAACTCTTTGCGTGTGTTGGGGTGCAAGAGGACAGACTTCGCCCAGCCCTGACCTGCGCCGAGCACATCACCGTAGGAGAAACCACCGCATGCTGCAAGGCCGACAAAGCCGGCAAGTGACACACGCGAAGAGATGATGTCAGTCATGTGTACATCAATGGCAGTGAACCCAGCCTGATGGAAAGCGAAGGCCATCTCGGCTTGACCGTTCACACCTTCCTCGCGAAGAATGGCTACGCGTGGCTTGGCAGTAAAAGGCGACTTGAGGTTAGACATGAAGGGTAGGATGTTTTCAGCAGGCTTGAAGGTGAGGTTGTACGAAAGACCGGGGTCCTTGTCGTCGAGGATGTTCTTGAACTCGGCGTCGGCGCAAGCAGGGTTGTCACGAAGCTTTTGCATGCGGTATGAGGTCTCTGCCCAGCGCTGCTGAAGCTTCTGGCGGCTGTTGCGGTAAACGCACTGAGTGCCGACGTAAAAGGAGACATCTTGTTTCGGCGCCTCAGCGACGCGACCAATCTTCTTGATCATGCCTGGGGGTGGTCCGCAAGTAGCGAAGCAGCGGTTGAAGGCAACCTCATCCTTCTTTCTGACCTGGAAGACGGCTCCGAGCTCTTCGTTGAACAGTGTTTCCAGGACATCTTTAGGTTCGCTCGACTTAGCGACGCCATCAAGCATGACCTCAATACCACATCGTCCAGCAAAGGCCATCTCAACGAGGGTTGTGAAGAGACCACCGTCAGACCTGTCGTGGTATGCGAGCACGATTCCTGACTCGTGGAGCTGTTCGATCGCATCAAAGTAGTCCTTGATAGTATCGGCATCGTAGACATCAGGCGCTTCGTCGCCAATCTGCCCGAATGTCTGTGCTAGGGCAGAGCCGCCCATGTGCTTCTTGCCTGCTGCTAGATCGACAAACATGAGGATCGTCTCACCAACATCCTCGACTCGTTCCAGAGCTGGAGTCCATGTTCGGTCAATGCGGTTCACGGGTGCGAACGCAGTAATGACAAGGGACATGGGTGCCGTAACTTCCTTTGCCTCGCCGTTGTCTGACCACTTCATCTTCATGCTCATTGAGTCCTTGCCGACGGGGATGGATATGCCGAGCTTGGGGCAGAGATCCATACCGATAGCTTCAACAGCCTCGTATAAAGCCGCGCCCTCTCCGGGATGACTGCTTGCCGACATCCAGTTGGCCGAGAGTCGGACCCTGGATAGCCTGTCGAAGAGACTTGCTGCGGCAATGTTCATGAGGGATTCGGCCACAGCCATCCTGGCAGACGCTGCCGGCGAGATGAGGGCCAGTGTGGGCTTCTCACCCATAGTCATAGCCTCACCAGTCCTGACACCAGCCAGCAGCGATGTAGCTGTTACCGATACATCAGCTACTGGGGTCTGCCACTTGCCAACCATCTGATCGCGGACAGTGAGACCACCGACTGTTCGGTCTCCAATAGTAATCAAGAAGGACTTGGAGCCCACAGATGGCAGAGTGAGAACTCGATCTACAGCTTCGGCGACCAAGCCATCCTTTGGGGTGTCGGGGATGTACATTGACAAGCTGCTGTCAAAGGCAGGAAGCCTGAGCTTGCGGCTCTCAACGATGCGGGACATTTTTGGTGGCTTTCCGAAAAGTGTGGCCATTGGAAGGTCGATGGGTGTAGGGTTCTCCTTGGAGTCCCTGTCGTTCAACACTAGGCGCTGCTCTTTGGTCGCTTTGCCGACGACGGAGTAACCGCATCGTTCTCGGTGGCAGATGCGCTTGAACAAGTCTAGCTGGTCAGGACTGACTGCAAGCACATAGCGCTCTTGAGCCTCGCAACACCAAATCTGCAGCGGGCTCATGCTCTTGTCAACATTGTCGATCTCGCGTAGCTCAAAGATGGCACCGAGACCAGAGTCGTGGACAAGTTCAGGCAGTGCGTTGGACAGGCCACCAGCTCCGACGTCGTGGATGAAGAGAATGGGGTTCTTGTCGCCCATTGAGCGGCATGCGTCGATGACTTCTTGGGCGCGCCTTTGCACTTCGGGGTTACCTCGCTGCACACTGGCAAAGTCAAGGTCGACCTTGCCTTCGCCGGACTGTATGCTGGATGCTGCACCGCCACCAAGGCCGATAAGCATGGCAGGTCCACCAATGACAAGGAGATGCGAGCCTGCTGGTACAACATCAGGGTCCTTCAGTGCGTGTTGCGGCCTGACTGTTCCGACACCACCTGCTAGCATAATAGGCTTGTGGTAACCTCGCAGCTCTGGCTCCTTCTCGTTTGTGAAGACGCGCATGAGCATGGTGCGGAAGTAACCGGTGGTGCATGGGCGACCGAACTCGTTGTTGAACTGGGCGCTACCAATGGGCGCTTCGAGCATGATATCCCGGCTGCTGGCGATGTGCGAAGGCTTGCCGACATCTTTCAGCTCCCATGGGCGCTCAAAGCCCTCGATGTTCAGATCAGACACGGTGAAGCCCGCCAATCCAGCCTTTGGCTTGGAGCCACGTCCGACAGCTCCCTCATCTCGGATCTCACCTCCAGAGCCGGTGGCCGCTCCTGGAAATGGTGATACCGCGGTTGGGTGGTTGTGAGTCTCGACCTTGCAGAGGATGTGTACCGTCTCTTTGGTGCCGTGCCACTCGCCCGTGAGGTCGTTGGGCGCCCAGAAACTAGCCTCCTCGCCATTCAAGACGGCAGCGTTGTCACTGTAAGCGCTTACAACGTGCTTCGGGTGCTTCTGGTGGGTGTTTCGGATCATGCCAAATAGCGACATGGGCTTGCGCATGCCGTCGACGGTGAAGTCGGCATTGAACTGCTTGTGTCTGCAGTGCTCCGAGTTGACCTGGGCGAACATGAACAGCTCCACGTCCACCGGGCCCCTCTTCAGTTCTTGCGTGTATGCCTCGACGAGATAATCAATCTCCGACTTGTCCATAGCCAGGCCCAGCTCCCGGTTGGCGTGGTCCAGGGCGGCATGGGCGCTGTTGTACTCGTCGAACTTGATCGTCGTCGCCTGCGCCGGCTCACCCTCACCGAAGATGGCATCGAGGTTCGGGGCGGTACGGCTTATCGTCTGTGTCATGCGATCGTAGAGGTGGTCGCGGTTGGGGATCTCGTCAGCTTCGAGGGTGCGGTCGAAGGTGGCGGCGATGACCATGCCGCGCTCGATGCGCTTGACTGCCTTCTCGAGAGTGCATGTGCGCGCAATCATGGAGGCGAGGGAGCTCCATGGCGATATCGTGCCCGCGCGTGGGCAAACGTAGAAGAGGACCGTGTTGTCATCGCGAGGTTCGCCGCTGCGGTGTATAGCGTCGAGGAGGACTTGAGACAGGCGGTCGTTGCTGCTGGGGTACTCGCCATAGTGCAGGATCTGTTGCAGCGTCTTCAATTCGTCGTCGCTGAGTTCCTTGAGTGGGTTGACAAAGTGCACCCAGAGCGAGCGCACTTCCTTCGCGCCAATGGCCTGGGCTAGGCGCTGAAGACGGAAGTCGGAGAAGGCCGACGAGCCCGGGAGGATGAGATATGGGTCCTCGTTTGACGCCATCTTGTGTGACACCTAATCAGTTTCTTCGAGTCGATATCGCGGGTGTCCGAAGACAAGAGCGATCACGGGCGCGTTCACATGGCGGGGGAGGGGAAACTTTACAAAAAAAATCGGCGCGCGTCACTGCCGCCGGATCCTTGTCCACTTCCGCAAGTACTGCGACATTCGCGTTACCTTCTTTCTGCTTTACAGTCAACGTCTAGTCGATTTTCAGCACATCTAATTGAGTGATCCGGAAAGAAGGGGCACTATTTCGAGGTCCTGATGTTGATGTCGACGCAATCTCCCAATCACGCACGACATAAACTTATGTCTGCCCATGGAGTGAAATCCCTCGCTTCGGTACCTATTAAACACGACGCGATTGGGCGAATCTCCTGCGTGTGTTCGACTATGGTTTGAGCCTCTAGTAATTCAACTTTTCTTCCGCGCTCGTACAAGGCGCCGCCGAAATCTACCACGTTTGAGCGCGACCGAACATGTTCCCCACGCGGCCCGACATCGCAGCGCTATACTATTCGGGTGAGAAAGTCATATCTCAACGGCAGCCCGACGGGAAGCACTGTACACAATACCGACGTACAATGTTTCCGGCTATAGTCGGCACGAGTCAGACTAACATCTATACGTGCATACGCCTACATGGCATGGTTGTGTCGTGGCACATCGACTACCATACTACAGTGTCAATCAGAAGTCTCAAGTGAACTAGACAGTAGCAATCTTTGTTCGTTCGCTGTTTCTAGCGTTTCAGCATCTGAAGCCAGATTACGTTGTTTCCAATGCCTCAACATATCGCCATCGCTGGTGCTGGTATCACAGGCCTCGCATGCGCATACCTCCTCTCAGAAGCTGGACACAAAGTCACCGTTGTAGCACGAAACTTCTATGGTGACAAATCTACCGAATGGGCTAGCCCATGGTCAGTCATTCACGACTATCTTGATTACAGCTCACTAATATGATCAATGTCCGTAGGGCAGGCGCTTTACTAGCACCACATCCTGACACTGGTTTCACAGATCTCCAATTAGCGTCACTAACACTTTACCACCGTCTTTTGAAGACGGTTCCAGAGAGCGGAGTGAAGGTTAGCTATACCGCGATTCTATTCAGACAGCTACTGACCATACACCAAAGAGCCTCCGCATAACCGAATACTACGATGACAGGCCCCAAACTGCAGATGTCTGGTACAAATCCCATATGCAGAATTTCCAAACCACCCTCGAATCTCAACTTCCGCCCGGTGTCACATTAGGCTACTCTTACGATGGACTCATCGTGAACCCCAATGACATCCTCCCCTGGCTAACAACTCAACTCCGGAACCGAGGAGTCGAGTTCATCCAACAAACTCTATCCTCGATGCAGAATCTACGAGACCTGACAGCAGCCGACCTGCTAGTAAACGCCAGCGGCCTAGGCGCACGAGAGCTCGCAAACGACCCCGCTGTCTACGGCGTCCGCGGCCAAACCATGTTCGTCGACTGCGCAACCTCGGGAAGATCATCTCTACTCCAACAAGCAATCCTGCATCAAGGCTCGCACTACACCTACTGCATTCCCCGCTCATCAGATGGCGGCATCATCTTAGGTGGCGTCAGTCAGCCATCCAACACTGAGACCCAGCCCGACAAGAGCTTACGGCCAGACATCCTTCGACGCGTCAATAAAATGACGAACGGGAAATTCGACTGGGTCGATCTAGAGAGGCACGGCGAGGATATCGTTGGTTTTCGACCTGCTAGAGAAGGCGGCCTGAGGGTGGAAAGAGGAGGTGATGTAGTGCATGCGTATGGTGTAGGTGGGTTGGGATATCTGTATGCTTTTGGGGTTGCGGAGAGGGTCAGGGAGCTGGTCGAGGGGAACGTGAAGGCGAAGTTGTGAGGAAAATGCACACGTATCAGCCTCAAGTTCCAAAGCAGTTCGGGTAGAACATAGTAAAATCCATGGTCAGGCTTGTTATTTCATTATCACCGGACTAGTCATCCACCTTGGCGATCTTAAAATACTTCAAAAGCTATCCAAGTGCACGCCTACCCCCTTCTCCGCGGCCAATTCCATCAAAGCCTTCCCGATCGCGATGTCCATTATGCCCACCCCAACACTCTTATACACCACAAACCCTTCCTCAAGCCACTTCTGCATACCCTCATCCTCCCTCAATCCATCAATTCTCCCCGCCTCAAGCATCTGCTCTTGTTTCAAACCAGCAGCCACCAGCTCGCCAGCCTCTTCCATGCATCCCTTAATACTGTCGACTGTGATAGACGCTTGATGCACCTGAGAAGCAAATGGGCCGGAGGGGTTACTGATGTGTTTGAGAAGTTCGGGGTCAATCTCCTGCATATCCAGACGGTAAGAGCCGATTGCAGAGATGAAGCGGGATTTGCCGAGACCCGAGTCTGACGTGAGGTATGAAGCAGGAAACAAGGGAGATGTACTAGGTGTCGTGCAGAACATGACATCAGCCTCTGTGACCAGGCTCTCCAGTCCAGCGTCCGTTTCTTCAAAGACCTCCATCTTGATATGTGGGCCCACTTTCGACTGTGCGAGTGAATCCACCAGGTCCTTTGCTCTTGCACTGGATCGGTTGACCACGGTGATCTTCCGGATGTCATCCCCTTTGAGCAGGATAGCGAGGCGTATGTGCCACTCGGCCTGTTTCCCCGCTCCAAACACAACAATGTTTTCGGTCTTCTTCCGGTATCGATACAACAACATACTTCCCAGTGCCGTCCGGAATGCCGTCAACTCCGCCGCATTCAACACGCCTACAGCCTGCCCTAACTCATCGCAAATGGTAAGGACACTCCGTAGTGCGGGTTTGGGCTTCTCTCCTGGAGGAGGAGGTTTGGAGGGCGCAACACCGACTATCTTTACGCCAATAGACGATGGTGTTGTTGCGGGCATGAAGAGGCTGACTTGTCCATTTGGTCGGGTGACATTGGCGCGGTGTGGTTGGTAAGGAACTTCATCATTGCACGAGTATTCGGTGAGAGCTTTGTTTAGTGACGAAGCCAGTTTTTGGACGTCAGATGGAGAGATGTTGTGGAGGAGGGTTTGAATGTCGGTGTCGGAGAGGACGGTGAAAGTCATGGTGGTTGATGTTGATAGAAGGGCCGACCTTAGCGAGATGGCTGATTTGGTATCGTCCAGTCGGTTGTTTAATCTGTATTCGATGACCTCGATTCCCTTTCCGTGGTCGATTTCTGATGTACCTCACGTTGTCAGCCCGATGTCGGTGTGCTTTCCTGTTGCCTGGTGTTGGTCTTGCCGCGATATGCGGATATGCTTGCCTGCGGATACCGTCGGCCCACTGCCCCACTATGTCTTCGACGATGTGCGACCAACGGACAGAACATCTGTGTGCTCGTATGTAGCGAAATAGGCTTCACTCTACTAGACGAAGTCGTCGCTGTTGGATGTGTCTTACTAATGATGAGTCGCATGCTTAACGTCATAGACGAGTGCCGTGGTACACACTGGGCATTCCTGGTGGTTGATAGTTGAAATCCGACACTTATCAGCCAATGGTCAATCCGCGAGACAACATTGTTTTGTTGGCCGCTCCCTCTGGTTTCGGCCATACGTGGTGATGTTGAGCTATGGGCGATGTCGGTTCAAGCGTGTTACGCCTCGTCAAATTCCCTTCCTGGTCGTAGCGGGGTTTGATATCGCCCAGCCTGCGGAGAACATCCCCGCAACTCTTTCGTCTTGGATTACCCAAGTGCGCAGTAATGGCCGATTCTGAGAGAGATTTTTGAAGCACTAGACTGCTGTGTTGATTACCGGAGGATTCTTTTTCGTGAACTACCAACATGTCTTCCTTGATGAGGTCAAGAAAATCGTTGTAGTCAGCTGTACAGCGTTGGTTCTCTCTCAACTCCTCTATGAACTAAAGTAAATTAGCAGTGTAAAAGACGTCTGCAACCATGTCTAAAGCTTTTCCTCAGCATATCGCGGTTTGAGAGTATAGGTAGATCGATGATAGAATACTGACGGAACAGACTAACCTCGATGACTGCAGGCTTTACTTTAGCCTTTTTCATCCCAGACTCGGAGTATGTAGCGAAGAAGGTATCTGTCGGCATATTGGCCATGGAAGGATCGTTTGCTAAGCGCTTTCGGCCTAAACGTTCGACCAGTTTATAACCACCAAGATACCATGTAACAAACTGTAGGTATACACACCCCAGAGCCCAAACATCGCATGCACTGGTAAGCATACACCCGAGATCCATTTCTGGCGATCGATATGTCGCTGAGTTTGGCATACGTCCGGTTCTCCGTGTATCCCAAGAATCTTCCGTGTTAAAACGAGCAACCCCGAAATCAGTAATCTTCAGAATACCATGACAGCCTATAGACCTATCATCTGGATACCAAAGAATGTTTTCCGGTTTGAGATCTCCGTGGCGGCCAAAAAGATTCCTCGTCATTCGATCTGGGTTCGCATCTTCAACTGGTCTAACGCCACTCTGCATTCTTACCACCTTCTGTACTGGTATATCCGAGCCAATGTATAAGAGACTCCCGGAAAGAGTTGCATATCGATGCACACTGTTAAGCCCGGCAGCAAGGCCACGGCATTGTTCCACAACCCACGTGCCCATCTCCTCGAATTCATGCGTGCGTTGCTTCCAAAAGTCGAAAAGGTCAGCCTCTGCCCATGGAAAGATAAGATGGAAAGCCCGATCGTGTTCATAGGTAGCCAATAGAGTGATGAGGTGATCGTGTGTGTGTCTGTGGCTGCTGAACTTGGTAAGAATAGTAGCTTCTCGGGAAAAGAAACAATATGGATGACCGCGACCTGCCTATAAGCTACCAGCATAACAGGAGAATGCCGTGGCTCTCAGAATTCTGTGACGAGCAATGGAAGTTCCTCGCCCCTGTCTTCTCGACAACCCAGTATAATCACAATCTGGAAGAGGCTCATATCATCCCTTTCGTCCGGAAAAGCCAGAGTTCTGGTGAAGGCTCTTTCGGTGTGGTATCACAGTATGTAGTACACAAGAGACATATCGATCCGGTAAGTGCTCAGCTTGTTCTGCGAAAGGTTTTGTGCAATGATTACTGATACGTGACAGGAAGGCGTGCATGACACCGCGTTCGCTGTCAAAGAAATCAAGGCAGGCGATGATGCGCAAGAGGTTGTGGAACATTGGGAAAAGGAAGTCAAGGCTCTTCGGACTATGAATGGGTTGAACCAAGATCACATTGTTCGCTTCATAACAGCATTTCGACGTCGTAGGGAGCATGGCGGAGAGGAACACTATCTAATATTCGAGTGGGCCGACGGCGGCAATCTGCGTAGCATGTGGAAGAGAGAACCTTCCCCTGTTTTGACAGAAGCACTAGTCAAAGATACTATGTTCCAGATACTAGGACTCGCCAGAGCACTCGAGGCCGCACACAACCGACCCAATGGTGCATCATATCGTCATGGTGATCTGAAACCCGAGAATATCTTGTGTTTTCAAAATGGACGCACTATTGGTACCCTCAAGATCGGCGACTGGGGCGAAGCCAAAGAGCACGGCGAGGTCACAGAGATGCGTCCTAGCAAAACGACAGCGAAATATGGAACCCGTCTCTACGAAGCTCCTGAGGTCGAAACGGGCGTTAAACCCAAATATCTGGACCAGTCTCCAAAACGCCGTTCACGTCTGTACGACATCTGGGCGATGGGATGTATCACTCTCGAATTCATCATCTGGCTATTGAAGGGGTATGAAGGACTCACTAGATTTCGCCAAGATCTTGGGGATGGAAGCTTTTACGAGATTAGCATAGAAAACGGGAAGAAGGTAGCTCATGTCCATAGCACTGCCATATCCTGGATGGATAAGATGGAAGAGGATCCCAGATGTCGAGCCGGAAGCACGGCAATAGGTGATCTCCTGGAACTCGTGCGAATAGCATTGCTGGTCGTCAAGCTTCCACGAAGGCTCGGTACAAATCTCTCAGACCAGTCCGAACGACACCGGACTGACTCTGGAGTTTCGGGACCGAGGCTTGACGCAAGTGGTAGTCTCGCCAATGGTACACCCTTTGATGATGGGGGCGTCACAGACGTACCGCCTGCAGTAGGCGTCCCTTCCTTAAGCATCACCCCAGCCGAAGCGGAGCCTCAAAGGATTCCCCTACAACCTGAACCAGAAGCCCCAGGTCCTGCTAGGTGCCTCGCAACCGACTTTCGCTCCCGGATGGAAGGAATCCTGGCAGAGGATCGAGACGGAGACGAGGGTTACTGGCTCACCAGCTGGGTACAGCCATTAGAATTCCGCCCGGCGCTAGATACTGCGGTGCCGCCTTCGCCTACCACAGACGTTTATTCGGGCGAAATCTTTCAAAGCTCAAGCTCAGAAGAGATCCAACCCGTTACTCGTGGCTTGGTAGCACCCGCTCAAAGGAGGGTGAGCTGATATGCTTAGTCAATAGGCTCGCAAATGACTGACCTGCGATGTAGATAGACTATGCGCCTCCAGAACTCGACGAGGATGACTGGAAGTACCAGTCTGGTAATGACATCGCTTTGACATTGTTTGCCTCACTTAGGGAGAAGAAAATCCTGGAACCATCCAACGTTACCATTTCGTCGCGTCTCTGCTCTACTTGCGCCAGTTTGCGAGAAGAGGTATTTAGCCCTGGATTTTCCAAGTCATACGATATTGGTACTCTTCGGATGAGCGCTAAAAGCCGGCGCTGTGATCTGTGCGTCCTGCTCTGGCAGACTATTGTCAGAAATGGTGGCGTGTCGTCTTCGAGCATTAAGCTTGATCGAACAGGGTCATTTCTCAGGATGAAAAGTAACGGTCTACCAGTACTTTCCATCATTCATTATCCGGAACAGCCCCCTATCATCACCAGTGACGGTCAGGTGGGGTTCGTTCAACTGCCAAAGGCTGGCAGCAATACACATCTTGAGGTCATTCAGCACTGGCTCCGCGATTGCGATCACCATCACAACTGCTCTCCTTCCCCACAAGCGACCAATGGCTCGAGAGTCCGACTACCCACACGACTGATAGATGTTGGATCAGATGATGACGACATGGTTCGACTATGGGAGACTAAGCCATCGGATGTCGGCGAATGGGTTGCTTTATCGCACAAATGGGGCTCTAAACACCTCTCGACGGTACCCGAGACGCTCCAAGACCATCTCAACGGTCTCAAGCTTGAAGCTCTTCCAGATACCTTCAAAGACGCCGTAAAGGTAACTCGTGCGCTCGGACGCCGTCATCTTTGGATTGACTCACTTTGCGTGATTCAAGGCCCACGTGGCGACTTCATGACTGAGGCTAAGCGGATGGAAGAGGTATACAGTGGCGCTTATTGTGTTATTGCAGCCAGTTGCGCTGCTGACCACTATGACGGCTTTCTGAAGCCACGCGGTCGACGAGAATGCGTTGGTCTGCGTGGCCACGGCAAAGATCAAACTCCATTTTACGTCTGCCAGAACATCGACAACTTCAAAGACGATGTGCTTGGCGGCGAGCTCCACAGTCGCGGATGGGTGTTACAAGAGCATGCTCTAGCTCGTCGAACACTCTTCTTCACAGAGCATCAAACATACTTCGAGTGCGGCAATGGCGTGCGTTGCGAGACGTCAACAAAGTTAAGCAAGTAAGTTCGTACCCGTGACTGCTAAGCTGTTCAGGTCAGCTGACTCTCTGCAGCCCACTCGCTGCCTTCCTAGGCGACCCAGATTTCCCGCATATCATCTCCAACGCGACTCAAGGCGAGAAAATCTTGCGTTATCAGGAGCTGTATCGCAAGTTCTCGCGCCTTGGTCTATCAAAGTCATACGACCGACCCACTGCAATCGACGGTCTTCAACAACGTCTTCTTCGCACGATGCGAGTAAGAGGCGGATTTGGAATTTTTGATGAAGGAGTCGATCGCGGTCTTCTTCGTCGAAGCTTGCTCTGGCGCCGTGGCGTCGATACAGAGAGCTTGTCTCGTATCCACTTTCCAACCGAAAGCGTTGTTTCCAAAGTTCCGTCGTGGTCATGGATGGCATACACTGGCGGGATTGACTATCTACAGCCTGACTTCGGATACTTCGAGTGGGAGGATTTGCAATCGCCATGGGCATCCAATAGTCCAGCAAATGTGTCGAGTACGGATTTTCACATAGCGAATATAGCGCTCAATGCTACAGCGCGATAGTACGACTACCTTAAGGCCATGGTGCAGGGAGAAGGTGAGCTAATTCTCGACACGCCGAACGGATCTACAGTACCACAAACGCTGTGTGTAGTCCTTGGGAAGGCAAAAGGCAGCACGTCGCCTGAGACGCAAAGGCACTACATCTTGATCATTGCAGCAACTGCGCAGAGAGACCGTAATGGAGATAAAGTGTACAAACGTATAGGAACGGGGTATCTGCCCGGGAAGTGTATCTCGCGCAGTGGGTTCAAGGTGAAAATCCACTAGCAGTAGGCAATGGACATATTGTCATAGTCTTTCCGCGATGTTCAACGCAATGCTCGATTCTAGATAGTTCTCGCAAACATTCTTTGGTTCTAATGGTATATGTACTATCGATTCGTGTAAATGCGTCACGGTTAAATCAAAGCCGTTCATACTCAGGCGCCAAATAACTCCACGACCTCCAGGGGTACCCATAACATGCGCGTATATGTTGACATCAACTACTGGTACAACTAATAAACGGTGTAAAAAGCTGCATATGATCGTATAACATAAAACGCACCGCGACTCAGCAGAAGAGCTTAATCCATACCAACGTATTTGAACCACAGCGGCCGACAGTCTTCCCGATTCAGCCACTTTTCACCGTCTGTGAACCGACCAGCAACACAGCCAGAACATTTCGGACTGTTCGGGCAATTGAAGAAGGGTATGTGCTGGTATCCAATATCCCTGAACCAATGTATCTTGCTCTTATCTTCGAACAGTCCTAGCGCGACACTGTGTACCGGCGCATCACCCCAGCGTTCGTAGAAGAAGCCCCCGGCGCGATCGAGATGGTCAAAGTAGTCACGGTACTTCTTGCTTCTCCAAAAGCTGAGGTCGCCGATTTCGAAGTTGGACCAGAAGTGGCAGGTTGAGTAGCCGTGTGCTTTTTGGTTGTTCTCGGGTCGGCGCTTGTCGTCCTCTAACCACTCTCGCGCATTGTTGGGGTGTACATATTCCGGGTTATCTTCGATGAACTTCTTCGTCTCCGGCCACAGTGTCGCGACGCTGTCGGCGTTGTCGTAGATGTTGACGTTGAAGCCGTATGTTTTGTTGTGGTCCTGCATCCATGCAAAGACATCGTAGTCGACGTCGCAGAAGAAGTGAACGTTGGGCTCCACCCGCCAGTAATACTGGATGTCCTTCAGCGCAGGATGCTCGCTGAACATTCCGCTGTTCCACCGGCACATCTGGTGGTACGATTTCTTCTCCATGTATTGCACGTCCAACGACTTGAGCAAAGATACAGACTCCTCATACAAGTCCATATTGATCCACGACGGTATATCCCAGTGTTCGGCAGGGACTAGCTCGTATCGTACTTCGGCGTTGGTGGCTGCTCGCGTGGCCTTTTTGAACTCTTCGGTAAAGGGCTTATCGTTGAAGAAGGTCCAGGGGTAATTGAACTTGTGATTCCACGTGCGCTCGAGGTCACGCATACTCTGCAGCATGTCCTGAAGTTCTTCATTGCGTACTAGACTGAGGATTGTGGCATTGATGCGCGCACTCGTGGGATTGTTTGGGGCGTAATTGTTACCGTCGACTCGTCGCAGCGGCTCAAGAGGTTCGCCGGAGGCTGATTCTGTAGTCAGCATCTCTAGTGAGTACACTTTACATAGTATAATATCTTACGATCTAATTGAGGGTCATGGTCCCAATCGCCGACTTTGTTGGTCGGAAGCTTGCTCGGAATCTCGACGGGTGTCTCGGAACCGGGCGCCTTGAGAATCTGCACGAACAGATAGATGAAGATGCAGAACGTGGCGCCAGCCAAGTAGCGCATGCCCTTGGGGAGCGCCATGATGAAGAGCAGTTGCGGTGGCTGAGGAGTTGGGACAATGTCCCGCCTCAAGAAAGTCGCAGGAACGCTCAACGTCGAGTTTCACAGCGGTGACGCGGTGCGTGAGGACACTAGTCTGTATCAGGGATGATGTATCTGTCAAGTGGAACCGGAAGCAACCGCCACAAACCAACACCACGATACCATTACTATCGAGATCTAATTTTCGTCGACTGCGTTGGGAGACGGCAGATGAAGGACGCGTCATTATGGCCCAAAACGCGAAAATCTCCGGCCTTACGGATGAGTTGATACAATCCATACTGAGACACGACCCTGCCGCAAACAAACAGGCCTACAGGCATGCTAGAGAAATCGCATCACGCAATCTTCGAGGGCATCAGTATGCAAGAACGAATCAATTCGATGTTACGGCTAGCTTTAAAGGACTTGATGAGAAGTTTCGCATCAAGAACCGCGATGATCTCGCCGATGCGCTCCAAACGCGTCTTCAGAAGCTGGAAGGATACACGAACAAGTATAAGCCAGAGTTTCTGTCTTTATTACTTCAACTAGCCGATCGACCTTTGGAGAACACTGAGGTTGAAGCACTGGAATTGCTTAGACCGCCTAGCCCTCCCCCACCACTGACATGGGCGGAGATACTAGAAAATGACCCATACAGCGATGAAGATATCTGGAAGGATATCGACTATGGCGTGGACTCGTCGGGCGACGAAAAGTTGCCTAAGAAGCGCAGGAAGGCCCCTAGCACACCATCAACCAGCTTCGATGAAGATGACAAATTTGATCCGGAGGATTGTGTGACATCGACAGAGAAAGATCTTGTTGCGAGACTGGAGGAAGCACAATTCTGGACTTCGGGCGCGCATGGAGGCAGCAGCGACGTGTGTATAACGGAACCACAGGCCGTACGGGAGACGCTGTTCATGTTTGGTGGGCTGAAGACGAGCTTATATCGTACCGACAAAAACGACATTTGCTCCAATACGACCTATCTAGTTGACAACAACCGATCAGCCGCAATCGCACATCTTCTTTCGCAGTTGGCCGACATTGGCACACACATAGAGGCGATGCGACGCTGGACACTGCATCAGCGAACTAAGCAACCATCAACATCACCTCTTATTCAGACCTTTGAGGCTGCCGTACGGAAACGACTACTTTACTTCGACCGCTCCTTGTCCACGATGCAGCAACGATATCTGATACCTGATGCTCCACTCCCTGTCAGTTTATTGTCGCTACACGGTGATGTACGAGCATTGTGTTACCCTATTCTACGCCTTGCACCGATTGTAAACCATCTTAATCAATCGATGACGAACCAAGATCCACAAATGCTGGTAAACCCCTTCTATCACCTGGAGGCACTGTACGAGCAGACCACTCTGGCACAAATGACGTTGGAAGACGAAATCTTCACATACATGTCTGAGATATTCTTCGAGTGTTTACAGACGTATCTAAAGCCGATACGACGGTGGATGAAGATTGGCGAGCTTGGTCCCGATGAAGAAAACTTTTTTGTCATTTCGAACGACGCAAAGAGTGATACTGCCTCTTTGTGGCACGATCGCTTTATGCTCCGCCACAACCCCGAGGAAGGCCTACAGCTGCCCGCCTTCTTACAGCCAGCGGTTAAGAAGATATTCAACACCGGTAAAAGTGTCATTTTCCTAAAGGAGCTAGGCATCTACGACACAAACCTACATTCTTCAGTAGTTGAGCCACGCCTCGACCACGAAACAGTGTGCCGTGCATCGGATGATGTCCCCCTCTCGCCTTTTCCAGAACTGTTTCAAACAGCGTTCGAGACATGGATACGTAGCAAGTATTCGGTCGCTTCGAATGTACTTCGCCGACACATTTTCGAGGCCGATGGCCTGATGCGAGTGTTGCACGTATTCGAAATTCTATACCTGGGCAAGAATGGCGCTGTCTTCGAGGACTTTGCGACTGCGATCTTTGAGCGCATGGATGCTGGCAGGCGAGGATGGAACGATCGATACGTACTGACAGAACTTGCGCGAGGCATATTCAGCACGATCCTGACTGATTCGGATGCAGAGAAACTTGTCGTTCGTTCTATGAAAATGAAGGCACAAGGAAGCTCTGTCAAAGGCTTAGCCGCTGTTTCTGTGGACTATGCGGTATGTGATTGAAAAAAAAAATTGCTCTTTTGTGTCCCGGCTCACACTATTTCTAGGTCCCTTGGTCGATTCAAAACATCATCCAACGCTCGTCTATACCCATCTACCAGGAAATTTGTACATTCTTGATGCAGATCTACCGAGTCAAATACCAACTGCAACGCGCCCGCATTCGCGCGTCCAGAAAGGCTCGGCCACCAATATTCTTCAAAGTCCTGCAACGCTTGAATTGGTTCGCTGATGTCCTTCGTTCCTACGTAGCCGAAACCGCCGTTTTTCTAACCACACGAGACATGAACTTGGCTATAGAGAAGGCCGACGACATTAACGGGATGTCTCAAATCCACGCTCAGTATATGGCAAAACTGCAACAACGAGCACTGCTTTCGAAGGATGTGAAGCCAATCCACAAAGCGATAATCGAATTATTGGATCTTGGTGTATTGCTCTCGCAAACTGAGGGCAAGGGTCTTGAGCAGGTAGACCAGGAGTCTGCAAGGCTCCTCCCTTTCATTGCAGCGGGTTTGCGAAGTGTGGCGAGAGTTGGAGAGTCGATGTGGGAGCAACTGGCGGATCGACTGGAGGCCTTTTCACATACTCCCAAACCATAGTCTTAGTATGCTGCACCGTAGCTCTGTAGCTGTAGACTGAATACCCAACTCGCAATGTTGTAGCTTTTTTTCAAGCACCTATGACACCAATCCATCCACAACGTTCGTAATGCTACTCCTTTGGAGGTCGCCGTTGTCCGTGCGGTTTCTCTCTTATACCCTCTACTCGGTGTACTTTAACATCCATCCATGGGAGGTGGTCAGGCGGTAGTCCAAACAACATGAAACAGTTCTCCTCGGAAACACCCGCGCCTAGAATCTATCAATGCAAAAACACCACCCGCTCGGTGGATGTGGTGGTATAGAATCGATTCAGCGACGCTGATGAGCTCCAGCTGTGTCGGTTTCGTCCTGATTTGGCGAATTTTGTCTTTCTTTGTCCTTCTTTCGTGGTAGATCGTCCGGATGAGGATTCCCCTCGTGGTGACCATCGCTGCGTGCCCGACTCCATAGTACCATGAAAAAGAGAAATCCAAGCAGTACGGCAATGATTGTAGGTGCGGCGGGATGACGCATTTTAGTTCTGTGTATTGCCCCTTCGTTTTGGCGAATGCTGATTTCGGAGCTTGATTTTGATTTTCCGAGTTCTTGTAGGGTAGCTTGGAAGGACAAGTATCTCTTAATATCTCTGTCTCTCTTTCTTTCTTCTGGAATGACCACCAACAACCACTTTACGCGGTGCGCACGATTGCAATCGAAGTGTAGTTCCTCAAACCTCCTCTGTGGATTGTGCAGCGATGGCCGTCCCTATTGATTCGACAGAAAACCACCGCAGATCCTCGTTCCAAGACTGTGCTACAGCGTGGTGATTCAGTAACACACGCTCCGATCACGGGAATCTTCGCGCCGCGCTTACATAACACACTAACCCCAACCTACCCTGATTAGGAAGAATCCAAGCTCGGAAATGAGGCTTGAGGAATCTGGTCAGTGCATAAAGAGACGGTATAGCTCGGCTGACCTCGGAGTGTATAGAAGCGAGACATGTTTAGCTGACCTCGCCGTATAGTTGTGCTGACCCTCGCTTGGAGCTCGGCTGACCTGGAAATTCAGCGAGGTCAGCTTGACACCCCGGAGTTTTGTCTCGACTGAGCTATAAGCGAAGGTCAGCTCAACCGTCCCGCTCCGCCCTTACCCCTTATACAGATACAGTAGTGGTGCGCCAGTGACGCTAGTAGCGGTAGCGAGATTAAGCGAGGGTCATCTCGCCTTCTTTTCGGGGTTGGCTGAGTTAAATCTCGAGGTCAGCCGAGCTGTGAACGAGGGTCAGCTCAACTATACCACCCATCATAAGCATTAGAGAAACATGGGGTATAATTTTGAATTCCAACGATTCTAATTCGGGTTGCCCGTGGTGAGCTTTCTTCAGCGTCTTCTTTCTGGCTCTTCCTCCTCATCCCTAGGTACCCACTCCGTTCCGTTGGCATTTAACAGCTCCGTAACCTCATCCATATCCACACCCAGAGCAGCAGCAACGTACTTAGGTAGGTCGGTGTTGTCCCAGCCGCCTGCCATGTCCAAGACGAGCCTGTCACCCATGTTACCAGCAGCATAGCCATACAAAGTGGTGTCAACGCCAGTATGACCACCGGTTGACCACTCAAGTCCCGCACGATCGTTCAGAAGGTCGGCAAGTTCCTGTCCAAACTCATCGCCAGCAGCAAGAAGGGTTCCGATGTCCGCGTCGGAGACGTTAGACAGACCATACGCAGGAATGATCTCGTTGGTGAGGTATGCAGCCTTGTCGGTACCATTGTAGTCGCTCCAAAGCTGGCTCAGGTGTTCGACTGAATGTTTGCTGGGCTGGAGCACCGATGGATCGTATCGAGAGGGGATCGTTATGCCACCAGTTTCATGATCTGCCACAGCGAGAAAGGTAGTATCAGGATGCGTGTCAATCCACTTCATGACAATGTTTACAACGTTGTTGAACTCGAGGACTTCGTGCAGATGAGCGACAGAGTCGTGCGCGTGTGACGAGTGATCAATGCGCGAAGCTTCGATCATCATGATGTAACCCTTGTCGCTGGATGCGCTGGCCCGCGAGAGTGAGTTGAGGGCAGCTTGGGTCATCTCAGACAGCGATGGTTCGCGGACGTCGGCGGCTTGTTGTTGGCGATCGACTTCATAGCTGAGGTCACCATCCTTGAACAATCCAACATACGGAAGCTGAATGTCACCCAAACCAAGCTCAAGAGCGTCAAAACCGGCACGATCGCGCGCAGTGTAGTAACCTTTCGATTCAGCATACGCAAATAGATCGACATCGTCTGTGCGACATGATTCGGATTCGTTCTGAGGCTGGAAGTAGCAGCGACCGCCGCCAAGCATGAGGTCAACGCTAATTCCAAGAGGGTGGCTGTATCCGATCTGCTGCTCTGAAATCTTGTCAAGAGCATTTCTGCTCACAGAGTGGGAGAAGTAGGCTAGGTCCAGTCAGTGGTGATATGACAAAGGATGAGAGTCATTCTTACCAGCGGGAGTCGCGTGACTAATGGGTGAAGTCACAACAAGGCCAGTGAGATAGCCTGCTAACGCAGCAGCTTCCATCACGGACCCGACCGGTTTACCATCGGGCGTGACACCGATAGCTCCATTCTCAGTCTTGTAACCGGTGGCAAGAGCAGTGCCCGCAGCACCAGAATCGGTCACTAGGTTATTGGCTGAATGAGTTCTGGTGTTGCCGATGACAGTGACATCTATGGGTAGCGCATTGATTCGAGGAGCACGACTGGTTGAATTTCCGTTGACCATAGACAGATACGTCCGGAGTAGTGTCAGGGAGACGGGTCCCATGCCATCGGGAATGATGAAAATGAAGTTTTTCGGCTCGGTTGCAGCAAGCGTTGCTTGCGCCAAAGATATGGCAGCAAGGATCGTAGAGGTACGCATATCGAACAATAGGAGACAGTGCCTATTTGAGTAGTGCAACGAGAGACGATGGTAAGATGAATCCACAGCTTGACCTATAGTGCAGAATCGAAGCCGATGCAGTTTATATACCACGGGTCTCTAAGACACTACATCCTACGACCCCATGGGTACTCACGTTAAGCTTTGAGGTCCTGCACATGCCGAATCGCCCAATCTTGGGACTTCCCATAGCATAAATCCGAATAGGTACCCAGTGAAAAACAACAACTGTCTTGGTTTTGTCTCGTGTATGAAAACGGGTAAGAGATGCTGACTACTCTTTCTTAGGCTCGTATGAAATTCCAACGCGCCTCGTAGCAGGTGTACGCTTTGCGAGTGTCGCAATGAATAGCAGTGTTCAATTCCTCTCGTTTGGTGTCACAAGGTAAATTTCAGCTCAACCACTTACAGATATCACCGCTATCACGTTCGGCGCCTACATATACTCTCATCTGCAAGCCCAGCCTTGGTATGTCTTTTGGACTATGCATCGCTCTTTTGCCAAGATTCTTGGTAACTTGGTGAACGGGATAGCGCTCGGCGAACATCAAAATTGTGCCTCTCGTACACCACGTGTTGGTAGTTGTGGGCGAAGAATGTTTTATTTCGGGTCGGACGGAAGAATTTTGTTCTCTCATGGAACCACCTTTAATGCATCGTCCTGTTGATGCGCATGTAGTGCCTTATGGTCCATTGTTGTGGTGTTTCCTGCCGAACGATAAAGCTGTTTGTTCGTAGTAAGTCAACCTTTTCTCCGATTTTAGGCACGACCAAACGACGATGGCACGACCGACGTGAAAGTCCGCATATCTCCGCGCTTGTAGCCGTATCTGTGCGAAAAGACGCCGAAAAAGCGCGTGCTCCAGCAACAGAACTAGAGAGTAGCGCCAGCAGGACCTCGAGTGGTTGTACTTCTCGCGACGCTCATCGAGATGGCGGCGACTGTACAATGATAGGGACTACAGGATCGAAACAAGCGGTTCGTGCAACACAAGATATGAAGTTTCTCGCAGGCGGCGTTGGTAGCCCGGAAGCAATCATCCCGAGATGCTACGAGAGTTGAATGACGTTCGTGGTTCGTGCGTAGTCTAGCGTCACACCCCGCAAAGTCTTCCGACTCGAACCTCGGGAGTGGCGTCATGTATGCATTTGCGGAGTGCTGCACTTTATCTAGTCCACGGCTCACGCGAATGTGGAGGGTACTCCGGGGATTGCCAGGGCTCAACACCTGTTAGGAGACCAGGGTTCCTAGAAGCCGGTGAATTTGGACCTGTCCGACACCGCGTATTCGTCGAGATTCTACGCTTAAGGACAGGAACGAAGTTGATTCAGTATCGCTCCCGGTAGGTAGCTATGGCTCGAAAACGCGAGTTGAGTATAGCTTCCGGTCCATGATAGTACTATATCATCAAGGTAAGTAATCCTGTGTTTCTAGGTACACGCTTCTATCTCTCTCGTTCTCATATCTCTTTCATCATGCGGTTGTACCGCCTTCCCCTATACGCATGGAGTCTGTGGTCAACAGTTTCTGCCCAAACAGAATCATCCGGGGCGCAAATTCAAGCAGCACTGGAAAGCCTCACGATTACGAACGTCGACGATGTTCGCGGTAATCTTCATCTACAAAGCGCATCCGAGAATTATAACGTTACCTGGATGAGCAACAATCCATCCGTGATATCTTCAGATGGTACTGTGCAGCGACAAAGCGCCGATACCGTGGTCAATCTTACAGCAATCATCGATCACGAAGGAGCAACTTCAAATCGTACATTTAGTGCCAACGTACGACAAGCGGTCGAACTCGAACCTTTCGAGGGCTATGCATTCACGTACTTCACAAACAATACCTTAGCGGGTGAGAAGATCTATCTTGCAGCTAGCGAGGGTAACAATGCTTTAGACTGGAGAGAGCTCAACAACGGACAGCCCATCCTCGCATCTACCGAAGGCACGAAGGGACTGCGTGATCCCTTCGTAATCCGTTCGCCTGAAGGCGATAGATTCTATCTGCTCGCCACTGACTTGTCAATTGGGTCCGGTACTTCCTGGGGAGATGCGGTCCGTATTGGAAGTTTGTATCTGGAGATTTGGGAATCCAGCGATCTCAAAAGATGGTCACAACAACGACACGTCAAGGTTTCTCCCTCCACTGCTGGGAACACATGGGCACCTGAGGCATATTACGATGCTGATCTCGGCTCGTATGTAGTGTTTTGGGCTTCGTCGTTATATGAGGAGAGCGACACGAACCGCACGGGATCGACGTACCACCGCATGCTCTATGTGACCACGCGAGACTTTGTTACATTTAGCGAGCCTGAGATCTGGCAGGACGCCAAGATGTCGCGAATCGATACTACAGTCATACAGGAGGGCGCTACATTCCATCGATTTACTAAAGACGAAGGTGGTACAGGCACCAACTGCACCGACATCATCCAAGAGCGTTCGGACTCACTTCTTGCTCCCGTTGAATCATGGACTCAGGTTGCCGCATGCATTGGTCGCAACGCTGGCACAAGTAATGTTGAAGGACCGACTGTATTCAAAGCTAACCCGGGCGATGTTCACGGCGAGAAGTACTATCTATTCGTGGACGAGTACACTGGACGTGGATACATTCCGTTAGAGACGGAAGACATCTCCAAGCCCAACTGGAAGGTTTCCAGCTCATACAAACTCCCGACCAGCCCACGCCACGGCACTGTAGTCCCGGTGACTGCACGAGAGCTTGCTGGTCTGACTGAGGCGACAGGCAGCCCTGTACTCCCCGGTCTATATGCGGATCCAAATATCGCCGTTTTTGGTGAAAATTACTATATTTATGCGACAACGGACGGTTTCCCTGGCTGGGGCGGCAATGTCTTCTATGTGTGGCAGTCCCCTGATCTCGTATCTTGGACACGATCAGTGGAGCCCTTTTTGACCCTAAATGGCACGAACGGCAACGTACCCTGGGCCACTGGAAATGCCTGGGCTCCGACTATCACCGAAAGGGACAGCAAGTACTACTTCTACTTCAGCGGAAACAACCCGGAGTACGACCGCAAGACGATTGGTGTTGCTGTTGCGGATTCACCCGAGGGACCCTTTACTGCCCAACCAAAAGCCATGATCTTGAACATTGGAGACTCTTCCAATGGAAACATTACCACGGGCCAAGCAATCGACCCCGATGTCTTTGAAGATCCAACTACAGGCAAGTACTACATCTTCTGGGGCAACGGAGGCTCAGACATCACTCCCGCACTCTATGCTGAGCTCACCGACGATATGCTATCTCTGAAGAATGGCACCACTCGTGTCATTACAGGTCTTCCTGAGTTCCGTGAGGGTATCTTTATGAACTACCGCAAGGGCCTCTTCCATCTCACATACTCTATCGACGACACTGGCTCAGAGAATTACAGAGTGGGATATGCGACATCTACAAGCGTGCATGGGCCATGGACGTATCACGGTCTCATACTGCAGAAAGATGCCTCGCTTGGTATCCTCGCGACCGGGCACAGTTCCATCATCAATGTGCCGAACACTGACGACTGGTATATCGCCTACCACCGATTTGCCATTCCAAATGGCAATGGAACGAACAGAGAGACCACCATTGACAGGCTGTACTTTGATGATCAGGGATTGATCAAGCCTGTTGTACCAACACTCGAAAGTGTGCCAGCACAAACGATCAATGCATAGAGTAGGATGTTCCGTAGTGACTGTCGAAATGAAATCTATACGCTGCATTTCATTCAATGATACGTTGCCCAAGTGTACATGAAGTCTTCGTAAACAAAGACATGTCCACATGCTCATCGTCTTTAACCTCTGTACTCAGAACCCCATTCCCCTCCTTCTACCAAAGCCCCTTGACATACTTCTACCATTCTCCAGTCCCATGCCAACCCCACCCAAGACCTTCATAGCCTTCTTCCGACCGATCAGCAACTCCTCCAGTATCAAGCTCACTTCCTCCATCTGCTCCTTGAACTCCTCCATTGCTTTACCCAAGCACACGCCCTCTTCCCACATATCAGTGAGATGGCTTTCGCTCAGGCCATCGGGTTTGATTGTCTCAAGCGGTTTGACGACGGTTGTTAGATGCCCTAGGTTCGCAGAGACGATAGCTGCACGGCGGTTCAGAGCGTTGACGCGGGAGGGAAGGTCGACTGGGGAGTGCATGGCAGTGGGAGTGGGGAGGTCTTCGTAAGAGGGAACGGGTGTGAGTTCAGATTGGTATAGGTAGCCGTGGTCCCAGGAGTAATTCTGCTGGCGGCGCCGGAGGTGACGTGACGCTGGAGATGGTGAACCGAACATTTCTGTTGTGATAGTCACTTGAGATCGCTGCTGTGGCACAGTATAAGGGATCGTTTCGAGAATTGGAGGGAATGGGCGGGCTCTCAAGCTGAATATTGGTGGCTCAACGTGATGGAGGGTGTTGGATATATCTGATTGAAGTTGCTATCCCGGGAGAGGTGGGACAGTAGCGATCTTATCGGGAAGCTACATTAGCAATCGTCTAGGCCTGCAATCGCCATGATGCTTGTCACAGATAGTCAATTGTCTAGTTTGTGCTGCAATTCTGAAGCGTATACCCTGACTACAGGTTGCCCACCGTAAGTGTAATTTCGCAAACGAATTTGTTGGCAACGTAGCAATCATGATTTCATGGAGCATTGCTGCAAGCTTACTAGAAACCACAAATTGTGCTACTTACACACGAGTCCCCTTGAGGATTAACTTGGCAAGCCTTCTCGTATTCCCATTGTTCGCTGCGTTTCTGGCGTGGGGTTTTGCAGTGGATACACCAATCCAATCATCACACAAGCGAGATTGAGCTTTTCATACCAAACCTTGAAACGCTCCTCCACTACGGCCAGCTCCTTCAATAAACCATGAACTGCATCTGTCATATCTGGGTTCTTTTCATCGTCGACTGGAGCATCCACTATATCTTGGAGTATGTTGATCTTCAACCGAATCGAGTCCATAGTCTCTTCTAGGGATTGAGCAGGTTCGGTAACGGAAGGGAGATTTTCCCGGACTGCGATTCGGACAAGATCGTAAGGGATTTTGGGGGTCGGTGTGACGCTGGTATCCATCGCGATGATGAGGGCTCGAATTAAGTCTATCTGCGCTTCGGTCCTGATGATTTGATGTATGTTGACGAGCTGGGAAGCCATATTATATGTACCGCGGGTACGAGAGAAACCACTGTGAGCGGGTTTCTGTCCTGTGACGAGGGATACATCAGACACAATATTCTGATGACTAGTATGCGTGACCAAAACTGATAAAAATAGTGAACTATGTCTCGAAAGCTCACGCGTTCTTTAGCGTGACCATTGGATACTACATGGAGCTATTAGTGGTGCTTTCTCGTTCCATAAACTTGCTTCTCATTCGCACCTACTCTTTCCGTCTCGCATCGTCGACCTTTTGTTTTGCTTGTTGCTCTTCGTTCTCCCTCGCCTGAGTATCTGCCTTTGCCTTCACAGCATCATCCTGGTTCTTTGTTTGCCGGTCCGTCGCGGTCCTGCTTCGCTCTCTGAGCATTTCTCTCCTTCCATATAGCCCTGCCTTGTAGTGCTGCACTTTTGCGCGTGGCGTTAGCCACTATGCTCTGGTTATTTGTCTCCAAGTCACCCGCTCCTGGACCGACATCATGCGGTGTCATCGTAGCTGAAGGAGCCGGAATGGTTGACGTCTCGTGGGTGTCCGCATGGTTAGGGATGGCGTTCTCGATGTTGAGCAGTTCCTGGTCTTTGGAGTTCTCTTTGGTGACTTTGGATTCTCGGACCCTTTGATTGTTCGTGTAGATATTGTACGCGGTATCAACTAAACTGCGGGAGACGATAGTGCGTGAGTAGACGAGCTGTAAGAACAGGCTATATAATGTAAAGCGATACACCGCCCCAAGTCATGAGAAGAGCGCATGTAGCGGTTGTTATGGTATTTGCATCGTTTTGGCCCGTCAAAGTTCTCGCATTGTCGTTGCCTTAAATGTATTCAATAATCATATTATTTCGACATACCTGATGTCCATGTACATTAACGTCTCTCCCATAGCAGCTTCTATCATCTTCATTGCGCTTCTCTTGTCTTCATCATAGCCTACGCAGCCCTCGGCCGCTCCCACGCCTGCCCATCGCTCATCTCAATACCCCCAGTCACACCTGCCTGTCCCAGCTTTTCAGCATTCCATCCCTCCTCAGGCGGGATTGGGCTTCGAACCTCTTTCTCTCTTCCCAGTCCCTCCACGCCCACGGGTCCATCGCCCCACATCAAGTACTGCGCCGCAAGTCCCAAATCACAGCATGCCTGGAAGATACCACAAACCTTGAAAGCCCAGGGTACTTCTCCGCTGCTACTAGCGAAGAAGAACCACATCTTGAACGTATCACCAATCACCCAGTTCACAATAACACTAGGCCTGAACCCTTTGCAACCACGTCTTTGGTAGTTAGCCAACAACTGCGGAAGCGGAAGCGTAGCCTCGATCGTCAGTGCGACCATACCCAGCAGGTCTGTATACGGCACAAAGACGCTCGTCGACGACATGATCAAATGCAGCACCAGCAACACTCCTGTAAAATACGTGATGAACGTCCAGTACGGTCTCGGGGCCCTCCACTGCCAAAAGTCATACGGTCGGTTCGATACGTCTTTGTGTTGGAAGGGGAGATGTGAGGGCGGCGGTCGGTTCGTAAGCGCGACGTGGAGGAGGACTAGGTGGACGCATATCATAAGGAGGGCCTGGATAAGTAGCGAGGTGCTGAAGTGGGCGCCGAACCAGTAGTAGACTTTCAGGATGCTAGCGACGAGCATGATGAGCGGGATGTCGAGGGAGAAGCCGGCAGAGCTGCGGGCCCGATGCATGCTGTAGATTTGGTCGCCATAGCTGGTGATTGGACTCGTCGCGATGCTGCGAGTAGTGTGTTAGACAGGAGAGGTTTAACGGGGTGTGGAGGCGTACAAAACGGGTGCGATGTTCTTCACAATAGCGCTGATGAAGAACATGATGATGGTCGGATGCTTGGCTGGGCGGTACGCTTCGGAACGCCTGTGGAGCTGTCGGAATCCTTCGAGATGCCCTAAATCCTCCTTCTTACGACGCTTGAATGACCGACGACTGTGACTGAAACGCACACACGACCTCGGGACCGTTTGGGACAATTGGTCAGAGTGTGAGGCTGGGACAAAAACAACACCAGCGGACAAAAAGGAGGGAAGCGCAATCTCCGTGCATTAGTGGCCGCTGGCGGCTGCAGGGTACGTAGGGCTGACTGATAAGCTTCTTATGCCGTCATTGCTGTTTACTTGGGGTACATTCGCGCATCTTTCTTCCACCTGCCCCTTGAGAACGTTAATTGATGGATGCTACAAACCTCTACAACCACCAATTCCCCAAACCTCAGCCTTCACATAATTCCTCCCACCGCCACACCACGAACATGTCACATACCGCATTCTTCTACGGCACCTTGATGGCACCGCCCGTCCTACACCGCGTGATATGGGGTTCCCAGACACCTCCCACAGCCGCACACGCCTCTCTCCTCCACATCCGCCCAGCGATCCTCCACGCGCACCGCCGACACAAAGTAAAACAAGCAGACTACCCTGCCATCCTCCCCGTCGATACTCCCTCGTCCGTCCGCGGAACTCTAGTACAAGGCCTCACAGACGGCGACATCTGGCGACTAGACATCTTCGAAGGATCAGAATACCAACGCCAGAAAGTAAAAGTCAAGATTCTGCAACCGAAAGACCAGGGTAAAAACACAGACGAAGGCATGGGCGATCTATCACAAAGGGAAGAAGACAATGTAGAAGGCGAGGAAGTAGAGGCAGAGACATATGTCTGGATAGCAGGCGCGCAAAGGCTCGAATCAGAAGAATGGGACTTTGCAGAGTTCGTTAGAGATAAGATGAAGCGGTGGGTAGGCAAGGAAGCAGCGGAGACGGATGAAGGGTTTCAGGGTAGGCCTTCAATCAATGGTATACCTCCCGAGCGAGGGGAGGGTATGGTTTCGATGCTAACTAGCAGCAGAAGTCGATGATGCCGTCGCAGCACGCGAAGACCCGACGGGCGGACGTGGCACAAACGGAAGTATATCACGGCAATTGAACAAAGAAGGTAAGGAGGACGAGATTCTCGAAAGTGCTGTATAAAGATTGCTTGATAATATAGTTGTGCTGTCATATCGGGCGCACTGCCACGCTTGCACCTAGCTCACCCCATGCTGTCACTCGAGACAGCAGCCGAGCGTCACAGATTCCATGGCTAACTCTGGATATATAACGCCTTCGCCGTTCTAAGATAGGTATAATTTTGCCGAGTAGAAAGTTCACATGGGGATTGCAGGATCAACGGAAGACATGCTTCATCCCAAGAAACTAGAGAAGGAGAGGATCTTGGCGCGACCATCGATTCTGCGCGACTGGACTCCTTTCACCAGGCTCCGGTGTCTCCCTAACAACGGATCCGTCGTTGACTCCATCGAGCTGCAACTGGTTGGTGGATTGTGAGATTCCCTCCATTGGATCAGACACCTCCTCTTCCCTCCGCTCAAACGAATCATTCGCGTCGCTAGGAGCAGGCGCCCTTGAACGCCGTGTCTTTTCCCTGGCGTAATCGTCTTCGTCCATCCATGTCCTGAGCGCACGATCAACAGGGTTTCCTTCGCGTTGACGATGTTTGGAGTTTTCAATACTGAATGACGAACGTGATATTTCTTGCACCGACAGTGAGGGGTGAGGCTTCTGCTTCGGGCGTGAAGCATGCGACGAGGGCTTGCGCTCAGCAATTGAGCTTGCTTGTACATGTTGGCCATGGTTAGCGTTGACGACCTTGACCTCCTGGGAGTCGTCGATCTCAATAGGCGCATTGGGAGCACTGCCTTCTTGGCTGCGTGGAGCCAACTGCTCGCTTATCACGCTAACATTATGAACTCGATCTGCCGACCTGGTGAGCTGCCGCTTCGCAGTCGGCGATTCGACTTGTTTCTTGTCGTCATTCTGTCTTCGACGCTTCCTAGGGCTCGACATACCTGGTGCATGGCCAGTGTGTTGCAGTGCTTTGACTGGACGTGGCGATCCATCTGAAGTAGTCTGGCCGTTGTGCATGGACCTATGTGATTGCGGGGTTCTGCTAGGAATGCGAACTTCAGGGTGGCGCTTTGGTGTCTCCTCTGAGCGTGAAGTAACAATGGCTTGCTTCAAAGGAGATGTGGAAATCGGCGGCGAATCGGACACTTTCATAACAGCTTCCTGTGGTGACTGTTTAGTAGATGCTACATGCTGCATATCGAGACTAAATGGCGATCCAAGTCTGGGTGGAAGGCGGGCGGGTGAATGGGCCTGTAGCGACGTGGGCGGCGCATTTCCATTACGAGGCGATTGTTCAAGCTTCGTCCCTTCGTATCGTGGCTCTTCAGTGTTGCGTCGGCTCTGATCCACGGGTTCACGTGTAGTCGGAGCCGGTGACGTCTTAGAACTTGCAGAACCCTTCTTAGCTTTCTTCTGTGCTTTTCTATCTTCCTCCTGCTTTTTGTAACAATCAAATATGATTTGACGCATCTTATGCCGCATCTCGGATGGCTTGAGCTCTGGCCAATCTTCTAGAGCTGACATTGACCCCGTCAGTAGTTTGTTCTTGAAGTCATCGGGATTTTGGAAGAATTTCTCAACGTAGCCAAGTAGATAGACACCACAGTCGGTCCAGTTGGCTTGCATTGGAATCTGCGTATCCTTGGGATAATAGCCATTTTCTTTGATGACGGCTTCCATGCCACGCTTGTGTTCACCCTCTGCTGTTATCCAATCTTTGAGTGCGCGGACCGCCCCGGATCTGGTATTACCAGTGAGGGAGTCCAACACTATGACCACGGGCTGATCAGGGTCTCTCTTGGGTATAGATTTGCGTTTGGCCTTGGTCTTCGTGGATGACGCAGTCAACTGCGATTGTGAGGATATTCTTTGTTGAGTATCCTTTTCATCCACACTGACTATTGGTACGGCCAAGGACCCATCCTCTGGGTTTTGACGCACTGATTCTGCTTGGGTGACCTCGGATGTACAGGACGTCTCGATTCCAGTATCGTTGCGGTCGACGAGAGATAGTACCGTCTCATCAAAAAGGTTTGGTTCCTCGTCGCTCGGCTGACCCTGAGTTTCCTCATTCACGGCGGATGAATCCAGGGACAATGCCGGTCTCTGGGTCACGGCCACTTCATGCTTGGTGGTTGTAGCTGAGACGTTCGATTGCTGTCGTACATTCACTTGAGGTGCATCGAAATCTTGAATTATCGGCTTCCGCGGAATCTTTGACACATTACAGATAATTGCCAGGTACCAGTGCGACCTATTGATGATTAGTACACATTACAAATCTACTATATTCTGACTTACTGGTTTTCATTGATAGGCACAACGATGTAATCGTACCGGAAGATATCGATCTTAGATGTCCACCGTTCTACAGCCTTATAGTCTATCGATTTTCGACCCGAGTTCTCAGTCAGCTTCGTGAAGAAGTAGGTGTTGAAGAAATACACCTTGTCAGCAGGAACATTCAGCTGTTTGAAAAGATAGCTAGGAGGGATTAGCGATATCAGCGGCTGGAGCGAGTCAATACACACATCATGTAGAAGTCGATCAAGCTGTCGTTCATGTACTCCTCTTCGTCTAGACGGGGTAGATCGTCGAAATGCACTATCGCACGCTGACGACCTTCGCCAAATTCGAGAGACCTTCAGATGATTAGCGAAATCGCGCACACGCGATTGTATGCTTACCTAGTCCAGGGTTGGCCGAGTCCTGTTTTGACCGAATATTTGGGTACATCCGAATATGTAGGCGTATCCTCGACATAGTGAGTTGGGGCTAATCCTCTTGCGCGTGATGGCCGGGTCGATCTCATGCTTGTGGTACTCCCACCAGCCTTAGCACTAGGTGCAGGTCCATCTGCAGCGCGCTTCAGTTGATCCAACAGGGGTGTTTTCGACGTTCCATCGCTTTCTCGATCGCTCCGTTTTGAATGCTCAGTGGGATCTTCTACCAGTGCTGACGTGCCAATCTTCTCATTCTTCGGCTGTAGAGGTGTTTTGAACAATTGGAGCATATAATCACTGCGATATCATTAGCAGAGTTTTTGGGGCAAGCTAAAATGGCTTACTCTGATTTTGCCAAGTACTTCCCGGTTAGCGTCATTGACGATGCGTGATCATTGAGAAAGACGAAAAAGTCGGGAGTATTAGCAAACTCTAAGTCGAGGATGCCGAAATTTCCGTCGTACTTCCGAGGCCCCTGCAACCGAAGGCGACTGGTGCCGTCCGCAAGCACCTTGTTGATATCCTTGGATTGTATGATGATTTGACTTTCGTAACAACCATCCATCGGTTCCCAGGTTTGGATACGCAAGCCCGATATACTGCTCTTCAAAACTAACGTAGCATGGCCGTCCTTGGATGTTGATCCATTGCCCTCAAAGTCAGACGACCTTGCGAACGATAGTGGCCAAGCCTCTTCGATGACGTTTCCGCGAGCGTTTCGCTTGACCCCACTGTTCGCACCTTGCTTTTGCTTTTGCTTGGAAGGTGATTTCGATCCCTGCCGTGGAGGTGTAATGGCAAGCTCATCTGCGCTGTAGCTGTCGGTCATTGTTTGTGTTCGCTTCGGTGCCGATCTATGCTGTGTGCGAAGGTATGCGCTCTCTACATTTTCAGGCTGGTTTTCCATTTGTTCCGATGTTGATTCATTAATACGAGCGTTAGGAAAGAAGCGAGATGTGACTGGGCCAACTTTGCTTTCAGAACTATCACGTCTTGTGGAACTCTGTTTCGCTTCGCCTTGTTGAAAGTCCTGCAAGATAGCCTGTCGATTAGCATGTGCGCCAGGGCTATTGGACAGAGCACCACCGCCAAAAGGGGAGTGTCGCAGATCACCTTTAGGTGTGTTAGAACTCGATTTCCTTGGCTTCTTCTGGGAAGATTTGAGAAAGCTGTCGACTTCTCGAAACTCGCTCTTCGATTGAAGCGGCCTAAAATCACTGATAGTACTTCCACTTCCAGTGCTCATCCGCGATGGCTCAGTTTTGGCTGGGCGCGACTGGTCCTGTAACATGCCAACAGGTGTGGTGTACCCAGGACGAGATACCTCCAACACTTCATCATCATCATCGTCGTCATCATCGTCGTCGAGTGTTATGACATGGTCGATTTTCCGTCGTTTCCCAGATACAGCTCCACCCGACCATGGATCACCACCTTCTCGTGAGGGTTTGCGATGAGCTGGTGTCGCAGGTATTCTGTCTTGCCGTTGCTGAAGGTATGCAACCTGTCCTGCGCCATGCGCCTGACCTATCAATGGTACAGGTGGGCGATTGTGTCTCCCATACGTAGTAGGCTTTCGGCTCGATGTGTTGGGTCCGGTGTTCATGGTGTCTACGGGTCTAAAACCGCTGTTTGAACCGGGCTAGAAAGCATCAGCATAAGATCCAAAGCAAGAAAGGCTGGTCATATACCTTTGTAGTCATGGAGCGCTTCGCCGACGGCAGATAAGACCTTGGATCGGGAAGATTAACTGCATCCGCCGGTCTACTTTGCAAATATCAGTCTCTTTCTCCATTTCTCGTGCGTTAAGGTAAATTACGTGTAATCCCCAAATAATCTCTTCTCGTCCTCGCTTCTTTCAGACTTCTGCTGCCGTGGGCGAGGCATCTCCGAACGTGACTCCTTGCGAGAGGGTCGACTCGAAGGTTTTGTGGGCGAAGAAAGGTCTATAACAACGTGCGAGGTTTCTTCTGAGGCAGGTGGTGAGTCCCTAGAGTAGGGATTTGGAGGTAAGTCGGTACCCGACAGCGATTGGGCGACAGCATCGTTTGGCTGCAGCGACATGGCGTTAGCTGGAGGCGCAGGCAGTATAGAATGAGGGGAGAGAGTAGTCGCTGAAGTATCTTAGGCAGTCGACCAGCCTGCAAGAAAAGGTGCACGTACGTCTTCGTTCGTGAAACTGAAGGAGCTTCCGGCAGCGGCTCGTATGCCGTTGATAAAGTTAGATAACATTGGTGTAGCATAGCGGTGACAAGGCGGCGAAGAGCAGCATCGTTTGGTGAGTCAGGTGAACTTGGAACTGCTTGAGGGGCTTGCACAAGCGCAGACGCGCATCGTGGGGCATGCGGAGGTGAAGGCGCGCCAGAGAACGACTTGTTGGTGATGACGTCCGTGCGTCTTGCTTTGACGTTGACGTACAATTTTTCTAACTTCTACCAGATGTACCACAGCAAATACCTTCAGAGTACCTTATTTTATGAGATATAGTTCAGAGGAACAAAGCATCTTCGTTGTAGGCGTTTCAGCGCGCTTCGACAACGCGACGGCATTACATGCAGGATCGAACTCGAAGGCACACTATCCCGTTGCATGAGAAGGCAGGTTGGAGGGGACAGTATTTTGAAGTTCAGTTATTTCTTCATTGTCACAAATATATGCGACATGTTCTTCTTCAGTACCTCGATCTGTGACCGGGCTAGCTCCAGGGCTCGATGCTACCCGAATTCCTACGCTTCGCTATGTAAAAATACAAAGAACAGAGACAACGCTAGGATACTGTGCTGCGCCCATACCTATGGGTGTAAACCAAGTAAAGTACGCCAACTTGTTAATGTTGATCAGTCTTCCAACGACGCCGTCCGTAGTTATTCGCTGGACGATCGTGCGACTCAGTCAGCAACAGGCGCGAACAGTCTCTCCTGCAGGCGGTGTTCGATAGCAAGCGCCCGACATCTTGACGGTTGACATTGCGAAGAGGCCGCATTTGCACAACACATCCAGTACAGCTCGGATCGGCATTGTGTTCGATTAGAGGCGAAGGATCATCTTGTTGGGATAGTGATCCGTTCACACTCTCAAGCTTATGCGGTCTGCCCCCATCATGCACACAGGCAGGTGATGAGTGACCGCAGATCGTCCAGGGATTGAACGGTTGACTTTGCGATTGACGAGAGTTTGGCCTGCAGACCGTCGCTGAACTGAGCCTCCCCTAAGAGCCAGCCGTCGACTTCTCCCGTGACTCATCTGTAGAGACTACCCTCCGCTTTTCATGCTGGCTTTTCTCGTGGCGAGCTTGGTCGATGGCCGATCTCTGAGCGATACTGTCATCATGACTCCGCCATACAATGTTGGTACCCTCTGGCAATTTAAGGACCCGCCTAATTGTGTCCCGTATCTTGACGTTCTTCACACCATCGCTCTTGGTCCAGATGCTGAAGACATCCTCGCCACTTCGCACGCTCAGGACGAAGCCGCAAAACTCCTCACCAGCATCCAGGAATTGATCGCCAACAAGTGCTAGTAGAAGGTCCTCCCAATAGCGATCAGCTACGCCCTTTTTCAGGCGCATAATCCACTTCCCACCTCGCTTGTTCTCATCGTCCTCCCATACAGGCCGTATGCCTTGCTTGAACACGTGGTAGTCTGATACAGAGGGGAGACTTGAGGGACGCTTGAGGTGGGAGAAGACTTTCCAAAACTCTTGCGCCGTACTGAATTTACAAAGCGGCACGATGGACTTTTCGTAATCGACATTCTTGGCCGTTGGTGGGCGGTACCACACCGCCCAAGTGTATTTGAGCGGCCATGGCGCATTGAAATCTGGCGGCGCAGAAGGACTCGATGTGTTCTCCGGTATTGAGGCTGTGGATATCGACTCCTTGCGTATGCTATTGACCACCTTGCTTACGGGCTTGTCCTTTTTGTCAGAGGGTGTCGCAGGTGAAGGGGATGACATGGCGGCTGCTTTGAAGTCGAAAGCAGTGCCGGGCGTTTTGGGTGTCTTGGCCGCCGACCCAAAGGAAGCAAATGCGCCTGAGCCGAGCCCAAATGCAGAAGAGCCTCCGGTAGTAGGCGATGCTAAGCCACCCGGTGTCAAAGGCGAAATGGCGTTGAAAGGGTTTCGACCTCCGTGAGATGAATCGCCACCGAAGCGTTTGGTGGCAGAGACGGTGCGTTGGTGCGGCTCGGACTTTTCGCTGTTGTTTTCGGAATGTGACATGGAGAGGGAGAGCTTGCTGGTGCTGTTGGCGGCTGTCAGTCGAGAAAGCAAGGATGCGGGGACGCAGAAGCATACTTGGAGCGCCTAGTCCACAGATTCTCCCTGTTGTCCATTGGCAGCAATATCAAATGAGTATATAATACAAGGCAAGAAAGTTAAGTATCCAAGGCTTGGTGGGAGTAATGAGCGAACAAGCAGCAGAGGAGCTGGCGGGCTAGCGGCCAATGTGCGTCGAAAGATATGCGGGGTCTAGTTTGCGGTGATGGTTGTGTGCTACGGGAGGCAAGTCTGTCACGTGGTGTCGGTATGATACTGCGGAAAGATGTGGCGAAGGCGGAGCGTGTGTGAGTGTCGAGCGTGGTGGGAGGTATCGTGTGCAATGGCGGATAGTGGTGCGTTCTGAGAAAACGTTTGAGAGGTTGGCACTTGCAGCTCAGGCGCGCGCCTTCCGCGGCAAGGATGTGGCTTAGTCATCTACCGAGCTCGATAATCTCTTCTTCGCCTGCGCGCCCTTCCTCTTCTCTTCTTCAACACCGGCCTTTGACTCGTATCATTTGCCAGCTCGACACATCCTACTCAGCTGGCAACTCGGATAACTGGCCCAGAACGAGCCATCCTCTTCTAAAACCATCATCACGAGGGCCGCTTCGGCGGCTTCCATGATGCGGTGATGACCTGAAAGCAGGGACATTATTTTGTCACGCGCGCGACGCGTTGAGACTGCGAGCTGTCTCAGTCTCTTATTGTATGTGTGCTGCTATGATTTTTTTCGCGTCGCGGCTTGGGATGACTAGGTCCTCTGGACCACTTCTGGTAGTCTGAGTCTCAGCCAGATGTACACTGTCGCGTCTTCGCGATTTCTTGGTTGAGCTTGAAGCTCTAAGGCAAAGTCTGAAGCCCACTATTGTGCCACGCATTGATGAGGTATCTTTGGAGGCTCCGCTAATTGACCATCCAACAGTACTATTTGTTTGCAAGCGGTGAATTGGTTCATGGCAATCGCTGCCAAGGTTGGGCACTGACTTCCAGTGTGGTTTCACCGTGTATTCCATCACCTCATGTCTCACGGCTTCATATGTTTTCTGGCACGAGCAGTGTCTTAGCGCCTTGCGTTTTGAGGAAGCTGTCTAACAATAGACAACGCTGGAGAGAATCTTGGCCGAGATTGGCAGACCATGCATCCATCCATGCATCCATCCATCGCTTAACGGACATCTTTCGTAGACGCTAGGTGCCGAAGGAGCCGCTCGCTCTCTGAAGCAGAACAAAGAAATCAATGGAATCACAATTATACTTTGTACTTGGAGACGTGTTATGATGTTAGATCTCGTCTCCTGATACGCGCTTCTCCGAAAACTTGCATCTGGATACATCGCAAACTACAACGCGCGAACATAATATGGGAATACCAAGGTGTTTAAATAGCCGCGGCAGCCTCTCTATAATGAAGGGGATCATAGGCCGCACCTGCATGTGAATCAGAACTCGTGCGGGGTGCAAATGGTACCTGCCGTCTACGTCATATTTCCGTCCGTTCACAGGACAACGCACCCCACCACGCGCATTGCTTTCCTAGCCGTCCTAAACTAACGCCGTCGCCTCACCTGTCGCCCACCACCATACAAAGCTTGCTCGCCTCCCTCTCTGCCTTCCCACACACGACTACCAACCGTCGCAATACCCCTCCAATATCATCAAGATGACTGCGCAATCACCTCAAATGCATTCGCCGAGTTCGCATCCTGAGCGACCTAAGGGTGGGATCATACCATACCCCGCTATCTAGTGTACACATCGTTAACGAAGCCAGGTATCCTCAAGAATTCTGGCTCATACCGCTCCGACTCACAAACTTCCCCTACTAGCGAGCTCCCGCCAGCCGTAAGCCCAATAGCCGAGCGACCGCAGCTAGGTCGCGAAAAGTCAGAGAAGGACATCGTACTGGAAAACACACTGCGCAATGCTGGCGCCCACCGGAGATCCTCGTCAAACCCGCGTGGCATGGGTTCACGGCGTCAATCGGGCGTTGATCCCGCGGATGAGACTAGTCCACAGCTCAAGTGGGACGAGGCCAACCTTTACCTAAACGAGCAGAACCGCGACAGCACCATGAAGATCGATGAGCCCAAGACACCATACGCCAAGCAGTACGATCCCGCAGAGGATGAAGAGGAGGTCGAGATGCTGAACGCGGAGGAGCTCAAGGTCGACGAGCTGGATAAGCCAAAACGGAAGCCTAAGATTGATGACATACCCGAGTTCGATCTAGGACAGCCAGAGCTACAGGCGCGACACTCTCAAACACCTGAGAGCGAGAAGAGAGTTATGGTCGAAGAAGGTATGGATACCGACGAAGGCTACCACGGCGAGCTCCTGCCCAATGCCTCGCAGGAAGAGAGGGAGAAGCATCGCAAGTTTGAGGAACTGCGCAAGAAGCACTACGAGATGAAAAACGTCAAGGATCTGCTTGGTCACCCAGACGATGACGAGGACGAAGACATGCCGACACGACCCAATGGTCAATAGGTGTATTTTACCTGCTTCGAGGTCCCCCGGCTTGTTCTTACGTGCTATAGTGGTAGCTGAGGTCGCTTTCAGAAAGGCGAATTATGGTCGCCTAGCGGCGTTGCACGGATTGATTTTGGCGGCATCAAGGTGGAGTTATCGGATTTCCGGCGCTATGGTAAAGCCCGCGGAGTACTTTACTATTTCGATTCGTAGTCTGTGCAATGAATGATGTTTTGATCTAGTTAACGTTGAGGGAATTTAAGGGTTACTTTGCATTGCGGAACGTGAAAACTGATGGACCATAAAATGCTATCAAACTCAAGCTACACCCTATTCCCTAAACTCCTTATCGACAGACTCGAAGTTCTCTAAGAAACTCTGGAAAGTAAACACACCCAGGCCAGGATCCAAACTTCCCGTCGTCGCCCTGATGGAATGCATACTCAACTGCGGAATTCCGCAGTCTACTGCCCTGATACCCGTCGCAGAGCTCAGCATCGGACCTACTGTGCCTCCACTCCTGCTATCGTTTCGAATCTGGAAGACCTGGAGTTTGGGATCGGCCTTGCGCACGCCGATATCGCGGTCTACGCAGCGTTGCAGGATAGCAGTAGACACAGCATCAGTCGTCATGTGTGCGTTTGAATCCGCAGAGATAGCGGGACCGACATTGAGACGCGGAGAGTGGTTTTCAAGGTACGCGTTGAGGAAGTTGGGGTTCACAGCGTGAATCACATCGCTGGAGACGAGGAAAGAGTTTGCATATGTCCTGCTCAAGGCGCTGCTTGTCTTTCCGTTGGAAGCGAATTCCTCAACGATGCGCTCCATGACGCTAGGAAGGAAGTTGCCGTGAGCACCTTGTCGGAGTAGCGACCCGACTTCTTCGTCGTCGAAGACGGCGACCATGCGGATCTGGGAGGAAGTAGAGAGGGATGCGCTGGAGTTGAGGAGAGCTTGGATCGCAGCCCAAGAGCAGAGCTTATCATCGATTCGACCGGCGAAGATGAACTCGCGGTCGAGCCCACCGGTTTGTGCGGGCTGTGTGTCGAAGAGCTCGAGCTCCCAGTTAACGATGGATGAATCTATTACATGTTAGCGTTCTACCGGACTGTCTAACAGTAATGACACGTACAGTCAGTGATGCCGAGTTCGCTCGAGATGACCTTTACAAGCCTCTCAGGCTGGGTAGCCGTAAAGGCGCCCTCTCCACCCAGTACACTGGCTTTCGAGTCTCCCTCCTCGTTGTTTGATGAACTGCCCATATCGCTGTTATCCAGACCCATGATAGGCACCATCTGCGTTTCCTTGTTGAAGGGGCCATTCGCGGCAGCACCAAAGTGGGGAGCCAGCGTCGGAATCCTTGCGATCGGCCAGTCAAGCTTGACAAGCTTGGTGACAATCTTCCCGTTTTCCTTGACGAGCACTCTTCCGCCAATACCAAGATCGCGGTCCCACCAGGTGTCGCTCAATGCACCGGCATAAGGCGCGACACCAAGCTGTACATAGCCCGACTTGTTGCGGAGCTTGGATATGGGCTTCAGCTTCGCTGTAAGGGCGTCGATATGTCCAGCCAGAATGGCAGCTCCGTTTCCGGACGCGTAGTTGTCACCGATAGCAAAGGCGATGAGCGAACTTCCGTTTCGCTCGACATAGTATTTGCCTCCAGCCTTCAGCTCCCACGAATCGCGCTCTGACAGTTTCTTGTATCCGTCTTTCTCAAGATCCTGGGCGACAGCGTCGACGGCGTGGAAGATGGTAGGGTTACGCGTCATGTAGTCGGTGAAGGGCTTCGTGTAGCGTGCCGGATCCTCCTTCGATCGAGCGGGAACAGGAATCCAGCAATGGGAAGGCATCGGCTTCGGCATCTCGATCTCCTTCTCGACTTGTTCAACTGGGACCTCTGGTATCTTGGGTGGTACAGGTGGCGGGTTTTGGTATGTCGACGGCGCCGGATAGTCTTCGTCGGCAACATCGATGAGGTTGGGATACGTCGCGGCGATGCTGTGACGGTTACGATAGTCGGAAACGACTTGACTCCTCCATCCTCTTTCCGCGGTTCGATCTAGCCGTTGTCGATGCGGTAGCGACGTAGTCGTATGAGCGCGGCCAAGTGTTGTCGAGTGCGAGTGTCGTAGCGGGCGGGGCGGTGACGGATCCGCGTACAGGTCAGCGTTCGAAGTTGCCTTGCGGAGGCTGGGATGGTTCCTTGTCATCTTTGAGGTTTCGTGTAATATCGATGAAGCTTGAGACAAAGTGAGAGAAGTGTGTAAGACGACTGTCGAGAGCGAAGCTGTGTTGTCGTAGTACAGCTGGAGCTGCCAGCGCCACAAATGAGGCGGAGGCTTTCCCCTTTCGGACAGCTCCGGACGCTTCGCCGCAGATAACACGCTAGCTATCAGCCAAATCGATAGTTCCAACATCACAAATAAGAAAGTTATCAACATAGCATCGTGCGCTTTTGGGAATTTGGTTGCTTGGCTTGGAAGCTGAGCCGTAAATAACGAGCATCCAATCCATGGAATGCATGACAATTATACTGAGCTTGTTGTGGAAGAGACGATACCTCAATTCCAGATCGCAAAGCGACCGATTCGCGCAACACTCACCCTCATATCGCCAGCCACCTGATGTAACTACTCTCGATTATTCTTCGATCGGGATTGCGTCGTACGGTTGTTCCAGTGGAGTACTGCCGACGGACACTGCGACACTACGAATTGACCGAAGTCTTCCATATACAAGTTTCAAACGATGACCCAGTGGACTTAGTTCATTCCAACTAACATCATTTTAATCTCCCAACCATAATGCTACGCGTTGTCCTTCCTTGCCACATCGCTCACCGCTTCATCAGCAAGCCGATCATCCGCCGTCTTCGCAGGCCCATGGTCGCTCATGCGTTCATCGATGGGCCTCTCAGGAACAAGGAATGTGGCTGCGAACGTCGATGGGATTGTGATGGTAAACATAACGAAGGCAACGATGAGGTTTGCCATAGGCTCGATCTTGGCAGCACCAATGCCAAAAGCGAGACAAGATCCAACCGACTCGAATGAACGCAATAGGCCGACCGCGAGAGTAAGAGTCTCAATATCGTCGAAAAAAGCTCCTAGGATTCAATAGACGAACATGTAATGGGACTCATTCATAAAGCTGTACATGATCAGTTTTTGTTGCGTCCACGATGCAGGCGAACTTACCGAAAGAGTACGTTGACAGCGAACCCACGTCCAAAACCTGGTAGATCCCAGTCAAGTGTCACCTTTGAGCCGGCGTACATTTTCTCGTTGGCGACTTGCCAGCCGAACAAACCCAGCATAAGCAACGAAAAAATTCCCCATGTGACCTTCGCGAGCGTTGGACGACTTACGAACTTCGTATCGTAGAGCCAGCCCCAAAATATATTGGCGACTGTCGCTGCGACCCCAGAAGTCAAGGATCCTAATGTCCTCGCACGGACTGAGAAGTACTTGGTAAGGTATATGCCCTGATACGTGTTGTTCCAGTTGAATCCGATCATTACCGGTATGAGCAAGAAGAAACGCCTATCACGAAGTAAATCCCACCATCTTTGTACTTCCTTCATGACAGCCTTGTTCTTCGTCGGATCCGGAACTATGCGGCCATCGCGATGATAAACTTTGTGAGGTGGTGACACAAGGAGGGCCAGCGGAAGGCCGAGGCATTGAAGTGCGATCAAAACAATGTAGGTCGTGTACCCAACTTTTCCACGTTGTCCGCTCTTGTAGTTGAGGGAAAGCTGAATCGAGGAACCGATGAGCTGACCAAGTTCTCGCAGACCAAGCCAGATGCCAGTAAACTTTCCTCGGTTATGTACGTCGGCGTAACCTAGTGCAATCGCACCTTCAGAAGCCCAGAGTGCGGATGCTGCGATACCGCATGTCGCGCCACCAAACAACACGAACCATTCCACCCCGTACCGGTTGTTCACTACGATATTAGCATACCCTTTATTGTTCCCACGTTTTTTTCTTGCGTACCGTATAGAGAAGCAGAGTAGGGCGCATACCCGAGCGTTCCCAAGAAAAGCACGTTCTTCAAGCCGAACTTGTTGGCGAGTATGGCGAAGAAAGAGCAGCCGAAGACCATTATACCGAATGTTAGGGAATTGGCACCATTGACCAGGTATGGCTCTTGCTGGCCACCTGCACCAACATCTATAATAGTTAGACGGAACCAAGATGATAAAAGGGTAATTGAGGTCATACTGTTGAGTGCGTTCCAGATACCAGGTTGTGTAAAGCTGATCATACCAACAACGATGACATTGAACAATGGGCTTCTATACCATCGTGTGAATCTGGAGACACGCTTGGGGATGTTTCCATCCACATTGCCAATCTCCTGTTCGGACGTCATGTTGTAAATCAAGCGACGTACCATCCTAATACTCGCAATTTACCACATGCTGGCCTTATATACTTTGCCTTAGACATTCGGCACTAATGCAATATTCGCCATTCGTGCCTTGCTTGTCAAAAGATACATTCTGCCGAAAATGAGGCTATCAAAAGTGGGTAGGTGCCCCTCCCATAGCGTTCAGAGTGGTAAAGAACGCATGTCGTGATGCGGTGCAGCGATGAGACCATTCGTGCCAAGTTAAGCGAGCAGGCTTGGTATGATCTTGAAGCCCAGTTCACCTACCAATCTCCAACCCACGCACGGTCGAAATTTTCTTGGGCTTGATATACCCTGTTAAACACTGATAAGCTCCCGTGATGAGAGGCGCTAGAGACTCGGAAGCTCGTATCTTGTTCAAAGTGCTAGGAAGGTACTCGCAACCCGCTGCTATATTCCTATAAGGCGATCCATCCTGATCTTTGTATGAGCGCGCGTAGAGATATTGGTGCGCAATCCAATATGTTGGCACGTTAGAAAGTGTATGTAAACTTTCCAATGTTTAGGTGCTGGCACTGCATGGTTGTTTGCGCGCATGCGCTCTAAGCTGGTCAAAATAAATGGAAAAGGTGAAGAATTAGCTTCTGTAATCGCATCAGGTCAACTCGATGTCGTGCTCTAGGCACATGGTGGATGCGCATACAGGCGGAGACTAATTCGAGTTGGGTCTTTCCTTCCATCACCCTGACTAGTGCGTGGCTGGAGTTGGGCTTCTCCATGACAGCTCTACATTTCGGTCTCTGAGTACGCTACTGTTCCTTATCATCTTCGCTCTATGCTTACTAAAATGGAGACTTACGTTGAGAGGGATCTTCAACGGAAGCTTGACCTGGGCCAGGTCAGAGATTGAGAGAGAGAGAGAGAGAGAGAGGCAGAGATGACGGAGAAAGTGCAGAAGATGGAGAAGAAGAACGATGTCATGGATGGGGAGGTGTAGATATAGGAGTGCCTGGTAATCGTTTGTGCATTCGAGTGAATATGAGATGCTAATAAGGCGTCATGACCAATGCTTCATTGTACACCCGCACCATCTCACACTTCTCCATTTACAACTTTATTTCCTCCCACTCTTCACCCTGTGGGAAACCCAGGTGAAACCTTCCACATTTGGCAAAACTCAACACAGCTTCCTCGGCCATCATAAAATCCGTGATCTTCCCTCCAACCTCTTCACTGGCATCCAAGAAATGTGCATGAATCCGCGGTCCACTAATAGCCTTCATCCAAGCTGGTACCACATAACCAAATATCGTGCCATCGATTGCGCTCCTGCTGGGCCCATCTTCAAACTCTATTGAATCGAAATGACCGGCGATCTTAAAGGGCATGAGAGTGTTGACACCTTTGGCTGGACCCACATCATTGGACGAGACGAGCTCGTCGAAGGCTTCCAATGAAATCGACGGAATCTTCAGGCGGAAACTTGGTTGGTAGACTGTAACTAACGCGAGAGGGAGACGTGCGTTCATGGGCGCTGGTTTTGCTTTGCCATCTTTGGTGAGTGCGTATGCTTGTCGGTCTTTCAGAATCATAAGACTTCCATCCTCATAGACACCAATGCCATCAGTGCCATGGGAAGTCAGGTCTGCGGTCCGTGGTTGACCTTGGTTGAAGCCGGCGTTGAGGGCTGAGTAAGTGGAGAACTGGAAGATGTCGTTTGGTATCGAGCCGACCATGTTGGAAAGTACTGTATATATTTGGGATTTGGATTTGGTGTGATACCGGTTCTAATGTGTTGGAGTTCGAGGTTGGGTAAGGGTCCGGGCTTAGCGGAGAGCCGATCTCCGACTCGGCTATCATACCAGCGTGTGGGCGTCATTTCTGGGAATGTCTCTACACCCGTGGGCGCTCTATTCTGTTGTACAGGTATAGCGGTTCATACCGCTTAGTCCACCAAAGACCAAATCGCGCTATGAGAAATAGTGCTTGAAGAATGCTAAATCTCTAGCGTTTCTGCTTCATATTTCGTTCTTGGCTCAATCTTCTTACTCTGTAAGCAGTACGTCTTTCTCTTTGTAGTCTGGCGACTCGTAGTTTCGCTGTGTAGTGTGGCCGGCCGTGCTAAAGTCACTAGCAATCAGTGCTTACCAAAATTTTACAAGCCCATCGACCAACATTTGTCCTTATGATGCAGTATGCAATCTCCTTCGTGGTGGCCTGGGATAAGCCTTGAGACTATCGAAATACTTGATACTGTGCGTGTTGAAATACAAGAAGAAGTCCTGTCCGACTATCTGTTATCCTGAATTTCAAATGAAACGCGTTGACCAAGTCTTTGCAGCTTTGAGCCTTGTGCGTAATTGATACACTGAAAATATGCTCCTTAAAGCCTTATTCGTGAGCGGCTTCTCGGATACGTTAATCAAGGTATATGTTCATTGGGGGTTGAGAGTGAAGGGAGCACGGATAGATTTGGCCAATAACACCAGTCGCTTATGTAAGTATCTAGCGTGAACCCTCGGAAGCTCAACTTCATCATCCAAACGGTTATCTTTTCCAAGCAATTGCGCAGCCCGTCTGCACCAACACCTCGCCGGATATGCTCCCAACCACTCTTCGTGCCCTGCGCTCCCGTAGCGCAGCGGCCACCTCCCGCTCCTTCGTCCGCTACACCTCTACCGCGACCACCAGCAACCAGGTCCCCGCCAACGACCCCGTCAAGCGCGATGCAAAGCCAAACGTCTCCGAGACCAATGCGGTCCCTACCTCTTCTGAGGGCGCTTTCGACAAGGTCTTGCAGGAGTCTCCAGAGGAGGCCGAGAAGATGAGGGTTACACAGGCGCCGAACTACAAGGGTATCTGGTCGCGGAGTCAGAATCCGAGGGAAGTTGCGATGAGCGGGCCAAGGTTCGAGCAGAGCATTATTGAGGATCAGGTATGTCTTGTGAAACCAGGGAGTCGAAGGCGAGCGGGGAAGAATGACAGAGGGGAAAAGTCGGCGGAGTACAACGAAAGAGCATCGGCTGACACACACTCGTTTAGCCTCGACCGTATGCCGCCATCGAGCTCATCCACAAGCAACCCGTTCGCTGGACGCATGACCGCACGGTATCTTGCGACGGAGGCGGTGGACCTCTCGGACACCCCAGGATCTTCATCAACGTGGATAAGCCCCAGATCTGCTGGTGCACGTACTGCGGACTACCATTCGTAAGTCTTCTTTGGAAATATATGTGCTTGGGTCTTTCGGTATTCGGGTGGACCATAGGTAAATGAGTGCTAACGATATTGTAGGCACACGAGAAACACCGAGCACTTCTCGAAGCCACCCCCGAACACGAGCTTTCATACCCGCTTGGACCTAAAGGCGATGCGGCAGAGGTCAACGAGACACAGAAAGTTACGGACGAGCCGCTCGCGCAGCGATAAACTGTTGCAATCACGAGATATTTGGAGCTGGTGTACATATGCAATGCAATCGAGACATTTACAAAATATCGTCTACTGTCGTTTTAGTGTTGCCGTCTTCCTAGAATTCTATAAACACAAGAGATGTGCGTCTCGAATTCGAGCAGACGCTGGGGTTGAGCTCCGCTTCGCTCCTCTGACGAGAGACTACGGTGGATAGCCAAAGATCTAGCTTTAGTGTTGTCGCGAAAACTATGATTAAGATGTTTTCGTTACTTAAGTATTGCACCCTACAACAAAAGTTTTAAGCAACAGATAAAGTAAGGTGAGGTTATGTAGCAGATAAAGCTATTAATTTATTCTGAATTTCTTTAATATAAGTTTGTGTAGTACGTAAAGAATTACCTCTTGTTAATTACATTCAGCTTTCGTCATGACACTAGAGTCTGGCCCTCGTGACGTGAGTTGGACGATGCTGCAGCGGTGAGCACTATTGCTAGACGATTGTGAAACTCCCTTCACGTGCCACTGCGTAGAACTGAGCAGCAGGCACCTCGTTGATCACACCGACCCTGACGTACTCTGATACATTGTCTCTGGGTTGTAGAAGAAGACCTGTGACTAATGCTGATCCTAGACGGCCATTTTCATCATCCTTGTACGCACACTTATACAATCCCAGTATCATCAGTGAGCTTCCATTTGCCCCCGAAAGTTGCGAATAAGCTGAGCCGTTGTCTAGGTCATCGTCATTGATATCCAATCCAGCTTGAAGTATGTCTGCAGCATATCCTTGGATGCAGATGCAGGAATCTGCTAACACCCGGCCGAAAGGGTCGTCCGTGGCCAGCTGAATATCTGACGATTCAAATGCGCATATTGGTACCAGTTCCATGTTGGAGTCTAGATCAATCCAGAAATAAACAAATCCGGGCCAAGAGATCCATGAGAAAGACGGGCCCGGATTCCTGGTGCGCTCTACTGAGCATTCCTTACCATCGCTAGAAGATATAACGGGTTGCCAGGCAAGTTGGATCGCAAGATCCCGTTGCCAAAGGCCTGCAAGGTATCTTCCGGGATGGTGCTGTGAAATCTCATGTGCAATACCCGAGAGTGCTGGTAGTACGTCTTCATGATATGTGAGATTTAATTGGCTGTACTCTTGTACAACACCAGCCCACAAAAGGCCAAAGCTCATCGGGAAAGAAGATTCCAAGGGTTCTTTGGCTTGTAAGAGCATAAAACATTCGGTGGCTGCTAAGGTGTAGGGATCATAGTTTCCTATGATATCTTCAGCCTTGACCGGATCAACGTAGGATTTGTGAGAAGAATCACATTCACAGAGCCTCACTTCTTGGCACTGAAAGTGGATTTCGTCCTGCATGAAGTAGAGAATGCGACGAGCTAGAAATCGCTCTTGCATACACCAGGCTCGCTTGAAGATCGCAAGATCATTACGATGGCTGTGATCCCAACAATCGTGCGTTCTGTTATAGGTCGCATGTACTTCAGCCCGCGATTTTCCAGTTTCCCCAAATCTAATAGCAAGCGGTGTCGGTCTTGCATGTAAAAATCCTTGGGTGCAATCTTCGGGAAACGTTGCGGCCAAAACAACATGTGCGCCTGAATAGATATTCGCCATGTTGGAAGCTTCTCGAGACCAATCGTCTGGATCATCTTGAAGAATACAAAGTGAGTCTACCCATAGATACTTCAGGCCAAGACCTCGCGTGGCAGCAACGGCGTCGTGGAGTGTCTGTGGAAGCATCGATGAGTCCAACTCAGTGTACCGTGCTGAGACATTACCCATAGTTGTTGAAGGTTGGGTCGTAGAGCCCCAGCAATAACTTAGCGCAGCAAAGCGTACTGGTTGTTTTGGCGAGCAAAGACGAATATGGTTTCCCTCGTCATCCCTTACTTCCACCAAGCGCGAGGGAGCGAAGGTTTTGTCCCGAGCTTGGCAACGTCCATGTGTCGTCGTACAAACTTCGATCCAGTGTCTCGCTGTAGCAAAAACCTCGGTGGAAATTGGATTGATAGGCAGGTCCTTAGAAAGGCGGAAAGGATTTGCAGGGTTGTGAGATTCTTGGGGTGTCAATCTCGTACCCATTAAAAGTGTCGGCCAAACACTCACCTGTAGAATACAGCTGAACATGGTCTCTCAAACAAGTGTATTCGTTTTTTCGGAAACATAGTATTACACTGAGCTTTTCTCCGGAAACGATTTTACAGTATGCCCTGTGATCTTCCCCAAAGAAACGAGTATGACATCGGAGAATGATGTTGCAGAATGTGCAATTCGAGTTGAGAAGGGAGAGATCGATGGAATCGATAATGAGATGCGACATATGGATTCGCGGTTTGCAGACCGGACAGGTCATATCCCATAAGACATATTGACGTGGTGAAAGCCCTCGTAAGTCCCTGAAGTGACGTCTAGTGCTTGTAAAGTCTAATTCAGATGTATCCTTTCTTGCTCTGTTCCTGCTCATTTTGTTAGCGACTTCGGCCATATATAGAATATGAACTGAAAGGCCATACCACATAGCCCATTTTTGACTTGTAGATAGCTTTGCACGTCGACCACTGTTTGCAAACATCTATCATATGTTCGAGCATGGGCTCTCGTAAGAACAACGGATACTCAGATTATTATTAACTTGCTGAAAGACGTAAGGGAATTAGTGGAGAGCGAAGGCTGAGCTAAGCTGGAGGATCTTGACCATGTCTCACTTAGCCTCATCTGTCGATTTGGCACATAGTAGCACACCCCTGCTTATTGCTACCGCATCAGAGAGCATATAGAGGGACAACATGTCATGATAGTTCGTATCAGTGAAATTAAAAAACGAACATATCACGCACCGTTCACACCAGATCAACACCTCGACCCCACCAAAACAATACCCTCTGACGTCACCGCACCCCACATAATTCGGCGACATTGAACTCTCCAAACTTTAGCTCAACCCAATGCCGCAACCACACTCTACAACCTCGCATCTTACAACTTTCCTAATCGTCTTCATCTTCGTGATCGCCCTATTCCCAGGACTTTTCGTCAGCATATTCTGGGCACCTTACAATAGTCTTGCAAACTACCTTGTACCGACACCACAACCGCGTAAAAGCGTAGTCTGCACAAGTCCAAACATCTGCACTTCACTACCAATCATGTCTTGGTATGTCTACGCTACCCCATTTTCCCAAGACGTAGGGTCTTTGCTAATAATACCCAGGTCACAGAAGTCCATCACCCTGCCCAGCCGATCGCGCGGTTCCTACCTCATAACCGACCACATTCTTAAAGAAGTCCCCGAGATTAAGAACTACAAGACCGGCCTACTCAACCTCTTCGTTCAACACACATCATGCGCGTTGTCTCTGAATGAAAACTACGATTCGGATGTGCGCGCGGATATGAGCACAGCGCTGGATCGCATTGTGCCGGAGGACAAGAAGGGACAAGGACTGTACCGACATGATGCAGAGGGCAGTGACGATATGCCTGCGCATGTCAAGTCTGCGTTGATCGGCGCGAGCGTTACGATTCCAATTACAAATGGAAGGTTGAACACGGGTACATGGCAAGGCATCTGGTACCTTGAGTTTAGGGACTCGAAGCATACTAGGAAGGTTGTTGCGACAATCCAGGGCGAGAAGATGTGAATTGAGGGATTCGGGAACGGGGACATCCGCGAGCGGCTTTGAGTCTATACGGTGTGTACACATAATCAGGAAGCAATACCAGTGGAATGGAGATGTAGAGGAGTTAATGCAAGACATCTGAGCAAAATGTTATGGCACTGTGGTCTATCATGCAGTCGTAGCTCCGTCGCCGCTTTCGCAAATCGCCAAAGAAACACCTGCAACAACGCCTGTCCTGCATAATCCCAGCGCCAATGCCGTGATATGTTGCTCACCATTCAATCGTCAGCCTGTATATACATGGAAAAGACCATGAAAGCAGTAGATCTCATTGTCCAATTCTCTCACCGCCGTGGTCGCTGCCGTGTTTCGAATCACTCTGTGTCACCCCCTTCGTCAATCCGCTCTTGTCACTGCTGAGAGCGTCGCTAACTGATCGAAAACGCTTCGGTCATGCGCGGTGGAAGACGAGAAAGCCTACATCCGCATCCATCATCCACCGACCAGGATGACACTCATTCTCGATCTGGTAGTAGGACCTGAGGTGCCATTCGCCGTTGACTTCACGGCACCAGAAAGGGTCGTCGTCGCGTGCATCGGCCGGTCTGATCTTTCGGGGATCGTACGCGCCGCGCTCTGTCGCAATCCTTCGGTTCTCCATCTGGATATCTTCGCGTGTGGGGCCTTGCTGTGCATGACCGTGGACGTATGCTGGTCTCGTCTCCCTGACCGTTTGTGTGACGGGCGTTGAGTGGTTCTGAGCCTGAGCGTTCGTCACATGGTAGGTAGTAGTAGTTGTAGAACGTCCGGGTGGGTAAACGTGCGCCGTGTAGCCATAGCTAGGTACCGTGTTGTAGTAGGTCCTCTGGTAGGGGTAATAAAAGTTAGCCAGTGGGTACATCGAGCCATACAAGTTGTAATTGTAGTAGCCATAGCCACCACTGTATGAAGGGTAAGAATAGTTGGTGGCATAGTAGTTCTGGGGATAGTAGTTGATGGCGTAGGTTTGAAGGTACAAAGGACGGGCGTTGTATACCGCAGGTTGGTAGGCGCCCACCCCATATCCTACACCCATACCAACGCCGACGCCTCCAACCCCACCGTAGCCATAGCCGCCTCCTATGACGCCGGTGGGTGCGGCGCCATTCGCGGCTTGGCCGGCATAGGTGAGGAGGCCGCGTTGGCCGTAGCGGGGATTGTAGATGTATTGGTGGCGGGGCTTTGGGTATGCCTCCATTATGATGATTGACGACCAGTGTTGGTGGAAAGAAGGCGACGGCCGTGATTTTGGAGCAAGGTTGCAAGATTGGTGGGTAGGAGTGGGAGATCAGAGTGGGGTAAAGAAAGAGAAGGGACAAGGTGAAGGTCGAAGTGAGACACAACAAGACCGATGAGAAAATAGTGTCGCAGCAATGGAGACCGAGGCCAACCCGATGTTCAATGTTCCATGCGAGCCAATGATGGCGGGGTAAGGCGGCGGTGTAGTAAAAGGAAGGCGCAAGGCAGCGCAATCGGAGCGAAGAGAGAAGGGTAGAAACTCACCATCACGGAATTGACCGGCATAACATTGCGAGCTCCAACATGATACTCAGTACCATATGCATAACCAGAGGAATAGCGAGGATAGCCACCTCCAACAAACTCTCGAGAGACTATGGCCTGAGAGTACCCAGCTGGGACCACGCCTCTTGAATATCCTCCAGGTACGACACCCCTTGGGTATCCACCGCTAGACTGGGAGTACCGGTTCGGACAGGTGACGACACTACATATGTAACGGCCTCTAGGCGGGCCATCATAGTAGCGCGAAGGGTAGTACGAGCCACCGAGACCGTACTTGCGGCGTCTGGACATACCAGAGCGCGGGTAGTAATCTTCTGTGTAGTAGCGTTGACCATTGCGGACCTCGAATCTGTACTCGTAGCTGTAGTCGTCGTCGCTGAAGCACATCTTGCTAGTCGTGGTATTAAACCGAATAGAGATTGGAGACGAGGGGAGGAAACAATCGGAAAGCCGATAGTGAGCGAAGCAAACGGGAATCCATGACGTGAGCTAAAACATGGGGGGAAATACAGATTTCACTGCGAATCCGTCATCCAGCCGTGATCTAGGAATCGAACAGGCGAAGAGAAGCATGCTTACCACCGATTTGCATTCGGCAGGATAGCAAAAATGTACAACTGTATGTACAACACAAACCTCTAGGTGCCTACTGAAGGCCTGATCGCAAGTCAGGTGCTCTTCAGGGCTACGAACTCTTTCCATTGCCACCCTTCAGCACAGCGCCTCCCTCGATAGCTCCAGTGCCTGCTCCAGGCGCACCATTGCCTTTATCCTTTTTCCTGAACATGCCACGAAACCTCCTCAGAAACGGAGCAACGGTCCATCTTGCAAAGGTTGGAGTAGCCCAGACGCTGAACACAATCCTCGGAATCAAGAACATCTTGACGATCGTGTAAGCCGTCGCGAACTCAACCACAAGTCTGACCCCACCTTCACTGATATTCCAAGCCTGATCTACCTTCCTCAATCGCTTTGTCTCGCTACCAATGCCATCATCATCTGATCCTGACAACCAACCGCTACCCTTCATCCATTTCCTCTGTTTGTCATCTTTCTGGATCTCGTCGACTTCACGTTCAGCCTCTAACGCTTCGTCGCTGCGTATCCAGCCCTTGCGTTTGAAGTACCGACCGAATCGCTCAACTCCCGAAGCTATCCAAGCCCCCTCTGCAAACCACGGTGGCAGCCAATGTGTGTAATGAAAGTAGCCTGCGAGCCCGAACAAGGGAATTATGGCCGTGAGCTCGTGGAGGATGAGGAAGGATGTTATGTGCGTGACTGGCGCATTGCCGAGCGCATTGGTGTACTTGTGCAGGAACTTGGGTAGACGGCGATTGAAGCGCTCGATGCGCGACTGGGACGATGCTGGAGGCGCGAGGGGCTCTGTCGCATAGCGGCGTGTGTATGGGCTGCGTAGGAGTTGTGGCGGGCGCGCACCCGCTCGTAGAATACTTCGTCGTAGCATGCTGCCTGTAGCAATTCCTCCTCTCTCACTCAACCTCCAGGCCTGAGTGGCTTTTTGTGCGGTGCGCGGTGTTGCAACTCCATGTTGGGGGGCATGTCCATGCATCTGTCAAGCATGACGAAGTCGTCGGGACACTGACGGGCCGATCCACCTTGATCGCGTCTCCCACTCAACTATCACCTATACACATTGACAGGTCTGCTTCGCACCAGATGTATGATCCGTCCTGGCAAGGTTTGCATGTTTTCCTAACCTGTGTTCTATCTTTGTCAAAGATCTACTTGTCGCGACACCCTGTGGGTATCACGCGCCCTGAACATCAACAACTAATCAGACGCCCTACGCGACCACAGCGCTGTAAACACGTATAACCGAACATCGAAGATGCCTCATCACCGTCAAGCCATCCTTCGTGATAAGGAAAGCTAATTCGTCTCTTAAGCTAATACCCTCTTGAACACGTTAGGAGCAGATCCACACTACAAGTATGCTGTTGTTTTACGAAGACGAACCTGGGTCAACCGAAATTACACAACAATCCTTCGAATTGCACAACTTCAGTCCAACACCAAACATCGATCCGCTACTGCAGTACGGTTCCTATGCTTTCATACCATACCCATCTGCGACCGCACAGGACGATGCGCCTTCCGAAGACCTTACGACCTCAGCAGCCAACCACGCATCAACATCACATCTAGCAGTTAGCAGCCCTTCTTCATGGACATACTGTGGCCCCCTTCTCCAGCCAGACAAAGCAAGCCTACCGCCGTCTTTCCATACTTGGGCCAATCTTACACTCTCTTCCCCTTCCACGCTGCTCACCTCGCTTCTTCCTCTACTTTCCTGGCTACAATCCTTCCTGCTAGAGGCAAAGGTCCACAACTACTGGCTCACAATACGCTGTACTGAGCCAAACCACAAGTACGACACCCCTCGTTGGCACACAGACGAGAACTTCTTCGCCTATGATGCCGATGCACCTGATTTGGGATTCGCAGCCACTAGCAAAGAGAGGTGCTGGAAACTGTGTACCACGCTTCTTGGTCCAGGGACCTTATTCTTGAAGGACAACGAGACGGCATTGGGGGTCATACGAGAGACTAAGAAGAATGAAAAAGACAAGATGGGCAGTCATACCTGCACTTCAATACGTTGTCTAGGATGTTCCACGTATGCAGAGACTGTACGCGAGTCGCTCGCATGCTCTCTACAAAATATGGAGATTGAGTCTCCGGCCGCAGGTGAAGTAGCATATTTTAGGATAGGCGGCGAAGAAGGCGCGGTGCATTCGGAACCACGATGTGATACTGATCGCATTTTCATCAACGTGATTCCAGGCACGGAACAAGGTTTGCGGAGTTTGATGGAAAGATGGGGTATGGAATTTCCGCGTGCGTGGTGTTTCGGGATGCCTGTCGGGTTTGTGAAGAGTGATGAGGCAGGCACCTTCCTTGGGGCATGAGGTTGGGTACATGTATGATGCGAGGGGTAGAGCGAGATTCCAACGCGTAACTGGAGGCAGTCAAGTAAACATGTCCAATGTGTATGACATCAATCAATCGAGAGAAACACTACTACGCTACATTGAAACGGAGCTGTAACCCCTCCCCTTTTTCTTTTGTCTATACACTCATAATGCATCTCTGTGTACTTTCCCTACAGGTTTCCTGTATAACGGCGAAAGAAGCTTGTTGACGTAACAACTTCTCTTATAGCTTCTCAGCAACCTCGACAAACTCTTCTAGGTTGCGTACGGGTCGCACCCCGGAGCTGACTTGCATGCTTGCCTTCCAAGCATGTACGTCTTCAATGAGAACAGGATGCGATGCATCTACTACGCTCTTAACGTCTGCTGACGCATCAAGTGCCTGTGGAGCAGCTGGAAGACCCGAGTCCGCGACACCGAGCGCAGCCTTGGCTTCGTCAAGGACCTTATTAGCGACTTCTTTCTCCACCTTGAGGTCATCAGTAAGATGAATGGCAACGGCATCTGAGATAGCTTCGCTGGACGATGCATCTTTGATGCGAGTCTGGAAAGCCTCGTCGTTGGCTGTGATCTTGTGTTCGGCGAGAATGATCTTGAGCGCAGCGGCAGCGGCAGTCTTCTTCTCATCGAGCGAGGGCTCCTTAGCCTTAGCCTGTGCTTGGAGATGCACTGACAGCTTGGAGCGCTGAGAGGACGATGTTGAGATGTAGTGGTTGTAGAAGTCGACCATATCCTTCTTTGTGAGCTTCTCAAGAGTCGCGGCATCAACGTCGGCTGTACATTCATTAATGCTATATTGATATTAGAGAGTTGGGGTTGTCATACCTTGCAGGAAATCATAAGAATCACTGTAAATATGATTCCAAAACCTGTTGTCTTCAGACGACAAGTTCTTCAGCTTCGCCAGCCTCTTGTTAATCATTGCGTGTTTGTGGCTCTCAAAGTCCTCCTCGCTCATGTCATTCAACGTCTGCTCAAACGTGTTAAGGAAGTTCTCGATGCGACCCTCAAGGTACCGACAATCCTTCTCACTCTGAATGAGAATGCGGTAACCTGACCAAATGTCGTGGAAGCTAGGACCAGAGAACACAACATAGCCGAGCTGCTCAATGGTACGAAGCTGATTGAAACAAGGCTCGTCCGTCATTTGTCCAAGAAGCAGCAGCTTAGCGCGCATGACACTGTCGTAACGGTGGCCAGCATACAGGCTGTACTCTATGCAGTGGTTGACGTTCTCAGGGTCTTTTAGTTGCTTCTCGTAGATAAAGTTACTGCCAGATGGCCAGATGAGTCCCCGACGCGTCGGTACTTGATTCGCTGGTAGTCTCGTTGGCTTGATGGTACGCTCTACAAGATCAGTGATCTTCAAAGCCTCCTCCTTGTACAGGTTACCGTGTGCCAGAACTTCGATTTGACATTGCGCTAGAATCTGCGGGAAGAATTGCTGGACATCCTGCGCTGTCACGTTCTCAAGTTCTGGGAGCAGTTCGTCGTTCATCACACTCTTCTCACTCTTGAATTGTCGAGAGTAGGTGCCGACTTGATGGAAAGGCTGACCATACTCCCAGTTGCGCAAAGAACGCAGCATCCGGTCGTGGATGATCTTGAAACGATCTTCCGATACCTCAAGATCTCGTACTTGGAGCAAGACCTTCTCCAGTAATACATGGAGCTTGTCGTTGTAGCCGCTTACGGTGATCGAAAGACCACTGATGTGGTTGGTGAAGTCGTAGACTAGCCCGGAAAGGTCGGCGTCATATGAGTACTCAACTAGAGCGTCATTCACGAGTTCGCGATACAGCGTGCATAACAGTGTGATACGAGCTGTGACGTTGGTGATAGGTGTCCGGAAGTAGATGTGCACGTTAGCCTTGGGCACCCAGAACTGATCATCCTTCTTCCACCAAATGCGCACATTGTCGTCATGGCGGATAAGCTTGGGCTCCTTAGTCGGCTGTTCAACATCCTTCTTCTCCACTTCCAGTCGAGTTGGGATAAACTCGTTCTTGTGTGGGAAATGTAATTCTGCCGGCCGGCTCTTGCTCTGGAATGCCTCTTTGATCTCGGCAAGGAAATCCTCTGGTATCTTCTCGACTTTGTGCTCTGTTCCATACCACTTCTCCTTTTGGTCCCAATCGCCCGGGAAATCTTGACTAACAATCGTCATCCTGAAGTTGTCTGGTCGGAGATAAGACATAGCCTCATTAATCAGCTCGGCATCGAACTTCTTGATAATGGCTGGTCCACTTAGCAACATCTTGCGGTCGTACGGCCTTTGCATGATGCCTGCTAGACCACTTGCAGTCCGGCTCGGTGGGCTCTTTTGCTTGAATCGGAACTCTACTTCACTAATCCGCATTTGCTCTTCAACTATCCACTCTTGAGGCGGCTGATCGCGCATGAGACCAATATATTGGAAGACAAGCTTTGCAACCTCCTTGTAGTTTTTTAGACCCTCGTCGGTCAACTTAATATTGACGGTAAATAGCCCTGAGCCAGGACAAAGGGTAGACCCTCCAGCTCCTAGTCCATTCGCCCAGCCTTTTGCCTTGATGAGCGCAAGGATACTGCCAGGACCTTCATGACCAAGCAAGTGGCTAAGGTATCTTGAAGGATGTGACTCGTAGAACTTTTCTTCATCACGGTACGCAAATTGAAGCTCCAGTGAACGAGACTCCAAAACTGGTCTGGCGAAGGTCTGAGTCAACAGTTCGTTGCCGGTGTAAACGGGCATGTCCCAACGATTTTGACCAAGGTCCTTGTTCGGTACTTTAGCGAAGATCTCTTCCACCCATGTCTCCAATGTATCTAAGCTCTCTCGACCTAGGACAACCAACTTCATACGATTCGCCGAATAATGGGTTGAATGAAACTTGATGAACTCGTCGCGGATTCTCACACCTCGCGCTATAGGTTCGTCGTGTAGAGTTTTGTAGCTTCCTGTCGAGAAATGGTTGTAGGGATGGTCTGGATTGGCCAACGCTTTATTGAGCTGATGCATCCGCCAGGTATCGTTTTGGAGGTTCTTCTTGTTTTCTGAATCGACCGCCTTAAGCTCCCGATCGACCGTGTCTTCCAAGAATAAAGGACTGATGAAGAACTGGCCAAAGCGGTCCAGTCCTCCCCATAACGGCGACTCCTCCTTGGACTCTGCCAAGTTTGTTTGTGACACGTCTGGTGATACAGTTTGGCTGTTCGTAGGTGTAGACGAAGGATATGAAAGCTCGAAGTAGTAGTTGGTTGACGTAGAGGCTGTGAAGGCATTCGAGTATCCGCCGTGGCGCGTCAGATACTGGTTGTAGGCGTTTTCCTCCGGATACTTTTCAGTCCCCATGAATAACAGGTGCTCCACCGCGTGCGCAATACCTGGCATATCCGGCGCATCGCTGAAGCTGCCAACGTTGACATCCAGCGCAGCACTAGCCTTGTCTGTGCCCGCCTCGTGTATCAGGAGGACCTCTAATTGATTCGGTAGGGTGATGATGCGGTAAGAACGATCGTCGAGTTGTGGCCTCTCCAGATCTTCTATGCGCTGCCGTCCTCCCACTTCTCTTCCCAGCGCTTCCGTCATCTTGGCTGGTTGGTTGCTTCTTCTTGGCGACGTCGCGAGGCTACGTTGGGTGGTAGGTGGCGGGACGACTGCAACAGCCTGGCGACTACGAGGGTTATGTATGCGGTGCGGTCCGAGGCGACTAGTGGCGAGCGAAGTAGAGGCTGAGCAATGTGATGACAATGCTGTGTACTGTGCAATCAACCAGGCAACCGGGAACCTGGGAACAAGTGTTCGGTGTCGTGGTACAAGCGGCAGATTTCCTAGAGACTGTCGTGCGCCTAGCGATGGGAGCATCCACAGGACTTGCGGTGGAGCCGGGAATGGTTGGACAAAGCTTCCGGGTACTTCACTTCTACCTGCAGCTGCTGCCTTGTACTGATCGATTACGTGCTTCCGCAGGGATATCAGGGGGCGGTGAGACAGGCTGGGATACTGCAGCGGGGGAGAGGGAGTTGCTGACTGAGGCTCTATACACTAAACAATGAACAGACGGCGAATGCGGCGGACCTCCGGCGCTGTGGTAGCGATCAACGTCAGATACGGTGGGCCCTGCATTGTCGATAAGACGGCCGATCCTATCACCGCTAACTTGCTAAGGCTGCCAATTACCCGTCCATTGTTTATCCTCGTCTACGTGACAACATGGTGCCCAAAGCATTTCAAGCAGGTTACGCGAATACCACAGGCTTCAGAAAGGTGGTGAAGGCGACTATATACATTAAGAAGAAGGATGGCATGTCGGATGACGACTTTATCGAGTATTACAACAACAACCATGCTCAGCGCGCCGTTCCCATCCTTCAGCGCCATGGCATCCTCAGCTACAGCCTTGTATAGCCACGAAGCAAGTCAATATGTTGTACTGAAGCTGAGACCGCCACAGACATATCATCTAGAGCGGGACCGAAAAGCCATACAAGACATCATGCATGGCAAAGCCAAGCTCATGGATTATGACGCCATCTGCACCTTTGTCTTTCCCGACTACCTGGCGCTGGCCAAGTTCATGTACGACAAGGAAGGAGCCGCTCTGAACGGGGACCATGAAAACTTCATGGACGACAGTCAGATGAAGATGATGGTCGGGGATGAATATATGCTGATCGAAAATGGGGACAAAGTCGGATGATCGAATTGCAATCGAAGACGCAGTCGCCATGGGGTATCATTGAACCGTACCAAGTGTACACATATATGGAGAAGATGTCGCCGCATCTACCTCCGGCCCTTGCCTCTGCCTCTACCTACAGATCCACGTGGTGTCGACGAGCAGTTGACTGCGATATGTCCCTTCTGTCCACATTTATAACATTCCATATCGGCCATGCCACTGAAGCCACCTCTGCCTCCGCCCCCTGAACGCCGACCGCCTGATATCGATGTTAAGCCCTGGAGGTTTCCATCGTTGTTCTGTCGCTTCGGTGTTGTCAGGGCTGAGTTTTCGCCCGTACTCGTGCGCGTCTTCTTGGAGTCGCGCTTTTCTGTCGCCATCTCGCGCTTCGTCTGTCGAATGAGGTCTGACGCAGGATCGTCTGAATCATAATCATCCGAGGATGGCTCGGATTCTGAATCTGAGTTTTCAGTCTTGACAAAGGGTACGGAATCCTGGACCATGTCAGCTTGGTTGTTCCACCAGGTCTTGTTATACGCACATCTGCCTTCTTCTTGACCCCACCACCGAACTGCATTCTTGTGGGTCTGACGTCCTCCTCTTCGTCTTCATCATCGTCCTCCGCATCAAGCTCAGCAAACCCCGCTTGCCTGATATTCATTGCATCTTGCCTCTTTCCTTCGAGAGGGTCTTTGAAGCTCAACACCCACTTTGTCTCGCCCGCATGTTGAGCGGCCTTGTCTAGTGCAGCCTGGCGTTTCGCTTCTTCTGCGTCCAATCCTGACTGTATGATCTCGCGATCCGAGGTTCCTACAGCAGAGCCATTCGAAAGGCGCGCTTTCTTGGTAGGCGGCCCGTTAGGTGTCGAGGGCGAAGACTTTGCGGCAGCGCGCTGCATAAACTATTCATGTTTTAGCAAATCCGCAATGTGATAGGACAATGACCTAAATACCTTCATGCCCATCAGTCCCTTGGACATTGTTTTGGGTGTATTTCCGGACATTTTGTAGTTGGTCACAAGTCTTAAAGTCGCCTGGCGGGGTTGATTGGGATTTGATGTCGCTGTATTCATTGCGCGTTTGCGCGGTCGCGTTCAGCGAACTTTTGACGCACGGACCAATCATCTTGCGCTATCGATAAGAAGATGCCGAGATGCGTTTGCCGCTCTCCATCCTCTCACCTCGTATTCCGATGAGCAACACCTCCCGAGCCATCGGACAGCACTCTTTCGGCAACGTTCTTAGCATGCTTCGGCGCTTTCGCCAACACAGAACACTATGGTCAATCATTGACACGGCATGAGCTAAGCCAAATATGACTTCCCTTGTCACAAGAGCAGAGCAGAGCATGACGACATCCATGGATCTGAACAAGGCATTACAAGAGACACATCTCAACACGGGCCAGACTCACGCAACGTGCAATGACGTGAGATAGGGCGTGAGATAGGACGTTCGAGAACTCTCAAAAAGCCGTGGATTAATAGTAGTGATGATCTAGCGCCACACTACGCCTTCAATCTTAGATACGTGCAGGCCATCATGTCCATTAGGGATGGATCCGGACTAATTACATGGCATCATCAACGCATGCCGAGCCCCAGGTCTTCAATATTTCCATCATCTACGCCAGTGTCGCTCCATGCTATCAGGGTATCGTTGAGGTACCAGCCTCCAGGGTCATGCCATATAAGGTGGCGTATGACGCCATTGGTCATTAAGGATAACTCGTCTCAGTAGTACATATGGTATGGCTTGTGATGTGCCATGAGAAATCGCGCCGCCGCAAAATGTTCAAGCAGGTCTGGACATATTGGGATCCATGGCTTTCAAGAAAAGTGCGGCTTTCAGTTGTCGATAAGCCTTGATGGCAGCTTCGCGGGATTGAGCCTCGGAATCAGACTCTGTGGACGAACACAAATGGTGTCTGGGCAATGAAGACGTCCATGTTGATATGTTGGATGCGTGCGCGGGCGTTAAGAAGGGATGCGACGATTGATGAGTGGCGACAGAGGCCATAATCCTTGGGGAAGAAGTAGAGAAAGACTGAGAGCCAGTTGAGCTTGCAGCACGAGAAGACATGTTGTTGTGCTGGAAACATGGACTCTCGGGACCCATATATGGTCTCGCGATAATTTGTCAAACAATATACGGAAATAACAAATTCCCAAATTCGAGTTGCGACTCTGAACTCCGAAACGTGCTCCGGCACGATTACGACTAGGGCTTGCAGGATGACGGATTCGCCAAGTTACCTCTCGGGGATATTCATGCCGACATGGTGACAAGAAAGGTAACCTTGTTCGTCCTGTCAATGACACGACAATCAGTGAACAGACGCGCAGAAGTTGAGTGGGAGATCATCGCGAAGCACCCTCTACCCAATCGCGACACAGTCACCAGGGGTGTGCCTGCTCTGAGTCCGGGGTGCTATATGCCACGAGATAGGAAATCGCATGTTCTTTGACAAATTCCAGAGCGTCGGGAAACGCCAACTTCACATGGTGCATACGCGAGATCGATTTGTGACTTACCGGACGTCTGGCGGTGTTTATTCCAAATATTCATAGATGCAATCGGCGCTAACGGCTACTAGTCCCTCCGGTCTAACCTCCTCGAAACGCAACTTTAGCGACGTCTACGCAAATCTCGCGTATACCTGTAGATGCTCAAGAGCTCGGTCCGCCAGCAAGCCCACGCCTTGTGTCTAAGACGCCTCAACCGCGCGTATTTGCGCTGATCGCAAGCCTTCGGCTGCACGAACAAACCTCTCCAGGGCTTGGACATGATACCGAGCATGACGAATACATGTCAATACCGACAGCCTGTCACATTTCTCCTGCCTAAGGAGGCTGCACCTCCTAAAAGAATGCGCTCTCCTCTTTAGGCTCTCATCGTCATGACCGCTTGCTTGCATCTTGGTGACAAAAGCACGCAAGGCAATAACGTATCTCTTCATAGCTCACACCGCTTATCACTGCCTTCAGCCGGTAAGGCTCCACCCAGGCAGCCACCAAAGATCTTCTGCTACAGGAACGTCGGACTAAGCACTCCACGGTGACAAATTCCTGAATAGCCATGCGCTTACGTATTTGGGGTTACCGCTTCCACAACTGTACAATGCCAGTATAGTTGTTGAATCAGTTTCGAGAGTATCATACGCATGTGTCAGTTTGTAGAGGTCTTATTCACCAGCACGGTCCAATGCTATCATAGCGTCGAGGAATAGGTCATCCGATCAAAACAGTTTGCAATCGAGCGTACGTTCCCGTTCGATTCATCTGGAATACCGATATCGACATTCGTATAGGATCGGCAACTCTCATGCCCAATACGCCTCAATCGAAGCGACCTTCAGATAAACCTCCTCGCCATGCAAGTGGTCACCATCTCGTATGGCACTATGATACTGACGCCTTAGGCAGACTTAGGCGCTGTCGGCTCAAATAGTGTCAGAGACGCGACATTTGACAACACTTGGCCTCCAAGCCACAAGCCACAATGTGAATCGATCGACATCTATCTATCAAGCTGCTCAACTTCAACAGTGTAGTCATTCCAGGGGAGTGGACACAACTGTTAATTTCGGCGTGATGCTGAACCACCAGCGATGAAGCGCAGCATGTGGCCTATCGATGTCATACAGTCAACGGCAGTGCACTATCCATACTGCTAACAGTAAAATCGGGACCAAGCACTTTTGCGATACTTCCGATGCTCCTGTAGTATGTGTTACGATCATGGTCATCTACGATGTGGATGCGTACGGCGGTATTCGCTCCTCGAGAACGTGAAATAATGCACCATCACTATCCTCAGTGCAGAGCAATCTCACAGAAAGATCTAGCCGGTAACCCACATGGCTTCCACATACGCCGCATGTTTGGTTTAGTATGTGCCGATTCCACTAGTGAGCCAGACTTTGACATAACAGCTATTTCAGCTTCTGGGTTGGTGATCACTACCATTACTTGGCCCACCTGTTTGAACATGTTGGGAAGTAATTGTGGTGTAATGTCAAGTCCAGTGCGAACAACATTGAGCAACGGCCTTCTTTATCCTGTTCCTGCATACATTGTACTGTGATCTACGATCCATGTGGGCGTATGGTTGGCAAGGGGCTATGTTAGTGGGCCTACGACATCATACCAACCACAACTATAACCCCTCTCAGTACAGTACGAATCGGTCCAGCCCACGTTTGCATATCCCCTCAAAGAAAAGAAGCGAGTGAACTAGCTGGAACTCTTCTTCAAGACGACAATCGCTGCACTATCCAGATGTTCTACAAATGCTAGATCGCGCTCACTTCTGACTTGACTCAAATTCACAACTTTCCATCGACAACATGCACAACCAATCTCCAAGTTTGTTCGTCTATCGGCCATCGAAGTCAATATTGCCATCATTTGCGCATGCTGCTAGTTATGAAACCTCTGTTCGCACGCTTCCTTCCCTCTATCGTCTCCGAGCAGCCTGTTTCCTCGGAAGAAGATGGAAGAACTTGCAGAATCTTGACCGGCTTGCATCTACTCAGTGGAAGTACAGACGATGACGTAGAGAAGGCGTAAAGCAATGGGCGGCGAGACACTCTAGTCGAGATGCATAGGTTCTCCCCACAGGATGCTACAGCCAAAGAGATGAAGAAGCTCAGGAAGGGGCTGGGGAACAGCAAGCGAAACACTGTGTAGCTTACCGAAGACGGGATGTAGCTTCTGCTATGACGTATGTCAACATCGAGGCTTCATGCATCACTCCGCTACCACTGTGCTATTGTGCTCAACAAAGATAGGTGACCTAATTGTCTTGAAGCAGTGGAGCCTTCATTTATACGATGCATGTTGTACTTCTCCACGACTTTGGGGAGCTCGCAGGCAGATGACAAGGAATGCCCCCACCAGACGCTAGCGCGGCAGCTTAGCTTGCCGACCGTGCTCAACCTCAACCTGCATCCAACAACGATTGAATGCAACTCGGTCTGCGTCCTCGTTTGCGTACACGGCCATCTTTATACGATCTTGTTCAGAAGAAGAACATTGACCAGATCTCGATATCTGGAGCTCACACCGCCGCCAACCCTGACGACGTTGAGCCACACCGAGTACCGCTTCCCGCGAGCCCGCTGATATCACCGCAAGGCGAGCTACCCACCCAGCCGCCGCCACCGCATATCACCCTACAAGAAGCCAGCGACGACGAGAAGGAGACACCCGTAGATAAGATGCCTCCCGTAAGCAGCGCCAGTTATGGATTGGGATGTGGCGCAGGCAGCTAATTCGTGGGCGCAGAAACAACAGAAGAAGCAGGAGCAGAAGTCGGAGGGCGAGGAGCATGGTAAGCTTGAACCCTCTATATGCATATGTTTGGTATGTTGGAGCAAACTGCTAACTCCATATAGGCGCCATTTACTCCATTTCTGGGTACGTCACCACAATACAGCGCTCAAGTCGCATACTGATCCGCCCAGTCCTGTTATCATTGCCGAGAACATGATCGGATGTGCCATGTACGAGCTTGTATGTGCAACAAAGTGTACGGATCTGGACGACTGCTGACTGTTTCAGGTCCGTGTTGGTCACGACAACCTCGTCGGTGAGGTCATTCGAATCGAAGCCGACAAGGCTACCATCCAGGTCTACGAAGAGACCGGTACGCACACTACGCACACATACACACAGCAGGACTTGGCTAATATCGAATAGCTGGTGTAACCGTAGGCGACCCCGTATACAGGACTGGACAGCCATTGTCCGTCGAGCTTGGCCCTGGTCTCATGGAGACCATTTACGATGGTATCCAGCGTCCCCTCAAGGGTATCGCCGACGACGCGAACAGCATTTACATCCCCCGTGGTATCAATCTGCCCGCTCTCGACCGCAAGAAGAAGTGGGAGTTCACGCCCGGCTCCCTGAAGGTTGGCGACCACATCACCGGTGGTGACGTTTTCGGTACTGTCTTTGAGAACAGTCTGCTCAGCGAACACAGGGTTCTGCTGCCTCCTCGC